ACACACACACACACACACACACACACACACACACACACACACACACACACACACACACACCTCTACTACCACCACGACCACGCGTCTGTAGAGCCTGACGGAATCCTACGCCTTAATTCGGCCACTTTTTCCAACATTTCCACCATCAACCGCCAGTCTGACAACCTCATCAATCATCGCACCACCAGGACGTCTCCTTCACACCACATCACCAGATTTATTTCCGCTTTCACAACCCAAACGTACTTTGACAGACCATTAGTCAGCCGTAGAACCTCATGGCCAACGACCAGCATCACATAAGCAAACAGGGCGCACTGCGAGTAAGCACGCCACAGACCATGTCTGCTACAGCATCGCCACCCCTCATGACTGCCGAGGACGAGACCATGGGCGACCTTGATGAGCCGCCCGAACCCCATGCGCAGCGCCCTATGCCCTTGGTACTCCAAAATACCTCAACCGCATCCTTTACAAAATCAAAGCCCGTCTGCGACCGCAAAGAGTCGCTGCTCACCTCGGCCCTCAAATCGGGATCTACTACAAGCTCCCCTGTCGACAGCCGGTCCGAGGCGAGCCCAGTCCGTGGCATGTCGTGCGTCTCGACATGGAGCAACAACAGCGGTACTACTGATCTTACAAGTGATGGAGGCGTCACAAGCCCTGGTACTCGACCCTGCACGCCCAGCCCTCCGCTGCCCACAGCATCCTTTCACGGCATGTTGCCCATGTTCAGCAACAAGCCATTGGAGCTACCAATCTCAATCGCCTCGCACGATGGCGAGAACACTGTTCCAGTGCACAAGGTTGCGCCCCCACAAAATACCGAGCAGAACATTGAGGCAGTCCTCGGAAGGAAGAGACGCATCATGTTTGCATGTGGCGCCAAAGAGGAGAAGAAGCCAGAAGAAGCTGCCTCGAAAACAGCTCCTGCCGCTGCCACTGTTCCTGCCTCAGAAGAGCCTCCAAAGCGTGTCAGCACCATCAAGTTTGCGTGCCCATCCAAACCTTCAGAAGAAGCGCCTCCAAAGCCTGTCGCAGCCAAACCCCGTCGAATGGCCAGCCCGGCGCCACCACCACACCGGATCCTTTCGTCTCCCAAAGCAACCCAGAAAGTCCACCGCGACTCTGACTCGACAGTCCGTAACAATTCACCTGTCAGCGTCCGGAAAACACGCTCAGTTGACCGGACCCGCCGCTTGAGTGCCAACTCAGATCTAGCTCGTTGTGAGGCATACCGCTTCCATGAGTTTGCTAGCTCAGAAGAGGAGGTTGAGGAGTGGACCCAAGAAGTCACTTGCCACCGAAGCAGACTAACAGTCCAAGACACGCTCAAAATCGAGAACAACCTACGCAAGCTAGGCGAGGAAGTTGCAGAAGAGGAGGCGATCGAGGAGGAGGAAGACGAAGAAGATGAAGAGGACGATGACAATATCGAAATGGACGACGACGACGATGATGATGATGACGATTTGCTTGACGACGATCACGATGACAGTGATACGCGCAGCGATACCACCGACGAGGGTTTCCAGACGGATGACGAGAACGGATTTGCTGGCTCTGATGATGAAAGTGATGCAGGTTCCGACTACAACTGGTGGGCCCCTGGAGCATCAACTGCTGCGACATCAGTGGAGCACCTGGAACAGCTTCGCTTAAAGCCTACCCGCACCGTGTCTGAGTCATCAATTGGATCTCTCGAAAGCCGAGATGGTCTCAAGATCATGGACAAACCACCAAAGCGGAAGAAGTCCAGGCCGGTCAACATCCGTGTTCCGAGCCCCGAATTGCCTGACAGCACCGACTTTGTTTGTGGTACCCTCGATGAAGATAGGCCGGCAGAGGAGGCATACATGTCGACACTAGAACGCCGACGTGCCGCCAAGCACAAGCCTACCCCACAAGACATTGATCCTACCTTTCCCACATCGGATCCTGAGCTTCCTGATGACGAAGAGGATGAGGTCTCCGAATGCGAGAACCTAGCCTCAGAGACCGACCACCTGATGATGCACGGTCGCATGGATCCAGATGCCGACTTGCGCGGTCGCCGCAAAGACATCAATAAGAAGCGTTCGCCCCTACCTTCACCAAAGCGTCTGCGGTCCCCGCCACCCGCCAAGCGTGCCGTGCATCGCTCTCCACCGCCGCGCAAGCTGTTTGGCAATTCTCCCAAGCGGCTGCATTCTCCTCCACCCCCCATGCGTCTTCGATCGCCACCACCCACTCGCCGCGGCTCCGTTAACCCCTTGGCTGCTCGTCAGCGCAACGACATCTCGATACGCTTTGGCGGCATTGCCGAGAGACCCGTGCCTACCGTCTCTGCATCTGTTCCACGCACGTCCATCACCATGAGGAATCCGTTTGATCTTGAGGAAGAAGATGACGATGTCGCTGACATGCCTGTGCGCCGAGCCATTGACATCAAGGTCGGGCTTGAGAAGAAGAAGCAGCGCCGCAAGGAGAAGCTGTACAGAAAGCAACATCGCAAGGGCACAAAGGAAAAGCGCCCTGCCCCCGGTCGTGGTGCAGAGCGCATGCGTGAGATGGGATTGGCTGTTCATGCCCACAAGGGCAAGAACAACGGCTTTCAGCCTTTCCAGATTCGCCACGCAGCAGATGAGGAGGATACATACGTACTGTCTGCCTAAATATAAGGCACGTTGGGTTTGGTAACACTTTTCTTTCTTTTTGCATATAACTTTCGTTGTACATGTGTGAGGACCAGCGCCGCCTGGCCAAGGTAGCCGGCACACTTTACCTGTCTTCCTTCTTAAGTGGATTGTACATGTTATTATCTCCATGTATACTTTACAGAAGGGGAAGCTTGTTGGTCGCTGGTCCCACTGGTTTTTCTTCTTCAAAAAGGGTCTCCTAAGGGATTGACTCTTTTTCTTTCTTCTCTTCTTCTTCTTCTTCTTTGGAGCGCTTAGATTTGGGACGAGTATAGTAGATATGGACTGCTTCTTCTTTTTAGTCTTCTTCTTGTTACCTAAGCATTTTTTCCCCCTACTGTATGGGTTGGTAACACCTTGTTTTTACATCATGTTTTAGTCGTCGCATTTTCTCCTGATATGGTCGTGTCTACTTTTTACTTGTCCCCCCCGCGCTGTTTCGTTTTTGGAGTTGAGAAAGAAACAGGTCCTTCTCCTCCTGCAGATTGTGCATACGTGTGGTTATTTTTTTTTGAGTTGTTTCTTGCCTTGCATCGTTTGTCTTGAGCGAACTTGTTCCTATGCATCTCTGTATATCCAAATCGAATTGATCATACGTCACACATACCAACAGAACAACCCTTCTATCGACAACACCATCACATTCGTGCTTCTCCACCTCTTCCAACAGTGCAGTGTCCATCGAGGTGTACAAAAGAACTTGGTATATTGTATCTCACTTTATCGTACATGATGAAATCTCATACGCAACCCTGCTAGGCTAGTACGCCTTATGGTATCCCTATACCCAATCCCAACCCTAACTGTATTCCCGTTTCTCCACCGGTGCATAGAAATGGTTGTCCCTCCCTCCTTACGTCTAGTAAAGAAAAGGTCGGTGGTAGTATGCAGGACGACCGGACACCCAATACCCCGGAGGTGTAAGGGAAGACGAGTCGATAGTGTCCCACGTGACGCTAAAGAGCTGTGTGGCGGGCGGACGGGCGGGCGGACGGGCGGGAGACGGGTAGAGTGGTAGTATCTTGGGTCTTCGTGTTCCATATCGAACCGGAGACCAAGGGCTGAGTGCGTGTAGTGTGTTGAAGTCATATCGTCGTAACCTTTTTTTCCTCAAACGCTTCTCCAGAGCAAGGCTTCTTCATCTGTCCCATCCAAACAACAACTCCCCTCTTCACCTCTGATCCGGCATCAAGCCATCAGACTCGACCGTCAACGCCTTCTCTTCTCCTTCGAGTCGAATGCCTCGTGTCCTCGCAAAGCACCTGTTACAACCATGTTAGTTCCCATCGTCTCCCAGAAAAAAATAATAATAAAATGTAGCAAAACTTACACAGCCCAGAGATACTCAGCAACAAGATAGCACACAAAGAATGCCATGAACAATCCCACCACTGTCCCCACATAATGCACCTCGGCACTCATCATCCTCATCCCTTCCTCGCACCGCTCTACCCTCTCCACATCGTCTTCAAACCCGCAAATCATGCGATTCTCACTCCGCACCTGCTTGGACGGATCCAGCGGGAGCGTCTTGCCCTGCTGGACCGTATCCAGGATACTCGGGTCCAACGGCGTCGGGATAGCCAGGACTTTAGAGATGGTGGCGTCGCTGGCGAACTGGAGTTTGAGGTCGTTTGCGGTGGCGAGGGAGAGGGCGGCGTCCCAGTCTAGAGTGAGGAGTTCTTGGTAGGGGCAGTGGGTGGGTGCGGCGCTGATGGAGAAGGTGAGGCAGCGGCATTGGAGGTCTGAAGTGTGGTGTGTGGGGTTGTTGGTTGGAGCGGCGAGGGTTGTGGTGAGGAGGGCGAAGGTGGTGATTGTGCTGAACATGGTGGATGAGAGTAGGTTGGAATAGTTGTTGGTGTTGGTGTTGGTGTTGGTGTTTTTATTCCTTGGTTTCCGAGCGGGAAGGTGAAAGAGTGAATAAGGGTGAGTAGAAGTGACTGTTGTTTGCCGGCAATGTCACGACTGTAATACTATAAGCTGGTTGATTTTTTTGTTGCGTGATACACTGGTGATAGGGATGGGTCGAGAGTGTCTAGACGCTGGTTAGTGGCTCCCGTTCCGGTGTATATATCTCTTTCTGGGTGTTTAATGACAAAAAAGAAATGTCTCGATTAAGTGCCTGAGTGAGCGGGGCAAGCGGATGGGGGTCACGATGCTTTATCAGGCAACATGGTGAGATGAGAGTGGACGGGACCAGTGAGCGTGTGACTAGGGTGCCGGTGTAGTTTGGTTAGGTGCGTGAATTTACAAGGCCGCCGCGAGCATATGCCCTTTGTGGCACAGCCTCACCCGGTTTTCGGGACCTTGTACGGAGGGCCGCGTCTGCTTCAGCCACTGTGCAAATGGCGCTGTAATCTGTTGTTTCGTACAAGCGACCCCCCCTGTCGCGCGTTTGTGCTGACCACGTTGGGATCAACGGCTAGGGTAGCCACAGTACTGGCGTAAAAAACATACAATAATTGCGGGTAGCCCATCGACGAATGACCCCAGAGCAGCAGTGTTCCCGCGGAGATGGAGCGTATAGACTGTTCCAAGGATGCCGTCATTTCCGTGACTGGTGTAGTGGATGTCTAAGGGACAAAGGGGACGACTCCTAAAGCCACGCAGCCGCAGGGACATGCCCGCAGCGAGCGTATAGACCAACCCCGGAACAAGCCTCGACGTGTCATTGGACCCGTCCAAACAAGCTTCGGCGGCGCACGTCAAGGCACATCAAGCATGGGCGAGAGAGGGGGCCTGAACATGGCCATTGACGACGCTGGTCGAGGCGCAGCCTATGAAGTTCTCGGCGGCGTACATCCATATACGAGCCCATCGTGAACCACCCCACTGTGTACATGAGCGCCAGTGTATCCGTCGTCCGCAAATCCAGTCTAATCATCATTACAGTAGTCGTAGACGCGTCCTTGGGACGCGTCATGCTTGCGCCATATTACGAGATCCGAGTCGCGAATGCCATCACATCACAACTTGGCCAAAACGTAAGTACTGTCATCGCCGAGACTGTGATGATCAACACAGCAAGCACAACGGCGCTTCGAGGAAACACAACACGACGTTGAGCGAACATCCCTGTCCTTGTCCAACGGCAATAACGAGGGGACATCTCCCGTGCTGCTATCATGCAAAACTTCAGGTCGTGACCCTGCAATGTTTCAACGGTCCATAGAAATTAACCCGCCGCTTGTACTGAAAGCCACTGAACTAACTAAACTAACTCAACCCAAAAAACCCCCTCCTGCATGAAGCAATACATAGCCCAAACCCGTAATAAAAGAAATCATACCGTGTCGCTTAACCCTCAATCTCTAGTCTGCCCTGCGTCTTGTGACCCTGCCCTTTCGGCGCCGACTCGCTCATGGAGGTAATCTCGGAGCTGGGAGTCTTGATTTCCAGCCACCCACTGCACATCCACATCCCCATCCCCCTCGGCTGCTTCCGTCACCATCGTGCAAACACCAGACAACCACGCCTCCACCTTGCGCCTTCACCGTTCCTCCCGTCCCTCCCCATACCCCGTGATACCGCCTAGCAGTCCGCCAACACCCCTCCCTACACCCCCAAGCGTGCTCCCAACACCGCCAATCACATCCCCCTTTCCAAGCTTGCTTACGCCATCACCCAGCCCACCCGTGATGCCACTAACAGCATTATTAGCGCCTTTACCTACATTCCCCACCACGCCGCCGACGGGTCCTCCAACTGTGCTTCCCAGCCCCGCAAGCCCATCGCCAACGGTATTCCCGAGTCCTTTGCCCACGCCCGTGACGGTATTGCCTAGTAACGGATTCCCGTATTAGCCACCCATTCCACATTGTCCAAAAAAAACAGAAAAATGTGAATGAAAGGGGGAGTAGAGGGAAAAAAAATAAAGAGAGAGAAAAGAGAACAACATACCAACACCACTCGTAGCCCCCGCAACAGTCCCCTTAACATCCCCTCTCCCCAACGCTCCTGTCGTCTTACTCACCGTCCCCTGAACCCCCTTTGTCGCACTACCAACCGTATAATACGCATTATCCACCGCGCCCGTCGCCGTCTTGCCAACCCCATCCGTCACATGCTTAACAGGCTTCCCAACGCCCGCTGGTAGCTTATCCAGCCCCTTGCCCGCAACCCCCGTGACGCCATCGACCGTCCTGTTGACGCCTGCAGTCGCGGAATCGGTGATGGTGTTTAGCGTGCCGGTTGTTGTGCCGACGGTTTTATTGAGCGTGCCGGTGGCGGTGTTGATGGTTTTGCCGACGGCACCTGGGGCGCGTTTCGGGGGCTGTTGGCCTGGGGGCGGATAAGCTTGAATTATGGAGAGGGGGGTTGGGTAGGTACCATCCGGGTTCACCTTGATGGGTGTCTTTTTGACTGTCGAGGTGTTTTTTCCTGCGGTAGTAGGTGCCTTTACGGGCGTGGCTTTTACGGGAGTAGAAGTGCTTTTGACGGGTGTGCTTGTTGTCGTTTTTTTGACGGTGCTTGCGGACTTGGTGACTGGTGTGTCTGCAGCTGACTTGTTCCTGACTGGCAGGGGCTTGATAGTACCAAGAGGTGTGCGTGTGCGAGCGGGCTTTGACACCTCGCTGACGCTCGTTTTACCTGCTGTCACTGGTGTCTTTTTCACCGCTGGAGTGCTGTCAAGTTTCTTTGCAGCCGCAGGTGTAGTCGTTGTCTTTGTCACATTAGACGTAGGCGTGCCAGCTGCATTGAGCTTTCTGGGAACCCTCTTCACAGGCGTAGCAGCTGGGCTCGTTGTGTCTGTAGTCACCGCTGATGCCTTCTTAACAGGGGCAGCTTTGGTTGCTGGCTTCACTGGTGTCGCTGTCGTGGACTTCTTCGCAGTCGGTCCAGCAACTTTGGAAATGTTTCCCACGCTCGCTGTAACCCTCATCTCAGCATCTCAGCATACTTGCATAATGCTCATCAGCTTACATTGGAGCGCTGCATTCTGCTGCTTGATTTGATCCAAGGCGGACATGATGCGTTTGATGGATTTTTGGATGATTCAAAAAAGATTAATGCATTCAAAATGCTGTGGATTCTGCTGCTAGATACTACTGTTGTGCCACCTCCTACGTCATGCCTTCTCCTCATCCCTGTCGTTAGAGAGATGCCAATGTGGCCCAGGCTGCGGAGAGATCCTGTTTTCGCGGACACGGGACGATCATCGTGGCGGAGCCCAGCCCGTTTGGACCCTTACCCTTGCCCTTGCCATCTCCCATCAGATTGCTACACCATAGTACAACCATATCACACAACACATGTAAAGTCAAACAAAGCCGGCTTCGCTAAGCACAATAGTACTGCAACCTCCAGTAGTCCTAGAGTACTCGCCTCTAACCACACTTAACCCAAGTGCCACACTTGTGTCACATCACTCACAAATCTTCGCACAGAACATTTTGCTTTTTGAACATTTCATCATTCGTCAAAAGTAACTACCTATGGGCAAATCTACCGAAGATACAGTTCGGGATATCCATTTACTCGTGATGCATAAAGGTCCACCACTCTAAGACTCCATCGAAGATTAAGCTCCGTCATCATGCAAAAGATGTAGAAAGAAAAGGAAAGCCATGACACATGAAAGGGATATCAAAGCGCCGACCAAACTTTTTGAAACCAGGCGACACAGGCGACACGCTTAGTCGACCTCCTCCATGGCGCTCTCGCCAGCGGCGGCGGGCGCCTCGGTTGAGGCCTCACTCTTCTCCTGCTCGGTCTCAACCTCCTCGTCAACGTTCAGACCAAGGGAGACGAGCTTGTGAATGCGCTCAGCGTACTGAACAGGCTCGTCAATGGTGAAGCCAGAGACAAGGAGAGAAGTCTCGAAGAGAAGGAGGGTAATGGACTTGACAGTGCGGTCATCCTCACCGTCGGCCTCAACCTTGCGCTTGAGCTCCTTGATGATGGCAGACTTGGGTGAGATCTCAAAGGTCTTCTTGGAAGACATGTAAGAGCTCATAGAGGTGTCACGGAGAGCCTGGGCCTTCATGATACGCTCCATGTTGGCCGACCAACCGAACTGGCCGGTACGGATGGCACATGGTGAGCCGACGAGCTTGTGGGAGACAACAACCTTCTCGACCTTGTCGCCGAGGACGTTCTTGAGGCTCTTAGCCAGACCCTCGTACTCCTTCTCCTCAGCCTCACGGGCCTTCTTCTCCTCCTCGGACTCCTCAAGCTCAAAGTCCTTGGTGATGTCGACAAGCTTCTTACCGTCGAACTCCTTGAGCTGAGTCATGGCATACTCATCAATGGGGTCAACGAGGAAGAGAACCTCGAAACCCTTCTCCTTGAGAGTATCGAGGAAGGGAGACTTCTGGACAGCCTTGAGCGACTCACCAGTGATGTAGTACATCTGCTTCTGGTGCTCGGGCATGCGGGTGACGTAGTCAGTGAGAGAGGTCTGCTCCTCACCAGACTTGGTGGAGTTGAAGCGGAGGAGCTTGGCGAGGGAAGCACGGTTCTGAGAGTCCTCGTGGATACCGAGCTTGATGTTCTTGCCAAAGGCAGAGTAGAACTTGTCGAACTGCTCGCGGTCCTCGGCAATCTCGTTGAAGAGCTCGAGTGTCTTCTTGACAATGTTCTTGCGGATGACCTTCATGATCTTGTTCTGCTGGAGAGTCTCACGAGACAGGTTGAGGGGTAGGTCCTCAGAGTCGACGACACCCTTGACGAAGCTGAGCCACTCAGGGATCAGGTCAGTAGCATCGTCGGTGATGAAGACACGGCGGACGTAGAGCTTGATGTTGTTCTTGGTCTTCTTGGTCTCGAACAGGTCGAAAGGTGCGCGCTTGGGAACAAAGAGGATGGCACGGAACTCGAGCTGACCCTCAACGGAGAAGTGCTTGACGGCAAGGTGGTCTTCCCAGTCGTTGGATAGCGACTTGTAGAATGAGGCATACTCCTCAGTGGTGATGTCTTGTGGGTTACGGGTCCAGATGGGCTTGGTCTTGTTGAGCTCCTCCTCCTCGATCTTGGACTCCTTGACCTTCTTGGTCTTCTTCTCCTTCTTCTCTTCCTCCTCGTCGACCTCCTCAACCTTGGGCTTCTTCTCATCACCCTCCTCGACCTTCTCCTCGGTGGCCTCGTCATCCTCAACCTCCTTCTCGGTCTCCTTCAGGACGTGAAGGTAGATGGGGTATGAGATGAACTCGGAGTGCTTCTTGACAACCTCCTTGATCTTGCTCTCGTTGAGGTAGTCCATCTGCTCATCCTTGAGGTGGAGGATGATCTTGGTACCACGGCCGATCTGCTCGCCCTCGGTGTCCTCGGTGATCTTGAAGGTACCACCAGCACTTGACTCCCAGATGTACTGCTCATCATCGTTGTTCTTTGATACGACGGTGACGCGGTCAGCGACAAGGTATGCGGAGTAGAAACCAACACCGAATTGACCAATCATGGAAATGTCGGCACCGGCTGACAGGGCCTCCATGAACTGCTTTGTGCCTGAGCGGGCAATCGTACCCAGGTTGTTGATGAGGTCGGCCTTGGTCATACCAATACCACTATCTTGGATGGTGAGGGTCTTGGCCTCCTTGTTGGGGATGATGTCGATGCGAAGGTCCTTGCCGCTGTCAAGCTTGCTTGGGTCTGAGAGGGCTTCATATCGGATCTTGTCGAGGGCATCGGAGGCGTTGGAGATGAGTTCTCGCAGGAATATCTCCTTGTTCGAGTAGACGGTGTTGATGATGAGGCCGAGCAGCTGAGAGATCTCAGCCTGGAACTCGAAAGTCTCCCCAGACATGGTGACGGGTGTGTGAAGTGTTCGGAGCTGCAAACAGTAGAGTCAGACAATGTTTTTTTGCAGCAAGTGGCGGAAAGAGTAGACTAGATGTGCGGCTGATGCGGGGAAGACAAACAGTATGAGCGGGGTAATTGGAGTATTAGGCTCTTCTATTGGGCGTGAAAAAGAGCAAATTGTAAGACTGCAGTGTCTATGTGGTGTGAGAGAAAGAGAGCAATTCAATGAAGAAAAACGCAGAGGAGGCTCATGTTTGGGGCTCATATAGCCTTTGGTGGAGCTCGAGAATCTTCTAGACAGCATGGCAGAAAGGCAGAGAAGGTTGTCGCCTGGCCAATCAGCGCGCGTCTGCGGCTGCAATCGAGCCTCACCGCCAAACACGACTTCCCCGCCCTGTCGAGACGCGTCCACCGAATTCCACCACCATCGCTTTCTCCACGCCGTGCTACACATTCGGTCCGTTGGCAGCAAGGCTACAAGTAATTATAGCCTCGTCGCATGCCTGAGATAGAGTAGCAACTCCGCATCTATCCTCCAACACCCCAACCTGCACGTACATACGCGACCCCGGCCGAGACTCACACCACTTGCACAACGACTTGGATTAGGCCTAGATACTGAATTGGCGGCCTTCACGGATATTGGTATATTGCAGATACACATTATGAATTGTGTCTTAGCATCTTAGCATGATGGATTCGTTAGATAAAGGTCCTCATGAACTCCCCAAGTGCCATGATGGCCATGGCCTGTCCATACGGCATGCTGGTAATCTTAATGTCCTTGTAATGCTGTAAATCATGTCCCATGGCCGTGCCAAAGCTCGTCTCTGTCAGCTCACCCTCTGCATTGATCTTGCCCATGACCGCCTTGACCGCCTTTACTGCACTCTCCAGGAACACGTCTCCACTAATATATCGCTTCCGGCACGCCTTGAGCATACCGTATGCGAAGCCCGCCGTAGCTGATGATTCTTCATAACTGCCCTCAGAAATGGGAATATCCAGCAGGGTGCGCCACATGCCACTCTCTCCTTGACACTTGACTAGCGCCCGGCATTGCGACTCAAGAATTCCCACGAGGAACTGCCGTAGCGGATCACTCTCCTTGAGATCTAAAAGTTCGATGAAATCCGGGATAGCAATCGTGAGCCACGAGTTTCCGCGTGCCCATCGTGCCTTGCCAAAGTTGTGTCCGACTTCCAATCCGCCCTTGTCTTCCCACTTCCAGCCGTGATAGAATAAGCCAGTGCTTGTGTCGCATAGGTACTGGCAGTGGAGAATGAATTGGCGCTTCGCCTCTTCTACGTACTCTGGGCGGTTCAGGGTAAGACCAATCTTTGCCAACGGTAGCGCGCTCATCATCAGCGTGTCATCCCAGAGCTCATCCTTATTGAACGAGTTGTACGTCTCGTGCTGGAACCCGCCAAACTTGGTGCGGGGCAGCCCGTGCATGACCCACTCAGCCCAGGTGTCCAGCCATGGAACAAATGTCTTGTTGCCCGTCTCTTCGTACAGGTATGCTAGTGAGAGGAATGGGCTCACGGTGTTTATGTTTTTGGTTGTGCCCTTGGCGAGTTGCTTGTCAAACCAGCCTTTGATGATGTCGAGCGTCGCCATGCTGCCCGTTAGCGTGTAGTAGTGCCATAGCCCATACAATCCAATTCCATGAGTCCATTCCCAGCCATCCCAGCCCTTGGTATCGATTATGCGGCCGTCATCGAGTTTGAGTAGAAACTCGCCGGTTGTGTCGTGAATATTGACTAGATTGTGAGTTAGGAGGAGGATCTTCTCATCAATCTGGCCTTTTGTTAGGCCATGCACTGTGAGTGTGGACATGGCGAATGTGGATTCTGAGATGTTTGATGAATTTGGAATGGGTGCTCTTGGGCAGTGGAAACTAAATATTGAGCAGCAAAATCCCAATTACTCTCACAAAGTGTACAAAAAGAAGACCAGAAGCGGAGGCGCGACAGGTTATCAACACGCGTAGTCCAGCGGGCGGGTATTGGATCGCTTCCGTGGGCCACACATGTCAACCAAGCCCTACAGAGTGGGGGTACAGACCGGCGAAACTCAGAGTTTCCCACTGCATACCTCAAAGGCTTGGTGTAAATCATTGCCAAATTTTCGTGTCTATCTGCACCGAACTTGTTCATTTCTGCACCGGCACAAGCTTGGCACACGTGAATTTTGCAACAGCTTCTTGGTCCCTGGAAAGTCGCGGCTCATCCACGCATCAGAGTCAACACCAAAAGACTCGTCATTGTTTGCTAAAAGGCCAAATGAAGATGCCTTCCGTATTCGCCATGTATTGCGCCGACCCTCGTCGATCATTAGGCCGACTCCGTGGGAGGCTATTGCGCAGGCGGGCAAGATCAGCAATGAACCGTCAAGGGAAACATGGCCGCCATTTAAATAGCCCTTGCTGACCAACTCGCATCCAAGCTGGGGAAGCCAGCCGCCACCAACTCCAGCGCGAAGGAATATTTCCACCAGCCATCAGGCAGCTGGTAGCCTGCCACTCGCATCTTCGGCATCATGTATGCCGAGACAATCCTGTCTTGGGAGACATGCCAAGTAGTGGCTTTCTCCACAGTGCTTAATTCTACGTGCTCGACTCTCCGCGTTGTAGGCCACTATGCATATTGTGTGGATACCATGTCCGTGGGGTTGTTGAACCTAACAAAGAACGACTGAGGTTGCAGCAATGGCGCCCATTTGGCCGGGCTAGCAGCACCACGCCTATGAAGATCCTTTGCTACGCTGGGGTGGGGCAACCGATGAGATGACTATGTTCAACCGTCAATACAGGCCTGCCGTGAGGTGCATGCCCTCATCGTATGTGATTTGTGGAGGAGCCAGCCGGGGTACGGGGTAGACTGGAGTACGCTCGGACGCACCAGACATATGGTCCGGGTAGAAATATCATCTCGAGTGGCCCTCCAACTCAGCACCTCACAGCAAGTGTTGGGGCCCTTTAGCTTTCATCCCCATTTTCTTCAATTGTCAATCCCAGGAAGGCTTTCAGTATGGCCACTGCCAGAGACAGCACCAGCAAGGTGCAGGGCTTGCCTGCCACTGCTAGTCACCTCGACGATAAGGACATCAACGACGTTGAGCGTGTGCTGTCGGTTGGCGACGAGAAGGGCAAACATGTCAACTACGAGCGTATCGACCGAGAAGTCGCGCAGTATGTCAGCGAGACTGAAATACACATCTCGGAAGAGGAGAATAAGCGATTGAAAAAAATGATCGACAGGCGTGTACTTCCTATCATGGTCTTCACCTATTTTTTGCAGGTAACTGTCATCAATGAATCATCTCATCTCTTCCTAATTCAACAAGTCTCTCGATAAAGGCACTATGTCCATGACTTCCATCATGGGTATCCGCGACGATATTCCAGTCCTTCATTCAAAGCAGACAGTGAGTTCCAAAGTATACAGAAGTCTGCAAGACGCAAAATTGACACACGATAGTTTGGATGGCTCACCACTTGCATTTACCTCGCTGTACTCGTTGTCGAATACCCTACCAACTGGATCCTGCAAAGAGTGCCAGTCGCCAAATACCTTGGCCTCAACATTCTTGCATGGAGCGTCGTGCTTGCATGTCATGCTCTCTGCTTTAGCTTTCCAGCGCTCATCGCTGTCCGAACCCTGCTTGGTATTTTCGAAGCAGTCTGCCAGCCTGCTTTCCTCATCATGACCTCACTTTGGTACAAACGAGAGGAGCAAGCTTCGATTGTGACTTATTGGTACATGATGAGTAAGTCAGGATGCACTAAAATTGGGTTGCTATTTGCTAATCTAGTGCCTCAGACGGTATGCAACAGATCGTTGGTGGCCTCTTGGCCTACTGCTTTTCACAAATCAGACATCCAAGCTTCAAGAGTAACCCAGGAACCGCATCAATTAGGTCATGGCAGGCCATTTTCATCACATACGGCTGCATCTCCTTTTTGTGGGGATTGTTCGTTATTTGGAGGCTTCCCGACAGCCCTATGCGCGCAAAATGCTGGTCTGAAGAAGACAAGAAGCTGATGATCGAGCGCGTACGCTCCAACCAGACTGGTCTTCAAAACAAGAAGTTCCGCGCGTACCAGTTCAAGGAAGCACTTCTCGACCCCCAGACCTACTGCTACATGGGTATCCAGATATTCACCACGCTTCCTACTTCTGGACTTGGTGCTTTCTACAATATCATTGTCCAAGGACTTGGATTCAGTATTCTTGAGACTCAGCTACTGGCCATGGTTCTCGGCGCTATTATCATCTTCACGCTCATGAGCTCAGTCTACATCGTCAAGAAGACAAAGCAGAACCTTCTGACCATGGCCATATATTTAATTCCAGCTTTCACAGGTACCATTGTCATCATGACTGTTAAGAACACTAATAGCGCAACCCGAGCTGGTCTGCTCATCAGCTACTGGATTGTTTTTACCTTCTGGGCAGCCCAAGGTCTCGGTATGTCCATGCTGACGCGGAACGTCGGAGGACAGACCAAAAAGTCCGTCTGCATCACCATGAATTTCTTTGCCTGGTGCGCCGGCAACGCTATTGGCCCCAAGGTGTTCTTCGACAACGACCCTCGCTACCTCAAGACGCTGGCTATCCATCTCGGCTGCTACTCTGCACTTGTCTGCGTCATTATCTTTTTACGGTTCAATCTCACGCTCCGTAACAAGAAGAAGGACCGTGAGTTTGGCACGGAAATAAACAATGCTCATGGCTTCGAGGATTTGACGGATAGAGAAAATCCCAACTTCCGCTATGTTTACTAAACATGGAGGGAGCTGCAGGGGATTTATGTGTAATCAATAGAATGAATTATGCAAGCGTATCAATGAGACTATACCAATGTTATCACCTTGATAACTACTTGTGTCACTTGCGCAAAAAGACGATAACGACAACTCGAATTTGATACCTCCTCTAAGATCCCATTTCAATCTACTTCCCACCCCCATCATCCAACTTCCTATTCTCCCTCGCACTCCCCTCCAACCCCGCCATAATCGCTTTGTCCTCTCCAGGAATTCTCATCTCAAACACCTCCCTCACAACCGCATACTCATAATACCCACACCGCGCAATCGGCTGCGTCTTCCTAATATCAATCTTGCCATCCGTCAACACGCGCTCATCAATATGCACGCCAACTACCTTCCCGATAACTACATCTACAGACCCCATTGGCGGATTCCCTGGAAGACGCAACGTGCTGTGGTACTCGCACTCGAACTTGATGGGACTCTGCTTTACCATTGGGATAAACATCTGTTCGTGCTTCCCAGCCTCCACTCCATCTCGAGGGGCGATGCGCACAGAACTAAGCTTGCTCCCTTCCTTTTCCAGCCCCGCTTTCTCGAATTCATCAACGCCATAGGCTTCTTGGACCGCGCTGATGTTGACTTGCTCGCGCAGCTCGTACGTAGCTAGATTCCAGATGAATTTCCCTGTAGCTTCGACGTTGCGGACTGTGTCTTTTTGCGTGGAGCTGGGGGTTTGGTTTGCGCTGAACATAACATAGGGGGGGTCGAAGGTGAGGTTGTTGAATTGGGAGTAAGGGGCGAGGTTTGCGGTGCCGGTGGGGGAGAGGGTGGAGATCCAGCCGATGGGGCGGGGGACGACGCAGGCCTGGGGTATGTGTGAGTTGGTTACATTTGGGATTTAGTATTTATAGGAAATATTTCGGGTTTGAGAATAGCGTGTGTTGGGGCATTGAGTGTTCAGAGATGTTGGGTTGGAATGGCAGGATGGCCTCTCATCGTGCTGGGAATGGCGGAGTAGATATTTACCAAGCACCATATATCTACTGAATATAGCGTTGTATACAATTGAAAAGTTAAACACCGCTCACCTTAAATGGATCGTATGGTAGCCCATGATCTTCCTTGCCCGGTCGGTAAAACATGTTTGTCTCCCAGTGCTACCTTCTCCTAAAACAAGTATACTTTCACTTTTATATAAGATCCTATCAACAAATATATCTCAGAAAGGTACAAGGTATGTACCATTGAACCCCCCTTGTCAGGGCAAATGCCCAGTATATAAACCTCATACCACTCTGTCAGAAGCTTGTTGTTTTGGTGGGGCAGTATCGTCCGCTACGGGTGCTACTGCGGGGTTCCCTACGTACATATCGGGATCCTGCAATCGGCACATCTAGGCGGGAAAGACTTGTATGCTGAATGCGTAGTTGCGTCATTACATCATAATTCTCACAGATACACCATGGCTTCTTACAGTATAGTTTCCCTAGTCATAGTTTCCACAATGAGATCGTAATACACTAGACATAGAGCAAGGACAGATCAATTCCCCTCTACCATCAAAATAAAAACCCGAGATCCATACCACCATGTCCACCATAGAAACAATCCTAATAACGGGCGCCTCCTCCGGCCTCGGCCTCGGCTTCCTAACGCACTACCTCTCCCTTTCCACCCTAACCCCCAAAATCATAGCCATAGACACCCACCCCTTACCCGAAAAAATCACTACACCGCACCCACCAACCCTTTCCTTCCACCGCCTCGACATCACCAGTGCCGACGCAGTTCAAACCCTCGCATCAACCTACACCCACACGCCTCTCACTCTAATCCTTCACTGCGCCGGCATCCGCGGCCTAGTCCCATCAATAGTATCCCGCGAGAAGGACGCAAACCGCAATGTCGCTAGTACCGAGACACTGGAAGTCATGGACAAAGAAACAATGATGCGAGCGTTCGAAGTAAACACCTGGGGAACGTTTAACCTTATCAAGTCTTTTTTGCCATCTCTCCTCTCCTCTTCGTCATCGTCACTGGAAGATACCAGTCGCACACGCCCCAAATTCGTCATCCTCTCCTCTCGCATGTCTTCCATCTCAGCCAATTCCGCAGGAGGCGCATACGCGTATCGAGCGAGCAAAGCAGCGCTGAATGCAGTGGTGAGGAGTTTTGTGATTGATGTGCCGCAGGCGCAGTTTTTGCTATTGCACCCGGGGAGGGTGGAGACGGGGCTGGTGGCGTGGAAGGAGGAAGGGGCGGTGAGCGTGGAGGAGAGTGTGGATGATTGCTTGAGGGTTTTGGAGAGGATGGGGGAGGAGGGGTGGGCGAGCGGGAGGTTGGTGGATCGGTTTGGCGAGGAGATTGGGTGGTGAGGAAGAGGGGAAAAGGTGAACTTGGTCAAGAGGGTGGGGACGATTGATTCTTGTGGATATCGTTAACTGGCTGTGGCATTCACAGCAGCAAGATGCAGCTGTGAAGTTGCATCATGTTCTTTAACTCTTGCAGTGTGCATCGAGAGTCTGTTGGTCTTCATTGCTGTCATTATGTAATGTATAGCAGCAAGTGCCATTTACAGCGCTTGTGATGCATTTAGGCATCACTTTCCCTCTGTTCAGCCTTGGGATCATGAATGCGCACTCTTGATCGGCGCTCTGACATAAAAACGATGCATGTAACTCCAGTGGAAGAGCATCATTGCTCATCACCCACCGTCTTTTCTGTGTCTTGCTCACAAACATCTGTTGGTATGCCCTCCTCGCCTTCTCTTCGCCCCGCGCTGGATATCTTGTGCGCAATACCCAGGCCTCTCTCAATACCTTGAATGAGCCCTTCCAGCGCTCCAAAAATGTCGCCTTGTTGTTCTCGTGCCTCAGTCAGCTTGTCTATCCCGGCCTCGGCCTTTCCTTTGTTCTTTCGCGGTATCTCAACACCTTCTATGCGTAGCATGTAACCTGGATCCGGAGAGTCCTCGTCAAAAGAGGGAGCTGTCCGCACGCCCGTGTCTATTATCTGCCACTCTGGTGATAGCGACTGTGCATCCACGATTGTACGTCCATCTTCGCCTACATCGACAATAAGGTAGTGTTCCTTAACACCTGGTATGGGTGGCGGGAATGGCGATTCAACTGGTGGGTCTTGTTCATATTCCTCTCCTTCAACCTCTTCTTCATCACCTTCCTGACCCCGACGTCGATCTCCGGCAGCCGGTGCATCGTGTGGAAGGTATCTTGTATCGTCTAGCCCTAAGCCTCGCATCGAGGCTGCAGTGACAATGGTGGGATCGTCGTCGGCGAAGACATAGTGGACATAAGGGTGGTAGTGCTCGCCCGATGTGGTGTCTTCAATCAAGGCGAAGAAGGGTCTGAAGTTTGGTGGTGGTAGCAGGGGTTGCTCAGCATTAGGCTCGGGGTATGGTATGTCGTCCTCCTCCGGCGCGTCGCCAAACTCTTGTTGCTCGTTGGGATCATCACCAGGAGGATAGTCTGGGCGATCTAGGGGCTTTGTACGTGGCGAGGGGGTTGCGCGAGGTATTGGCGGTGGTTCTGGAGTGTCGAGGTTGGCAGACATGCTGGGGAGATTGATGGCGGAGTGGAGTTAGTGGAGCTCGGGAGAGCGAGCTCTAGCTCAGGTGCATGATCGATAAGACAGGTGGTCCATGCACACTACCCTTCCGACAGCCGGGAAGTGGGACAAAACGCAGGTACCGGAGACACCACGACTTGATCAGATGGTGTATGTGAAGCAATCCTTGGGGTATCAAACGTGCCAAAGACAATTATATCGATGGTCCAAACAATCCAAACACCTACTTCGCCAGACCCCACGCATCATTCAATGTTTCTATAAGAAGTCTTGTCGTATGTTCTTTAAGACATTGATGGAAGACTTGCCACTCGTACAGTATTCGTCGGTAACAAGCCAGGTTGAAGATTACAGGGGACTTGTATCCGGTTCCTGTATCTGCCTGGGCGTCTCGGTGGCGGTTGGCGCGTCTTGACTCTTCGACTTGAATGCTGTGTCGGGATATCAGTAAAGTCTTTGGATATATTAGACAATGAAGATTGGACTTACGCTGGCGACACATGGGACACTTCTCCAAAGAGCTCTCCTGCTTTAACCAGTCAAAGATACAGTGCTTGCTTGCTGTTAGCTGTACGTGTGTCGGTTCGACGAGTGGTAGTTTACCATGTGAAAAGAGTGATTGCATTCTCCAAGTACTAAGTCTGATTAGCTGCTATCAGAAAAACGTGGATATTCCTGGAATTACGTAGCGGGCACTCATCGCCTGGGAACTTGCACTTGGAACAGGTGCTGTCGTATGGGTTGCGACAAATTCCACAGACATCGTCATCGGGCATGTCCCAGTGCCAGGCTGCGACAGCATTCCATTCGCGGATAGTTACTTTCATGGTTTCGGTCTTTGTCCAAGTTATGGTACTAAAAGACGTTGTGTATGTGAGTATGAAGCAAAGACTATCAGCAGCATCAAAACACGCCCAGGCGGCAGATTCGCAGGCGGTGAGAGGCGGAGATTGGGCGTTAATTCCGGCAGGGGTCTGAGCTCAAGCTTCGCTGCAGCCACAGCAAAGCTACGAGATGCACACGATTGCAACACCAGAATCTGACCTGCACGGTGCTATCAGTGCTTGAGTAATAAGCCGTCAGAACCAGATTTGTTCGAGGTCGTTTCTCATAATGCATTAACAATCAAGTTATAGTCTCGTCCTGATCCGCTGCGGTTCAGTTCCCCGCACTTATCAGTATTAGTAGCTTCCACCTGCCCCTCCAGCCTGGTCACGAAATATCGAGCGACAAAGGCATCACCTCGCCGTCTTCTCCATTTATCCCACCGGTGCTATCTCCATCCTCGCCGACTCTAACAACTAACCACTGCAGCTTGCAAAATGTTTGTCTCACGTTTCCACTGTTCTTTGCGCTCCCCCTCTTCCTTTGTCTCGTCTCTCCGGTATCCAGTCTCTATAGCCAACAGGCGCGCAATATCATCGCACGAGAAACTCCGGTCTTACCTTGTTACCCCAGCAGAGCTCAATTCGGCCCTAAAACTCAATGCCAGCAAGCTCTCGCACGAACCTCGTATCATTCCTCTCTGTGCATCCTGGTTCCTTCCCAATGACGACCGCAATGGCTACGAAACTTTTCTTGCGCAGCACATCCCCCATTCTCAATTCTTCGATCTAGACGCTGTCAAGGATGTGCATTCGCCGTACCCCCACATGCTCCCTTCCCCTTCCGAGTTCGCTGACGCAGTGAGACATCTGGGTATCCGCCGCGAAGACAGTGTAGTCGTGTACGATAGCAAGGAGCTAGGCATCTTTTCTGCGCCCCGCGTCGGCTGGACATTTCAAGTTTTTGGTCATCCAAGAGTCCATGTACTCAACAACTTCCGCAAGTGGGTCGATGAGGGATACCCCACGGAAAGCGGCGAGCCCAAGACACCTGAGATAACCGAGTACGAGGTACCGCAGTTGGATGAGAAGAAAGTCATTGCTTTCGAAGAAGTCAAAGAAATCACAAAAGAGCTGGGCAGAGAGGGAGCTGATGAGGTGCAAATCTTGGATGCGAGGAGTCTGGGAAGATGGAAGGGTGTTGACCCAGAGCCCAGAGAAGGTACCTGAAAACCCGTTAGTACAAATAGCAGCATACTAACAACCATAGGCTTATCCTCCGGCCACATTCCTTTCTCCATCTCCGTACCAGTCGCTGACCTCCTCGACCCCAATGACAAGACTCTCCTCCCCGCTTCCAAGCTCAAGGCCGTCTTCGAATCCAAGGGCATAAAGCCCGATGTACCTATCATCAGCAGCTGCGGCACAGGCGTTACCGCAGCCATTATCGATGCTGCCCTGACCGAAGCTGGATACCCGACACAACAGAGGCGTCTATATGATGGCAGCTGGACGGAATGGGCTCAGCGCGTCAAGCCTACTGAGGGTCTCATCCACAAGACACTGTAGATAAGCAGGGGACACACGAGAGGTTGATATGACATGCAACCCGTTCTCTTAAAAGAATTTGATACCCTTCTCAAATTTTGTGTATAAATAATTTAGTTAAGAAATGTATATGCGCCAAGAGTTCAAAAGTACTCGTGAACACGCTCTTCTAAACAGACGATCGGTACGTGTTTCCTTACATGACCCAAATCATACATCTTTACATTCCGAGATACAAAATAGAATACGTATGAAACCCTAGACGGGTTCCGCCAGTTGACGTTGCTGTGACCACATCTTTCATACGCCAGTACACAAAGAAAAACAAAGGAAAGACTGTGACTAGTAATAGTTCCTACATAACCAATAACCGATACGTCGAGAACAACAAGGGGAATAAACGAAAGTATCCAACTTTTCAAGCCTGCTCTACCTAAACTCCCTTACCCTAACGATTGCTCTGAACACTATACCTGCGAAGACGTCACCTGAGATGATGGCAAACCCAGCTTGGCACCAGAACGACAATCAAGATATGTCTCAAGAAATTCCTTGACCTGTTTATTCGTGCCACCGAGGTCTTTCTGTGGAAGACCCACGACCGACAGACCCTTGAGTGAACGGGCTCTACTAACTGTTTTATCATGTTAGCTATTTTATTTAACCACCCATGTTTACTAGTTTGTTTGTGTGTGTGTTTTAGGAAAGGGGAAAGAAAAGTGAAGAAAGGACAAGTGCCGACTCACGAGCAACATAGATCTGACTCGGTTCAAACGCATCACGGAGATTAACGATAACGCGGTCAAGTGTCATGCCCTGTTCCCAAGCACGTATCAGTACAAACGACATGATTGAATCGGATTGGACATGAGAGAAAAGGACGCACCTGCGACTTATGCACCGTAATTGCGTAACCCGCTATGAGCGGTATTTGCGTTCGAGAAAGCAAGCTAGGATCGGGTTCCAGCTGCTCATTCACGCCCACCACCTCTTCATTACCCAACTCGCTATACGCACAGTCTGCGTAAATCGTTTCCTTAAGACCATTGTCGAATAGCACGATAGGCCAGGGCTGGCGTCTATTGTCGTTAGCGAAGGTTTTAATTTGGTGTTGAGCATAGTTGGCATGAGGCCCTCGCAGAGCACCTTCCTTGTCGTCTTGGTCCTTTGCTTTGCGGGGGAGTCGGTTGAGGTCGAAAGATTCGAATGCGATGATTGTACCTTGGGCGCCGTTTACAAGACCGCTTTGGGGTCTGAGGTTGGATTGAAGGACTACGCGCATGCCTTCTTTTAGTTCGGTATATGCGTCATAGCGGTGGTCTTTCTGTGAAATGGTTAGTGGTGTTCTAGATGGGAAGGAGAGTGGCCTACTAATTGATATAGGGTTCTGGGGTCACCGAGTCCTGGTTTAGTATATTTTTCTAGTGATTGATCATCTCGGTGGTGTTGCTTCCAGTTGAAATCATCCAAGCAGTGATACTTGCGGGGTCCGGATGGGAGTCGAGCAACATTCTCGCTGTTGATACGATCCACATCTCGGCGCAGTGAGAAAATCTTGATTGCGTTCTCGGTCTCCGATGTGTGGTTGAGAAGTATCTTGGCGTGGTTAGGGACAATGATGCCATCTGTTTTACGTTAGCATCTGTACAAAAAGGCAATACCATGTGCAAAGAAAAGCTGCTCTAAAATACAAATGATGGCGTAAAAGCGGGACAATATTACCTCTGCGGATCTTTTGGAGAATAGAAATGAACTTTCTATCGTTTTGTCTATGGATCTCGGACAAGTTTACATGCTCAAAGTTGCAATCCTAGTATTGTTAATGCGACTCGATAACGCTTACAGTGGGGGACATCATCATACCTGCCATGCTTGACTTCGAAACGCCCACTTGTCTGCATCTGGCCACATGTCGTAACGGCAATCTTTGTTCTCGCAATGGTGCATCAGTTCGCCCTGAGTCTCTGTATGTATAAGCTCCCAGCCACATCCTATACAATGAATAAACGGTTTCACCGGGGCAAGTTGGCAGAACTACACACACTGTGTAAGCAGTTTCTCAACGGATAAGAACAAGCAACCTACATCTCCAGTAACAACCACCTGCTTACCGCCAAATGGACGGCCGCCTCCACTCTCACCCGTAGCTGCTTTTATGATTTCATTCAATCGCTCGAATAGCAGATTCTCAACCATACTGATTTCGTCGACAACAAGAACGTCAGTCGAGTCGAACCGTTTCCAGACATCTCTTCCGTGAGCGGCTTGCTTCAACTTATCTAGAGGCTTTTTCATACTGTCAGGTGTCCACCCAGCAAAAGCCCATGTAGTCTGTCCGCCAACATTCAAGGCTGCGAGATTCGTTGGTGCTACAATCTGAACTCTCAGTCCTTTTGCCTTGAGCTCTCTAACAAAGGCCTTGAGGATAGTAGACTTGCCGCACCCTGCTGACCCAGTGTAAAATACATTTTTCCTATCTTTAACAACAAGATCGACCACTCGTCTCTGTTCGGCGCTTAACTGGGGTTCGGGTTCGGGTACATAAGCATCCACTGGAGCGAATTGTGGCTGCGAACTTTGCACAAGTTGTTGTTCTGCTGAAACACTTGGCTGGAAGGACACCGGCACGCCGTCCTTCCCAGGTCGAAGATCGGCTACGAAGGGTTCTGTGGGCATCGCATAGCTGCACCTGGGTGTATCAACAACGGGAGCCGATGGCGGCAGCATTTGCTGCGTCATCGGCTCATTCTGTGCTGATACAGGCCTGCACGACGTATTAGACATTTCCCTCAGGTGCTGCATCGCTCTTCCGATATAGTCATTGTTTGCTACACGGCTATTATTCGCAAGTATGAACTCCCATGCGTCTAATTGCGTTGTAAACTTCTTTTGGCGCCCACCAGAATAGCCCGAAACTTGCTCGTTAGCTGAAGATGAAGAGGCATAGACGCCGGGAACTCTCCCATGAGCTACTGCATAATAGTAGGGCCAATTAACAGTAGGATCTGGTTTACAAGTGTGGTGTTTAGTGTTTCCACGATCCTGGCGGGGTCCAGATGGAGGCAGGCAAGGCTCTTTCATCTTGAGTAAGGTCTTCGCTTCTGGCTCTGGGCTGGATTCAATCTCAAATGGGTTGTGTTGAGTTCCGTGTTGCTTTTTGTTGTGGGATGAGGCATTACCCGGTTTTTGCTTTAGTGGCATGAAGTCATCTGATGCTTTCTTTTGTTTGGCTCGCTTCCCATGTTCAGGTTGGTTCTTCTCCTCGAACTTCCTCTTTCTCGAACCTTGCTGTGATGGAGTTTTTGGGGGTCTATCTTTAGTATCTGCGTTCAATGGGGGTCGCTGGTGATTGTTATATGCGAAATGTTCATCCCCAGAAGGATTGGAGCGCAAAGGGGTGCTCTGCGTGTAGGATGAAGATTGCATGCACCCTGGGTACTGTGCATACTGCATATATCGCGGATCCTGTGCATACTGCATATACCATGAATCCTGCGAATACTGCTGGTAGCTTGGATCTTGCGAATACTGTAGCGAACAGTAGGCCGAGTCGCCATCAAGAGGGTTAATTGTATTTCCGCTTCTGACATTACCGTCCATCTCGTCTGACTCTGGATGTAGCACAGTTGGAAAGAAGAACACAGGAAAGGTTACAAATAGAAGAGCTGAATGGTTTTTTGAATAACTGCAAGCGCTGTAGTTGTTCAAACAGAGAAAATGACGTGTTGTAATGAATGGCGGTTGAAGTAGTAGTACCAAGCCAAGTTGGGGGTCAATGCCACTCTTAGCGACAAGCGAAGGATTGATATATCCCCACAATAGGAAAGAATTGCTGTAGATGCAAAGAGTATCGCCAATTGATTGTGGCTGCGTGGCAGCAGTGTGGTGGTTAAGGGGACAGGCGGACGGACCCATCGGTTTGTCGCGTCCCCGTCACGCTAGTACATAAGTACTTACTTAAGACGGGCTCACGCGAATCCCTGGCACGATGTGCACATGCAACAAAAAAAGACAGTGCAGGAACCAGGTTTGGTTCTAATAGCTAGTTAATGCTCTTTGGTAACACAGATTGAGTCAAAAAGTTCTTCTGCAATACGTCCAGAATCCATATATAAATTCTTGCATTAATTTTCTATGTCACGGTCTGATCATTCCTCAGCGCTAACCGCAGTTTCCAATGCACCCAGACTGCTGTCTTTTCCCTTACTTTGCTTTTTGCTTCCATTCCCGGTCGTTTCTCGGCCATGTCGTACGCATCCTGGCTTCTCTGTGATAGGTTGCAAAAAGCCATCGATGTGCACGCAGCCAGTCACCTTCTCCTCCTTCTCGGCGTCATTGATATTAGGGTCGTATCCATGGACGCGATAACAGTGCTCAGCAACGCGATTCGGCGACTCAAAGTCATACTCGTGAGCATAGCAATCTGTGTGTGGACAGCGTAAAGTGTTAAACTGGGAGAGCGGATGCTCGGAAGCTGGCGGCTTTGTGCTTGATAAGAGGCTTGTAGCTGCTGGGGTAGATGGGGTATACCATATCGGCTTAGGAGCAGATTGCGACGCCAGAGACTCATTGTATGGTATAAATGACATACTTTCGCCGAAAAGAGCAGCACAACGTTGGGCTGTGCGTGCCACAGCCGCTTTGTCCCATCCTCTGACGGCTGCAAGTCCAAGCACCTCACTCCAGTCCATTAAGCCCCTTCCCATCTCTTCATCTTCGATTATAGAACCAGCATCACTCACACTACCTGAGGGTCTGCGGCGTTTCCGTTCTCCAAGGGCTTGACTGGACGCTTCCCAGTCAGAAGCACCACCGGAGGTGGCATCACTATCCATTGCATTCGTATCTTTGTCTTGCGTACTCTGCTCTACAACACGATTGGCTCGTACCAAGCTTGCACGCGAAGACGATCGTGTTCTGGGTCTTCTGCGGCTCGAAGTTGTCCTTGACCGAGCTCTGGATAGCGGCCTCGACTCACGCCCAGTTGACTCTGCTCCGGACGTGAATTCGCTCATTGAAGAGCCGGCTGAATTTTCATCGCGAATCTGATTGAGCTGCATTCGACAGATAGCTAGTGCAAGGTCGTCTAGCTTATTCATAATAGACTGGATCGACGGCTGCAAGAGCTGTTGCGCTTTCGCATCATCGGCCAAAATAACTGGCTTTGTGAATGTGTCGAGCTGTTTCTTCCTACCACGCTTCTTCCCATATGGGCGGGTCTGGTCCTTGTTGGACTCATGTCCTGCAGCCTCTCTATACGCACCACTATAAGCTTTCGTTTCGGCGTCAGCACGGGATGCAGAGGATGGTCGTAAGAGTCGAGCAAATTCTGATGGAGACCGGCTTCGTGAAGTCTCGGGATCATCATCTGCATCAGATGCAGATGATGATACATCCCGCATATTCCATTGGTCTTTCGCTATCCGGAGGAAAACGGCCAAGAGCTCTTCCCTGAGTTCTTCTCCTGCATCTTGTTTGCTTGTACTTTTGATAGCCCACTCATCTGCTTGCCCACGTACTAACCCACTGTCTAACTTCTCGCTGTAATCGGGAAGCTCTGTCGGAGGCACTGGCCATGCTGTCCAGTCTGGAGGTGGTACTATGGCGTCCTGTACCAGGCCCGCTGCGTCCGTATACTTCAAGTCTTTCTCAGGCATCAGCCACTCGTCCTTGCTCTGCCACATTTTGAGTCGCGCCAAGTCTTGCGCAGGTCGTCGCAACCGCCGCTTGAGCATATGTGCATTATACAGATGCGCGGAGAGGTTGGTGTTTTCCATTTGTTCGAGTGACTCTGTAATCCGGCGGTCGGCCTCTGTATGCTCCTCCCATGTTTGCGGCGTTCCATGAAAGCGGTTTGGCCGCGCGGGTTCCTCATCTTCATCTTCCTCGTCAGACTCGTCATACTCATCCTCGCTTGAATCTGCATCGGTGACTATATCATCGTCTACGTCTATTTGCACTGGAGTATTGACCGGTTGTGCCTTTTGCGCATCGTGCACATCTGCAACCCCAATAACCGGCGGTGATGAGGGAGCGAACGAAGATTCTGACGTGTCGGACTCATAAGAAGAGAGCCATGGCTTGGCACTATCACCACCGAACAAGGACATGTCAGTTTCAGCAAATATCAAAGCCAGCTGCTGGCTATGTTAGTTTCAACATCTGTGTTCGGCGGTTCATTGCTTGTGGGTCGTCCAAGTCGCAGTCAGTCTTTTTTGGCAGGGTTCTCGAAATTCACACGAAGTCACGTGGGCGCCCCGCATGACCCCGACAACCTATAGTACACGAACACATCATCCTGAGATCGCATCATACTTCTTTGCTCTCTCACACGCATGGCTCAAATTGTAACACCTCTCAATGCTAGTACTATGAGACTTACTAATTGAATCATAGACCTGCAAACCTTCTCTACTCATGCATCTTCATATGGAGGCCATAAATAGCCTCCACAATAATACGCGTGTTGCATTGAACAATCAGTTAAGCTTTACCAACTGCGGAATGCGTATTTGATCTGGTGTTGTGCTGAATGGTTCGACCATGTCTAATGAACCATGGTTTTTTATGTGCATAGGAGCCGAGGGCTATACATAACCATAAATATGCTGATTTGCACATGTCTTGTAACTTCAACACAACACAAAATGCCGAAGCGTTCCATCTGCCACATCTCAAGCTCTTCCTCATGGTTAAAAGACCCCGAAAAGCGTGTTTGGATCGACTATGATCGCCCTCTTTCAACACCCGTCCGCTTCCTTATACTTTCCGACACGCATGGCGCCGACTTACCGTCGAATCTTCCTCCATGCGACGTGCTCCTCCATTGTGGTGATCTGACCGAAGACGGGACTCCAGAAAGCATCTTCGCCGCTCTTCGGAACGTGGGCAATATGGAAGCCAAATTGAGACTCGTCATCGCTGGCAACCATGATATCTCCCTGGAAAAAGGGTACTGGGTATCGCAAGGTGGAGCAGAATCCGATTCAGAAAGAGCGCAGGCGCTGTTTAACCCGGAATGCGGAACTAACCAACATGGGATCACTTTTCTCTCTGAGGGTACTCATACTTTCAATCTACCATGCGGCGCTGTCTTCAAAATCTATGCCTCACCATACACTCCTGGATGCGGTACATCGGTATTTTAATACCCGACTGGCAGTGACCGTTTTGATCCCCCAGACACTACTCCACTGTAGGCGAAAAACGCTGGCACTGAGACCTCGATTATCCCAGAGAATGTCGACATTGTCATGACCCATGGGCCACCAAAGTATATTCTAGATGAGACCGCCGGTGACAGTGCAGGATGTGAGCATCTACGAAACGCCATAGTGCGAGTAAAACCCAGGTTACATTGTTTCGGGCACATTCATATTCCGCGGGAAGGCTGGATCTATCAAGCGCACAGGTTGGCATACAAAGACCCGGCGAAACTGGAAAGTGGTGGCTCCGAGCTAATAGCCAACATCTTCAAAGATTGGGTAGGGTCAAACCAAGCTCGCAAGAGAGGATTCAAATGCTTATCTCCAGGCGCTGCACAAGATTTCCGTGCGAGCAAGCAGCAAACGCTGTGCGTCAATGGTGCAATGGAGAGTAAGAAGGGGAAGCTTGAACATCTATCGTGGTTCGTTACCTTAGACTTGCCGGTAAGAAGGTAGACAGAACGTCTATTCGGAAAACTCTATCAACGAGGAATTTGCAGCTCACCAGTTTGACTTAGAATGTATGTGGCTTCTCTTATAGTAGCGTTCTGCTAAGACCGTAGAACGTGGGGCGGTTATACGTCATTAGTCCTGTATGCTCTTATACTTTCGTGAGGTCTCGATATAGGTTCTTTCCTTCTCTCTTTTTTTACATTTCTGCGCTATCGCTCTCTCAAGGTCCGTAATACCCACCTACAGATGAGTTGCTTCCTGGCTTAGGCTGCCCCTAACGTACTGTACTGTCTTGGCTGGAGACCACTGTACAGCATACAAAATAACACCAACCCGCCCCTCCAGCATTAACTCATACATGCCCATCTCTTCCCCCCTAGTCCTCTATACCCAACCCCCTCACGCACCCAAATATCAACCCGCCAATCCCTTACTCTTATCCCCTCCCACCTCTTCACCCCCCGCTGTACCTAACAAGGAAATGCTGCAAATTATGCAGTTCTATCCTAGGCAAAAGGGTTGGATCATTGCAGCTTTAGCTGCATATTACGATTAGTCTTGGAGGAGTTTTTGTGCACGAAGAAACGCGATCCGATCGGCTCTAAGACCGGCCAAAAAATGAGCCAAAAACCAGCCCAAAAGCCCAGTCGGAGAACAGACCAAAAAGATATTAAAATACGAGCTCAAAAGCCAGCTATCACCCTCGCTGTTCTTCTACGAAACTTAAGTTACCGCATGGCATTCCTTGTCTCCCACTTTTTCGCAGTTCTTGCCGCCCATCTATACCAGCCAGCCAGGCTGTCAAGTACCTATTTTGTATATATAAGTGGCTTGGCTGGTTTATCTAGTTTGGCTGGTCTGGTTGACTGGTCTTCGAACTCGTTTTTGGCTGATTTTTTGGCTCGTTTGTTAGCTGAGAATCTCTTGTGCTGTACGTTAAGAAGTGCAAGTCTTTTGCAAATAACACGTGAACGAGGAAACAAATGCTCTGCTAGAGCTTATCTTAAACCGGCACCTTAATCGCCACCGCACTCCTCGATATCCTCGTTCCTGCGCCGTCTTACGCCCCGTCAACGGAAACTTCAATCCTACCCGCTCTTCCCGCATCCTCTCTACATTACCTCCCGCACAATACCCTCACTCTGAGTCGCACTGCCTCTAGCAGAGCAATCACGTCGCTCCATTAATTTTCACTGCATCTAGCTCAATACGTCAGACATGCTGCGGGCGACTGGGTTTTGAAATGAGGAAATGAGGCAGTTTAGGAGGGCTGATGGGGCCGCCCGAGTGGGTGAAGGGTGGGAGGTGTTTGTGTTTTGATGAATGGGGGTATTTTCAAGTAATATCAGAATCGTACAAGATTTTGTCTGGTCCTAGCCTGTTTTCTGTTGAGCCTTCCTATTGGGCTTCGCTATACTTGACCACTTGGTTTCATCATCTTCCCATCCTTGTCTTTTGGGTTTGTATTATTTCGTCGTTCTTCTGGTTCTCCCTTTTTGCAATTAACCACCCTCCCCACACGCAAGGGAGCTAGATCTTAGTGCTGGTATTCTAACTCTTTTTATCAAGCTTCCTTCGGCCTGTTACTGGAATCAGTGCTCCAAATGTCCCTCGCACCGGCCACAAATCTCTTAAGCTCATGCAGTATCGCAGGTCAACTCGTGTGTGCTGAAGCAGCACTGTCGAGTTTTATGGACCCTTCCAGAAGATCTTAAGCCATGGCATGTTGGTGGGACTGTGTCAGAAGCAAATATAGCACTGATGATCAGGAAATGCTTTGGTGTATCCAAACAGGATGGCAAGAAAAGCGAAGAAGTGAAAAAGAGATCGTCAATACAGACGAAGATTCAGATATCGGGATTCCGATAGATAGATTCATCTCAAACAACATTAACATCCTTTCTCTCTAAACCCCCATTATTACCATTACCAGCATCCTCTCTCATCCCACCCAATCAGTCTAAACATGCCTCCTCCTCGCCCACTCACTCAAATACTCCCTCCCCTCCACCCTCCATGTATCACTCTCCACATAACTCCCATTCTGACCCCTCCCCTTCGCTTGGATCACCAAATCAAGCCCATCGTCGCTGTCACCATAGTGTGGCCAATTCGGCAATCCCTCGCCATTCGGATCGCCATTCGCAACGAACCTGATCCACTGCGCGCTCACCTCGTCGCTAAGCGTCTTGTACTCTGGCCACGGACCATAGAAGCGCGGGTTGTTGAAAACGAACGCAACTTCAGTAAAGTGCGCAACGCCCATGAATGCTTCTGCGTTGCCGCCCTCGTCAGAGACGGGGCTGTTCTGCCACGGGAGAGTGTTGAAGCGATAAATGTACGTTGGAGCGTACTTGGCGTATTCACGGGCGTCTGCTAGGCGAGGCGCATGATAAAAGACATCGCCTAGTATCGCGGCTATGCGCTTATACTGGAGGCCTTTCTCTGCGAAGATCTCCATACCAGTATTGAGGGGAATGCCCTTTGTTGGATCGTTAGGGTAGAGTTCTAGGAGGTGCTTGACGACTTTTTCCGGGAAGTCGAAGCCGGTGCTGTTAAGGAGGTAGGCGTAGATGTCCTCGTCTGTGTTGATGACGCCATCGAAGGGCGCGTTGTCGGTTCCCTCGTCCGAGTTGGTACCGTACAAGTGAGGGATATGGGCGAAGCGACCGGAGGCGAGTAGCTCGGTTGGGTAGGCGGGCATAACGTCACCATCTACAACTGGGTACCAACTTGGGCTGTAATTTGGAGCTGCAAGCACAGGAAAGATTGCGTCATATGACAGTGTACGCAGACAAGCCAGTGTGTCGGCTTCTTCCGAGCAGTTTGCCTTGTTGATAATGTCATTGTAAATAGGTTGATACCAATCCGTACCGTTGTACCAGGCTGTTGCTGCAGAGCCGGATTCCTGGATACTACGGTGAAAGAGACCATCTGTTTGACCACCATATGACATAACCAATTGTCCAACGGCAAAACTTCCAGCCGACTCGCCCCAGATAGTGACAGCATCTTTATCGCCTCCAAAAGCCTCAATGTTCTCTGAGATCCATGCAAGAGCCTTTCGCATGTCTCGCAACGCAAGGTTTGTTTGACCAGCGCCCTGGATCTCTTGTGAGTAAAGCAGGCCCCACGCACCCTTGCGGTAGTTGATGCTAGCTCCAATAATTGGCTGGCCGATGTCTACACTCCTTTGAACAATGTATGACAGATTGTAGTTTGGCAAATCCGTGGAGCCGATTTGGTAACTTCCACCGTGAATCCACACCGCAATTGGCAGCTTAGACTGCTCCTGTGTGAAGAGACCTGCTGGGCGCACAATGTTGATGCTCAGGCAGTTTTCGCTCATGATGAGACTACTGTTCATTGAATCCGGGCATGTATCGCCATAGGCCGTAGCGGGGTGTGTGCCATTCCATGTAGCGTTCAGAGACTGTGGCACGCGGAAACGATTTTGACCTCCAGTATCCTGTGCGTACGGAATACCTAGAAAGACATCCTGGTTGAAGGAGGGAAGGTGCAAGCCTTCATATGTACCGTTCAGTACTGTGACAGTAGGACCAACGGCCCACGCGGTCGTTGCCAAAAGAGAAGTTGCAAGCGCCCGCATTGTCCCAGCTCTTGTGATGAACACCAAGACGTTGACTCACAAACACCAGTGATGTTTGTTAGAAAGAGTACGATGCAAAGTAGGTACAAAGTGGGTGCAAAGAGGAATCGTTCTTCAGCTTCTCCAAAGCAGCAAGCTGAACGCTAGCGGGAATAAGGCGCCCAAAGTCGTGAGTAAGGACCCTTGTATGACGTTCGTCCCATTTTGTGATAAAAGTCCATTTCGAGAGCGATCAGCAGAGCTGTACCTCGGTAGTCAGGGATGATACGGAAGGCAGATAGAAACCTTGCATGGCGGCATTCCATCCAAATATCGGCTCGACGGTGTCGGGCACGTGCGACAGTGACTTGATTGGTACCAGTATTCCAACCGACAGACCCCACCTAACATGTGATGCTTGCTATACTTCCGTACTCCAATACTTGCACGGCCCTACCATGGGATGCCTGAAAGGAATTTGCATGTCAACCCGAAGACGTCTCCAGTCCTGCCTCAGAAAATCTTCGACAGAAAGCTTTGTCTCTTCTTTGCTGGTTGATCTACCAGTTGTGCCGTCGCAAGCTGTGGTAGAGGATGTAGCATATCCCCTGGCAGCTCGACTGGCAGTGCCGCGATGCCATAATGCGGTTCCTTGCTTGGGAGTGAGATGTTCTGGACCGTGCTTTGCTGGATATGCTGATTGTGCTGGTATAACGAAGCATTGTGAATTGAAGGGGATTGGTGAATAGTCATCGGCGATGGAGGAGTGCTAAAGACGCCATTCAACTGTGACTGAAGATGGGTCTGCGGCTGAGGTCTTTGCGTATGTCCATATGCATATTGTGGTATCTGTGGTTGAGGCGAAGGTGCCGTGTTGGGGTGGTGGTGGTGCACGCGCTGAGCACTCCAGAGGTTGAAAACCTCGTTCATGAGAATTGACCATTCTGGAGGTCCTCCCAGGAAGTTGTACTTGACAGATCCGTCCTGGAATGCAATGAAATAGTGATCTTGGTGATACGGCGAGATGGCGACGTACTAGTTTGTGTTAGGGCTGCCTCCATACAATCAGTAGAGTATGACTAAATACTTACGGTTATAGTTCCCGGTGCAGCATCTATTATAATCTTGTTCAGTGTGCCGTAATAGCCATGGAAATCCCATGCTATGCGCCGATCAGGATACATGACGAACCATGCATTCTTCACTCCAAGACTGACACAGATGGGCGTATCATGTGATTTTCGGAGTTTATCCTCGAGATCTGAAGGTATGCCAGCCCATATCGACCCTCTTCCCTGAGCGCAAGCAAAGTAGCTGAAGTTCTGGCCAAAGGTGATGAAGCACGAGCGGGCGGCATTCGGGAATGATTTCGACCATCGCGCAAGGTCAGGATAGTTGACGTCAAAGTAGGTTTGAGAAAAAACTATGTTTGATTAGCGCAATATCAAAGAGGTGTATGTCGTCTAAAGTAATACAGGCCGCTGTTCTCATGCATCCTACTGCGGGGCTGGGGCCTAATTACTCACATTGCTTGTCTTCTCCGTCCAATGTCTTGCACCCTACATACCACACTGGCTCTTGGGTGTTGACGTGAGGTGCGAGGGCAAGGCAATAAGGGCTAGCAATCCTCCAAGCAGGTCTCATGGAGCTGTTGAATAACTGACGAAGTGTGGGTGGTATTTCATGGCTGTGCGCTGTCAATCACCTAGCCTCGTCCAGTTTGCACTACAAGAAGCTCACAATTTCCATGTTTGGGGACAGTCGAAAAAGATGCTATTTCGCGGACCGAAGACGAAGGAAATGTTTGACATTTTTCAGGCTGTGTACAACACTGGATATGGTGGAAGAGAGCGAGCACATAAGTTGCGGTTGCCAGCGCGTCGCGAGGCGCCCAAGAAAGTGGCGCCTTGGGGCCTTGCGAACGTGGAGAGTCGGTCACCAACGGTACGGCTGAGAGCTGTCACCGGTCACAAGGGCTATACGAGAAATCCGCTCAAGTCTTGTTTTCTGATGCATTGCTGGAAAAAATTCGAAGATTGGGAAATTTCTAATCAATAGCAGAGATTTTAAAAGAAACATGAATAGGGAATTAAGTAGGAGTAGTTTCAAGTTGTGAGCGTTTTGGTCGTTAAAGAAGATAGGAGCAACGGTCCAAGACGTCATTACTGACTCACGAGGTTTTGTACTGCTGGCTCCTTTTCTTTCACAACTTGTATCTCCTCTTCATATATCTCCCTCACGCGTGCACTTGGAAAGGCCTTACGCAGCGTTTCGCCCATGTAGCGAACGCCCCAGTCTTCCGCTTGCCTATGCCCGACACAAGCTACCGACATGCCCAGTGCTTTCGCAGCTTCCAACCCACTAACCCGGGATTGCCCAGTCAGATACAGCAGATGCCGGCCGTCTTCATCCGGTACTATCCATCCACGCTCTTGTGCTATCTGAAACACACGATGCACTTCACCCTCGTTGAAGGCATTCATGATGGCGACGAAGCGTATTTCGTCCGAGAAGCCTACATGCGCCAGTTCGGAAACGCCAAACTGTTGTTGAATCCGAATCAGGAGCTCCTGCAGAGGCACGGTGATCTGACCAATGACTCCAATCCTCCTCTCTGGATCTCCTTTATAGCCTTGGACACAGAGACAATTCCCTGTGTCCATGTCCAACCTTTGTGCTAGTGCTGTGTTCCATCCTACTGTCAGTACCTCGTCGAAGGAAGTATGACTTGAGAGAATAAGAGTGCCTTTGCGCACGCTGCGTCGATCGAGGTTGAAGGGCCGGTGTAGAAAGCAGATGGTGCGCGGTGGTCGTGGATAGATCTGCGCCGCAAAGCCCACATTGTTGTCGTCCGATGGGTAGCCAATCAAAGAGTAAACTCCTGGAGTTGGCGTCACGCTCAATACAATCTGCTCAACTATCGCAGTCTCTGCGTCGTAGCGAGGATTTCGAGGGACATGGTACAGTCGCTGGACGTCGTTTTCCTTGAGCGGTAGGATCGTTTCGACGAAGCGCGTTACAGCCGCATGTGTGATCTTCTTCGGCATTGACATTGAAGAACGGGAATTCAGTCTGTTCGTTAGTGGGGATCAAAGAAGTTCTTTCGCAAGCTTCGTGACTTTTGGCTTCAAGTACGTCATGATCGCTTCTCAACCGTGAAGCATTGAAAGCCTAGGTCTCCAATTCGCCCGCCGCTTTGCAAATCGCTAGGTATGCGCCTGAGCATCAAGCGCACATGCTTCCATTGCATGATGAGTTGTGTGTAGAATTGAGAAGCTGTCCAATAGGTTCTGTGTCTGTCGAGAGGACCGATTGGCATCGCCACTCCCGGCATCGTGCCGTGCCCAGACAGAACGGGCCTAGTGTGAGGGTTGCTTTCTCCTCCAAATCATCGCTTTGCGGTGCATGCAGTCTTGAGAGTATGGTATTCTTGAAAAAACTACGCTTTGAAATTGATCTCCCTACACTGTAAGCTTAGACAATTCGATCACCCATGAATGTAGTCATCACTTTGACTAAGTGCACTTGCATTGCTTCCCGCGGCTTCTCTATCTTTCGATCTAAATTCCGGCCATCATCCAGTCATACCTCATTCATACTGCCTCGTCGCTCTTTGTACCTCGAGTCGCACAGAATACCAAACATGGGCGCCACAACTGCTTCTGCTCCGGCCATTGTAGGTGCGCTGCAATGCCAGAAAAACTCTTACCTTCAAACACTCGAGACTCAAGTGGTGTCGTGTGAAGAGTTCGTGCCACCAAAAACATCGCAGCAAAACGGCAAGTCCAAGACCAAAAAGTCGACGGATCCAACCAAAGCCCTCGAGAATGGAGATGCGACAACAAGCAAAACCTGGCTGATTGAGCTCGCGGACTCGGTCCTCTTCCCTGAGGGCGGTGGCCAGCACACTGACCACGGCGTCCTTGTGCCTTTGGAAGGTGAAAGCAAAGCGGAAATACCAATACGAAGTATTCAGCGCCATGGTCTCCGCTGCATACACTTTTCTCCTACTCCCCTCACACCTGGTACATCTGTACGCCAGACTGTCGACTTCAACCGACGTTGGGACCTCATGCAACAGCATACTGGCCAGCACCTCCTCTCCGCTGTCATGGATGGCATGGATTTGCCCACGCTAGGATGGAGCATGGGTCAGCCCGGGGAGATGAACTATGTCGAGGTACCACGCAAACCAACCGATAAAGAAATGCAGACGATACAAAAGGACTGCAATGCAAGGGTTAGAGAAAGTATGCCGATTACAGTAGAGACACCTGAGGGCAAAGGAAGTGATAGTCTCCCTGAAGACTACGATCGGGAAAAGGGCGTGGTGCGATTCATTAAAATTGGAGACATGGATTACAACGCCTGCTGTGGAACCCATCTCCAAAATTCTTCACACATCAATTTGATACTTCTGCACCACACACAATCAGTGCGAGGTACAAATTGTCGGTTGTTCTTCACAGCAGGCGACCGCGCGATCAAATTGGCCACAGATTCCATTGCAGGCCTTCGCTCCGTTGCCGTCTCGCTATCATCAGGCTCGGCACCAGCCGATGTGGCAGCCAGTGTGCAAAGAATCGCCGATCAGGTCTCTGAAGCACGAAAAAAGGAGAAGAAGCTACTCGCTGAAATCGCAACATTCCAAGGCGAACGCATCAAGAATCGTCTTCAGGACCATGAAGCCGCATTCCTGCATCGCGCAAGTGAGGGACTGGATTTCATCAACCTCGTCCTCTTCGAAATCAAAGACGCAGTCAAGGATCAAAATAACGTCGTAGTCTTGTCTACAGGCGAAGTCAAGAGCCCAGGGTCGCTCGTCATATTCGGTAAGCCGGAATTAGTGGAGAAGATGGCGGCAAAGGTTAAGGAGGCTGTAAGCACAGTCAAGGGCGGAGGCAAAGGCGAAAAGTGGCAGGGCAAGGCCACAGAGTGGCAAAAGGGCGAGGTTGAGGCGCTGGAAAAGATGGTGAATGAGGAATAGATTCTATAGAAAGAAAAATAGAGGGTATACGAAGCGGGTTATCCAAGGGAATAAAGTGTAGATAAGAAATACAAGGTAGATATCGGGCAACGTCTGTGATGTGACTTTCCTCTAGCACACCACACCCTACGCCGAAGAAGTAAATACATAGAAGAAAGAGAAGAAGAATATAGTCAGAGAAAGGAGAAATGTGGGGGCGACGCGTACAATATATCATGTATGCATAACCAGTTGCACCCGAATATCTCAAAGTACAAGACAACAACTCTCAGGCCTAAACACTGTAGACCTTGACCGAGTTGATAAGCCAATAAGACTATCCAAAGTCAGCATTACAATTCACACTATCAAATCACTCATCAATGCAACTTACCTCTGAGAAATTCTGCGGCTGACCCGCAACATAGGCCACACAACTCGGATTAACCTGCGCACAAGTCGTCGACCCCCAAACCCCTCCCGCCCAATCCCCACAAAACGTAACGTCAAACACGATATTCAAGTCACGAAACTTGGCATTGAAATCGCACCCGTTGTTTCCGAAATTCGCAATCGGGGTGCCCCAAGCTGAGGGGTCCGGGTTCCCGGACTTGATGTTGGCAGGGATGTTGCGAGTGGCAAAGTACCAGACTTTGACGCCGGAGCTGGTCCAGAGGGTGGCGTAGACGCCGCCGCCGTTGGCATTGAAGGGCGTGCCGAAGGAGACGGGGTTGTCGGCTTGGATGCCGCAGCCGTTGAAGCCGCCGTCGGCGCCGCAGTCGCCTGCGAGACGACGTCCTGTTTCGCCGCCGGGACCGATGGATGGATTGCAACCGGGGGATGTATGTAGGGTTACTTGGTTAGAGCTTGAGAGGTGGACGCCTTCGTAGATGTCGATTTCGCCTTGGTTGGGCCAGTTGGGACCGACCATCCAACTGTGGGGGAGTGAGTGTTAGTGAGGTGTGCGATGGGATGAGGGATTTGGAAGGGGGGCCGTACAAGGCGGGCCAGGAGCCACATGCACTACCGGGGACATGGGCAAAGTCTGCAATGACGAGAGCGCGGTTGTACGCTGTCTTGCTTTGTATTCTGACACTCCTTCTTCCCGGACCGTTGGGGTTGAGGGTAGAGGTGGAGTCTACGCCCATGTATACCTGATTATTCTGTGTCTTGAACAGTCCATATTGTTGTGCCTGTTGTAAAGTGACATAGTCGACGAAGCCGTCTATATCCTCAGGTCAGAAAGCAAACTTTATAGACACTGGAGCGAAGTGATACATACGCGTGGGATCAGCGATGTCCTCAAAGTTGAACTTGCTCGCCCAGTTACTAGCGTCATATGTATCAATCAGGCTGTACGCCGCAGCAGCACTGAAGTCAGAAGAAGACACAATCGTCGAGTTTCCATGTGTCCAGGAACCAGGGCCAGCAGGTAGTGCGGTGACACCGCGCCAAAGCAACGGTGCCGAAACGAAGAGTGACTTGAGAGACATGAGTGGCAGATATTCGTATCCAAGTAACCAAAAATGCAGGAAATGCAACCAAACAGATGATATCAAAAAACCTCAATTCTCAAAAACCGGTCTCATCTATCCAACTTATACCTTCACAAACCTCCTCATCACACACCCAAACCCTCCTTACACGTGCCCCACTCCCACCACAACCTCCTCCCAGACGCATCCAGGTCTGCTGGGCTGCTCCACCCGCCCATGCCCAACGGACATGTATGTTGAAAGCAGAAAAGACAAAGTCCATAGCGTGACCAGCGCGACCAGCACTCCTTCACAATCTCCACCCGCCGATTGGTCCAAGGACCTCAAATTAGGAAATCAAAGCCCTGCACCGTTACAGCATCCTTCTACGTAAGAGAAGAGAAAAATGGGGCTAAGAGTTCAAAGACAGAGAGACAGAGAGAAGGCGCAGGGTCTGTAAATGATCGCGCGGAAATAAGTCCTAGTTGGAGCAAGTCTCGCGGATTCAAAGGGCACGCAGGGTCGCTGCCCCCTTCAACGTGGGCATGCCGCATGATGAGAAATGAGCGATGGGCCAAGGGGGCGTGAGAGCCCTCGTGGTTGATGTTCGCAGTAAAGTAAGAAAAGTAGTAGCCGGGCGGTTAGTTGGTTGGTTGGTTGGCCGGTCAATAGGTAGGGGGTGACGTTAGCATGTGTGTTTTGGCGATTCTAGTAAGGGTAGGGTGAAAGAAAAGGGCATTTTGGTGTTCTTTCGCTTGTGAGTGGTGGAGGCACGTCGCCTTGTTCATCTAAAAGCCAAGTCTTGGGCTCCGCGGATCGTGGCGACATCTGGCGAACTGTGGGCTAGGGGAAATGAAACAGCGTATGTAGTCTACTAAGAACATGGGGGGAGTGCGCTCGAGTCATGCGTAGGGCAGAAGGGTTGGTGGAGGGGGAAGGTTTAAGGGCGGCCTTCCGTTTTGGGCTTGATGGCTTTGGTCGGTTTAGTATTCATCTCCGTGTTATCATGTTGACCTGTGACGGTCTATACGTTTGCACCTTCCTTATATAAAGAGCTTGTTCCTTGGGACCTTTTTATGCCCAAGGAACTAACTGGAGATTTTTTTCGCTATGCAAGAGTCGCAAGTCAAAGAAAGACAGCAGCCGACTGTTCACGCCCGTTGTATCGCACTAACCCCGCAATTTTTCTATCCCCATGGCCTGCGCATCTGATGCTCGCTGGTCACACTACCACCGGTCTCTCGACGCCCCACAGAATCACTACAGCAAAAGCGCAATAACCCCGGATTTTCGCTGCATGCGCAGCTCTCGCGTGGTTTGGAGTTGCATTGCTCGGGCTGATGAGAATGCGACCAAGGGCGCCTGGGCGACTTGGGCTCCTGTCACATAACGTTCACCGTTACAGAAAAGCCTGAGATGTGGCATCATCAGTATAATATTTTTAGACAAGTGGAGACTAGTGACTAGGCCGGTGAGACTAGTTTTGAAGAAGAAGGGGGTGGTTGTGGTACTGATGCGGAGGAGGAAGGCAGTGGGCTTCATCGCGCGCCAACGGTAGTACCGTACGAGTGCACTAAGAGCGGCAACTATACCGATATTTTTTTCCGTCTTGCCTGAGTATAAAGTGCGTGGATAGTCCATGTTGGTTTGTTTAATCGTGGGTGCTGGTAAGGACGCCTTGATTCGGAGTTTCACCTCCTGGTATACTGTACAACCTAAAGTGTCTAGTGTGAGATAGTACGTCTTAATAGAACAGAGAAAGTCAACATCCTACGGCAAGAAATATTGGATGTAATACACTATCCTCTCTGTAATTTTTCAAAGTGCTGTGAGCCCAGAAATGACCTGATGTCGGTGGTTTTCATTCAGTCATTCGAAATGTAATTTTGTTCCGTATACTTAATAGTCTACTTGAAGCAAAGACAAGGATGCGAGATATTCCAAAACCCTTTCTCAAGTCATTTCCAAAGATATCCTGGTCAATAGAAACTGCACGTGAGAAATTATGTCTATGTAGTGACCACAAGTTCTTCAACCAACAGACATCGCATCTCAATGGCGAGACTGCAACGGCAGATAAATTTTATCACTCAGAACTCCGCGTAGGGAATTTCTTTTTCTCTATTCCAAGATATGAGTCGTTATTGCTAGGAAGCGACATGACTGATTTGTCATTACATAGTGATCTACCAAACATTCAAGGTTATGTTTTGTACTCGGATCTCCTTGTACCACCAATATGCAAACGTTTTGCTCGATTCCATTGTTGAGTACATCCACCAGTGACGTTCTATCAGCTCCCTTCAGGTTTTCGAGGTTTTCCTCCATAATTCTTGGTCAACGTCTAGCAACCAAAATACCATCTCTTTACAAAAGCCAGCAGATGCATGAATCCAAGTTCACCACACGACAAAATGGTCGTCACAAAATGAAAAATCGTACATCTAAGTCAGTTAGAAAAATGTACTCAAGCTTAGCTACACATCGATCCAATACAAAACCTCCATCTACACAGCTATCTCTATCTCTTCGATTAGTCTCCCCTTTCAATAATCCTCTGCGCTGTCAACACAACACAATGTCCACTTTCACCAATCCACTCCGCCCACCTCTCACTTCTTCACAACACCAGAATTTTCTGTCCCACCCCAACACCCGTACCACCATAGTGCCCCCAGAATCTTCACAACATTCCACATTGTCCTCATACAACTTCCCTATTCACAAATACATAATCGACTCACACCGTCCCTACCGTTTACATAATGCCTCTATCAGGAAAGTATATCAAAGGTTCCCAGACACAACGAAAGAAACTCTCTCCATTACGACAACCCAAACTAACAAAACAAAGTAGTTGCCTCAATCAACAAAGTCAAGAAATAGAGTCGTAAAAAATCTCCAACAGAGCTCCCTTCGCAAACTGAAGAAAAATGCCTCTTCAACCAGGTATGAAAAACTTCATTGCAACCTTCACCACCATCCCCATCCTCTGGCTCTGGTGGCTCTCCATCCTACCCAACGCGTCCTCCCTCGCAGTGAATCACGTCTGGAACTACAACACCTCAGACCCCAGCACGTTCCTCGCAACCTGCCTCGTACTCACCATGGCGCTCTGGATCCTGCACCTCGTTCTCACGATGAAAACTCGACTGGAGCCCGTCTCCCCTTCCATCGTTTTCGGCCTCTTGTTTCACACGGTCCCCGCTCTCTGCCTCCTCGCCGCTGTTCTGAAAGCCAAGATCGCACAGGATAGCAAGATGGTGTGGTTTAGTGCACTAATGGTGTTACGGTACTGGCGCACGCTTGTTGCTATTTTCTTCTGGACGCAATATCGACCTTCTATATACCGCTCTGGCAATCTAAAGAAGTACACGGCAAAAGACTGTACGGTTGTAGTGGCTACCGTGGGTCCGGGCCAGAACCTCGAGCTGTTCACACGCATGGTCGAGGGAATCCTTGCCAACAAGCCGAAACGCGTCGTGTTTTCTACACCAGAATCTAGTATCTCGGATATTGTGCGGCCGGTTGTGCTGGGTATCCAGAAGGTGTTTGAAGAGCGTAGGGTAGTTGGCGAGAAGAAAGAGATGGATGGGCACTATGGCACTACTGAAATTATTGTGACAGGTGGGGCTAATAAGAAAGATAAGCGGACGCAGACGGCCGAGGGGATCAAGATGGTCGAGACGAAGATTATGGTCATGGTCGATGATAGTGCAGTGTGGCCCCAAAAGTTCCTCGAGGCTGCGCTTCCGGCTTTTCAGGACGATAAGGTAGGGTTTGTGGGGACACGCAAGTGGGTTGAGCGGTTGCCGCTACCCGAGTATGATTTCGAGCTCACCTGGTATCAGAATATGGTTGCGCGGTATCGTGCTGGTTTCTGGAATACCATGGGGGCGCTGTATCTCGTACGTCACAACTTTGAGATTCGCACTTCGAATGCCGCTGATGGAGGCGTCTTCTGCGTCTCTGGTCGTACCAGCTTGATCTTGTCTCGGATCGTCAAGGATGAAAACTTTGTGGAGAATTTCCTCAACGAGTACATCTGGTCGTTTCCTAGCCTTGGTTTTGAGGGTGTTGGTCCGCTCAAGGCTGACGACGACAACTTCATCACCCGCTGGGTCATCAAGCACGGCATGGACGTCAAGATTCAGTATACCGAAGATGCGACCATGGTCACTCAGCTGGGACGCATAGAAAATTTCAAGTTTGTGGACCAGTGCATGCGCTGGAGCCGTACGACTATCCGACAGAACCCGATCGCCTTGTTCGTCGACCTGACTGTGTGGTGGAAGTGGCCCATCTCTGTCTGGATGGTGTACTTCCCGTGGATGTACAACGCCACTCTCTTTTGGGATACTCTGGCAGTCTGGACATTTACCACTACCGCATTCTTTCGCAACTCTTCAGTCCAGTACTACTGGTTGAGTCTTCTGATCTCTTTCATCTGGATGTCGAAACTAACCAAGACGATTCCGTGGTTCATGCATAGGCAGAACCGTTCAGACTTTTTCTGGTACTTCTTCCCCATCCCGGCTTACCCTCTGTTTGCGTACGCTCACTCCATTATCAAGATCTACACTGTCGCAACCTTCTGGGTCAACGACTGGGCTGGCCGCACTCGAGACGAGAAGCAGCCAGAGTTGGATGGCATTAAGGCCAAGTAGGTTATCGGGCTAGACCAAGGTAAGATGACTATGTTGTCTTTTGATTTGGATTACACTCTTTAGGAATTGATCCAGAACAGGCTTGCAAGTGGCTAGCCACCTCTTTCTACTTTGCTACTTTTCCTGGCAGGTGACTGGAAGCGTTTGTTGCGGCCGATTCATGGGCGATTGATTCCACCGGGGCGACAGACATCTAGAACCTCGACTTGAACACGTTGTTTTCCCGGGCATGGGAAGGGGGACTGCATGATATTTCCTTTGGCGTTGGTTAGTTGTATTTTCGATACCCATGGCAGTATCCGGAGAAAGGCTTAGCCAGAGTAGATCGGTCGGTCTAGATTTCCATAGATGGTGTTTGTTTCTTTTCAAATGCCGAAACAGAGTTCTTTACTTACCACCCCCGTTCACTGCATGATGTGTTAATGCTGTAGCTATGTCTAGATGCGTGATAATTCTGCATAGTTGATTCGTGGGATAAGTGATCAACGATAGGTCTGAAGTCAAGTGTTGTACATTGTTAGGGATCGAGATGTAAATAGTGACGTCTACCTATTTGAGAAATGGCGATGAATTGACAGAAATGACACTGTGATTTTTGATACATTGAGACAGTCCAGAGAGGCCGCGGCCAATACAGGAGTGAACATATTGGTGTAGATCGAGCCTACAGCGGGGTGTGTTCTCTCTGTACAGGGTATCGTATTCGTGTTCGCGTTCGCGCTAATTTGTTATTTGGGTCATAGTGCAGGTAGTGCGACGATGGATTGGTGAGTATGCACTCTGGATGCGCTTTGGATGCGCTTTGAATGCGCTTTGAATGCAAAGATATTAAAATCTCCTGCAGCATCTCGAAGTGGCCACAGGGTGGGTAATGTCGTCCAAATAGAGTACTGTCTAAGAAGATATGGCTTTGGGGTACTAGGGCCACCTGCCCCATCCGTACTTTCTCCGCATGAGCTGAGGACAGTTCGGACCCGACAAGATGGATACGTATGAGTTCACCTGCGACTATACAGCACTCTGAAATTTTCCGTCTCACTCTGCGTCTAAGATTGGGGGTTTTCGCGAGAAAAAAGGAGCAGGGGAGAGAGGCGCCTTCGCATCGGGCCACTTCCCCTCATTGCATTCTCACAGCATTACAGCATGGGATGGCTGCCTGACACAGTGCGTGACCATCGGATTCACCCACGCAGTTGGCCCCCAAGCCAGACGCGGAGGACCACGTCGGCGCCACTCTCGAAATAGTGCCATGTTGGGCAAAACCTTACAGGATAGGCGCCAAATCAACATGTCCACGCTGCATGGTCGCCAACCAAGGATCGCGATATTGCGGGAATACTCCTAAACACCCCGGCCCTGGAGAAAAAAAGCAAGTCTTATCACCAGTTTCCGGTATGGCGCAGACGGGAGTGGATGTCGAGTTGCCGCCCGATACATGGGAGAGAGACTGGGGTAAGCGAAGATTGGGGGCCAGAATCCAAAAGACACGATATGGGCGAGGCATGTGCCGGGCCCGGCGCAAGCCCTTGTACGCCTCCCTGTCGTCCAAGCCTGTAGGAGTGTTTTAGAAAGGGCAAAAGCAGAGCCGTCAGTTGAAGCCAATATCACAGATGGAGCCCACGGATGCGATGGAGAGCCCAAGTGCAGACAAAGACATGTTTGCTTTGTGCTCGCTTGCCAGTTAGTCCTGACATGGCAGGGTCTGGTCGGCCCCGGGCCCGGGCCCGGCTCGTCCATGGTGTCGCAAGTCCGCGGCCATGGGTGACGGTACCTTGTAGGCTAGCCTCTGGGGATGAGACAACGCTTCCTTGCAACGCACGCCAGCGAGTAAACATGGTTTCGGTACCACAATAATGGGCAAGCTTTAGCGATGGCAGTCGAGGTAAAGTGTAAGTGTGTATGTTTGTGTGTACAGTACATATGTACATACGTATACACATACGTGTAAATGTGCCAGCGCCTTTGGCGGCCCTTGCAGCTATGGGCGGTGCTTGCATACTTAGGCTTGCCAGCGTTAGGGCACTGCTCTGGGAGGTTTCAGAAGAGGCATGTTTGCGAATCCGAACTCTGATTGCGAAGTCGGCGTCGATCGCGGTTGGACGCTTCCTAGAAGTGTGTACAAGTGCATGGGCGCGTCATCTTCCTTGCCATGTGTCGGTGCGGGCCAACTCATTGTGTGTAGTAGAGTGTGCAAGCAGTGTGTGTGAGTGTGTGTGAGTGTGTGTGAGTGTGTGTGCGTGTGCTCTCACCTCCCCTGGGCATTGGTGCGCGTGCGGGGCGAAGGGGGGGAGTGACCACATGATGAGGCTCTGTGGAGGACATGGATAGAGAGATGGAGGGTTAGTGATCCAGGCAGATGGGCATGGGAGGGACGGCCAAAGTCGTACGTTTGTCGGGCGTGCTTGTCCACGCTTGGCCCTTCATATGTCTCGCAGCCATGGTGTCGCTCCGCTCATGGGGCGCGGGAAGGATCAGCGACCCATTTGGCCGGGTCTTGCTCTCTCTCCTTTGGGTCGGTGGCTTGGCTGCGGGGTCACTTGCTTTAGGCGACCCGAAACCGACGACCAAACTTTGGCCCATCGACCCATCCACACTCACGGTGAGCCCACGCAACGGCCGCCGATAACTAATCTGGCGTCTCTATGAGCCCGCAACGGCCATTCGCTAGCCACTAGCCTGAGCCCGAGTCTCATCGCCCCTCTGCTCCATACCATACGTTACCGCTGCGGTCATGCCAAAAATGGCTCCCCAAGCTCGCACAAGTGCACGAGGCAGTGAGAGAAAGAGGGGGTACAGCGCCATCGCAATCGAACCAGCCAGCAATCGAGCCCAAGGTCGTGGACCGGCTGTCGTTCCCCCTCGGATCGTTCGTGTCGCATGAGCCCAGATGCTGGTTGCTGCTTGACGCTCGGTGCCAAACTGCTGGTATTCTCCTAGCAGGCATCACTTGCTGATCACCCGTCCAGGTGGCTTTGAACGGCCCATGTGTCTAAAGGTACACACCATCGCCTCCACCTCCGCCAACTGTTCAAAAACGGGCGGCCACAGAGTGACCTTAGCACTCCTCCCCCGTTATAGGCGACGCCCTTGCCAAATCTGACCCAATCAACCGCTAGCCAGCGCGAAGCCAATGCCCTTGAGAACGAAAATGAGAACGAAATCAGACCATTAGAGCCATTTTAGTGCCGATTACACACGTACGGCTCTTACTACTGCTCTGCCCAGCCTCCATTGGCGTACTGAATCTTGGGGCCCATCCAACCATGACTTGCTGGAGCTTAAATCCCCTTTTAGGGGGGTCAAGATGAGGGCCATTGCCACGATCGCCTGTCTCGACACTGCTGGCAGCGGCAAAAGCCGCTTCGCCTAAATACATGCACAACAGACGTGCACACACATGCACATAGGAGCCGCTATGACCGCCTGTGCTCTTGATCTTCGTTCGTAGGGACATGTATAGAGTACATTCAAACTCTGTCAATTTGCAACGCGTCACGGGCCGCACGGCTGCCTGTACACTGGCGCATGCGATTATCATCACTCAATCTATATTTTCAAGATGCCATGTTCAACACAGACGCAAATGACTTGATTTCTGCATCCTGGCGGTACGTAGCGCCACTGCTGTCGGCCCTTTCCTCCGCAAGTGCAGCTTCACAGCAAGCCGGGCCAATGCCAGTCACGGAGCGATCTGGACTACGGCCACAGCCTGGGGCGGAGCGTCCCATGTCCTGTTGTGTCATTCACACACACAAACATGCTCAGGGAGCACCGACCCCTGATCCCTGAGGGGCCTAGAGCATGCACCCATCTCACCGGGTGCTGCAGTAAAAGACTGGCAACCAAAGTGTCTGTGGCGGTGCACAATCACAGCACTGAGACAGGCTGTCTTTCTCCTGCAGTAGTTTCATTGCGCCCTTGGCCTCTCTGACTGCACGATCACGATACTGGCGTTGGCGTGGCCGGATTACAGTATCGATTGCGTACAGGAAATCAAACGACCCCACGGACATTGCATCCTGCGGGCCGCAGGACCAAAATAGTTTGTCGACTTGCATATCACAAGTCACAGACAGATAGTATTGGAGTTGGACCAACCACCAGGTAGCATGCACAAACCCAAAACTGTCCTGGTACACGGCCTCATTACCGCATAGACTGCGACAGTGATTTCGTAGACTAAAATAGTCTGGATTGGGGAAGTGGTGCGATTCGGTCGTCAGGCTCATCATCGCGACGCGAATATTACGATAAGCGTTTCCCTTGCACGCCACCTGGAGTACCTGTTGTGGAGCAGCACCAGCACCAGCACCAGCACCAGCACCAGCAACAACAAAGTTGAGCATTGAGCTACGATGCTGACGCTTTTGGGCAGACGGACCCATGGCTGAGAAGTAAGCAATTGAGTAGATAGTAGGAGTAGTGAGATGGAGCGCGTGTGGAGCAGGGGTGCATGATTGGATTGTTCATATGCATTGGGTACGGTAACACAGTCAATAATCATGCGCAATTGTACGTGGTATGCTCCAAGAGGGTATACTCGGCAGGCATGCTGGTTCCAGAAGAGCCTGCGGTTCGCGGGTTGAATAACCTTATCCACCGCGTCGGGCCATGGGCGTTCAGGGACCACGCGAAGCAGGTTGGGTTGCTACGCTGACTGTCGAGATTACTTATGCGTGGGCATGGTATGGAACGTGAGGTCCGTGTGTGACAGGCAGGACGGCCTCGGTACCTTGAGATGGCAAGAATTAAGGCGTGGGAGGGCACAGAGCGAAGGGCGACCTGGCAGGACGCACTGAGGGAGATTGGTACGGCGACCATACACCCCACATGCAGGCCGTCTTATACTCTAACCGGGACAAGGCGGGGTGTAATTACCTGCCATGTTCGCATCCAAATCATGTGCAGGTTGCCGTCACATGGGGTGGGATCCAGTAGACGGCGACCTCTCCTGCATACCCCCTCTCGTCTAACAAACGACAGCAGGCTGGCAATCAGGCTGGCAACCAGGCTGTGATTATTCAGAAGGACGGATCACGCCACGTAGCACACAGCGTAGGTGTGTAGCCTCGCATTGTGCTCACCGCGACGGTCAGAGTGTCGTTGTGGACGAGGATGCATTGCAACATGTGCTGGTGCTGTTGGTACTGCTGCTACTACTGCATCAGCGAGTCCCACAAACGACGATGATACCGTAGGAAACGCGGTGAGGTCAGCACGCTGCGATGCCTGCCAGAGGGACCGCCAGACGGGGGGGGGTGAGGGGGGCAGGGCAGGCGCTGCGCCCGCTGAGCCCCACGAGCAGACTCGCTTAGCTGCCTCGTTGCAGGCAATGCTCGGGCACTCCAAAGGACCGGTAAAATTAGCAGCACTACCACAAGCCAATCAGCGCCCCGGATCTTGCACAGCCGCTCACCAGCCACAGATCTTGACCACTGTGGACCGGGCAGAGCGAGACGGTCGCCAATCACACATGCTACTGACGCCAGGCCTGTGGAATGGCAGCCCATGGCTTCATGCCTCCCATGGCTCCCCGACTGGAGCGGTCATCTAGCGTACGCTTTGCTTCAGGGCTCATCCCTAATCCGCTTGTCTTTGCCAGAAGTAGCCTGGACGCTCCCGCCCTCTGCACGCCTATTCGCTGCCGCAGCTCTGCCCCTCGTTACTTTCGGTATGGTCTGCTCACTAGGTGGTCCGACTCGTGCGGACGGGGGTCGGACACACCGCGACTGCTGCCAGCCTAGCCTACCACAAAGCGGTCGGGGCGCGCGATCAAGGCGGGGAGCAGAATGGACGGCGGCCGGTAACTTGTGCCTTCTTTTATTTTTCTTAGCGTGGCCTGACTGCTCCAAAACAGCCACCTCATGCTAGAGGCCCAGGCGCCCGTAGGGCAGCATACCCTCGAGGCAGGGGTATGCCATGGCGCCCTGGTGGCTTCGTGCACTCCATCCCGCTGGGGGCCACTTTGGTCCTGTCTCTGGCCTCGTGTATAAACCGACTTCGCCCCCGAGGCATCGTTCCTCCAGTCCAGGCCTCTGATCAACAGTACCCATTTCTTTGTTGAGATCTCTCCGACGCCCTGGTTTGCCCTGCTCGACTACACCTGCTCCCGCTTCAGGACTTGTCCCTCGCTTCTTCAGCTAGCCTCAGGCTCCTCGACGGGACTACGTGCTGTCACTCCCGTAGCCGGAAACAGTACAGGATCGGCAAAAAGCATCGACGATACTCACACATCGCCGACCCATACGTCAAGTCGACACATTGATCGACACTCTCTCGACGAGGGTAAGCTTTCCCCTGCCGGTCCCTCTAATTTGCGCTACCAACCAAAACCACGGCGATCCTGATTGCTCGGATTCCATGCTTATGCTGACCCTGTCTGCGCAAATAGGCATCAAGCTGCTCCTTCATCTGTAGCATTTCCATTTCCTGTTGCCTCACATACTGCATCCTCCATCATGGTCGACTACGCCCCATACACGCCTGGCATGGCCCACGACTTCGAGCTCTACTCTCACTCTCAGGAACAGCACATTGACTACCAACAAAGTCAACCCTTCATGCCCGTCTCAACATTTGGTATGGATCACACCTTCACTGCACCCTTTGACCACATGGCTCCTCTTGCAGACGCTCCAAGACTGCAAGACCTTCAGTTCCACTACGACGCCATCGCGCAAGGTGTCAAACCATCATACCAGTACCAGACACCAGCAGGATCTCCCCACTCAATATCAAACTCTTTTCATGAGATGCCGCCTGTCTTGTCAGCGTCATCAGAATCTGGCGCTTCAGTATCTTCATCTGCCGTAGGCTCTCCATCACTTGTACCCCAATTCACCGAGCCATGGAACCCCATGCCTATGGGGGGACTCACATCTGGTTTTGAGTACTCAGGCATGGTAGCAAACGACAAGTCGTATGTGGGTAAGTCACTGGTTTCTTCCATAGCCGTTTCTTCCTTTTCTTCTTCTTCTGTCCCATCTCCAAACCCCAAGCAAAATGTCTTCAAAACGCCTGTCACTCCAGCCTCGGCGACTCGGTCTACTGTGAGGTCGAACTCTTTTCTTTGTCACAAAACCTATCCACGCAACTCTCCGCCAGTCCGTTTTTCTTCTGTTACATCAGTGCCACATTTTTCTCAATTCTCTCCATCTTGTTGGTCTCCTTCCATTTCAAGAGACTCTTAGAGACTAACGTGCTGCAAGCAGATCCTAATCTCATTCAGCCTTTTGCATTCGCTCCTCAGAGCCCTTATCCTGAGATCAGGACCACACCCTCTCCTTACTTCCCAGTCATTGAGCAACCACCATCCCCAGCCCTGTCGCAGTTCTCTTCATATAGCCAGCGACCAGGCTCCGCACGGATCAAGAAGTCCAGCGCTAGCCCATACCTTCACACCCAACAATACCAACCCTACCCCAAGTACAATGGCCAACGGCGAAGCTCAGTCAACTCCCTCCACTCACAAAACTCTGGCACAAGCCGCAAGAGCTCTAGCAGCTACAATATAGATGACGAGACACGGGAAAAGGGCATGTGCCCACTCCCAGAGTGCGGACGTGTTTTCAAGGATCTCAAGGCACACATGCTCACTCACCAAAACGAGAGGCCCGAAAAGTGCCCAATTACCACCTGCGAGTACTACGTCAAGGGCTTCGCAAGGAAGTATGACAAGAACCGACACACTCTCACCCACTACAAGGGCACCATGGTCTGTGGTTTTTGTCCAGGCAGTGGTTCAGCGGCTGAGAAGTCGTTTAACCGCGCCGATGTCTTCAAGAGGCATCTCACATCAGTTCATGGCGTTGAGCAAAACCCTCCTAATAGCCGCAAGAAGAGCTCCGCAAGCCGCAAGTCATTTGGCAGTTCGCAGCCCAGCGTTGCCGGTACCTGCTCCACTTGTTCAGTAACATTTGCCAACGCGCAAGAGTTCTATGAGCACTTGGACGATTGCGTGCTGCGCGTCGTGCAGCAAACCGACCCCGCAGAAGCCATCAACCAGCGTCTCCTCACCTCTGTTGCAGAGGACAAGAACGTCACTGAGACGCTGGACCGAAATGGCCTGTCTAAGAGCATCGAGTACACGATCCCCAAGTATGAGGACGATGATGAGGACGACTTCGAAGAGGAGGAGGTAGACAACGATGACCAAGATGATGCTACTTGGGGCAGCCGTCACACCCGCTCAGGCAGAGGCGGCATCAAGTCTACCAAATCGCATTGACAATCAACACATCCCCGAGGTGTCGGCGCAACGCAGCACGTCGGGGGTGGCAACCCAACCCAACATGTTTCTTCTGCGCGCGTCACCAAGTCTAGCCCGCGCGCTGGCCTCACCTTCTCCAAAGGTGGTGTGGCCATTACTGGCGCCGGACGCAAGAAGCGCAAAAACTACCCCGTCTCTTGGGGCTGCGCTACCGACAAGATGAAGATGAAGAAGCGCGTCTTGTGTGTGTATGACGGTCAACGCAGACTGTGGAAAGACGATTTGATGCTTGACCAAGAGTTTGAAGTACGCATGAAGCTGCCCGATGGCAAGGCGTATGTTACGGACCTAGATGTGCAGACGCTCAACCGCGCTGAGGCGTTGCATAATGCCACTGCTGAGGAGAGGGGGGCCTGGGTACCTGACAACATCATCTCGAGCGGTGCTCCATCCATGGAGACGATGCCGCTTGAGTGGACAGTGTAAAAGACGTGTTGGTACAAACAACACTTGAGTATTTGTTCTCTCTTCGATTGAGGTGTTTTTGAGCGAATCCTTGGTCCGTTTCTTTTTGGCGGATACCAAAGGACACAAAGCGAACAAAAAAAAGGTTACCTGGCAGGCATCATGGTCGACCCGCACACTGACACGGCTAATGACATGCGATGACGAAACTTTGTTGTACCATCAAAGCATTTGTTTTTTTCTTTTCTTATTCAACTGATACCACTGGGCTCTACTCTTGTCTTGCTTTCTTCTTCTTGGGGCTTGTGGGCGTTGACAAGGGAGAGGACAGAAGGGATTAATGAGTGGGTATATATATGAACGAAAAGGGCATATCTGTACGTGGCTGGCCGCGAGAAGATGTAGTTTTTCTCTGAATCCACATATCAATCCATCTATGATAATTTCAACCACCATCCAATGCTTGCAAATTGGTACCTTGTGATAAGGTGTGCTGGTCAAACGCAGCGAGACAAAAGTGAAGGGGTCTGTGCTTAGTCATGGCGCAATGCGCCCCGCCGTGGGGAAGGCAGCAGCGACGGGGACAGCTTGGAGCTCCAGCAATCAACTGCCCATCCGCCCGCTTTCCCGACGCCGCAGACACGACACGACACACACAACACGACAACAAACAAAAATGGCGTCGAGTATTGAGCAGTCGCCCTTCTTCCAGCAGCAGAAGGCCAAGGGCGAAATCGTCGTCAAGGGTATGATATCAACCAATACCCTGTCGTGGGGTATGCAGTGCTAAATGTGTTAGACCCTCCCAAGTTCGACCTGGAGTCGTATATCGCTAACTACACTGGTATGACTCTTGCACCCTAAATCAGATACTCAAATAGTACTCATATCTTCTGGTAGGCTACACGCGAATCGATCGCCTCCATCACATTGGTGCCCACTCTCCGTACCTCGCTGTCGATGCATATCGCCTAGCTATTGCCGAAACAAAAAAAGGTAAGAACGTCGCGCTGTATACAAGATTAGTCGAAGATTTCAGCAGCATTGCTCCAAATGACTCTGCTGCTTTGGTGGACACAACTTGGGCAGAGAAGAAGACACGGGAAGTCCGTGAGGAGCATGACAGGCTGGAGCACGAGTTGAAGTCGTATAAGAACAACCTGATCAAGGAAAGCATACGGGTGAGTGGTCAGAGATATTACTTCATAATTTTGGCTTTAACAAACCACAGATGGGCAATGAGGACCTCGGCCACTTCTACTATGACATTGGCGACTTCTCCAATGCACAGAAGGCATACATGAAGATGCGCGAGCATTGCACCTCACCGAAACATCTCGCCGATATGACTCTCCGCCTCGTATTCGTCAGCATTGCACAAAAGTCATGGACAAATGTACTAGCAAATCTAGCAAAGTCAGAGGCCACTCAGGTCAAGGGTGAGGAGAAGGCCAAATTAGAACCCATCATATCTGCATGCAGCGGCCTATGCCACATGGCAACGGGCAACTTTAGGGAGGCCGCAACGGCCTTTCTCAGCACTTCGGCAGCGTACCTGACTGCTGAGCCCGCAGCATACATCAAGTGGCAGAAGGAGGTTATTTCACCAAACGACGTGGCAGTCTACGGTGGTCTCTGCGCTCTGGCATACATGGATCGCAGCGACCTGCAAAGCAAAGTTCTTGCAAACACTGAATTCCGCAACTTCCTGGAACTCGAACCGCACATCCGCCGCGCCATCAACCTCTTCTGCAACTCCAAGTACAGCGCCTGTCTCGAAGTGCTCGAAGGCTACCGGAACGACTATCTCCTCGATGTGTACCTTTCTAAGATTTTGAATACAATTTACAGCCGCATCCGGAACAAGAGCATTGTGCAATACTTCATTCCTTTCAGCTGTGTCACGCTCGACGAAATGACTTCGAAATTCCCCGCAGCTGAAGGCAGAACCATTGAGGAAGATTTGGAAGAAATGATCAAGAACCGCCAGCTGGATGCACGGATAGATCTTGTCGACCGCTTGCTCATCTGCCCACCAAGAGACCCTCGCCATGAAGTGCAAGAAGAGGCGCTCAAAATGGCAGAATCGTACGACCATACCCTTCGCCTGCGATTGACACGCCTGAACATGTTGGCAGCCGGATTGGAAGTTCAGCCAAACAAGACAAACGACAAGTCGGCTGCTATGGGCAGTGGTATTGGCGACACGTTCCGGGGTCTGGGTTCCAAGATTGGCTTCTAGGAAGAGTCAGAAACCAAGAAAGATGACAAAGTGGTGGAAGATGGAGAGACTAGTGCGAATAAGGCCATGCCAAAGGGGATCATGACAAAGTTCACCCAGAGGCTTAAGCGTATGAATAGTCATTAGCATTGCACGGCGTTATTTTGGAGGGGGGGGGGTTCATTTTTACCAGAGGGTAATACAGCATGCATTTACGTTAGCGAAGCCCAGGCATATTCAAGCGGCATTCTGGCGTTGAGAGGGATGGATGATAGGATAATAAGGTACTTATTTCAATCTGGTACGGCTTGAAGGATTATAATCATTGCTGTCCAGAATGAAGTGAGAGAAGTTTCACCGCTTATTTCTTATCAAACACACAAATGACTAATCGAGAACTACAACTCATTCTCCTTGACATGTATTAGGACCCGACTCATTTTACCACATATTCATCCCACACAACCAAATCAAATATCACTTTTAAACACCAAGACAAATTAACAACCCCCCCCCCAAGCATCAAGAAACAAAACATTTGGGTCAATAAAAGAATAACGACTTGGATAAATGACTGGGTATCTAGATTTTACACGCCAATATTTCAAATTCGTATTCTGCTGCAAAATTCATGAAAAAAAGATATAAGGGTTGAACGCCAACGCTTTCCCTAACACACACCTTCACAAGGAAGAAGAAGAAGTCTGAGAAGAGAAATCTGAGAATTTTGTCATAAAGATTACCATGATTCTTTGATCCAAAAACCCCAAACTTAAGAGTAAGAGGAGAGGTGAGGAAGAAGAAGGTGAGACCAATGTAAGCAATCGATCCTAATTGAGTAAACCCCTCCAAGTTATGCTTGTCTTAGCCCCATTGCGCGTCCTCAGTCTGTACCTGCTGTTGCTGTTGAGAGTCTCGAGACTGCTGCTGTTGGTGCTGAGCTGCATTTTGGTTTTGGAAGCCATAGTATGCAGGGGCAGGCCATGCGTAGTCACTTCTCGCAAAAGGATTGTTGGGGTTAAGATTTGCTGCAGCAGAGGCTATTCCTTCGTTTGAAGAGAGCATTTCCTGGTTTGTTTGGTTCGAGGATTGTGACTGGGCCTGCGCTGCTTGGACGTTGTTGTTTTGCATTGGTATGCCATTTTGTGACATAAGTGCATTCTGGTTGGTCATGACGTTGACGGTATGCCCATTCTGAGGTATTGGTCTGTTCAGAGTGCCGTAAGGGGAGTGATTAGAGTGATTGGTTGCAAAGTAGTTTTGGGGTGTTTGGAGTTGAGAGGACTGAATCTGGTGTGCTTGGAGCTGTTGTTGTGTTGTTGTCATTGTCTGCGATGCTCCGATTTGGTTCTGCTGCTGGCTCTGAAGACGTTGTTGTGGACGTTGCTGTGGAGACTGGCTGCCAACCTTGTACAACAACTGCTGCGGTGGGCTACCAATGCCACGCGACGAGCCTTGGTTGAGCTGCGATAGTTGCTGACGATGGCTTGGCATGGTCTGTTGGCGTTGTGGGGTTTGCTGTTTCTGCTGTTGAGGAACTTGAGGCATTGTCTGTGACTGTGAGACCTGAGGGCGATGGCGAGGCTGATGCTGATGCTGCTGCTGAGAGTGAGGTTGGGGTTGAGGCTGAGGCCGCATCTGCCGTGGCTGCTGCTGAACATGCGGCTGCTGTGGCTGGACATGAATTTGTTGCGGCTGCGACCGTGGTCGGGGTGCAGTATGTGGTGCTTGCACTGGAGTAGTCGAGGAGCGCCGCTCCGTCTCGAACTCGCGTATCTTTGCTTTGGCTTCTTCCAACTCTCTCTTCAACCTTTCAAGCTCGGATTCGTTATTCGAAGCCTGACCAGAGTGAGACGCCTGACGGGAGTGCGGTGTCGACTCAGGAGGACCAGTAGGCGGATGTTGGTCCTCATCGATCGCGGATTCCGGATAGAAGCATTCCCGGTTTTTGTTGGTACACGTTTGGCATATTGGCCGTGTGTTGTCGCACTACAATCATGTCAATTCTGCAAAGCGTTGGTAGTAAGACGAGTGCCAACGTCTTCCACTCTTTTTGTAGACTTACCTTTGTCTTTTTTTTCTTGCACGCATTGCAACTGGTCCTGGGTCGCTTTCTTTGCGGTGTCTGCCCAATCTGAGATTCGACATACAGTGTGCTTTGTGGGACTGACGAATGCTCTTGTGCTGGCTGAGCAGGGCGAGGAGGGACAGGTGGTAGAGGTAGAGGTGGAGGTGGAGGTGGTGCAGAAGACGTAGGTACTATCTGTGAAGGTGCGTCTACTTGTATGAGCTCCAAAAGCGATCGAAGACTCTGAGCTCTTAGATCACTTTCAAGTGAAGTGTTGGACAGCCTCGGAGGCTCTGGAAGAGATGGGGTTGGAGGCTTCTTTCTCTTCGTCTTGGGAACGTCCGAATCCTCGCTGCTCACCTGTCTGGATCGAGTCGTAAGCCTCGCCAATGCCTCTGGATCGTTCTCCTCGAGATACTTTCGCCGCTTGGAATCTTTGCGTGGGGGTGGTGCGCGCTCTTCGTATGTTTTATGAATGGGCACATGCTTGTAGAAGACATCAAGCGTCTGCTTGGAGGCCGAGAACTTGACAGACAGCACGCCCTTACAGTCGTAGACAGGTTTGGTAGCACGCTTGCCCATCTTTGCGCCTTTGCCATTGGCAGCACGGTCCTTGTTGAGGAGCGAGTCGTTGCAGTAGTAGGAGAAGCGGAAGCTGTCATCCTCTCTGCTGTTCCAGCAATTGTGGAAGCTGTAACGGTATCCATCGATCTTCTGTATTGCATCGACGCAGCACTTTGCTATTGCCCTCTGCTTCCGCATCTTGTCCTTGGGGTCCGGCGTCGGCTGCAACGCTTCTGCGACAGTCAACTCAACCCTGAGCTCCACTTTCTTGGGCCCATTATTCGGCTCGACGGATTCGGCGAAGCTGGGCCGGGGTGCAAGAGTGGGGTCTGGGAGAGACTGATATTGCGGAGGCCTGGCGTATGGGGCAGACTGGTAGCCGGACGAAGCATGGGGTTGTTGGTGGTGAGGGAGGCGGGTCTGCTGTTGCTGCTGCTGTGGCTGCTGTTGCTGTTGCTGTTGCTGTTGCTGTTGCTGTTGCTGTTGTTGCGGTGGCTGCGACTGGGGCTGCTGAGATAGCGGCTGGGGCTGAGACGTGCGGGATGTAGACGTGGACGAGGGCGGTGGGACTGAGAAACGGGTGCCTATCCAGAAGGAGAACTGGGCATCTGTGTGCTCTGGGTCCTCTGGCGGGCTACTGAGATAGTCGCGAACTGAGGCCTCGAAGCGGTCAAAGGTGGTGATGTTGGTGAAGGGCACCGTCTTAGCCTGCGCGTCTCTGGGCTGGCGGCCGCGCGCGAGCTGGACGGGGGCGGCGGGCCAGAGGGCTTGGTCGTTGGCATGGCGAAGACTCTGGGGTTGAGCATGGGACGATGCCATGTCAAGTGGAGTCCGGCCCGCGAGCCAGGTTCAAGGCACCTGGAAACACTATCCCAAGGGTCAATACGGTGTTTTGGAAGTGGTACGGAAGGCCGTGCCAGCCTTGGCTTTCAGGCCGTCCCCAAGCCTAGCTTGACGGTCACGGCGGGTTCGAGGACATGGACATCCCAGCAGGCGTGCCAATGGCTGTCTACACCCACGCAGAGTTTTCGTCGAGGCGTCCGGAAATGCTGCAAGGCTAGAGGGTGTCGCAGCAACTGTAGGTGAGATGACGCATTCGCCCTTCTCTTGCTCCCCAGCTCCGCTGCTACCGCTAGAGGGCAATGCGAGGCCAACTACATCTCAATGTCGTCAACTACGTATATCCACGCGGAATAGCTACCTACTCAGGTCGCGGTTATCCTGTACACGTCAAGAGACTAATGTTGTGATCGACATTGATCCCCATCCCCACCCCCCATGGCATAGGTACCGTGCCAATCACGTGACCATAACTGCCTACTTACTAGTACTTACACGCAGGGTGCAACCACAAGGAAATGGATATAGGGTTGATGCAGTGCTCAAGATCCCGTGATCATTTTCAGGCCCGCAATTCGCTCATTAGTCCTCTCTTTGTAGACTGCACTATCTCTAGCTTGGCATTTCGATACGCGTTTACTGTCTCGATCAATCCGCACAATTGTCTGGCAACTAACAGTTGCGCCCTTTCGTCTTGCTGTGCCCTTTCTTTTCAATGGTAGGATTTGTGGATCCAGGAGGCGACAAAGCTACAAGCTCCTCAATAGGCAGCCATGCACCTCCATCTTCCAAGGCCCCCAGTTACCCCACACCAACACTTACCATGCCTCTTCCGTCTTGACTCACACCTGGTGTATATATAAATGTCAGCAACCCAATAAACATCAAGCCTAGAACTCAGGGTCATCTCCTCAAAATGGCTTCCAACAGTGATGCTGCCGGCTCACAGAAGCATTCAGTGCTGAGTTCATCCTTCCCTGTATTTCTTCCAGAGGATGTGGCACTACATATGTCAGAAGATGAGTTCCAGCATCTTCTGAAGCAGCAAATACATCCAGATGGCTTGAAAGAGCGCAGCGAACAGAAATCCACTGCCAATGGCAGCGAATCAGTCACCGTTGCTGAAAACGAGCCTGTGAGTAGCACCGGATTGAAGCGAAAGGCGTCGTCTGACGCTAACAATCTCCGTCTACAGAAAGCGCCATTTGTCACTGGCCTGGAAGATCACGCCGCCCACGTGCGAACAGATGAACAGCTTGCGGCCAACAACCAGACCTTGACGGAAAACGGCGACGTCACCAACATCTCATCGAAGAATGTGCTCGTGGACCTATTCTATGACCTTGGCCAGGCTACCGGGCCTGAAAGACTCAAGACCCTACTCAAAGATGCCTGGAACGAAGACCCTCTCCTAACTTTGAAAATCATATTCAATGCGCGCAGTATTCATCTGGGCAAAAGTAGTCGACTCACCACGTACATGGCCATGGGCTGGCTGGCCGAGAACCATCCTTTGACGTTTCTGGCAAACCTAAAGTGGCTAGTTCGACCCGTCATAGCGAAGAAGGCCGAATCAAAGCCTGAGTCCAAGGATGACTCAATCAAAAAGCTCGAAGACGATTTTGAAATGGTAAAGGTTGACGAGTCTAATCCTTCCAAAGCACACGACGTCAAGTACGGAATGTCGCATGGGTACTGGAAGGATCTTCTCAATCTAGTAGTATTTTCAGCAAATGACCAGCTCAAGTTCGATGGCGACCCTTCCTCTCTGCTCAATCAGGTTATCGATACCGCGGTAAACCCAAAAGAAACAAGAAATTGGGATCCCAAGGTTGCGAAAGAAACTCGACACCGCCAAAGACAAGAACACAACCAGCGGGTGCAAGGCAAGCTGAAGAACGATCCTTTCCATCGCGCGCTACACATTGCTGTCGCGAGACTGTTCGCAGAGCAACTCAAGTCCGACAAAGCCCTCTTGGATTCTGGAAAGGCATCAGACTTGAAAAAGATATCGCTGGCAGCCAAGTGGGCGCCCACCTTTGGTGAATTCCACGACAAGCAGACCTTCATTCAGTCTTCTATTGCCGAAATTCTCTTCCCAGATCCTGCCTTGCACTGTCCTGATGCCAGCAACCGCGAACTCTACCTCCGCCATGCCCGCGAGCTCTATCGAAAACAGTATGCATCACCTCTACGTAAGGCCCTGGGTGTCGTTGAGCGGGAGATTGCCGCGAAAACCTTTGAGAATATCAAGTATGAACAGGTACCATCACTTGCCATGGACCGTTACAGTCCACTTTTCATGCAGAAAGATGAGGAGCGCTTTACCACCTACGTCAACAACGTCACCGTCGGCACTGCAACCGTATCTGGCGCTACCCTGCTACCATCCACGCTAGTCAGCAAAGTACGAGGCACCGCTAGCAGGCAGGCGTCCCTGATGAAGGGCAAGAAATTCAACTTCAAGGCTGCCAAACAGCGCAATCAAGACAAGATACTTGGAGATCTCATCGATGGCCAGTGGAAGACTCTCGTCAAGCGCGTACGCGACGCAGGCACTCTGCAATCTAGCATCGCTGTATGCGACGTCAGTGGCAGCATGGGCAGTCCAGTATTCAAAGATGGCTCCTGCCCCATGGACTCTGCTATCGGCCTCTCCCTCCTCATCTCAGAGGTCACAGCACCGCCCTTTGGTAACGGCTTCATCACCTTTGAATCTACACCCGCATACATTTCTACGAGCGGCGCAGGCGAGGGACTTAGAGAGCAAGTCAAGTTTCTGGAGCGAAGCCCCTGGGGTGGTAGCACGGATCTCGTTGCCGTCTTCACAGACGTTATTCTCCCCATGGCTATCAAGAACAAGCTCAAGCAAGAAGATATGGTCAAGCAGATTTTCGTATTCAGCGACATGCAGTTCAATGAGGCCTACGAATCAGAGAGTCGATGGACATCCTCGTTCCAACGCATTAAAGATGCGTATGCGGAGGCGGGTTACGAGGTTCCGCGTCTCATCTTCTGGAACCTTGCTGGAAGCAGTACGAGCAAGCCGGCGACCATGGATGATGCGAATACTGCGCTTGTTTCGGGTTACTCGCAAGGTATGCTTAGGCTCTTCCTGGAGACTGGGGCGTTTGACGACGATCACGAGATCGAGGAGGAGGAAGTGGAAGTTGAGGGGGTGGATGGCATGATGGAGATTAAGAAGGTGAAAAAGAAGATTGATCCGTTGACAGTGGTCAAGAAATCGGTGGGACATAAGGCGTATAGTATGCTCGAGGTTGTGGATTGAGGGGTTGATGCAGTAAGCGGGAGAGATGTGGGAGTGTGATATTACGACACGTGATTACTATGTGACAACTTAACTTCTTTAGCGTAAAAGCTTATTGCATTAACTATGTATTTTTCTAGTTTAATGAAAATGTATTCTACTGTTCATGCTGTATGACCAAAATTCACAGTTTGTACTCTAACGGTTGTTTGATCCCTCGCCATCGGAGCCCTAACAAGTCCCCTGCAAGGCTAATGTGAATGCGCCTTGCGCCATCGGAAAAAAAGGTCCTGCAATGGAGACTACCGGAAGGCTGGACTTTATGTTACGCTTGTCGAAACCAGCTGTTCCAAACGGGCCGTCCGACAAGATGCGATTTGAAGAAGGTGCCAGGACGAGTATCAAATCGAAGCTAGCATTGAGCACAACGAAAACTTCAGCAGTACTCTCAGTCCCCAGACCTCAGTAGCACCACGAATACAAATCGTAACCCCACGCTCCCCCTCCTCTCCCCAACGCCGTCATCCGCACCCGTCACCCCCAACCTACCAATCATCATCACTATCCTCTCCCGCAATATCTCCCCCTTTAACCCTATCCACCACCCTCTTAACCCCCTTCTCCACGCTCTCCCCCTCAATCGCCACGCCCTCATGCCACACAATCGGATCCATGACCCCATCTTGAAACCACATAAGCGTCGGCACAAAACTGATATCCAGTGTGGTGCCCAGCTCCGGTAACGAATACATGTCGAAGCAGTACACATCTACCACATCGTGCTCTGCGTAGCTGGACGCTGGCAGCAGCTTATTCAGTGCGGCGACAACTTCGTTGGAGGTAGAGTCTTCGGGCCAGTAGGCAAGGAGGATGGTTTTGCCGGCTGTGGCTTTGATGCAGGCGACATATTCGGCTAGGTTTGTGATTTGGGTTAGGTATGACATTTTTTTTCCTTTTCCCCTTTTCCCTTGTTATCTTTTTTTCTCTTTACGCTGAGGGGGTTTCGATTTGTTGGAGTGATTGAACTTTTTTTGCTTTTTTGGGGGGTTGGCCAAGCTGCTGGGGTTGTGAGGTGAGGGTTCCGTTCGGAAGATTTGGGAGTGGCGCTACTAGCGCTGATTAAGCTTGCCCTGCTGCGGTTGATTGGCCGGGTGGAGATTTGTGTAAGGACATGCCTGCTTTAATAGAAGTCTCGCTAAGGTTTGCGATACAATGTAAGCAATTTCCAAGGCGTTGCCGGGTCGAGCCGTGTATAGGTAAGTTTTTCAAAAAGAACATGGGGTTCGTGATGTTTTTGCTTGTTGCTTCATTTTCAGTAAACGAAAAGATGTATTCGCTGTTAGTGCTGACAAGTACTGCATCAGTGAAACTTAAACAGCGGTTGCCAGTAAAAGGCCTGATTATCAAAATGCTTACGGAGAACATTATTTTGTTCCCATTCAGGAACCTGGGCGCGCCAGTTGGTCATCCCGCGCGTATAACCTCGTCAGAACCTTACACTTCCTTTTGGACTAATACCGGGGTGCAAAACTCTAGATGGCTCACTAGCATGTCATGCCGGAAAGGCAACATTGCGGTTTCTCGGCCTAATCTTGATGGCCGTTGAATTGAATGCTGATTTTACGCACGAACAAAAGTATATATCTCACTGAGAAGGCTCGTATTCCAATATGCCTCCCTTCGACCCAACTCTTTTCGATATAGAAGCACCCCTGTGCCCCTAATGGCAGACGGTATACAGGCTTCGCAGCGGTGGACGAAGAAGTGAGTAGTTTTCCAATCTACAACTAGTTTCGACAACGCGATTCGTATGTACCTCTACCCAGACCGGCATACAAACGACACTCAGCTAGCCTCTGGATCCTCTTCTATAAACAGGCTAAGATAACTGAGACCATTCTTCTACGTAGACTCATACTAGCTTCATTCGCTGTTTTCCTTGTCATCGTTCCCCTAAGCTATCACCATGCCATTCCCATCCAGCGATATCGCGACTACGTAACGGGTGATACCGTAGTAGAACTAAAAACAAACAACAACCCGCCGCAAACTCAATATTTTAAGTTCGAACCAGAATGGGATTGGGACGCACCCAACTACGCAAGTAGTCTGAATGGATTCAAGCGCGAACCGAAACCCGAAAACGTCATTGTCTTGACCGCAAGCGATGGAGGCGGCCACAACAGCGAGATCCCCAACTTACTAGAGCGGGTGCTAGAGAACCGGGAAGAATACTGTGCTCGACACGGCTACACCAGCCTCTGGCTAAACGCAAGTCGCTACGATATTGGAGATTTCCACCGGGTACGTCAACTCCCCCAGCGCTCATCCAAGCCCCTCAAATGTCTAACAACCGATGTAGGTATGGGCCAAAATCCCCGCCTTAGCAGAAGCCTTCTACCTCTATCCCAAGCCGAATGGATCTGGCTCATGGATGCCGACATGATCATCATGACCCCCTCCATTCCCCTCATCTCCAGCATCCTCAGCCCCTCCGCCATCGAAAAAGGCATAATGTGCAGCACTATGCTTCTCAACGGGGAAAACCCCCCAACGAACATCTACACGCCAACCCACTACCGCGTCGAAGATGTCTAAATCCTTGTAACACAGGCCCACCAGTTTGTCAATGCGGGATCCATGTTTTTCCGGCGCTCAGCGTTCACGCGGTTCTTTCTAGAGATGATGACGGATCGCACGATGTTGATGTGGAAGGAACATGAACTCGCCGAGCAGAATGCGATTAAGCATTTAATGTTCGAGCATGAGTTGGTAAGGAAGCATGTGGGTGTTTTTCCGCAGCGCAGGTTTAATGCGTATGCGGATGGGGAGCCACAGATGCTGTGGGGTGAAGGGGGTTTGGCGGTGCATTTTGCGGGGTGTTGGGTTGATCATCATTGTAAGGAGTGGTTTGAGGAGTATTGGGCGAAGAGAGGGAGAGATGGAGCAGAAAGGTGAGGATGGGACGGACTGAGGGGGTAAATCGGCCTCGACTTGGGATTTTGATTGGGAGCAGGGTTGGTATGTTATGAGAAGGTATGAACTGCGTTGAATCAGAGTGCATGCGATACCGTGATGGAAATCATGGCAGGATCATATTCTACGCTGAGAAGCGAGGGACCGGCCGTTATTCTAAATCTGAATCAGAACGGGACGTAGTGGCGAGCGTTCGGTTTAGCATTCTGTAAAGGCGTCCTATCGGGTTTCTACTGTATTGGCAGCAAGACACACTTATTAGTTAGACAAGTTCAATACGACTATACAAATATACTAAACATCACAATGATACTCAATTCCTATCTATTTATTTCGTCTCCCCCCTTTCCCGAACTTCTCACTTCGCCGCTGCCTTCGTCGTCGTAACCGTACTGACAGCCGTACTCGTCTTCGTAGTTCCACTGCTCACCGTTCTCGTCACCGTCGTCCTAGCCGGGCCACTAGTAATAAGGCACGAGCATGCAGATGAGACACCTGCATTACCCAGGCCAAGCGAGATACCAATGCCGCCGGGCAAGCCGATGGAGATGTTGAGTTGAGGGGAGCGCTTGCGCAGGGGGATTTCGGACGGGCAAGAGGAGTCGTAGAAGGTGTATGGGGATGTTGGGTTGAGGTTTGTGTTTTCGGAGCTAAAGTAGGGGGGGTTAGTAAAGGGGTTGGGGAGTAGGAGGGGGGGCTACGTACACAGTCACGTCGAAGAGCATGCAGTTTGCTTCGCCGTAGCCAAAGCTCTTGCATTTGGAGTCGGCTTTGCAGAGGGCGCTGCAGGCGTCGAAAGTGTTTTTTGTGCCGCTTGATTCGAAGTAGTAGGCTGGGGTTACTTTGACGTAGGCTGCGATGCCGCAGCTGGGTGGTCCAGTGGGTGTACTATGGGTTCGTTAGTGATATGTAGTCACTAAGTAGAATAGGAAATGGATGCTTACGGGGAAGGACTTGACACAAGAGTCGAGGAGACTAGCGTCGAGGATGGTGTTGTAGAAGAGGGAATAGATGATGACGATGGCGGTATGCGGGTGGAGGATGAAGATGGTGGTACAGGAGTAGAAGAAGTTGGTGTAGGAGTTGGTGTTGGTGTTGGCTTAGGGGTGGCTGAAGGCGAAATAGTCACCGTGGTCGTGGCCGTCGTAGTCGTCGTTCTCGTGAATCCATTGGTTACAGTAGTGGTGGCCGTTCCTGACCTCAAGATGTTGGAACAGAAAAGCAATGCTTCGGACGTGCGGCCTTCGAATGCGTCCAGTCCGCACTGGCTGACTGTTCATGCTGTTAGCTGTGAGCTTTTTCTAAGAAATGACTCTTCTTACCATCGGGGTTTCCGGATTGCCTCTTTCCGCGGACTGCCGCTTCAGCTGTCGCAGCAAATACTGCAGTGAGAATTGAGACCTTCATGTTGGTGGTTTACAGGCCTAAAGTGGTAGTGAGGTCTTTCACAAAGTGCTGAGCTCTCAACTGGTGCCGGATAGTGATCTTTGACCAGCAAGGTCAATACTTATAATACATCCAGAGGCGCCTGCCTTTCCCCATACTGAGTAGTGTAAATATAGTCAAAATGTATGGAGCATTGTGGATTCCAATATGAAATAAATGAACGGCTGGGCTCTCGGGCTTCTAAATTTTCGGTCAAAGCACCTCGGCCCAGAAGAACAAACCACTATTTTTGACAAGAGTAGTTAATGAACACGAAGCAATTGACCGCCACCCGCCGGGAGATATTGTGGAGCATGGCCATCGCACAGAAGTCTGCTCTGGTTCCTGCAGCTAGCAATATAGCTGTACCGGCTGTATGGTCGAGCGATATAGTGGCCAATTAGCCAAACACGAGAAATTGAACATGAAATCTGGAAGAGTTTGGGGAAATATGCATATACTAGAAAGCGGCTGGCGTTGCCGTGAACAGGTACATTATCCCTACAGATCCCGGTTCCGGCAAAATGCAGATGCAGGTGCACTACGACAAAAACAGCGACGATTTGTTTTTTGTTCCAGATACAGCTGAAGCCAGTGCAATCACTTCCGGAAATTGTCTCTTCATCTTGGCCGATCTGTAGTCCAGACGATTCGAAAAGACCCACAAGTAAGTAGGCCCCTGCAGCCCGGCGCTTAGCCGCCAAGTACACAGTACACGTCTGGACAACGGGACAGGCTCTGGAATACAGCAGAGCTACTCGCGGCGGACGGTGAACCAAAGCATCCTGGTATGATCTGAGAACCTGAAATGCCCCTCGGGGAGTGTTGTCATCCGGGTCTCGACGGTGAATTTGACACCTAATTCCTTTCCTATCTTCTCCCACATCTCCCTGAAGCTCTCTGGGCTATGCCGAAACATCGTCCCTACTGGCGAGGGTCCTTCCCTAGCCTCGAGGTCTCCGATCTGGGCACCAACAATCATCGAACCTGGCTGGGGTCGCAGCAATTCAAAAACAGCTTTGGAGACTACGAGCTGTGTTTCGTAGCCCCATAGATGGAAGAACTTGCCCGCATGGATAATATCGAAATACCCCTTGTACTCTGCAAGCGCGGAATCAGGATCAAAAATATCTGCCGTGATGAACTTGGTTGCAAGTTTGTCCCGATCCTGGAAAAGCTTGTATCCCAATTCGATGAAGTCGGCTTGGAGGTCGCAACCGAAGATATTCTCGGCTGGCGCACCGGCATGCACAAGCTCACGTATTGTATGGCCGAAGCAACAAGCCATGTCTAGCAACTTTTCGCCGTTGCGCACGCGTTGTATGATTTCATCGAACTCTTTGGATGGCTTTGTGAAGCTACGATCGACAAATCGAAATTGACCGATACATGGGTATGGATAGACTTTCCAAGCTTCATCACGTATTTTCACGACGTGGTTGAGAACTTGGTCCCGCGGAACGCCGCTGTAGCCTACGAGGACCTCGCGGATTTCCGGCGCTACATTGTCCTCGGTCGCATTTGGCACGTACCAGACGGGCATCGGGGACGGAGTTTCTTCACATTGCGCCATAATGAATGCAGTGGGTTTATAACGAAATAGATGATGGGAATGAATGGTGTCAACTGTTTCTGGTGTATAGGTCATTCAAACGCACTCACTGCTCTTAGATACTTATGTATGGCTCACCATGGTGGCAGGGCCGCCGCCGAGAAAGCACCGCAAGCAAATAGTAATGCGACCCAAACATCGCCTTAGCGCGTGGTAACTACTCAACAAACTTTCCGGTCAATCCGCTCTCCTCTGCAGTCAGTATTCGCGATACGTGTCTATGGCAGAAGAGTAAAAGAGGTACGACTGCCACAGTTGAAACTTGTAAACTAGATGTGGTAAGGCAGGATATATTCTGTGACAGTTTTGGCCTGGCGTGTGGTCAACTTACGTACTACTAGGATCGCCTTGGTTGATTTATGAGTTTGTATGCAGGATTAAGTTGCGCAATCACTGTTGGCAATTTACTATGTTGACATTACAGTGTAGCTACACTGATGCTAAGAAATTATATTGCTACAAGGTTGTGGTCAAAATAGTTCCGACTCGCATGTCAAACCGTGGTTGAGATAAGCTCGTCCCTTTTTCCTCACTCCGACGACTAGAGAGTTGAGCGAATCTTGTGGCGCAGAAGCTTAATAGTAAATATGCCTCCTTCATATCTACATGCTTGCAACCATGTTCTTGACTCAGCTTCACAATGCTTTACCCCCATCTATACAACATCGCAGTCCTGGCTCTCCATAAAATCCCCAATCTGCAAACATACTACTTACTCAACTCACTTCAACTCGAAGAGAACAAATAAAGTCACACCTTTAATCCCCCTCCCAGTTTTCAGAATGCTACTCCGCCATCTCCCTTCCGTAGCCAGGTACATCCACCATACACTTCTCCCCCAGCACCCCTTCATACTCCCCATTCCATCACCCCGCATCTTGACATCAAACCCATCCTTTTGACCTACTAACTTTCTGTTGTATCTGTATATTAGTGGTATGAACGCGCAGAACAAGTTGCATGACACAAAGGTAAAACATCAAGAAAAGCAAGACGGTGCAGATGGTGAGGATGCCGTCTGGATACCGACATATTCTGCATTCAACCCTGGTGCGATACGCTCGGTACCTGTTTCGCAATCTGGTGATACAGAGGTAGTGGGACCAGAAGAAAGTCGGAAGGATAAGGGGGAGGAGGAAGACTTGGATCTGGGGGTACGGGAAGATGTTTTTGAGGGTTCAGTGTGGATGGCTTTCCAGAGGTTTTTGTAGGGGCTGAGCGGCAACGAAGGGAAGTGAAAGGGGATGAAAGAATGGGGATCGATTATTGCGTTTGTGGCAAGTGTTGATATCGATTCATATTTCTAGAAGGAAGAGATGTGTATTTCGGAAGGAGGATATTTGGGGTCCTGAAAGGAAGGGAGGAGTGATTGAATTTGGAAAGCAGTAATTGTAGCAAGCCAGTGAGATGAGAAACCGTGTTTGTAAACCGTGGTTCCTCTGAAATCTTCCACAAATTTTCGATTACGCATTTGTTAGGAGTACTAGTTCCCTTTCATTTTCCGTGTACTACATATTCTACCTATCGTATATGTACGAATCTCATCCCTCTTCACTTTTCACCAATATGCTCCGTACGCTAAAACCCAAGTCAGTAGGGCCTTCAGATGACACTCCGCTAGTCGTGCCGCAAACACCCAGCTCGCCCATAAATAGGAGAGACCCAGCCCTAAATTCTGGACCTATATCCAAGACATTTCGTCTCCTCCCCCGCAACCCACGCACTATACGCAAGCTCAACAAGATCAAAGCCGCCAGTACAATACCTTCAGCGTCAACTAAGAGAGAGCCAGAGTCTTCAAGTACCGGGGGTACTACAGCGAAGACTTACACGTTCGAGCCCTCGCAACAAGAAAATGTAACTGTTACGATTTGGTCCACCGATTACTCCACCACGAATGAACTGGTTACCACGGAGTCTGAGAACAATGGTAATACTGAGACGGAGGAAGAGGATTCTGAACAACAGTGGCTAGACCATCTGATGGGAGCGCATGATGGAAGGGATCCGTATGGGTTGGCGAGTAAACCGTATCTTGATGCTGGGTTGCTGCCACCGTGGAAGCGGTGCCGATGGTGTGAGGAAAGCTTGGTGTGGCTGCAGGGGAGGGGGGGTTAGTTGAGGGCAGCTTGAGAGAGCGGCTGCCTAAGTTTCTTTGATCGCAGGTTCGTGGTTAGAAGTTCCTACTGCAAAGGTCTTTTTATAAAGGGGAGAAGGAGGAGTGGCGCAGTGGGTTTTCTTCCGGACACAAAATTCTTTTACCACAATGCTAAGGAATTCGCAAGATCGAGTTCAAATTTCTCCCCCTCTAAAAACTAAACGTAACTCTGAGACTTTGAAGACCGTTTCTATGTTCCTATGTTCAAATTAAATCTTCTTTGAAACTTCCAATTTTCAGGAAGGAGTTTTCAAGTTTTAGCGCCGAAGAAGCTTTCTTAATTTCTCCTGGTTTGACCGCTACACCGCTTCTGAGCAAATTACTGTATCTAGCTACTGTAGAGAGCCACTGTATAGTCAATACAAAAATTATTATAACAAAGAGGACAAAGTAGACTTATTTAGTGCATTATACGCTTATATCCAGTATACCAGATTTCTTATTAAAGTTCTACTAGGGTGCTGTTGCGGGTTTAATCTGGCGGAGAAGGAGCATGGCCTCGTCAAAAGCTAGGGCTCCCTAATAAGCATTTACGCCTTTATCTTCGGTATTTCCCCATCTTGACTTCCAGGCTTCTTTGCTCTGCCCCGGTGAGCCGCGTAGAATGAGGTATTATCATCAGTGAACACGGAACCTAATATATTCATTGAATAAGATGATGTGAACATCCGATTCGGGATACATCAGAATACGTATTCATAGCTTGACTACTGTTTCTTTTTCCCTTGTACAATATCGCTTTGTGTTGGCTTCTGTTTAGTGTCGTAGATGATGATACTGAGGATAATAGCGTTGACGAGAAAGAAGAGAATGCTAGACAACCAAAGTCTTGGTAAAAACGTTGAATGACCGTTGAACTCAAGTTGAAAGCCTTGTTGAAGCCAGACGGCTTGGCCAGCGATCCAAGCAACAATGGCAGCGATGCCAATAGGGGCTGATTGCAGCAAGGTTGATTGTGGAAGGTAGTATGGCAGGAACATCATGTACCAGAGAAAGTACTGGAAAAATCAGTATCCTAGCGAGATTCCAGATGCATCACACGACTTACTTGACTTGTGCAAACTTTGTTGAAAGTGACAAATGCAAAGGTTTGCGCTAGCATTGTGTTTGGTAGATCCTTTTTTGCCAACGCAAGTGGGATGAAAACAGCGCTGAGCAGCAGCTGCGGAAGGAATGCGAGCCGCTCCAGCTCGAAGGATGCTGAACCTGATTCAAGGCCTAATTGATTTGGCGAAGAATTGAGATACAATAATGTGTTGTATGGCGAGAAGTTGTGGCGATGATCACTACGGATCAAGTGATAGAGATAGCTATGCTCAAGGAACGGCCAACCGTACATCTGGTACATAGCAAGATTCAAGACAGTAAACGTGAAGAGACTGTAAAAGGCCAAGGACAACCTAGGCAGAGTGATGAAGGCTTGAATCTGACCAAACAGTGATCGTGAAGATTGCGAAGCGGCCGATTTCGTGGATTGGAATTGAGTCTCGTCAAGAAACCAGACGATAGAGACGGCGTAGATGAATGGATATATCTTGAAATGGACCGTGAATCCTAGTAAGAAACCAGCCAGCGGCACATTCTTCGCTAACACTGCCCACAAGAGTGCGGTGACAAACACTCCAAGCAGTCCTTCAGAGCTACCCCTTGTACTTATGGTAGCTACCATTGGGTTTAGTAGCCAAATGCTTGCAAATTTCAGGGCTCTCTCATCTCCCATTTTCTTGTACTCCTTCAAGATGCGGAACATCATCCATCCAGTAGCCACATCTCCAACAGCGAAGAGAATCTTTCCGAAAGAAAACCAGAATTTTCCCGACCATACAGTAGGATAGATGAGCCATGCCAAGAGAGGCGTATAACGATACGTGTCTCTAGCGTATGGCGGTTGGCCCCGCGAGATGTAACGTGCAGCATCAGTAAAGACATAGTAGTCGATATCTGTATACTTCATTGGAGAATTCGCATCTTGCCACAAACCATAAATGAGGAAGACAGCGCGCAAGACGACAGAAGCTGTAAAGACCAAAACGGGACTGCGAAAAAAGGAGGAAAGAGCCATTGTGTCATTGGAGGGTACAGAACCCGCACAATCTTAAAGGAAAAACACAAGACAGAAACGGGGTGTAGGAAGCAACGATTGGAGAGTACCTGGTGCAAGAAGAAAGGAGATGGTGGCTTCCGCAGCATGCAAGAGCAGTCGCATAAATCTAGTCCGCAAGAGGAATAGCTTTCACGTGATAACGTGCATTAGTGCATAGTCGCAGCGTTTGCTTGACGTCGTCTACAAGGCATTAACCAGGAAGACCAATGGGGCTCAAACGACCAAGAGACGGAAACATGGCGGACGAAAAGCCAGAACAGTCGTCGTCACCTTTTGTGAGCATGTTTGAAGGGTTCCGTGCGGAGCTGGATGAGCATCATGATCGTCGAGAAAGGATTATCAAAGCATCGCGCGACATTACCGCGTCAAGCAAGAAGATGTATTGGATTTTTTTTAACAAAATTTGGCTCAGCAACTAACAATTGAACAGCATCTTCACCCTTCAAAGGTGAGTTGTTTGCCATTACAGTCTTCATGTAATAATCTAACCTGACTAGGGTCCGGGCTGTTGGCCAAGCATTGCCACCCTGGGTCACTAAGAAGAATGCTGAGTACTGGGAGACTATCCAGGATCGATACAAGAGCATTGCTGCCGATCTTCAAGAACTCAATGCCTACCGATACTCTCACAATATCACCGGCGGAAATCAAGAGTTCATGGAAGCGCTCAGTTTCCAACATTACCTGGAAACCCAGTCACTCATTTCATACGATGAAGCAAAATCACGGATTGCTAGCATGAGCGGTGAAGCAGGGCCCATTGCTTTTACCTCAGAAGACTACATCCTGGGCGTATGTGATATGACTGGCGAGCTCATGCGCTTCGCTGTCACAAGCATGGCTACCAGTGGAAAACTCCCATCCGGCAAACAGGCAGAATCGAATAAGAGGCTGAAGCAAGAGCACGACCAGGAAGACGGCGGTGACAGGATGGAGATTGATGAACAGACGCCGGCTGCAAATGAGACGCAGAAACCACGGACTGTCCTGGATGACTTGAGGGCGGTTCGGCTGCAGCTTGAGATGTTTGAGGTACCTGGGGGATCCAAGTTTGCAGCTGAGCTGGAGATGAAGAAGATGCCTGTAATGCGGGAGTGTGTAGACAAGGTTGAGAAAGGGCTGTATGGGCTCACAGTGCGTGGAAATGAGCGTCCCAAGGGCTGGATGCCAGACATGAGCAGTGGCAGAGGCAATGAGGTGGAGAGCTACTGAGCAAGCATGAGTGGAATAAGGCGGGCTTTACTGTCTTTTGGCCTAGCTAGCAACTACGTAGTATGTACAACGTGGAGAAATGAAATGCTGCGTGAACTGTGGCTGTGTGGCGCAACCCCCACTTGGCGTGAGCACCTCATCACTGGGGGGAATGCGGGCCCGAACTTCACTTGCCCAACCGCCGTGACAGTAACACACCAACGCAACGACTATGAAGGGCTGCGTCATTCCCCAGCCTGACTCATTTCCTCGCGCGCTGCTCCAACCCAGCGCGACTACAATGCCCACGCCTTGAAACACTGCGCCACGACGAATGGATTGTTGCTCCGCCCAGCAAAGCCGCCGCCGATAATAACAGCGCAAGCCGCACCCGTGGTTCCCAACCCAGACGCAGCAATCAATATCCGCCCTCGCCCACCATCACATTTCCCATCGCTGCGACAAGTTTCCCCATCGCCACCACGGCACCCGCGCCACCATGCGCCGAAGCACTTTTCCCTCCCGGCCCAGCAAGCCCGATACGGCCATGCGCGCGCCCGAGCCACCCAGGCGCAAGGTATTCAACTGCATCGTCGACGACACTGCCCTCATCGCCGGCGTCAAGAAGAGCACGCGCGACGGCATCCGCAAGTGGATTTCCCAGGACGCCATCCGCCTCTTTGTCCCGCTGCACAGTAGGCGATCACAGCATTGCCGCTTCCCTGTCCCCCCGCTAACACGAGAATAAAGCTCTCACCCAGCTCCATCGCCTCAAGAATGGCACAGAGCGCATCAACGCCGACGCGCGCGAAGCCGTCAAATGGCTCGACGAAGTCACGTCTAACGAGGCTGCAAGCCGCGTCCAGCTCGAAGGCGCCGACGAGGCTTACAGCACCTGGGCCGAGGTGGAGCATTTTCTGCTCCCCGAGACCCTGCTCTCCATGGAAGACAGCGAGTCGGACGACGATGACTACCACGAAGACCTAGAGAGCTCTTTCAACGCCCTTGACATGTCTGACGAGACATCCATGAGTTCGACTCACAGTTTCGACGACATGTCAAAGATGCTCGAGTCCCCGCGCTCCTTCTCCAGCAGGAGCACCAAGCCCGCCAACCGAGCCATACACGCTGACAAGGCTGCCGCTTTGATCGGGGGCTCCCCGGACCGTACCGCTCGTAACAGCACCGGCAGCACCCGTTCTGGGAAGGCGACCAAGGGCCCCGTGCCCATCTATCTCCAGCCCCTCTTCAATCATATCCTATGGCACATCAACAAGGAAGGAAACCCAGATGCCGCCCTCGAGTCCTTCATCCTCCTCACAAACGACCCTGCGAAGCAGGCAATTGCCCAGAAATTCGGCATTCGCGCTAAGCGCCTCGAACAGCTACGGGATGCGGTTGCTCGTGAAGATCGTGAATACAAGAACCATTTGACCATTCACAAACTCGAGGTCGAGGCGAGTGCTGCTAAGGGCAACAACTCAGGCGCGTCCAAAGCAGCGGAGCGACCCAAATCCAGTCCCGCACACGAGACTAAACCCGAGGAAACATCGGACGATGAGGATGAGGTTCTCTTCAAGCGCGCCCCTCGAGGTCCAGCAGTTACCAATAGCCCCAAACCACGTGTTTTCGATCCCAACGACTTCGCGCGTACAACACAGCAGCAATCCCCTCGTGGTGGACGCGGTGGGCATGGATCGCCTCGCGGTCGCGGCGCTGCACCCTTTCGAGGCCGTGGTAACTTTGCTCCGCGGGGTGCGTACGTTCCCCCAGGCCCGGCTTTCCGAGCCCCACCAGCTCCTCGTCATGATCCCAACGCACCACTCGACCCCGACTCGTTCTCTCGTCCGGCTCCCAAGGTAGGCCCAGTCCGGGGCGGTAACAGACGAAAGCTGTGGGAGCCGAATTAGACGTACGGGAATAAGCGTCAACAGAGACGCAATAGTCACAACTCCTATTACCATCATGAGCGTTTGAACCGGAATGCTACATATGACCGAGAAACAGGGCGTCAGCACAGATAAGGGATCGAGTAGGGCCAGCCCCTGTATTGTATAGTGGTCGAAGAAACTCCCCTTGACATAATAACGTGCCATGATCGACCAACATGTTGCGATCACGATCTCGGGCTACTGGTTCTCACGGAGCACGGCTGTTTCTTCAAGACCTAGTTGCCGGTCAAACTGCAACAAATTGTTGCGATGCCTCTTCGACTGACTTGGGCTCGACCATCGAAATTTCCTCCACGACCCTTGACACTGATTCGAGTACGCGTACCACCCCTTTGCGGGGAATGCGTGTTTCTTGTCTTCGTGTCTTATTCCTTTTCCTTTTCCTTTATCATTGATCTTCGACTAAATTGAAACTATCAGAGCTAGGTATAAGGGGAGAAAGTTTCTTCGTATTTGCTCTTTGTATGGCTTTTTCTATGGACCTTTTCCTGATTCGGTATGCTGTGAAGGAGATACGTACAAATGTAGTATTTCTACGAAGTACTGTCGAATTTTCTATAGCTACCATCCATAGGAATACATATGTTTTGCGTGTTTTTTTAAGTCACTCTGTATGCGACGCTCAATGAAACAGTGAATGAACATTCTCTCACTACGTACGTCTGCGAGATGCTGCTATGAACAGAAAAGGAAGAGAGGAAATCATGGAAAGTTCCAGCGCCGAACAGACATGGATTCCAAACAATACATTTCTACCTTAAACACTTCAAAAAATCAAGGTTTTCAACCACCACACCAAATACCACTACACTACCTCCCCTCTCAACACCCTCCCCAAAGCCGACCCCCTCTTCCGCTTCAACTCATGAAAACTCCCTTGCTCAACCACCCTCCCTTGCTCCATCACAACAACATGATCCGCAACCGCCATCATCTCTCTCGCATGCGTAATAACAACAACTGTCATACGTTTCCTCTCTTCCTTCCCCCTATCAAGACCACCAAACGACGTCGAGCTCGTACCCGGCGAGCCACTCTGCACATAATAGTCGGATAACCCACCAGACCCGGAACCCATAGTACTACTGCTTCTACTAGCAGGGCTGGCACGTTTCCGCCCCACAAGCCGCATCACCGTCTCGCGAATCACGTTCATAGACGAAACATCCAGCGCGCTGGTTGCCTCGTCCAGAATCAAGACGTCGGGGTTACGCACGAGGGCGCGCGCAATGGCGAGACGCTGGGTTTGGCCGCCGGATAGCATGGTGCCGCCGGCGCCGACGAGGGTATTGTAGCCGTTCGCTAGGCTGTCGATGAAGTTGGCGAGGCCTGCTGCGTGGGCTGCTGCGCGGATGGAGGCTGGGCTTGTTTCAGGGGCGGAAGGGGATAAGCCGTATGTTATGTTTTGAGCGATTGTACCCAGGAAGAGGGTGGGGAACTGGGGGACGAGGGCTATGCGGGAGCGGAGGGAGGAGGTGGATATTGTGGAGATGTTTTGGGAGAAGAGCCAGAGGCCGTTTGTGGGGTTTGTGGTGTCGATGTCGGGCTGGTAGAGTTTGAGGAGGAGGGAGGCGACTGTGGACTTTCCGGAACCAGAGGATCCGACGATGGCGGTGCAGGATCCGGGAGGGATGGAGAAGGTGAGATTGTGAAGGATGCGGGTGTCTTTGCGGGATGGGTATGTGAAGTTTACGTTTTTGAAGCTGATGTCAGTGATGAATTGGATTGGTAGCTTTCCTGCTGCTTCGTGGGAGTCGGTAGGAAGTCGTGCCAGGCGGAGTAACCGTGTGCTAGCATCTCTTGAGATGTTGATCTGAGTGATGTATTGGGCTAGTGAACTAATGTAGTTGACGCTCAGCATGAGTATCAAGAAGCATTCCATGACTTTGCTCGAGGTATACTCGTTCCTCGACATGAGCAGGGCGCCATACCAGTACAGCAAAATAGCCACAAATATGACGCCGGTAAATGCCAGGCCAAAGATAGAGCCAGAGTAGAAGGCACACTTCATACCTAGCTTGACTGCCTCGGTTGTCGCATGGCGATACTTCTTCCGAAAATGGGTTTCCAGTCCCAGACATCGGACTGTCCTGATGTTCACAAACGTCTCTTGTAGCGTCTCGCCTACTTTATCTTCAGACTCACTAGATAGCTTTTCCCAGTGATTGCTGATCATGTTGTTACATTTTATGATTGTAAAGAGGATAGGGCCCATCGCAAGCGCTACAAGTGCTAGTTTCCACGAAATAGCCATACTCCATGAGATCGAAATTGCTACCATGAGTATCATGGCAAAGAATATGCAGGTGAACCTTCCGGGCAGATTCCTTGCTTCCTCGGCAAAGTGGTCGAGTGTTTCGGTCAGGCGAGTTGTGCTGTTCTCTTCCTTGTCAAAGAATTCGCGCGGTTGTAGCAGGATCCGACGCAGAGCCTCTCTTTTGAGTGATAAGCTCCAGGCTTGTGCTACCGCGTCTGAGAGGAAGAACATAAAGTACTTTGAGAGACCGTCGGCAGTAGCAATACCAAATATTGCGAGGGCGTAGTTACGTGCTTTGTTATGGCTTTGAGAGGCGGACTCTTGAAATGTACCAAGAAGTCGTGCGAAGACCCAGGCGAAGACTGGAGTACAGACCGAGTGGATGATGGTGCACATGAGAGCACCAAACATAAGTATGCGGGAGCGCCAAGTTATTGCGGGCCAGACTGATGCAAGGATTTCTTCTAGGGAAAGTGATTCTGTTGAGGTGGGAGGTTTGTCTGACGCATTCTTCATGTGACGTGAGAGTTGGAGTCGAGAGAGAATATGATCACGCTTTCGTTGCTGTTTTGGTGTCTCTGGTCGTGCGGGTATCGGATTGGGTATTGAACGAGGCTGCGGATACTGGCTAGTAGGCGATGTGTGTTGCACTAGTAGTGTGGAGTCTGGTTGTAATCTGACTTCTTTTGGAAGATGAGTTTTCCACTCATCTGTATCAAACCTTGGAAGCCGCTCCAGTGCCACATCTCCCGATCCTAAGTCGATTTCCTTTGTTGAGAGAGATCTTGTATCTGGAAAACTTTTGTAACGAGTTGATACTTGTGGATTTCGACACCCAGTAAACGAATGTTGAGTTGTTTGTGTGCCACATCTCAGTGACCTATTCGTTTTAGTGTCATCTTCCGTGCATCCATTGTGATCAGTATCACTGAAACGATGCCTCTCTTCCTCTTCATGTGACTCTATGAAGGTTCGAAATACTCCTCCTTGATCTTCAAGCTCCTTTCTGTATCCCTCTTGTACTACTCGGCCATCTCCCAATAGGTAAAGGAAGTCGTCAGACCAAATCTGCGAGATATCGTGGGTAAAAATAATTGTTGTCTTTCCCTTGCGCCATTCCCGTGTTGCTTCGTATATTCCCACTCTGGTAGCATAGTCAAGCCCACTGGTAGACTCATCCAAAATCAGGACAGGCGAATTCCTGATCTTTGCTCGTGCTAATGCCAGTCTTTGCCTCTGGCCACCACTCATGGAATCACCTCTTAAGCCGAGTTTAGTGTTTAGTCCGTCAGAGAGTCCTTTTACAACCAGGTCCAGCTTTGCGAATCTGACAGCGTCGAGGATATCTTGCATATGTAGTGTCTCGCCTGTTTTCCCTAAAGCGATATTGCCATGGATAGTATCGTTGAACAATACACCATGCTGCTCCACAAGTGCAATGTTCTTTCGTAACCAGTGTACATCAAGCTGCTCGATTGGAACACCATCAAAGAGTATCTGGCCAGATGAGGGGTGGTAAAAACGCATAAGAAGCTGACCTAGGGTGCTCTTACCAGAGCCGCTCTTTCCGATGACGAAAGTGGTTTTTCCAGCTGGTATGAACAGCGAGATATCACGAATTGTTACAGCTTCTTTGCGAGAGGGGTAGGAAAAATCGACCTATTCTATCAGCGGTTTCCATAGATGAGGCAGAACAAGCATACCTTTCTGAATTCAATGCTGCCAAGACAACGCGCAGGCTTGATATGACCTCGCGATTCCACTTGCTGGTCAGCCGTGGCGGTATGTTCCATTAGCGTAGCCAGATTGGTACCTGCCTCTCGGCCCTTGGTTAAGACTACCAATTGGGGCATCACCGACGCCAAGGAGGATGTCGCCATGAGGACTGACCAGAAGGTAGTTAGAATGTCTGAGGCTTCATCATCTCCATTACCAACTAGGTATTTACCGTACCAGAAGCCTTGGGCGAATATGCTAATGGTGAAGAACTGCATGATGCCAATTTGTATTGATCGGAAGTTTGCTACCCGTCTATAGAGGCGTGCTGCAAGACCAGCAGTCCTTGCGAATATGTGAAGCTCGTATCGTTCCCCGTTAAGACTCTTGACTGCCTCGATATTGGATATCGCTGCTGTCATATACTTCAGTGTAGATTGGAGCATTTCGGACTGTTCGCGAGTTCGAAGCAATTGTCGGTTCGCAACCAGTGTCAGGAACAAGTATAGGAACGGGACACTGCTCATAACAACCAGTGCTAGCTTCCAAGAAAAGTAGAAAGCGACTCCCAGAGCTGCAAGGGTCTGGACAACTGCTTGACAGAATTCGCCTAATGGCGATGATACTGAGAGCTTCAAGCCACGGATATGCCTGCATTTTGTCAGTTGGAATGAGCGATGTTCAGGTTCCAGCTAGCCACTTACGCCTGCACTGTCGACAGAAATGCAGCAGTACCAGTTTCGCGCGTGTCAAACCACGCCATGTCTTTCTTAATGAGCGCATCAAATATTCGATTACGGGCACTCCGTGCCTGCAGCTCACTGAATGTAAGGAAGCAAAAACACTGGAGACTGTTCGCGATCCAGTTGACTGTGCAGATTCCTGGAAGTATTATACAGTATCTCGTCATGTTGCTCATGAGCGTATAGCTGTCTGTTGACCCAGCGCCATACATGGTGTACTGCCCGAAGACAAGCCCATAAAGAACTGCGAAGGCGGGCATTGTGAGGGCCGCGATGGTCGTTGATAGAAGGCCACATATTACTACCGGTACATGGCGTGTTGTGGTGAAGCCAAACAGAACCTTCCAGCCGACCTCTGAAATGTATTTCTGCTCTTCAGATGCTTGTGCGTTCGTTATCTTATGGCTATCGGCACCATGCGAAGGCGCGGCAGTAGCCATATTGCCTCGGAGGCTGCGATTGTGTTGAGAAAGTGGGGGCGTCGTTGAGATTGACACGCAGAGCCACACATGGATGAGATTGCGATAGCAAGTGAAAGTGAAGGCGCAAGAATGCGTTGGGACCAATTGGGGCCTGAGCTTGGTGAGTACACAGGCTGCTTCTGTCTGTTTGCAGCTTGCACAAAGCACTCCGTTTTAGACATCATATTGTACCTGCCCTTGTGACATTTGGATCAGAGGCGACAAAGGTATCAGCTCACTTTCCAGGTCACTAACATAGACTATTGTCCTGAAGTCAGCCGCACTTTTGGTCCGAAATTTCTAAATTTGGAATGAACGACTGGTATTGTACGAGTATGTTCAGCCATGCCCCAGCTGCAAATTGTGCAAATAATAGATTCCGTTCACAATCATTCTCTATGAAATGAGGATATTAAGTTATCTAACATTGTGAGCAGTTTGGGATGTTGAGTAATCTGAGTCTCAAATCGAAGATTTGTGAGTAGAAACAGCAACTTTCTCATTTTTCCATACATCGGAGATTAAACTCCTTTTGTATGTTTAGTGTTGGGCTGTTACATAGAGAGAATGATATGATATACTTAGACTAACTGCACTTTCTGGGCGCAAGGGATTACCATGTGCAATCTAGCGTGTGGTTGTAAGGGCGTTTTGAACTAGTTGCTTTCACGTTGCGCGCTAACTCTCCTTAATATTGTTCTCTGCGCATAATGACATGGTTATTTGAAATCACAGCACTACGAATTCTTCGTCCTATCGCTAGTATGGTATTGTTAAACTTGTTACTTGCCATCCAAAATACATTTTTGTGATTTATAACCTTGCTAAGTTGAAAATCGGGTGTAGCGACTTGGTGATATATTGTTATGGCATGCATGAGCAGAATCAAGTATCCGCACATGAATCGACTTTGATGTATTCCCAATCTCAGCATAGTGTACCATCTCGGACGATTTGCCAACGTCAACGGTCGCTTGTTCAGGAATGGACGTAGACAAACAAAGAACCAACTTTCTGATTGGCTTGATCGAAGGCTAGGCATGTCGCGGGCTGCATGTAGCTAATGCAGGTGCACGTTTGAACTCCTAGCAGATGGGGTTGGGTATCTATATTGTGCAAACCGTTATATTTGGATTATTTCCCCTGCGCCTTCTCGTAGATCCAGTCGTTCAAGCCTTCGCGATTGCTGTTCAAATCAGTATTGATTGGGACTTTATAGGCGGCGCAAACTGACCGTGCGATTTCGATGGCATAGAACTGCATGCGAACAGCAAATATGGTGCCTTCTTGGTCGTACTCGGTCTTGGGGCTTGCGCGGAGCATAGTGCCGAAGTTGTAGTCCTCGACCTTGTGCTCGTACTCGCTGATGAACTTGCGCCACCGCTCCTTGCCCTCCTTGCTCTTCATCTCATCCTCGTTCAATGTGGCGGAGGCGTCGAACTCGGGGAAGTCCTTCTTGAGGTGTTCGTAGATTTCATCGTCGATCTTGGTCAGTCGCAGTTTGGAACCTGGGACTTTTTCAAGAATCTTCCAGTATGTCTCCATATGCTGCACAACTGCGCATTCGTGTTAGAAGAAGTGACGTTCAATGCGCGTAGCTTGCTATACCTTTGACGGCGAACTGCTTCTCGATCTATGCCTTGGTTAGTCGGTCTGCACCGGCTTTCGCGCTCAAGTGCCCGCCCCACGTACCTCCTCGAAGTTCTCCGTCTCCTCAGGGTTGATGGTTGTGCCTGCTGGACCTGCTAGAGCCATTTTGACGGATTATGCACAAACTTCGGTGTGGTGGTGAGTGCAAATAAGAAGATGGGTGGTTGTGGTGTGAGCTGTGTGCCGCCACTCAGGCGCATAGAATAGCATGGACAAAAAATCGCAGGAACGCTTCGTCATTGCCCCGCCTTGCACTCGCAACGGAAGTTGCGCGGGGCTGACTCAACCCCAAATTTCCATCTGCCATACTCTCGCACCTCACGTGCCGTCCTTCGTCGCCAATGTCACCGACTCTGCATGTGAGCGCGCATCGCGAAAACCTAGACTGCTACTGATCAAAGCAGCATGAATGCACTCGCGTACCCGTGACCGCATTGGCCTCGTGCGGTTCCCTGTACATTGCCGCAGAAGGCCCATTTCTGCGCTTCTATCATGCCAAGGACTCACGATGCATTGCTTCGCAGCGCGTCTTCAAGACGCAAGCAGTGCATGGTATACGCATCTACTCGGAAGAACCTGCGCGTGTCATCAAGCTCATCGCCTGGGGAGGGCGACTAGTCCGTGCCTTTGAGATCCATTCGGCGGCTGATGATCATGATTGCTTGACTTTCTTTTCATCTAACGTTGCTAAAGCGCCAGACTGGATTTTTGACCTTGCACCTAGACCAGCAAGTTTGGCTGATGAATCTCCGTATCAAAAAGGAATGTGTGTTGCTGTTACCGCTCATAATGCTCTGCTGCAAGTGACGGTCCAAAAAACCACAGACACTGCGTCGGCAGATGGGTGCGCATCCCTGACGCTATCTTTGCTCAACTGGGACACATTCACTAACGTACTTTTCTCAGAGCTATCTCAGTCATTATTTCAGACTTGACATCAAGTTCTCGATCTATCCTTTACTCTGCGCACCTGTTCTGGGAAAACCCGAATCGGGTCCTTGTCGCTGCTGGCACGGCATTTGGCGAGATCATCTACTGGTCATGGTCTGATGACAATGTTGATGTCCAGGCATCTCTCATTCATCGCGTGTTTCTCGGTCACGAAGGATCGATCTTTGGTGTCCGTATCTCTGAGGAGCTCTCAACTGAGTGCTGCCAGAAATTGAGGCGAGTGGTCGCAAGTTGCAGCGATGATCGAACGATTCGATTATGGGATGTCTCAGACGTTAATACGAATGCTACCACACCAAAAGCTGGAGACAATGAAGCCGAAGTACCAAGGACGCGTCATACTGGCTTCAGCAATGAGGCTTTTGACACCCACGAGTTTGGCAGTTCGGATTGTCTTGCTATCGGTTGGGGACATCTTTCCCGTGTCTGGACAATACGCTTTCTCGAAACATCACCCTGTAGTGGGTCGCTTTTACTTCAATCAGCCGGAGAAGACGCCACAGCAAGGACTTGGGAGCTTTCGCCAAACTCTGCAGATAAATCCAATCTTCCATACAAATTACTAGAGCTGGACTGCACAGCATATCACAGCGGCAAGAACATGTGGTCTTCAATCATCGCTCATAATCTCACCGGGTCGCAGCAAATGATAGCTGGAGGGGCCGACAGCAAGATCACGTCCACACCGTTGCCTCGAGTTTTACAGGCTGCAAAGAATATATCCCGCAGTGTCGCCGAATACACAGTGAACGATATACTATCATGGACACAGTCCACTGTTTCTGGTAGCGCGGATGCTCTATCAACCGATGTGCAAAAATCCTCGAAAAAGGCAGAATTTTTCAGAAGCTATTGCTTTGTAGATGAGACTAATTTCCTACTTACAACCAATTCTGGCAAAGTATTGGTCGCATCCCTATCTTCTGATTCGGATCGGAACGACACAAACCTTCTGTCAAACTCTACTCTCCTTGGACAGCCTGAAGACCTTGCCGGCTATTCCGTTTGTGCAAGTAGCTCTCAACCTGGCATTGCATTCATCGCAGGCGCTAACGGCAGCATCTATGTTTACCGTAAGAATGCCGGGACATTGACCAAATTGTATGCAATGGGCAGTAAGGTCGGCGAAATATTCGCCGCGGATGTGCTGGAATCTTCCTGCAGGAATGCAACAGTGTTACTCGTGACGCTTGTTGGCCAGGGCAAAGCGCAGTTGTTATACGTGGATCCTACGCACGATACGGAGATTTCAAAACACGTACAAATACCTATATCCGATCATTTGACGGGGTCTGTTGTTACCAGTATGGCCCATCTAAGAATCTCTGATAGAGAATTCATAGCTGTTGGGTTTCGACGTGGTTCCATCGCCTTGTACAGCATAGATGTGGATGAAGGCCAAGCCATGTTGGTCAAGGTCATTGAGAAAGCACATAGTGGTGAGACGGTCACTTGTTTGCAATGGGTCGGTTATCCTGCAGAGTCATCCCAAGCCCAATTGTACTCAGCTGGGCGGGATGGACGTCTTACTGTGCATGATATGGATCTGTCTACAGAATCCAGCACCTTAGTTCACGACCTTGCCCTGCCGTTCGGTCCTAATCTAGAGGGTCTATATTTGCAGGAGGATCGCTTACTCGTCTATGGCTTCTCGAGTAAGAAATGGTATCTCTACGACGTCACCAATGAAGAAGAGGTGATGAGCATCGACACAGGGGGTGCGCATAGAAGCTGGACATATCGTCCACATTTGAAACTGGGAGGAACGCTTGTGTGGACTAGAGCCTCTAGTATGCATATTTATAGCCAGTATGGTATGAACCATACAGTTATCCGGTCCGGTGGTCATGGGCGTGAAATCAAAGCGCTCACCGTGTCGTCCAAGGACAATTCAAGGTCTCGCAATCGTCTCATCGCCACAGGAGCTGAGGACACGGATATTAAGCTGTTTCAGTATACCGATGGAAATCTAGTTTGCCGAAGGACGCTTCGGAAACACACGACCGGAATCCAACATCTCCAGTGGTCGAAGAGTGGCGATTATCTGTTCAGCAGCGGGGGCTGCGAAGAATGTATGTCCTAGTTTCTTATTGTCGGGCCACAGAACCCATGATGCAACTTGCTGACCATAGCTGCAGTCTATGTGTGGCGTGTCCGGGATCTACCATCATCGTCTCTTGACATTGGTGTCGTTTGCGAGAGTGTCTATACCCCAGAAAGCGAGTATGCGGATCTAAGAATCATGTCTTTCGATGTGACGACTTGCGGCACTGCCCATTTGATCACAATGGTGTTCTCAGATTCTAGCATCAAGGTGAAAATTCCTGCTCTATTGACTCCCCATTGCAGTTCTGGTATTGATATATTTCAGGCCTACTGTTACGATCCTGGAGCTTCCACAAAGTGGGTGCCTCTCGCCAAGGGTCTCTATTTCACGTCATGTCTTACACAATGCATACATTTGTCTGGAACCACGATCTTGACGGCTGGTACAGATGGCCATGCCGTGACATGGCCACTGCCGGAAAAGGCATATGGCTTGTCTACAGAATCTCAGAATGTCATATCCAAATTGATGTGGAATCACCCTGCAAAGATACACCAAAACTCGTCCAAGGTTATGGTGTCTCAAAGCTTGGACAATGACACCACGCTGGTTGTGTCCGGCGGTGATGACGGCAGCCTTGCATTCTTGCTCATGCGCTCTTCACCCTCACTTACAACATCGCCGACGACATCATACGCTTCCCCTCCAATACTCATAAATCGCACACATGCGTCAGCTGTCACAGCATGTGCATTGTATCGGCACGAATCTCACATAACGCTCCTTACATCTGGGAACGACGAATGGGTTAGACAATGGGAAATCACACTACAAAATCCAGACACGAAAGGCGAGGATAGCAGTCAACCGGTGACCGAAGACGTTATGAAGGTCCGGAGGCTAGGCAAGGTCAAGACAAGTGTCGCGGACGTGTCAAGTATGTCTGTGTTGGACACAAGTGATGGCACAGAAGGTGCAAGGATCCTCGTATGTGGTGTTGGAATGGAAGTCATCCGTGTTGAATGAATAATAGACAATACAATCATACAACGTACATAGACAGGGCTCTCAGAAAATGAGGCTGCTTGTGGGGAATGGCTGACATTGGGAATAGCGCCGAGTCGCCTGGATTATCCGTAGCTGTGTTGTTGCAAGACAGCGGTGACGGCGTGGATCCGCCCGTTGCCGGCACTTGCACTCCACGCCATCACCGTTGCCGGGACAACACACACCAACACAGTTAGCGGCAGTTTGCGCTCTGACAACACAACACAGGCAAGCACGTCCATACATACTCAACACATCCTCTCTCCCACTAACAATCCAGCAACCACATACACACACCCAAAGATAGCGAACATCGATACTCATCATGGTCGCTACACGTCGCGGTGCGAAAGAGGCCCCAGTGGCCTCATCTGCACCCTCCAGCACCCTCAGTGCCCCTCCCAAGCGCGGCGGCAGAACCAAGGCTGTTGTTGAACAAGCTGCTGAGCCTGCACCAGTTCCCGCGAAGGCCACCAAAACAACCGCTACAAAACGCAAAGCAAAGACCGAGCCTGAAGACGCTGAGCTCCCAGTGGCCAAAAAGACTGTCGCGACAAAAACAACACGCACAACAAAAGTTCAGACAAAAGCAGAGCCAGCTCCTGCTGCACCAAAGCGAGCGACGCGCGGCCGCAAGGCTGAGGAGCCTGATGATATAGACGAGCTTCAAGCTGATGAAGAGGCACTCAAGCCAGCGGTTGTTCGAGCGCGCAAGATCGCTCCAGTGAAGAAGCCAGCTGCATCGAAGGCCGCAGAGCCAGTGGCCACTGAAGACCCAGTCGTTCAGGAGCCTATTTTCGAAGAAGCTCCAAAGGCCGCGTCACGGGCGCGCAAGGCCCCCGCCAAAAAGGCGCCTGTGACCAAGAATACCGAGACTCCAATCGTCGAGGAGCCCGTCGCGGTCGAAACCACCAAGCCAGCAACCCGCACGCGTAAACCGGCAGTACCCAAAGCTTCAGCCTCGGCGCCAGCATCAAAAGCTGCACCTGTACCTGTACTTGCGCCAAGAACTACACGCGGACGAGATGCCCCCATAATCTCACAAGAATCGCCTCTCAAGGCGCCAGCCCGTAAACCTACAAAGAAGACTGTTACCATCTCAACCCCAAAGGCTGAGCCTGAGCCAGCTGAAGAAGTAGTCGAAGAGGTTGTCGAGATTTCAGTTGAGAAGCCCACCGAGGAGCCAGCCGAGGAGTCGATCGAGGAGCCAGTTGAGGTGGCTATGGCAGAATACCCGGAGTATCCTACCACACCCGCACATATCGCAGCGCCAATAACCTCAAGGAAAGCCCTGGCTGAGCTTCCCAACTATCCTAACACCCCATCACACATTGTTGCGCCCATCTCTAACAAGGACGCGCTTGCGGAGCTCGCCGGATACCCCAAGACACCAGCACACATCAAGGCTCCCATCAGCTCAAAGGATGCTCTGGCCGAAATGCCTGGTTATCCCAAAACACCTGCGCATATCAAGGCCCCCATAAGCACCGAAGCCGTCCTTGCTGAGATGCCCGACTACCCTGAGACGCCTGCTCACATCAAGGCCCCAATTAGCTCTGAAGCTGCACTGGCTGAGATGCCTGATTATCCCAAGACACCCGCACACATCAGTGCACCTATGAGCACCAAGGATGCTTTGTCTGAAATGCCAGGATACCCCAAGACTCCAACTCATATCAAAGCTCCCATTTCTATCAAGGGCGCAATGGCTGAGATGCCCGACTACCCAAAGACACCAGCTCACATTCTTGCAACCATCATCCCTCCCACCGAAGAGAAAGAGGCTGAGGCTGTTGACCACGATGTCGAAATGGGAGACGCACAGGAGGTTTCTCCATCCGAGCATGATGAAGTTATGAATGATGCAGAAATCGAGGCTCCTGCCTCCACGGATGCACCAGAAGAATCTCAAGATGTTGCAGCGCCTGCCATCAACGAACAAGAAGAGGCTGACAATCTTCCATCTACCACCGACAATTCCGCTACACCAGCAGCCAAGTCTCCTCTGCTTGTCCAAGCCGAGACACCCTACCACGCTACTACTCCTGCCCCAGAGGCATGTGCCGCTCTCCCTGGCACCCCTCCTGCCCAGATTGTCTGGGGCGTCACTGATCAAGAAGCTTTTGAGGAACTCCCCGCTGGATACCCGGCTACCCCGTCTCACATCACTGCTCCAGTCACATCGCAAGAAGCAATGGCAGAGCTCCCCGGTTATCCGAAGACTCCTGCTCACATTGTGGCACCAATCACTCCACGCAGGGCTCTCGCTGAGTTGCCAGACTACCCAACTACCCCAAGTCTTGCGCTTGAGGCAGCTCTTCAGGAGGAGATTACTGCATCTGTCAAGAAGCAAACGCCTTCACCTATACGTTATTCCAGCCGTAAGGAGAAGGTCTCCTTCGGTTTCGAAAAGACTAGCGAGATTGGTGATGTCAGTGAGATTACCGAAGCTAGTGAATTCAGCGAAATTGATGTTGTGAGCGCCATCAAGGCCCCTTCTTTCAGTGACCTGAAAGCAAGTATGCCACTCAAGCCCCTGCAACTCGTCCCCACATTCGCAGCACCAGAGCCAGCATCACCTAAGAAGTCCGCACTGAGGTCGCCAATGAAAGTCATGAACACCAAGACTCCGAAGAAGTCTGTCGCTTGGACTGACGTTCAAGCTGACGAGAGCGAGATATTCATGGATGACGGCATTCTTCAGGGCACCGTCTTCTATGTCGATGTCACTCGTAACGGAAAGGAGCAAAACTTCTTGTTCCGCGGTCTTCTAGAGGACCTTGGTGCTAAGGTCGTCAAGGACATTTCACATGCTTCTCTGACTCACGTTCTTTTCAAGGATGGAAGCATGTCGACGCTAGAGAAGTGTCTCTCGAGCAAAGGTGCTATCAAGTGCGTCAATGTCGGTTGGGTCTTGGACAGTGAGTCGAACAAGAAGCGTATGGATGAAGATCCCTATCTGGTTGATCTCTCCGTCGCTAAGCCAGCGTCCCCACTCCCAACCACTACCATGAAGCCCTTCACGCCCGCGAAGACACCCTCCAAGTACGCTCTTCCTCCTTCGTCGCAGTGCAAGATGCCCAGCACTCCTACCAGCTCCGAATTTGACCGTTCCTTCAACGATGACAAGGAGAACAGCGAGGTCGGCGCCTTCTTCGACAGGAGCCCCCTTGCTCCTCGCACCGTCCCTAACAAGAAGTCCACTTTCTTGTTCAGCAAGGCTGCCATCAAGACTCCCTCTAGGCCACTCTTTCTCGCGGCTACTCCATCAAAATCGGGCTTCTCGGCTATCAAGCCTGCTCCTCACGCTTTCTCGACAATCAAGAAGCGCCCCGTAGACTCTTCTCTCTTCAACAGCTCTCTGGGTCCGCCTAGAAAGTTGCGTCTCTTTTAAATGTTATATTGCGTGGTGCCGATGGTACGAAGCTATGCTACCTGCGGGAGTTTAGGACATGATGCATGCATTGGGCGGTTCACTACGGCGATAAAGGTGTTTGGTGCTTTTTGTTTTTTGTTTTCAAAGGTTAGCAGCAGGTGTCGAAGTTGTGCTTTTGCTTCCGACTCTTTTCCCCTCCTTCATCGCGGCGGCGATTGGCTTCTAGTCTGAGTTGCAGCCTCCTCGCTAGAGCTGGCGCCCGTGGAATTGCCTTTTAGTCTGCCAGGTGTAGTGGGAGAGAGATGGCTGCGTCTTTGCATGCCTTTGGCATCTGCCTGATTTCTGATATGCGTCTTTTTTGGGTTTGTTGGTGTTTATGGAACATGGGTACAGGATACGGCAGGGCATTGCACGGGCGGTGGGACGGCGTTTTCTACACACATTCACTCCTATGGAGGTTAGAATCGCTTGAGTCTTTCTTTTTTCTTCCTTTACTTCCGCTCTAGTCTCATTAAGACAGACAAATGAAACTCTGAATACTCTAATCTTGGCTTCGTGTTCAACAGACATGTCTTCGTTGCGATCTAAAGATAATATATCTAGTAAATGGAGGCAATCTATATCTAACCTATGTTCTTTCGCTCTATGGACGTCATCCCCAAAAGCAAACACTCTCAAAGATGAAACTTAGCCTCATGCTCCCCCACCACAGGATTCTTATTAAAATGTCCCATAATATCTTCCAAATCATCCTCCTCCTTCGCGCCCTCCTGCTCCCAAAGCACCTCCCTAATAAACCCCACCAACGCATTCACACTCGCCTTCTGCGTACTCGGCAAAAAATGGCCCCCAGGATGATACACGACGTACTTGTCCTCTTTCCTCTTACACCGCTCCACCAGCGCCAGACTCCTCGCCTCCTCAATCACCACATCCTGTGTCCCCAGAAAATGCAAGATCGGGGTCTCAATCTCCGGTTCGTAAAACGCCATGTACTGCGATGTCGGTGTGCTGCCATCTTGCTGTGGGGGTGGAATCGCCGCAAATCCGCTGTATGAAACTGCGAATTTGAGCGGTGGATGGATGTTCCCCTCGAAGGAGGCGGGGAACGGGATTCCGGTACCAGCAGCGTGCTGCGCATCAAATGCTTCCTTGCGCTTGGGTTCCAGCAACGACGCCACCATGGCTGTTGCGGCTGCGCCCTGGGAAAATCCGACTACGCCATCGAACGGACCCTGGTCTTTTAGGATGGAGGCAATATGCGCGAACCCTTCGTCTAGCCCGTCAAAAAGGTAGGAGCCGTCGCTGGTGCTGCGTTTGCGCCACCAGGCCCAGGCGTCGATTTCTTCGTCGGCGTCCGGGGCGGAGGTGCGGTCGGTGACGGCGCCGGTGATGAGGGAGAAGTCGGTGGGTGTGAGGCGGATCGGGGCGGTGGGGTAGACGAGTTCGATGCCTTTGGGGAAGGCTTTGTTGAGGGTTTTGCGGAGAGCGCCTGTTTTGGCTTGGAATAAAGGTCCGGATTGCGTGTAGCCGTGCAGCATTAGGATCTTAATCGGCCGGTTGGGCGGGGGCGCGGCGGCGGCCATGGTGCGCCAGTGGGAACGAACGCGGAGATTGGTGCGTGTGTAGAGGCGAGGGTCTGCGAGGGAGAGAAGGTGCTGCAGGCGCATACAGTGGCTACAATTGGGATAATTAGAGTCAGCGAGAAGGTCTGCGTACTAGTTAGTATGTAAAGGCGTTGTACTTCGGTAAGTACCCCGGATGCGGGACGTTCGAGATACCGCGGCTCTGTCGTGGCCTAGCGCGAAAGGGTAGGCCTAAGTTTGATGTCATTCCTCAAGACGAACCGCATCACCGCAACATCGAAACTGAAAGCACTCAAGGACTGCCTGGTTTGATCAGATGTCTATTATACATACGCAAATCGCGCAGAACCTTGATAGCTCGGCAATATCTAGACTAATCATAACCCTTCTTCATGTATCATGAGTGGTAAGCATAACGAAGTCGATACACAAGTATCTGCCAGTCGGCACGTCTGAAGCGATTGCCGATAGTCAAAGACCTTTACGACCCTTATTTCGCCTTGCCCTTAGCCGCCTTGCTCTTGTCCACCTTTGTTGGCTGAATGCGCGCCATCATCTCTTCCTTGGTGATGAGGTGGTCAACGCGCTCAAGAAGACCCAACAAGCTCTTCATATTACTGCTCCACTCGTTCAACACGTCGTCGGCATCCCGGGGCCTCGAGAATGTGACAATGCGAGCGGGACGGTCGATCTTGGCGTAGATAGTCTTTGCAGACACCAGCTCGCTGATGTTCTTCTCTGTTTCGTCTTCGGTCAAATCTAGCAGCTCGGTGAGGCGCGGGATCTGGATACGTGTGTAGTATTTTGCCACAACGCGGACATTGTGCTCAATGACGCGCTTTCGCAGATCCTGCCACCGCTGGAATGCCTTTGGATCATCTGAGTCGCCTTTTTCAGCGTCAAAGACATCTGTCTCGGTGAGGTGAGGGCCGAACTGCTTGGCTACCATTGGCCACCTCATGAGCTCAGGCACAGTGAAGAGTTTCACCAATTGTGCGTCTTGTGGGATTTGAGAGTTTCGCGAGTCGCGCTGGATACGGTGAATGAGGTCGGACTGCTCGTTGTCGTACGGAGCGAGGATGATGAAGTAGATGACGCGTTGAAGAATCTGTAGGGTCAGCATTTGTCCAAACGTCAAAGAGGGGCGCCGCATACCGCCCGAAGCTTGGCTGGGTCTTCTTCAACGGCCTCTGTGTCTAGTACTTGGCGGTAGTGCTTGCAGACATCGAGGTACTTGTCGTCGTGCTTCGCCAGGAGGATCTGTTGCTCATAGTACATGAGCTTAAGATCCGTTACGTCATCCTCTGGCTCAATCGGAGGATCATCTACGCTTCGGTTCTTCTCCTTCTCCTCGCGCTCCTTCTGCTCCTTCTCTAGCTGCTCAGGCGTCTTCTTCGGTTTTCGTGCAAAGTATCGTGTGCTGATCTTCCTACTGAGAATACCAGCCTGTGTCCAATCACCCTTCTCTATGCATAGCGCCACTTGTTGTAGGATGAACTCAGTCTTCTCTCGCCGGGTCATGGAGCCGAACGTCTCAACCTGGAGTTCGCAAAGGATGTTTGTCGCAGAGTCGATATCGCCTTGCTCCTTCTTGATGTTGGAAAGTATACGTGTTACCCGCGCTCGCTCGACTTCAACAAAGATCTAATAACGCGTTAGCAGTGTCGAGTGTGTCATCTATTATCGCTGCTTACCTTGCCCTCGGTGACAGTGCGCAGTGTTTCGATGACCGACAGCTTTGTCTCCAGATTTGGTGTCTCATCCAAGAATCCCATGACAATCTGCACCATTTTGGTGGTCGCTTGCTTGAGCTGTCCATGCTTCTTTGAAAGGAGCAGGACCTGCTCGTTCATCAAGTTCCAATCCTTTGCATTCTTTGCTATTGTGACGATGGCAATGATGACTCTGGAAGTAGAGGCGAGATCGGAAGCCTAGATCGTATTAGAACTTGCTTATGCGCGCGAGATATGTGCGGGTCTACCTGGCGAGTCTGCTTCTCGAGTGCGAGCAGCTTATCAATTCCAGCTTGGGGACTGCTCTAAACAACTGCATTAGCTTTTGCCGGATAATAAAATGATTGTCCAACATACAGAAGCTAGCTTCTCCGCCTCTGGAATTGCCGCATCGACCTCCTTGGTAAAGTCCTTGTCGGCCTTGAGCACCTCTCCGGCAGACATGGTGGCGGGGTCGTGATGTTACTTGTTCTGAGTGCTGGTTTACTTGTTCACTCTCGGACAAAGCAGTCGCGGCGAATACGAGGAAGCTATCGAAAGAACAGAGAGGTGGGATGAAGCCGCGTTGTGTTGTTTGGTTTGGTGTTGCGGTTGTCAGTGATGTAGAGAGATCCACGGCTAGCGCTTGGACCACCCGCCGCTAGTACGGTTGAACCATACACCGACGACCCCCGTCTTCACGATGTGTTCCGTCCAGCTCTAAAGATTTTTCAACCTGCACACTCTTTACTAACTTTCTCATTTACACTTCAATCAAACTCATAGTACGTTCTTTCAATCTACGTTATGTAAACTTCTGTTATATATGTTCTACCGCGGTGGCGAATAATCACACGCCCAGATCCTCACTTAAGACGTGATTCTAGTGTCGTAAACCCACCTCCTATCTATGGGAGACGACAGGGGTTTGGAGCATAGGCTACCGGGGTTGACCGTACTTGCATCAACCTCCATATAGCCCCTCGTTTACAAACTCCTCACGTCTCATTGCGATGTAGCCTACATAGGACATTCAATAGCCCAGTAACATTCGCAGCTAAGCTCCACTTCTCTTTCAAGCTATCAAGAGCTGATTGCTATACTGTTAAATAGCTACTCATTTGACGGATAGTCGGATTTGTAGTGTCCTGATACCCATTTCTAGTACATGACTTTTCCCACTAGTCCACTCCGGAATCTCCATCTGTCACTCCATCGGGACGATCCTCTCATACATCATTACACCATTTTTTTGTAATTCCATTCCTTTCCACAACTTTCTCCAGAAGTCATGTGTCGTTTCCTAGATTGAACGAGCAATGGGCAATCATTTCTCCACGGAGCCTTCAATCCTCTTTTCATGTTAGATAGAGTCATGACGGAGAAGCTTTTCCTCGCGGTCGTATGGTAACGAGATGTCACTTTTTTCTAATTTAGGCTCCGATCCCCTCGCAAAAAATACAGCGGTAGGACTGGACGCATATACAGGCTGCAGTGTTGGAGGTGGAGTGGCGACGGTGGACTGGGGCTCGTGGGTCGTGGTGGCACAGCATGTTCATATGCTTGCGGTTGTGTTGATGTGTATCGCACCTTTTTCTGTGAGTCTGATGTTGAGGCATGAGATTCTTTTGTCTTGAGGTTTCGTATCCTTTTGGTGAGGTTGGCAAAAAACCCATTGTCATGCTTGTTAGAGTAATCCATCCGATTTACATTTTGTTTCATCCACTTTTGCGCGCCTTCAATTTGCCTCTGCTTCTCTTCATTGTGGGCAGGGATAGGGTTAGCTATCAGGAATTCTTTACTGAAATTCTCAAATTTTTGCGATCTTTTAATCTTCGTTCTCCCGGACACGAGAGGCCTTTGTGCTTGCTCAAATAAGCGGATATCATCAGTTGTGGGATACATTTGTTTTGGAAGATCACCACGAGCGGTTTCGCGCGCCGATGTACGCTGAGGGACCGTTGGCCTATCAGAAAGATTTGGGATAACTATCGGGGGTGCAGCAGTGCGCATGGACGATCCTGGTTGAGTATTTGTTTCATTTACTCTCATCGGCACCGTCTGTGTCCATTGTGCCGAAGCTTCTGTAATCCTATCAACAGTCGTAAACTCTTGATTGGAAGCGTTTTCAGTGCGATTAGTTGTACTTCCAGTGAGGTCTTTGCGTGTTTGCGACTGTAGGGCGCGATTGCCCTTGATCCAAGGGTGATTAAGTGCTTGAGCGGCAGTTGGTCTCCGCAAAGGATCCGCTTGTAGTAGAGAGCGAACAAAGTCGATTGCGTCGACACTTGCTGATGATCACTTCAAAGCACCGTCCGGAAAGGGCATGCTGTGTTTCTGGTAGATGAGCAGCTGTTCGATACACGAAAACGTACTCTGTCCCGTTAGACCACATGCTATCGTCTCCCCTAAGCACCATATATCAACTCGAAACGGGTCTGCATCGTTTGGTCGACCCAAAAAAGGTGCCCAATGGTCTCTGGAGCCATGAAGCTTGGAGTACTACGTATGGTAGTCGATCTTGAAGAAAGATCGCCGTGTCGACTAAGACCGAGATCGTCAAGCACAGCCCACCATGCATCGTCTTTTGGGGGTTTGCGATGTACCACGATATTCTACAAATTGTCTTAGTTTTATTTCAATACGATCGTTGCTACCTTTTTGGTACTTACAGCAGGTTTTAGGTCTCGATGGGCGATTTTGTTTCCGTGCATCTGGACTAATCCCTGGAGTACTTGCAGAGCAATCGCTCTAGCACTTTCTTCCGGTAAAACTCCATAGCTTTTCAGATGCTTTCTAAGGTCCAGATACTTGCAGTACTCCATACAGATATAGCCAGCCATCGTCTTGATACCAACCATATGATCTCACAAAGTAGCGTGAATACTGCGCTGAACATCACTGACCTGTACCAAAAATCCCCTCACACGTATGACTTACTCTCGGCTGCGCAAATTTGGCTAATGCCTCGAGCTCACGTACGTATCTTTTGCTATCGTGGTCTTCAGAAGCAAGATCATCGTTGAGGCTCATCTGTTTGACGGCGATCACATCAATGGTGCCGGGCCCTTCAATCTTTTGCTGCAAAAAGACGGTGCCGTCGCCTCAGCGACCGAGGGCCCTCTTGGTCTCCCCGACTTGTGGCGAGGATTCTTCTCGGCATTCGAGTGGCTCGGCGTAGACAGTGATGTTATCATGAATAGTTACCTCTAGTTCTGAATCCCGAACAAGTTCCGGTAAACTGCGTGATTGCATCATTTGAATTCTCGAGCGGCAATGTCGCGAGGTCAGGATTGCAAGATATCCGGCCGTATTCCCTCACAGCTAAAGCGAGCCAGGAAGTTTTCGATGAGTGGAGATATTGGTGCACACCCTGAGGCTGCCAGATGGCAATGTAAATAAGCGTGATTTCAGCTTTGAGTCGACCCAACGTTTCATTCGGGCGCGGCAAACATGGCTGTGTATCCACATCCGCTTCAGCTTTACGGGTAGCAATTTCACGCCTTCAGCCTGCCTCCGACTGCGACAACCTCAGCCTTATTCTGACGTTTACTCCAGAAGTAATTCTGTAATCTGTTCGACATGTCGGCGGAACTTTTGCTAGCGATTCCTCCTACTATCGATCTCTGTCGAAAGTAAGACGTCCTGAGACTACTCCCATAACTATTCTCATGAAACAGATATATTAAGGAAGGGAAACACTTGTGCTCTGCCCTGAGACATGCCAGCGCTCAGGTTTCAGAGCGTTGACTGCGGCTCGACAATAATTAGGTAAGGTTCCTATCCCAGCTCAATTTCCTACAGAGTACCCACCATGTGATGGAAGACGAGCAACGCGAAGTGTACAACCAGACCTTGCAAATTCTCAAAAAAAAACTGGAAGTCGTCATCTAGCTACTGAAGGATCTGTTAAAGCCGCAACTGGGGATTGAGAATGCAACATTATCGCCTACTTATAAGGTTAGCTGGTGGAAATATGGAGTTAAGAAGAGCAGCTTGGATGAAGCAATCAAGGATTTGGAGATATGGCAAGGTTTGGCCCACCAATCCTGGTTTCTGTTACTAAGAATTGCCGATACGCAAGTGGACCAGGCTTTGGCTGCAAGCAGTGGCGCCCGTGAATCTGGCTCTGATACAAATACGAAGACAATGGTCAGTATACGTGCTGCATTACAGCAGAACAGCAGTGGAACCTCTGGAATGTCAGTAGTAGAGCACTTGACTTTGAGCCCAAAGACATAAAGAGCATGGTCGTTCGTTCAGTTCCCATCTGCGATGGCATCGAGGTGGCGACTAGGACGTTTTCACACGGGCCACCCAAGAGGTATATTCTCAACCACATACAGTGTGAGCCTGGTGCGAAGCCGCAAATGCTGAAGCGCAACGTCCGCGATCTTGTGCAGAAGCTTCAGGCCGGCGATCCATACACTTTCGGCTTGTTGAATTGCAAGGGCTTCGTTGCGGAAACAGTCCCAGTGGGATCTGCTGAACTTCTCTCGCTGACGCTGGTCTTTAGAGAGCCTCCAGTGGCACATAATCCTAGAAGCCTACGGGAGATTTTTCTCAATACACCAACATCCACGTCAACTACACGGCGACTCGAAATCGCGCGAGATCTAGCTAGGTCCGTTGGTTATGTGCATACCTTCGGCTTCGTACACAAGAATGTCCGTCCGGAATCGGTCCTTATCTTCGATCATGCCAATAGAGAAGGTATGGCTGCGTTTCTAGTTGGTTTCGAGAACTTTCGACGAGACGAAGGCTGGACGGCGCGGCGAGGCGACGATGTACCGGACAAGAATTTGTACAGGCATCCATCTCGGCAAGGTTTCAGCCCTCACGACGACTACGAGATGCGCCACGATATATACAGTTTGGGAGTGTGCTTGTTGGAAATTGGCCTCTGGAGTAGCTTTGTCGATTACGACCCCACAACCGGGGCGCATAGCCTTTCTCAACTGCTCACAGCCAGGTCTGAGAAAGACAAAATCCTTTTCGTCGCTCTTACTCGATGCCCCCTGCCAGGGAGCATGGGCGATAAGTATGCAGAGATTGTAGAGACCTGTTTGACGTGTCTAGATCCAGATAATGTTGATTTTGGAGATGAAAAGGCATTTGAAGACGAGAATGGAGTCCTTGTTGGCGCTCGCTACATTGAGAAGGTTCTTCTTCGTCTAGGGAAGCTGAGTATGTAGCCCATTGTGTTTGATGTGGGATTCATGGGAATTTCCAACTTGTCAAAGCAATCTCTGTAGCCTCAATTGACTAAATTTTGATACACAAGATTGCAGTTGCCCATCAGAGTGTGTGTTGCAACATGAAACCAAGCAACCACTACCAGACCACCGGCTTTTAGTGCGTTAAGTTGGACGAACATCGGTCAACAGTTTCCGACCACCGCTCTACACTCACCAGTCGTAGTAATCAGTTTTTTAAACCAATACATACTCAATTGAACACTTGTCATCTATACATTGTCTTTCCATGGCCCAGTCAACTCAAACAACCCGCAATCAGATTCCTCGACTTAACCACAAGAGATAACCCCCTTACCCCCATCCCATCCTTCTGACCGCACCCCCCTTTGGAAACTCGCTCCCAAACATACATCCACAGTGCACCCAAGTTACCATACCCATCCCACAAAGTCCCACTCATCCAAAACACACCACCAACAACCCAGCACAGCGACGCAATAGTGTCCAAGAATTGCCCATCACTATTCAGCACCACCAATCAATCCACCGATCCACGTATACTCCCCTTGGAAAACAAAACCCAATACCAAGTTTTCCTTCCGACTCCACAATAATACGCCTCAACCTTACTCCAACTCTCCAAATACTCTGTTTTCTCAAAATACTCACCCCGGTTTTACATCAAACCAAAGTGATACACCCCCCGTCCACAAATCTCCATTCCAAGCAGTTCTGACTACAACTTGTAGTACAATCATTCCCATTCCCATCGCCTATCATGTGTAACCGAAGCGCATCACTAAACCCCTCCTCTATGACAAAACCATCAAAAGAAAATTCATAACATTCATATATCATTCTACCTTCCAAACTATTCCTTTCCCGCTTCATCAACCCAGAAAACAAAACAAAAACAAAAAGACTATTCATACACACCCATCTGCATCAAACTAAGCTTCCTAATATCCCTATGCATTCAAGCTGTCTACGCCGCCACCACCACCGCCCCTTGACTGTTCCAACACGCTCCTCTCCACCGCCTCATCCCTCGCCGTCGTATACATAACTGCAGGCTTCTCCGCCTCCGTCACCGCCGCACCCGTGTAAACCGGTTGTTGGGACGAAGCAACGACACCGCGGGGAGTGGAGCGGTCGGCTTCTGGGCCTGTTACTGCTGAAGCTCTGTCATTCCCAGTGCTGGAAGCATAGACAGTGGGGCCGTGAGTGTTTGTGTATGCGTGTTCCTTGCCATGGGTAGTAGTGGAGCTGGCAGCTTGGGCTTGCTTGAAGGATTCAGTTGCGGAGTTGGAGACGGATGAGGCTGTGCCTTTTGCTTGGGAGGAGAGGCCTGCGGCTGTTTGTTTACCTTTTTGCGCCAGCACGTTCCCTTGGTTTGCTACCTCCTGCGCACCCGAACTGATACTGTTTGTAGCTGCGCGGCTAGTTTCCGTGACGGTGTTGGCAAGTTTCTGAGCACCTGTGCTTGCGTCATGGGCGAGCATGCGGCCGTTGTGGGTGGCCGCCGCCGCGAGTTCCTGGGCATTTGTGCCGGCTTCGCGGGCCATTTTGCGGCTGCGTGGGGAGGCGATGAGGGGGGCGGCATAGACTGAAGTTACGGCTAGGACGGCGAGCCAGAAAGGAGGGACTGCTTTGACGAGCCAGTATAGAGCTGTCAGACCGAGGAATGACTGTTGAATGGTAAGCCTGTGGCTCATGTATAAGGTCGATTGTATACCCTATCGGAGATATGTGAAGCAACGGTAAGAGGGACAGCTTACAGCAAATGTCTTTTGTAGGTCTTGGCCAAATATGATCTTTTGAGCCTGAACTGCAGCGTACTGGACAAAGTCATGAATGTCCTTCAGTGTCGCGTTGAGGGTCGGCTCCGGGAACGTCTTGTACTCTTTAGGCCGTAGCTGAGCTGACAGAGAGCGGTTGCCCAACATGCGGCTGGCAGATTCGGTAACTGATACCACTGATGGACTAGTTAGCTCTATACTAAAGTATGATGGGGGTGAACCCGAGAGCACTTACATCCCAGGGCGGTCACTCCACCCTTCAAGGCTATCTGGGTAAGCGGGAGATAGTGTGCACCGAACAGCAGGCTGAGAACGCCGATATAAGAGCCCAGGGTACGGGTCGGATCATTCCACTGCAGATTTGTGTGAGAAGCAGCATATTATGCGGATTCAAAAGATGGACTTACGTTGATGTACTGGTAAAGCGACTCTTGATGGGCTATCGTACGTTAGCATCGCCGTTGTTGTCTTGTGCATCTAGTGATTCTGTCTTACCTATGATCTGCTTCAACGGTCCAGGCTGTGGCTGCGTCGGATGTGCATTCTCTTCCAACGCATGTTGAATTGTCGAAGCAACTGCGCTCATATTGAATGTAAGCAATTGAGATGAAATCAACTGATGGTGCATATAGGCTTACTCTCTGTTGTATCCTGGCCAGGCTGTCGAGCACCTTCGCCTGCTACTGGTACGACGATAACGTTTTGCGTGCTCATAATGAATTTAGTTTGTATCTGAATGGTTCTGCCATCTAGAGCAGAGCACCATTGTTAGATTATATCACACGAGGAACCCAAGGATGCATCATAGTGATTGCATTCAGTGAGGCAACTATGACGATGAAGGTTTGTGACGTTGGCGCAACCACCCGCTAAGGGTAAGCATCCCCTCATGCAATCAATGCGATACTTCAGTCTGATTGACTGCCTTCTGCTTGAGTGATACCACAGTGCGTGATATATGTGAGGAGCAGCGTCTAGAATGCATGGCCCAAGACGTAAGGTTATAAATTTACTTCATGAGCAAATAGGAACAGTATCAAGTGTCACCCTCAATGAAATCAAGCCCGCGGAGAGCTTCAGATATCCCAATGCGTAGGTATGTTGTGATCACTAGCCGCATCCAGATCCACTTCTGTGCATCACCCGTGCCAAGGCTGGCTGTGGCACTTGTCTAACAAGCGGGCAGGCCCACATAGGCCCAGGCCTGCGCTTTCACGTGCAATTACTGTCAGTGATGTCACATGTGTAACGTTCAACACATCTTGACAACGACATAAAACTAAGGTAAGTATTTCCTCATAGACAGCTGGCCCACAAGGGAGTACAAGAATACCTGTTGAAAAGTGTAGTCTTCCCCGCTTGCGCCACACCTAGCTACGACGTGATGTTTTAGCCACAGTGACGGTTGGAAAACGACGATACTTTTATATATATAAATTATGGATATATTGCGAAAATTCTTGTATGATACAAAGAAAATATTGAGGTGCGCTTGCAAGAGATCCGCGTATTCAGGGAAGACGCAAAGCGCGCGTGGAGGTTGTGTTTAGAAGTGGGGGGTGTTGAGTGCCATAAGGCAGAGGAGACCGGAGATAAGACCAGCAATAGGAAGGGTGAGAACCTAAGCCATGTTAGAAAACGACAAAGCAAAAATGAGTTGGAAAAGACGTACCCATCCAGAGAAGATGAAGGCAATCTGGCGCCAGTTCACAGCGCCAAGATCGTAGTTCATCAGAGCAACACCGACGGCTGATCCAGTCAAGCACTGAGTGGTCGACACAGGCAGTCCAAGCCTAGAGGCGAGCAAAACAGTGACAGCAGCACCCAATTCAACCGCAAACCCGCGAGTGGGTGACATTTGGGTAATCTTATTACCAAGCGCACGGACAATGTGGTAGCCGTAGAACCAAAATCCGAGACCAAGCAAGAAACCAGCCACAATTAACATGAAGATGGGAGTCCTTGATCTAGTGGAGACCTCGCCTTCGAGGTAGGTTTGGTACACGGCTGACCAAGGGCCAACAGCGTTGGCTACGTCGTTGGAACCGTGCGCGATGGACATCATCATGGCAGAGATGACTTGGCAGTAGGTCCAAAGATGCTCAACACGCACGTCGTAACGTTTGGCCTTGGAATGGATGGCACGGAGTAGGTCGTTGTCGTGCGTAATGACGTCCATAGAAACACCTCGCAGAAACCCGAATTTGAGATAAGCCCACCACCTTTGGGGGTTGAACCAAGAGAGGGACTTGGCGGGAACAATCCAACGTTCATAAGGCTCGGGCTTCTTCCGGACCAGATTTACAGGAGTATTGGCTGTTTCTTCTACACGTGGCTTCTCCGGGTCACTTGGAAGAGGACCCTCGTTGCTTTGCTTTATCGAGTCCGACGGGGATCCATCGCCAAGCTTTTTCATGCTTTCGTCTTGGGTAGAGTCTTTGGCAGTATCCCTGTTCTGGTGTGTTCCGGCACGAACCTGGCCATAGGCGTCGGCATAGTAATCAGTAACGTATTCTTCGCCCTTTCCAGGCCAAAAGAGATGTGTGTCTTCTTTGAGAAGCATGGGGCCAAGAACGACGTGCCAAATGCGGACGCGGGGGTCCTTCATGACCAACTTGCGTTTGAAAAATGGAACGAAGAAGATGTAGCAGATTACCAGACACCCAAAAAAGACACCAAGGATGATACCCACGGCTCTTCCGGCGCCAAACTCTTCGAGTGATGGTGCAGTAGGGGCTTCCACAACAATGAAGAGGGCAAGGAGAGCTCCCGTCATGGCGAAGTAGAAAGGAATAAAGCGCATGGCATTCTTGAACGGATCCTTTCGTTCGAGAACCAAGTACTTTACTGTACCAAAAATTATGGCTGAGAAGGCAGCAGCAATTAATGGTGCAATGACCCAGGAGGCGGCGACTTGTGATAGGGAGCCATCTTCCCAGGCCCACTTGGCATCGGTCTGACTTGCAAAGCCGGCTCCAACGATGGCGCCGACAACGGTCTGAGTAGTGGAAACAGGCATGCCTAGCTTTGTAGCAACGATCAACCAGAAGGCACTGCCAACCTCTGTCGATTGTTAGCCCGGTGTTTTGCAGTTGCTGGTGTATGTCCTTACCAGCACAGCCCATGACCAGCATGAGTGCCCCTGGATGGCCCACGAAGCGATCGACGTTGATGATACCATTCTTGATGGTCGAAGTGACACGGGCGCCGAGCGCAACAGCACCGACGAACTCTGTGACAATGGCAAGTGGTCCAACTTGAGCCATTGTTAATGTTCGTGCCGCAACAGAGGCTGTTTTGATGGTCAGTCGGCATGCTTGGCGTGAGCATGAGCCTGTTGTTACTCACTAGCATAGGCGTTGGCGACATCATTGGCGCCGTTGCCAAAGGCAGAAAATACAAAAGCGATGGTGGTGATTGCAAGAATCCAATCGTATTTTGCTGTCACTGGAGACGCCATCTTTATTGTGAAGCTGTGAGCTTGTGCTTGAGTAGTTCTGAAACGCTGGGAGCTCAGTCAACTTTATATGGCAGTTATCTGCGTCGAGCATGCAGGACAGGAAAAGCCAAGTCGATGCGACATGGAGAACGACAAGAGGCGCCGAGGATAGCAGAATGGGCGCCGAGTGCCAGATTGCTGGTTATATCGAAGTTCTGGGGTCTTCAGCCATTTGAGTCGACTTTCGGAATTGTGTCTCCGCTGGTGGAGAGGTTCCGCCAAGTACATAAGATGTGCCTAGAGTTTCCGCTCTCTTGTCTTCGCCTTGGGGGTTGCTCAGGTTGCAAACTCTAATGACCAATGAGAGGTGGCCATTGAAGCACGCGTGTGGGTAGTTGGATACTGAGCTTTCGCACGTGTGAAAGAATCCGGCATTCTCCCGTTGCTGTTGGTCTTGTTGGGTGCGGTTTGAGTGCGATCGTGTTGCGGTGTGGTGCAAACGGAAGAATCAATAGTTGGTGCCAAGAGCCAATGGGATGGCGAAATGACACGGCGGCAGCCGCTGTGATACTCCATTGAAAGGAGAGAAGAATTGGCATTGCAGTTACGTGGCGAGGGACTCGTGCTATGTTCGCATAGGCGTATCGTGAGCGCCTCGGAAACGATGACTGTTGTCGAGGGTCACGTGTTCTGTGCTGCGGGCAGCCCAGCAACGCTAGCAACGCTTGCCAGGGAGGTCCGGGGTAATAAGTACTTAGGTTGGGATGATGGGATCTCCCGAATATGTATGTACAGAGTCTTTTGGGTCCGGCAGCTGCAGCAAGTGCCGAACCCAATTTCATACATACATATGCATCATGCGTATATGAGCATCATATACATGCCCTTACTGGCCCTGTGGTGGTGTGGCAGCTGGGGGAGCTTGAGGCGCTCACCTGAGATGGGTTGCGTCATCTCCCATGTCACTTTGTTGGGGCGCGGCGGATAGGGCGAAAGCCAGGGGACAACAATGAGGCGAGCAAAGGCGCACGGCGAGAGCGAGTGAAGGCGGATGCAGCCAGGCCAGTGCAGGAGAGTAACTGCCAGCAAAAATGAAATGGCGTCAGTGAAGAGACGAGCGACGGACGGGTCGGCTGGACAATTGTCGGTTCTGGCGTGGGCGGCTTCCCCACGCTCGCTCTCTCGCTGTAAGATACCCCCGCCAATGGGTCGCTGTTAAAAATTACCTAGCTTATTACCTCCGAGCTCGCAACCTGGCCGCCAGCTTTGCTCCTCGGACGGCGTGCCGGTCGACTCACCACACGCTCCCCAGGGTCAACCTTCTTCTTCACCGACCTCTGCGGCTCTTCTCGAGGCCAATTGCACTCGCTCGCCATGGCCACCGTCAAGGAAGAAGTGCGCGAGGTGCTCCTCGGCTCCACCGAGGAGCCCCAGCTGTCGCAGCTCACGCGCGCCGCCTTTATGAAGCACGCCCAAAAAGACGAGTCGGGCGAATACTACCTCAACGAGGACCAATTCATCACGGCCGTTGCCCCCGAAGGCGAAGACTACGTAAGCAGCCGGCAGGTGCAGTCGTGCGTCAAATAGTCCCACTAACGCCGCGCCCGCTTCTAGCACAAGATCAAGCGATATCAGTATGGCATTCTCTTTCAGGTGGCCGACCGCGACCAGAAGGGCAAGGTCAGCATCCATGACTGGTCCGTCTTCCAGAATCTGCTTGCAAAGCCCGACGCCGAGTACGAGGTCGTCTTCCGCTTCTTTGATAGGCGGCGCACCGGCTACATTGACTTTGATGAGTTCTACCAGACATGGAAGGCACACAAGACCGAGGACAGTCTGCCCTTTGACTGGGAGGGCCAGTGGGCGGCGCTGTACATTGGCTCCAAGAAGCACAGGCACACGATGACGTATCCCCAGTTTGCCCAATTGCTGCGTGGACTGCAGGGCGAGCGGGTGCGTCAGGGCTTCACTTACTTTGACCGCAACCAGGATGGCTTCATTGAGCCTGAAGACTTTCAGCGCATAATACGCGAGACTGCAAGTCACAAGCTGTCCGACTACCTGCTCGAGAACCTGCCTACATTATGCAACATTTCAGTAGGGAGCAAAATCTCATACGCCAATGTGCGCGCTTTCCAGAACGTCATTCAACAGATGGACATGATTGAGCTTGTTATCCGCAACGCCGTGCAAAAGAGCCCCGACGGCAAGATTACCCGCACCGACTTCCTCAACGAGGCAGCTCGCATAAGCCGCTTCAACCTCTACACGCCCATGGAAGCAGACATTCTGTTCCACTTTGCTGGCTTGGACGAGTCGTCTGGCCGACTCGGCCTGCGAGACTTTGCTCGCGTGCTCGACCCGTCGTGGCACAAGATAGGGTCTCTGGCCGGGGCAGCAGTTGCTGATGCAGGACAAAAGGTGTTTGCGAGTACAAAGTCAATATGGCACGACGTGCTGGAGTCTGTGCACCATTTTGCGCTGGGATCTCTAGCTGGTGCGTTTGGTGCATTTATGGTGTACCCTATTGATCTGGTCAAGACGAGGATGCAGAACCAGAGAAGCTCTGGTGTTGGTCAAGTGCTGTACAAGAACTCGCTCGACTGCGCCAAAAAGGTCATCAAGAACGAGGGATTCAAGGGCCTCTACTCGGGTGTGCTTCCCCAGCTTGTGGGTGTAGCGCCGGAGAAGGCCATCAAGCTCACAGTCAACGATCTGGTGCGAGGCAAGCTGACGGACAAGTCAACGGGGCAGATCAAGTTTACTTCTGAGATGTTGGCGGGTGGCACTGCGGGTGCCTGTCAAGTGGTAAGTGATGGTGGAGTTGTCGCGCAGGGGTTTGTAGAGGCGGACGGGCTAACGTGGCACACTGCAGGTATTTACCAACCCGCTGGAGATTGTCAAGATTCGGTTACAAGTTCAGGGTGAACTGTCCAAGAACGTCGAGGGTGTTCCGCGGCGGTCAGCCATGTGGATTGTGCGGAATCTGGGTCTTGTGGGCCTATACAAGGGCGCCAGCGCGTGTCTGTTGCGTGACGGTAGGTGTTTGTGGTGGTGGTGTTGAGGTCGAGGCCATGACTGACGAATAGTTTTTTTCTAGTCCCCTTCTCGGCCATTTACTTTCCTACCTACAGTCATTTGAAGAAGGACTTTTTCGGCGAGAGCCCACAAAAGTCGCTTGGAGTTTTGCAGATGTTGACTGCGGGCGCCATGGCGGGTATGCCAGCGGCGTACTTTACCACGCCATGCGACGTGATCAAGACGAGGCTGCAGGTGGAGGCGCGCAAGGGCGAGGTTGCATATACTGGGCTGCGACACGCGGCGGCGACCATCTGGAAGGAAGAAGGCTTCAAGGCGTTCTTCAAGGGCGGGCCGGCGCGCATTATGCGGTCGTCTCCGCAGTTTGGCTTTACGCTGGCCGGGTACGAGGTTCTGCAGCGAGGTAAGTGGGCGCGTAGAGGCGACGGCGGGGGTTGAGGCTCGAAGAAAGCTAACAAGAGGACAGCACTGCCGATGCCGGGATCATCGCAGGCAGACGCGTCGAGCCTGGAGCCATCAATGGGCCTGGAAGAGGCAAAGGCACCGTTGCCGTACCTCCGCAGCCGCAATGCACTCAAGGTGATCTTAGACCTGGACGAGAATTTTGGACGTCCCAAGCTGGCCAAGGATGCAAAGTTTGCGGGGATTCCCGGATTTGGCAGGCGACCGGAGGCTTAGAGCTGGGGTTGGGGCTGGGGCGTGGGCGGTCAGTGGAGTGGAGTGGAGTGGCATGAGGGCGGCACGGCGAGGACAATGGATACATGTGTATAGTGGGTAAGTAGTAGTAGTGTAGAGGCGAGAAGATGCAGGGAGTAACAGGTTTAGTCTACATGATGATAAACAGTAGATGGGTAGATGGATACATGATACAATACATGGATACATAGTCGCGGGCCAGGCAGGGCAGGGCAGGGCAGGGCGGCGGCTGTTGCATGTTTCGTTCTTGTTCTGCAGGTGCGTGTACATGGACTAACTACTACTACTACTACTACTACTACTACTACTACTACTACTACTACTACTACTACTACTACTACTACTACTACTACTACTACTACTACTACATGATTACGCGCCAGGGAGCGGCAAAGGAAGAAGATTGTGGAATAGGGCCGATGCAGGTGGTCGGAGCCGCGCCTTTTCTCTGCTGTTCCTTTTGTTCCTCTTTTTTGCTGCTCGGCACAGGTGATTTTGGTTTTCCTGCGGGCTACACTACTGGCGAACCCCGTGGAGAGGGCCAGAGCTGGGGGAGAATGCAGTGTGGGGTCCTGGGCAGGCTAGCGGCTGCAAAAGCGGGGGAGAGGACGCTCGGGCGAAACTTTTGGCCCTGCTGGGGCATCTTGGGGCTGGTTGGTGGGAGAGCCTCAACTGTGGATTGGGCTGGCCATCCTGCTGGCGGATTGGCGGGTCGGCGGGTTGGCCTGCTGGCTGGCTGGCTGGCTGGCTGCCCGGCTGCGCCTCTTCGCCCGCCTGCCCACGCACAAGCAGCCAGCCAGCCAGCGACGATGCCGTTACCGTTGCTATTGCTGCCACTGCGGTTACTATTCCTGCCCATCATCCTCCTCCTGCCCCGACTCCTACCATTGTTGCCACTCTGTCGTTCGTGCCGCCCACCTGTTCCCTTCACCTCTCTCTTCCTGCTTCACTCGCTCGCGGTTATTAGCCCGTCCCTTGCGACCCGACTTGCGCCCTTTCCCACTCCATGCAGGGCAGCCCGTCCACTCAATCCAGTCAACAACCGCCCACTACCACCACCACCACAACCCCCCGCAATCAGCCTCCTCCCCATCTAGCCCACCCCGTCCCTCACATGTCCTGACCACCACTACCCACCACCACTACTACTACTACCCACCACTGCACCATCGCCGCCAGAACCCCATCACTGCAACACCTGCTGCTTCTCTCATATGCCCTACACCCTCGAAGCTCCGCCAGAGTCCGCGCCAGAGCCCCAGTTGATGTTTGTCATCGGCACACGCCTTGGACACCGCCTTGAGGCTGAAAAAGAGCCGTCGCACTGGCTCCCTCGGGTATGTTTCGCACCGCGCAGAGCCGCCTGCCTCCTCCCTCACTTCCTTTGTTTTGGCGTGTTTATTTTTTTTTCTCGCACACCCACTTTGCATCATCTGCTCCACATGTAGTTGTCCAAGGCTACCCTCTTACCCGTTTTCGCGACATGGCAATGCCCATGACTATCGTTCTTGCTCCACTTGCACTTGCCCATCCCTGTCTGCCCCAGTCGCCTTGCGACTTCTCCGCCTCCACCTCCACTTCGGCCTCGATCAACCCAGCCCCGGATCAACACACACACGCACACAACATCACTCCCTCACAACCATGCTGACTCTAGTCCAGACTGCCATCAAAGACTGGTCTTCCCGTGCTACTCGCTCCTGTCATCGCCCCCGAGGTCTCTGCTTGGGCGCTTTCGCCGAACGGTCTTTGGGATAGCTTTCCCTCGGCCCGCTCGCATTGCTTACTGTATTCTCCCTTTGCACCCTTGGCTACCCAGATGCTCGACACCAGCCACTATTACGCAGACGACGACGCGGTTTTGCATTCCCCTGGCCTGACGGCAGTCATTGTAAAGACGACTCCATCACCAACTCCACCACCCATTGGCACTTTAATGTTCGACCCCCCAACACTTCAACAGAGCCACGACTCTGCTTCTCCAGACCAAAAGGCCCGCCATCCACACAGGCCCCGACCACGCCCTACCCAGGGTGATATGGTCCTCCTCCGGGAGATGAATCCGAACAGACCGGACATTGCCCTGCAAGCAAGCGAACAGGCCTTAAACTTTGATACCGACTCTGGCAGCGATATGGACGCCGAATCACCAGCCGCGGCCATGGGCCCGTCCGGCTCAAGCCGTGTCAACTCCGCGTCAGCCCACTTTCAGTCACTGGCCCTGCATCACACTGTACAAGAAGCCCGTGGCCCGAAACTTGATCCCAAGTCGACAGCTACCCATCGAGATTCGGTGCTCGAGGACGATTTCAACCTCAGGCCTCTCCACCTGCTAGCAGACCGACGCCCATCTCAGACATCCTCTGTGCTTGCCGCATCAAATGGAATGCGTCATGACACCAATGGTATGCACCGTTCTTTGTCTGGCAACTCTGCAGCCTCGACCACGTCACTGCAACTACCAAATCAGCAAATCGGGGGACTGACAAACGGGGGCTCGCTAGAAATCAACGCGGCGACATCCCCAGGCCTTCGACAGTTGACCATTCCACAAACAAGAGGCCTATCCACAGACACCCTCCCAGCATTACAGGCCCCATCTCCCGCACGCGATGGATCGACTACTTCGCCCGTCCAGCAATTACCTTCGTTCAGGCACATGGACGACATTGCACGCTCGGCATCGAGTGATCATGAGGCCAACAGAGTCAACGGCTTCCCCCAACGACAGTCTGTATCTTCGAGTGGGCAGTCACCAACTTCTAGAGTGCGGCAATTATCCATCGGCTCGCACTCACCAGCAACGCCCTTTACTTCGCTGAGCGCTGCATCACTAAGCGCCTCTTCGCCAATGAGCGCCAACGACTCACTCCAACGTGGTGATTTGTTTCTGAGAACAGCAGGCGGCAGTGTTTTTGGCGATGCTCGAAGACCGTCACATGCTGCGTCAGACTGTGCCCCGTACAACGCATTGCAGTCTGCATCGGGCGAGAGCTATCAAAGCTCAGATGGGCTGAGTCCTGCTTCACAACCAACGCCCATTGAACAACGCCCCCGGCACATGAGCCTGGACGGTGCACTTGCATCGCGAGTGTTGCCCCCTCCAGTGGGTTCTGGCTTGCCACAAAGCATCCCCTCACATGCCACTGGCTCCTTCAAGTGCGACTACCCAGGCTGCAACGCTGCTCCTTTCCAGACGCAGTATCTTTTAAAGTGAGTATCATGTTGTAGTAGTTGTTCAATGTTGATGCTGACCATAGTAGCTCACATACAAACGTGCATTCGTCAAATCGACCCCATTACTGTCCTGTAAAAAACTGTCCCAGGGGTGAAGGAGGCAAAGGCTTCAAGAGGAAGAACGAGATGATACGACACGGCCTTGTACACCAGTCGCCAGGCTACGTATGCCCGTTCTGTCCAGACCGTGAACACAAGTATCCCAGGCCAGACAATCTACAAAGGTATGTTGAACTGTTCAGAAGTGATACGCTAGGCTGATGGATGATATAGGCACGTGCGCGTACATCATACCGACAAGGATAAAGACGATCCTCAATTGCGCGATGTCCTAGCCCAGCGCCCTGAAGGCGGCAGTCGTGGGCGCAGGAGACGTGTGAGCGACTCGGGTCATTAGTATGCGCAGGTTTTCAGATGCAAGACGACGTTTCCCTTTTTAATCCCGTACCTCTCCTCTATACGACGCAATTCGCTTCTTTTTGACTTTTTTCTCACATGACCGGCGAGTCTTTTTCTAGCGGGTTTACTGGTGGGACTCAGGTAAGGGTATACACATGTTTATGAAGCAGGCGAAAGCAGGCACAGGATCTGTTTGGGTTTGGAGATTTTTGATTGTGCGTTATCGCTTGTTCTAGCGCCGAGGATTGATTCTTTGGGGAGGCATGTCGATTGTGCTATGCATATCATGTTTGTAATCTTTTCCAAATCCACCAGAGATTTTTATATCTCGCTTTTTGCCTCATCTCCAACTCTACAGAGAGAGAGAGATAAGGTGGGACAGGGCTATTATTGTTTTTCTCGTTTATCTGGAGTTGAAACGAAAATCAAAATCAAAATCCATATACCCACAAAGCCCAATCACAATCATATGTAACTAGTTAGTAATAAAACCTCACACCTTTTCACATGACAGAAAGAAAACCAACAAGACACGGGACATGACTAAACCCAACACCCCCCCCCCTCTCTTACCTCTGAGCCGCGCTCCGACCCACATTGTCCTGACTACTGATATTCTTTTTTGCCATTTCTGCCGTTGAATTGCGCCCCCTACTCTTTTCCATCTCGCCGACCTAGCCTGCGCATGCTCACTAAAGCAACAGCTAGCTAGTGCGGCTCTTTGTCTCTGTTGCGCACAAGCAACCACAGTACACTACATTATTACACAAGACTGCTGACTTCTCAACGAGGAAAGCTTGACGTGTGGCTGAGGGCACTAAAAGGGGGAGGGGAGAGGAGGGGATGGGGTGGTAGTAAGGCTTGGGGTGTGGGACCTTTTTTCTTTTTTTTAGAGTTAACATGTGGGGCCTAAACATTACTAGTTATACTAGTAACAATTTATTTTTTTGGTAAGTAGCATTCAAATCTTGCTTTGAATTTTCTTGAATTGATTTGGGGGAAGGGGGGTTTGGTGGTGTATGTAGTAAGTGTAGTAGTAGTGGTAGTAGTAGTGGTACGTGCGACATTTTGTTTTTTTAATCTGTAAAGGGAAAGAGAGAGAGAAGTATGATAGCGAGGCAACCTTTTTTTGTTTCCTTTTTGTTAAACGAAAAATTTAGATTAGCGTTTTGGACTAATTGCTGTATGTTTGGTATGTTATGTAGCAGTGACACATAAGGACCCCTCGATTAGGTTAGAGTAGGTGTAGAAGGTGTATACGGGGCTGGGGCGTGGTAGGTAAGTATGTACGGTATGTAACAGCACCAGTGACGAAGAAAATGACGTCTTTTCTACTACTAGTTACTACTACTACTATTACTACTACCTAATGCAACGCCATACCCACCCCTCTAACCCGCGCTACCCACACTCTTCCGATCCGCGAATTCACTACAGGATATCGTTGCCGTGGCGGGTTTATGTAACCATCTCCCCTCCTCCCCTCCCCCTCTAGACACCTAATAGGAAATCGGAGAGGGGACGCCCGGTACCCCCCACTTTTCTTCGCACTAGCGAATTAGAGCTACTACGTAGATTGAGAAGAGATCTAGGCTTGTTGATTTGTATACCAGAAGTATTAGAATAGAAAGAAAAAATAGTTGCGCTACTGCTTAAAAAAACGCACACTATGCATCTAAGAAAACAAATAGTACATGTTTGACTTGCTAATCTTCAAGTAAAAAGTTGAAATATCGCATGAGCAAATGCTGTGGATTAGTCGTATACTAATACTTACCCCCCCCCCCTTCCGCTCTTCACCCGCATCTCCATCTCCCTCACCACCGCCCACTCTTCCTCTTGCTCTTTGTTACATACACTACGTATTACACACATTCGGTTACACGCAACACCCGACTCCCGGCGCCACCTACATCGTGGGGGTTTGGGGAAAAAAGAGCCGGAAGACAGGACACTCACACACCGCTTTCGCTTTTTGTGAGCACCAAAAAGCGAATGCGGCGCGGAGGGTTGAGGCCCGAGGGTAAGGCTTATGTTCGGGCCGAATTTGAGGGGGGTGCGGTGGGGTAAGCGTTGGAGGTGCTTGTAAGACTTATCGGAGTTAAGGAGGGGGGTTTGTGACTGGGCCGTATGTAAAACACTTGAATGCTTGTCAGTTCGTGAGGTCAGCTGGGGCTTTATTCAAAGGTAACTCGATTGAAGAAGGGAAGAAGGGAAGTTCCTTGTTGGTATTGTCTTTACATAAGCATAAGATTCGCTTACTGCTGCATTTTGTTGCTTCGTTTTTGTCAAGCATTCTTATGATGCGCCTGTTTTGGTGTTTCTCGGTGGTACTAAGTATCGTGGATAAGCACTAGTCGGACCTATACTTACCATCGGGAGTCCCAGTGGAAATGATTTTCCGGGACGTGAAGCATACGGGTAGAGATACGTGCGTAGTTTGGTCTTCATGGTTTGGTGGCTATGACTGGATGCTTGTAAGCATGGCCCTGGTGGAGATCGACATGGAAGGCGCCTGTACTCAGTGACTTGTTTTCCTATCTCCATTCTAACTGGATTCGAATCGATTCTAGAGCTGATTTCACCCACAGTAGTAAGAAAATAGAGTAAACCAATTCAACTATACAGATCAAAATACCGCTTCCAGCACGAGAACTGAGTAAGAAAAGAAGTATCTAGTCTGTCTATCAAGAACCTATCTCACCTTTCAACATTTCTATCACTCCAACCTTCAAATCTACGCACCACAAGGCCACTTCCCTCTTCACTCTCGATTAATCTCCGGAACCATCTCTCCTTTCCATTTCCAAAGAAAAACTCTGATCCCTATATATAACCCCTGAATTTCCCATGCATATAGCTGCTGAGCACTCCGCACGCGTGATCCCTTGTCATTGTCTTGAAGTACATAACCAGTCTTATCATAAACAAACGGGCTTTTCTCAAGGTTCCGATAGCTTAGTTCTATACAACACAACAGAAAGCGCTAATTTTGGGCCATACTTAAAAAATATACCAAATGTCAGCCTTATATTCCTTTTTTTCTGATTCTAAATAAGGGCATAAGAGGCTGGTATCGAGGTCATTCTAGCAAGCTATATTGTTCCTTGCTGTGCACAGCGAAATGCATGTCTTGTCCTTCCCCCCCCCTTTCCCAGGTTTTCACATCTTACATTTAAGCTTCCAGCTTCCAGCTACCAGGCCGTCATGAACAAGGCCGGCTGAACGTGTTGCGTACAAGGCGTGAATTCCACCCACTGAAAAGGTTATGGAACGCGAGTTGCTTGACGACAACCCTGTTACATAGATTGTTTCTGTGAATAGGTATAGGGTTAGTGAGGTGACTTGGTATTTCGAGGGGTGTTGTCAGAGTAGGGAGGAATAGGGAGGTTAAGGGGGTTAGAGCTGGGTGGTTGGTTGTACCATGAAAAAAAGATGTGGTTGTGGGAAGCAGTGTTTCGTCATGATTATATTTCGTCGTAATTATACGTCTCAAGTAGTAAGATGCTATAGGATGATAAGGAAAGCGCAATCATAAGTCGTCTAGCTACAACTACGCCAGGTAAGGCACATTCCATCATGCTCCCCTCACATCCCCAACCGCACTTGTAATTTACACTTACTAAAATATAGCCAAGGAAATGAAAACCCCTTACATAGTCCAAATATACAAATCTCTTCATTACCTCCGCCCACTCCTCACCTCAAAGACATCAACCTCCCTCTCTACCATCCCCAAACTCTTCCTCCTCCTCCCCTTCCCAGACACCACACTCGCACTCCGTCTACTCCGACTCCCCCTCGACGCCGTACCCCCGCCACTATACCCAACCCCACTATCCCTCTTCCCCATCACCATAACCTGCTCAATAACCTCCACAATATCCTCTTCATGCTTCAACTCCCTAACATCGTGCTCATCGGAAAGATGTTTAACCAGCGCCTTAACATCGCCACAGATAGTATCAGAATCCGAATACTTGGAGCAAATAACGCAGCAGTACTGAGCGTCTGGCCCGTCGCGGTGGCATTTGACAACGAAGCGGTTTGAGACTTGGAAGGTGCGTTCGGTGTCGCCGGCCCATTTGGAGATTTCCCAGGCTTTTCCCGGGGAGAGATGCAGGGATCCCGCGCAGTGGGGGCAGCGCGCGTCTTTGGTGGTGAGGAGCGTGGGGTGCAGGGGCTGCGTGGGGTCGCGCTGGAGGTCGTAGGCGTATTGGCAGTATAGGTGGCCCGGGTGGGATGGCACGGTAGTTGAGGCACTTTCGGTGATGGAGGGCTCGGGCTCAACTTTGCTTTGCCAGTCGAGGATTGTTGTGTTGATTGGGCTGTTGGTTCGCACATGTACAGGTTCATCGTGCTTTACAGTTACGGTGGTTGTTGAATTGGGACCGATAGGTGGCTGAGGAAGTACTAGGACCCGCGATGGTGCTTGAGATGCTACGTGCGAAGGTGCCTTGGATGGTGCTTTTGATGGAGCTCTCGACGGTACCTTGGATGGTGCCTGGGAGGGTACTTTAGATGGCGCATGAGAAGGTGCTTTAGACGGTGCCTTTGATGGTACTTTCGACGGAACTCTAGAGAGTGCTTGAGATGCTGCTTGAGATGCTGCCTGGGACGACGCTACGACAACCGTCGTCGGTCGTACGCAAGATATCGACTGTGACGGAGTAACGGACGGCGCATAAGAGCTGTGGTGAGAAGCTACGTGTGACGGCGCATGGCTGGTCGAATGAGACGTTACATGAGAAGCCACATGTGAAGGCGCATGATGCGGGCTTGAACGAGTCGTAGTAACTGAATGCATCGACCGCGGTGTAACGGGGCGCTCATCTATCAGCCGGTCCTGCAGTGCGACCAACACTTCAATCGATCTCGCTGCTGCTGCTCTCGAAGCCGCGTTGATATTCGATAATTGATGAGCCGCCGAGTCTGATGACACAGGTCCATATATGGCAGTGCTCACCAGTACGCTCTGCAGGGCAATGATCTGCCATTGGAGCTCCGTCTGCGCAGTCACTAGTACACATCTCGTTAGCTGACTAGTTGGTCTGAGATACTCGACTTCAAAAGATGTAGCAACGAGATCCAGAACACGAATGCACAGGATGGCACGGCGGAGAAGTGCATACCATCACCCATAGCGAACTCGGTGCCCATTGCGTGATATCCAATCTCAAACTGCCGGACCATTGTCGCCTTGTCCGTCATGACGGCTTCCTCGCTGCCCAACCTCTCATCCGAGACATATTCAGCTCTTCTCGAGTAGCTCCTGAGGCTCTGTTCATATTCCCTCTGCTCCTTCAACGACAAGCTGCGATATAAATCCCTAGTAGCATCAAACACTCCAGAGAGAATGTATACGAGCGACTGTACAACATTTGCCGGATCAACCGAGGGATTCTGTCAAGGCTTCAGCATCTAAATATAGACAACATGTCTTTGTTACCACGCACCAGGTACTTACAGCAATACCCATTTCGTCTCCGGAATGTGTTATCAATATCTTTGGGCTGTTTACCCCAGATATCGGACCAAATGACTCGTTAAGAAGAGGCAAAAAAAAAGGGTCTTGATAACTCAAAAGCTTAAACCAACGAGCAACGGGAGTTCTTTAGTGTAAGCACACAGATTGACTAAGCAACAAGTCCCGTGTTCACTTGCATGATCATCATAAGCTCCGAAAGGGACAGATTCCCCATGCAATCCCTACTGGTCTGAACGGTCTTATGCTGAATGATGGCCGTGTACAGCTGGCAAGGCGCCATTGGTGGCCCCATGCTTTCTTTTTGATTGGCATACCCACAGTCGCGGGCCGCACCAGGAACGTGCTCATTGGGAAATCGACGTCATTCCCAGCCGGAGGATTGCTGTGGGACAATGGATAGCAGTAGTGCATAGACCCTGTGGTGTGATTAACGGTCGATTACTTGTCTAGGACCCGACGGGTGTAACAAGGGCCGAAAGCGGTCATTATCGGGCTGTAGTCATGTCTCGAAGGGGAAATGGGGGAGGCGAGTTGCATCTACGGGCCGAGATGTCGTGTTTATCTCCAGAGTGCTCGCCTTGCGTTGGGAGCGGTCAGAAAGTGGCTGCGTCTTGCATGTGACATCATCCTCTTCTGCGATGCACTCAGAAATGTAGTCTTTGGCACCACGTCATTGAGGCGCAACCAGTAGCTCTAAACTCGCTAGTCTATTGTAATCGAGGCTTTTGTTTCTAATGGTGACTGGTAATCTACTGGGAGAAGCAAATGTGCGACTGCAGACATCGATCGTGGCATGCTGTCGATCATCTGTCGCTAGTGCCCAACTAGTGCGCGCTTTCTTCCACAGTCTCGGTTGCAGACACAGACATGACGGAAGATGTTTAGGCAAACCGTTGGAACGTTACGTCGATGTCATATCTGCGGGAAATAGAAGAGGTTGGAAAAGTGTGCATGACTAAAAACACGGGGAAAATCCATGTAGTAACATTCACACTAGGGCTATTCCAGTATAGGGTAACCAGTATTACGAGGCTACTCACGACGTACATTGAGCTATTTCCCACGACATCACTAGCTAGTATGCTCAGCAACGCCAACACTCTGTGACTCTGTTGAACATAATCACATTGATGCCCAAAGACAAAGCTACTACACGGCTATACCGCATCTTATCAACCAAGACAAGTGTACCGATTTTCTATTAACTGTAGAGATATCAAAATCCCCGCAATACTAGTAAAAGAGAGACGTTCTTTTGCTGAACAAATGAGCGTGAAGAATGAGTCTGCATCGGTCGCTTCTGTCCGAAATCCTGCGTCCAACTTCCAATAACATATTAGTACAACTACACTTACCATCGGGTCGTTCCACACTTCACACCAAACTCTCCATGCACTGCCAAGACCCCGATCTGCTACTCTGCCTCGTCCGCCTCGGGTGCTGCAGCCTTGTTATCTTCCAAACTCTTCTCATGGATAAACCACGCCAAAAGTGCACTCCCGGCTACAAGCACTATCGCAACTCCCAGTGCCACTCTCGTGGCCTTTCCGTAGCACTCTCGTACAATGCTCTTCAGAGCAGGATCTAAAGATCTGTAGTAAGACAATCCAGCTCTTACTCGCTCCGCAATCTCAGCCGCGTTGTCATCGCCCTGTAGCGCACTCTGAAGAGTCTTGCGCAGGGTCTGATTGAATGCTGTTGCGCACAGCGAGATGCCAAAGACCGAACCGAGCGAGCGAAACAGGTAAGAGCATGCCGTAGCAACTGCCTGGTCTGCATGTGATGCGTTTGCGATGAGTCCAATAAGCGTGGTTGTTACACCAATGCCGGTACCGAAAGAGCATATGGTTGTCCCCACTACCATAAGTGGGATACTTTCTATCAGCACCCCGGCGAAGAGAAGAATGAGCGAGAGACCAGCCATGAGTGCTGTATATGCCGAAACTGTGATCCAGTAGTATCTTGCTGTTCGCTTCATGTAGAAGCCACCAAAAAGCGAGCCCGTGACGCTAAAGATGATGGATGGAACGAGAAGTAGCCCAGCATGTGAAGCGTCGTAGTCGCCAATAACCTGCCAGTAGAGGGGTATGTAGAACACGGCGGCCATCCAACCCCCCAACGAAAAGAAGTTGCAGAAGTAATACGCAGAAAGCGTCCTGTTGAGAATAATGTGACCAGGCGCAACTGGATTACTCGCCACATACTTCTCCACCAAAACAAACACAGCGAAAAACGGTGTCATGGAGAGTCCAGCAATGGCAATCGGGTCCGACCAAGAAACATTCGATCCGCGATCCAGTCCAACAAGGAGTCCGAAAACCGCCAGAATCAATACCACCGCCCCCAGAAAATCAACCTTCTTAACCTTCTCTTTCCAATGCGACTCGTCTCGTTCCGGGAGCTCCAGTGCCAGCGCCACAGCCACCACAGCCAAAGCACACATGGGACCCTGTGCCAGAAACGCTGCTCTCCACCCAATACTATCCGCCAGCAGCCCACCCAAGGGCGCTCCCGCAGAAGCACCTACCGCATATACCAAGTTGAGATAACCCTGCCAGGTCCCCCTCTCCCTCAACCCGAGAATATCGCTCATCAACACAGTAGTACAAACGCTCATCCCGCCTCCCCCTACCCCAGCGAATGCCCGCGCGGCAATAAGCTCTCCAATATTACGCGCTAGCCCGCATCCCACGGAGCCGATGCCGAAAATCAGGTAAGCAGAGAGTAAGCATTGTTTTCGTCCGAAGATGTCACAGAGTTTGCCGTAGAGAGGCTGGAAGGCCGAGAGCGTGAGGAAGTAGCCGGTTGCGATCCAGGAGGTGGAGGAGAGCGCGTGCAGGTCTGTTCCTATGATTCCATAGGTGGTTACTATGAGGGTTTGGTCTGCGGCTGAGAGGAAAACCTAGAATGCAGTTGTTAGTTACGTATATCCCTTTTTCCCTAAGTGCTCTAGAAATGGGATTAAGAGCGTTGGGCTTACACCGATAGCTAAGGCTGGGAATATATATTTCATTCGTTTTCGGACTTCTGGCAGGCCTTGGTGCTTGAAAGAATCGCCATGGCTGGCTTGTTGTTCAATGTCTCTTTCATTGTCAGGAGGTGGGTTGCCTAGGAGTGGTGTTGTCTCGCTAAGAGATGCACCTGGGGGCGAGGAAGCATTCAGTGCCATTGCGGGGTGTTTGTGTGCAGACAACCTCAAGGCGCGGCCAACTCTAGCATGCGAGAATCAGAAAACGAGTAGATATGTTTGCACATTAGCTAAGCTAATGACTCAGAGCTATGGGTTTTGGAAACGGTATTCATGCAAAGTACGCATTTAATCACCGCTTACGTCCGTGGGGGGAGCTATGATGCGATAGGCAACCCTATTCAATTAGTCACGGGAACTCGCGATAACGCGTACGCATCACGTCAACAATCAATTTGGGCAGCAATTTGTTTTTGAAAAAGAGAAGACATCGTGACTGAAAGTTTTGCACATCCGATAGAGCAAACAACACAACACATGAGGAGATAATACATTAAACCGCCATGTCCAGGTCGTAACGAAGAAAGGTATCGTCGCTATAGCAACAGCCACATCACGTTGTATATTCGTTTTTATGAGCCTACGCAGGCTGATACCTCCGGAGCTGGAAACAATGTTAGCATCCAATTCCGAGGAGGAGGTAGGGCCAAGATAACTTACATCCAGACTCAGGTATTTACTCGACATCTTGCCTTGATCTCGCATGACACCAACCAATGTTTCGCTTTCTTGGAAAAAGCCCGCCTTGAGGGAAATGACAATGAACTGCATACCAGGACTAGCATGTTCGCGCACATACTTGGCCACACGGCTGACATTGACATTATCCAACGCCGCGTCGACTTCGTCAAGTACAAAGAAGGGAGAGGGCTGATAGCTGTGGATAGCGAACAGCAGAGCCAGCGCAGCAATCGTCTTTTCACCACCAGAGAGATGCTCCATGTCACGGAAGCGCTTGAGTGGCGGCATGGCGTGGTACTTGAGACCAGCGAGGTACGGCTCTGTGCTGTCTTCCATGTCAAGATACGCCTGTCCTCCTAGCGGGAATTGTGGCGATTTTGTCAGATCCTTGTATGTGCCACCAATGTTCTCCGAAATGTGGTTGAATGCCTTCATGAAAAGATCATAACGCTTCGTCTTGACTTCCTCAAAGGCCTTCTTTGCTGCTGCTGCACGCTTACGTGTCTCGGCGAACGCCTCGTCAATGGCCTTTAGGCGTGTTTCCGTGGCTGCAAGACGCTCAGCAGCACGCATATTTGGCGTAGCCTTGTTGATGTCGGTCTCGAGGTTGGTGATGACATCAGTCAGCTTGGACTCTGCAGCCTTGAGGCGAGTTCCTGCTTGAGATTGGACGCGCTCATCTTGATCGTCCTCCTGAAAAATGTTAGTAAGATGTAAGCAACCGTACATATTGGGCACACTCACGCTCTCAAGTATTTCAACAATCTCGGTCTTCAGCTCCTCTTCCAGCTCCTCGAAGTCTACTTCTATGCCGTAATCGTCAACCTCTGCAGGTTGAATCTGAGTCGAATCAGGATCCTCATCAATGTCCATGGCATCGGCATCCGGTCGCGGCATGTCGGTCATCGGTAACGATGTCAATGGACGCGAGTCTTCAGTGAGCGGGATCTTGATCTCGTTGACACGGCATTCCTTGAGCACATTGTATCGATTGGTTGCGCTCGATTTGATCTTTGCGTCCTCTTCATCGACCTCCTTGAGCACATGCTTGACCTTTTCGTTTCGCTGGTCTAGGGCGCGGCGTGCTTCCTTGACGGCAGCGACTCGTTCAGCAAGCTTCTCTTCCAAACGCCTTCTCCTATCTTGCAATGTCTCGAGCTCAGCTTGAAGGACATCTCTCGCACTTTGCAGCTCTTCTTGCTTGGCCTGAAGCTCCGTGATGTCGGCGGTTTTGCGTTTGATTTCATCCTCTGCTTGCTTGAGGCGTTCTTCAACACCGCGCAGCGATGAGTCGACCTGCTTCATCAGGTATTGAAGTCTACTACGCTGCTTGCTGAACTCGAGACGTTTTTCAGCCGCTTCTTGCTGGACGGTACCTTGTTGGGCCTCATAGTCACGGATAGATGCATAGCCAAGTCGCTGACAGAATGCGGCAAAGACCTGGTCATTGACTTGGTTAACCGTATCTTGGTAGCGCCTAAGCTCGTCTTCTCGGTTTTGCAATCGCTGTGCCTGCTTTTCGTAGTTGGGACGAACACCCTTCAACTCAGCTTTGTGATGCGCGAGCTCCTTCTTCACACTCTCAATGTTACGGCTGAGTGCCCTGGCTTCCTCCTTGGTGCGAGCAATCTGCTCCTGGAGATCAAGGAGCTCAACCTCGAGTGTTTGCTCCTGAGTGTATTGACGATCTTGCTTGGGTAGGGCACGAAGCTCTTCCTCGTACCTGTTCCTCTTGTCTACTAGAGTTTGGTACGAACGCTCGTCCCACTGCTGCTCGCTCGAGTCATCATCCCGATCAAGCTCACCACCCGTCTGTGTACCACCCTTGCCGATGACGCGACCATCTAGAGTGACAGCCTTGACCTCGATCCGCTTGGAGTACCTCAGCTCTTTTGCAAGCTTTTCTGTATTACAGATCATGGTGTTGCCACAGGCGGCTGTCATGGCTCGCTCATGCTTGGGTTCGTAGTTGATGCAGTCAATGGCGAGACGCATGCCTTCGTGCATTCCCTTTAGCTGAGGATCGACGGCTTGGATCTGGATCGAGTCCAGAGGGTTGAAAGACATGACGCCGATGCGCTCAGCTTTGAGATAATCGATGCATGATTTGGCAGTGGCTTCGGTATCAACGATAACCGTGTCCATCTGGTGTCCAAGCACGCGGCCTATGGCCTTGCGGTACTTTTGCATCTTGGGCGTGATGAGATCCTTGTATCGGCCATGCACCTTTTCAGACCCAAAGCGAGTCTTGAGGCGCTCAATGGTCCTGCGAGCCTCTTGTTGCTTCCTTGACTCGCGGCGGCTGCCTTCAACTATGCTGAGTTGCTTGAGGACCTCCTGCAGCAGCTGGTTCTTTTCGTAGTATTGCATCTCAATCTGCTTCCGGTCGGCTCTGAGCCTGTCAAGCTCCTGCTGTTTGGCGGCTCTAGCGCTTTCAAGCTCTTGAGTTTGCGTCTTGGAAGACCGTTGGCGCTCTTCAAGCTGGCTAATGTCTGCGTTCAGCCTCTCGACAGCCTTCTCATGACCTTCGACACTCTGCTGCAGGTTCCTGACATGATCTCTATCTGTCTCGACTTCTCGCTTAAGCTTGTCTATTTGCATTTGGTCGCCGTGGGTACGCTTCAAGACTTCGCTACGCAGACGGCCATACTCTTGGAGGTCTTGTTCTGAAAGCTCGCGTCCCTGGTTCTGGGCAGCAGCCTTGAAGTCATCCTCCCATTTCTTCTCAGCCTTTTGCACAAGCTCAAGGTCCTTTTGGCACTTTTCGACAGCCTTCTTTTCAGCGTCTCGCTTCTTCCTGAGCTCATCAATCCTGCTTTCGTACTTTCGGCGGGTTTCATTGGAAAGACGAATCTTCTCTTCAATGGGCGCGAGTTCATTGGAGGTATCCTCGATTTCCTTTTCTTTAGCTTTTGTGTTTTGATCGGTCTTGGCTAGATCTCGCCTGATCTTGGCCTCGGCCTGCCTTTCCGCCTCGTGTCGCTGGTGGTACTTTTCTACGCTGCGCTTGTGCTCCTTGAGCTCTTCCTGGTGGCTTGCAATCTTACTCCTCGCCCTCTCCATGACCTGCTCATAGAGATAGAGCTTCCACAGGTTCTTTGTGACAACAGCTTGGTCTCGCTCGGCCAGCTTCTTCTCGTACTCGTCAGCTTCGGCCTTTTGGTCCTGGTATGTCTTGAGTTCTCCGTTGATTGCGCGACGTTCGTGGAGATGCTTGGCATTATCTTCGGTTGCGGCCTCGGACTCTTCCTTGAGGCGATCATATTCGGCCTTTTGCTCCAGACTGCCCGAGATGCGCTCAACTTGCAGGGTGAGCTGCTCGGGTGCTGTTGTGGCAAGCTTTTCAACGTCTCCCTGGAAGACGAGAAAGTTCCTTGCCTTGACCAGGATGCTGTGCTCTTCCAACGCGTCGTTGTACTGCTTCTGAGTCACGACCCGATTGTTGATGCGGTATTCACTGGAGCCGGAGCTAGTGATGGTGCGCTGCCACTCGTGCGTCTGCTCTGCGTCGTCCTCGAAGACGGCCTTGACCCATGCGTTCTGAGGATCGATGCGCTGGCTGCTTGTCTGTGATTCACCATTCTCTTGGGAATCGCCATTGGAGGCTTCATTGGAGTCGGCGGTTTCAGTTGCGGTGCCGTCTGCAGCAATACGTGCTTCCTGGATAATTCTGCCGCGATACACCATATCCTTTAGCTTGTCGGAGCGCAGATGAGACGACCTAACTCCCAGGACAAAGGAGATGGCGTCCATGCTGTTTGACTTTCCGGATCCATTGGGGCCGATGATTGAGGTGAAGTACGAGTCACCAAAGAGTAGCGTATGCCGTCCCCGGTACGACTTGAAGTCTAGGCAAATTAGCAGAGCACACCGCGTGCGCGTAGAGGCATAACGCACTATATATCTCGAGCCGCACAAGCTTGCCCATGGTTGCGGATTTGTGTGGTGGGATGTCGCGGGGGTGAATGGCGACGGCCGCGGTGAAGCGCGTACCTGGTCGCGTCAAGCAGCGCACAAAGCGCCCGCCGTAGCTGGCGTCTCGGGTGGGCCGCGGTGACGAAACCAGGCCCTCTGCCCTATGTGCTTGGTTGATTCACCGTACATTGCCATACACGCACAGATATACTCTCACGTATATCCTGCATACACACTCTTGTACATACACCAACATTCGCCATACACAAGTGCACACACTGTGTATATTCTCTGCTCATCAGGCACACGCGTTACTCGTCCTCGTGACCTTTTGTCCTCACACGCCCCCCGCCGCCGTAGTGCCACTACCAGAACAACGTTGTCTAGCTTGCCAATCAACAGCTGGCATTTACCCACGATTTTTTTCTCGACAGCTGCGAGACGGAGCAGCATCAAACACATACAGAACCCCCGCAAATCACTCCTGTCTTGTCTTGTCATGAGAACGTAGGCCCTGACTGCTTCCGAATCAAGCTGCCCTCCATCACTGTACGCTCTTCCCCCAAGTGTCGGTCCTTCTTCTCCACCATGGCCCACGCCAGGCAAGCTGGCTGCTATACACCTGCTAACAGTCGCCATGGCTCCAGTCTCTCCTCCGCGCTCCCTCAAACGACTCCTCCACCGCCGAACCCCTTCGAATCTCGATATTGTCCCAGAAGAAGTACCTGCCATGTCAGCCCCAGACGATGACGCCGGCCCTGTGCCCCCCAAGTCCCACTCAGAGCCCCAGCTAGGAGTCTCTGCCCTCTCAGCACGTCCGCTGCCTGGCGACTCTACTCACTCCGGCACTGCTTTCCTCGACGACACTGCCCCCTCGTCCGTAAACCAGCCAACTTCTAGCCCTGGCCTCTCTCGCTCCGCATCCTTCTCCAACAGCTCTTACCATGACGAGTCCGACCCTGAAGATGCCTCCTTCTTCCCGCCTGTCGAGAAGCTCACAATGTTTGACTTTGTCGAGAACCTCGCCCTTGCCCAGCGCATTGAGAAGATACAGAACTCCATCTCCAGCCAGACGGAGCGCATCAAGAATCAGGCAAAGAACAGGGGCATAACCAGAGATCGCGTTGTTGAGGAGTGGCGACGCAGAGTGCCAACCGAAGCCGAGCAACTCGACAAGTACAAGAAGCGCATGCGCCGCTCAGTCGACCGTCTGAATCAGCGCTGGAACGAGTCTCTCACAGTGACTGCGCGCGAAAAGACATCCTTTATCGCCGCCGTCTTGAACATCTTTGTCTCAGGGTACTTGGTCGGATCCCATCCAGAGTGGTTCCCTCACTGGTACACTGCTCAGCTGCTTTACTTTATGCCCATCCGCTTCTTCACGTATCACAAGAAGGGCTACCACTACTTCTTAGCTGATCTGTGTTACTTTGTCAACATCCTCTTGGTTTTGACCATGTGGGTTTTCCCTCAGTCCAAGCGACTCTTCATTTCAACATACTGTCTTTGCATGGGAAACAACGCCGTAGCCATCATCATGTGGCGTAACTCGCTCGTCTTTCACAGCATGGACAAGGTTGTAAGGTTAGTATTGCATACTCATGATGGTACCCAAATACTTATGTCTGTAGTCTCTTCATCCACATCATGCCATGTGTTACTCTGCATTGCATCGTCCACCTGCTCTCGCCAGAATATCAACAAGAACACTATCCCGCCATCTACAACATTCGCCATTCAGACCCAACCTCGCCCCATCACTACGGTCTCTTCCAGATGATGCTCTGGGCTACCTGTCCGTATGCAGTTTGGCAGCTATCCTACCATTTTCTCATCACGGTGCGCCGTCGCGATCAGATTGCAGCAGGTCGACCAACCAGCTTCACGTGGCTGCGAAAATCGTACGCCAAGACCTGGATTGGAAAGGTTGTCCTTGCGTTGCCCGAGTTCCTCCAAGAACCCGCTTTCATGTTCATTCAATACAGTTATGCTGTCCTCACCATGATTCCCTGCCAGGTGTGGTTCTGGTACCGCTGGCCTAGTGGTCTGTTCCTGAGCATCGTCTTCGTGTGGAGCGTCTACAACGGCGCCACCTACTACATTGACGTTTTTGGAAACCGCTTTCAGAAGGAGCTTGAGCAACTTAAGAAGGACATGGCAAAGTGGCAGTCATCGCCAGAGGGAGGCTTCACGCCTTATACGCCTGCAGGTGATAATGCAGAGAAGCAGCTAGGTTACATTCCTCCACTCGAAGGCAGCACCAGCGTGAGGCCGGTTGATGGAGAGACGCGCGAGAGGAAGTAGCATGCTGACATTAATTGTTTTGTTTTTTTTGCAGATTTACGACGAGCATGTAGCGAATCTAGTTCTCCTTTGCGAGCTACGAAGTCTATTACAGAGTGAGGGATCGTTTTTGGTGTTGGGGTTGTGAGTAGTGTGTTATGTTTGTTCTTTTGAGTATTGGAAGCTTTGTTTGGGTTGCGGGTTGCATGTGCTGTTTTCGACTGGTTGATTAGATATACCCTCTTTCCTTCGCTTGGTCTGCGTCGTTGTTATCCGTAGCATGCGTTTAATATTAGAGTTGGTTATTCTCGATTTGTATCGATCTTGTGTAGTAGGTGTGGATGATGCAGTATATACGACTTTGTCAAGTGTGATTATTATTAAATAAATTCGTTACTACGTCCATTATAAGGTATTACACACGGACAACATCCACTGAACAACCAACCAACCTATCACCACCCTCTCCCTCTCCTACACTCTACCCAACTATCTATGCCCCGCATTCTCCGGAAACTTATACCTCTCCGGCTCGCCCTCAATCCCATTCTCCTCCCTCCACTGCTTCCTATCCACATCACTCACACCCGGCCCCCTATACACACTCCCATATAGCCCGCTCGCCCAGTCACTCCCCGGCCCCTCCTTGCTCTTCCTCGTCGCCCTCCTTGTATACCACTTCCCATAACACAACAAATAATACAATCTAAAGCACAAAAACGCAAAGCGATCCCTCTCTAGATCAGCCGGGTATTCTGCGCCTAAATCGACGGCCGCAGCGATACCGCTCATAACCGCCACTTCATGCGCATTTATCAGCGTCCACGCCGCCGCGAACCGCGTATGCTTTCGGCCCTGTAACAGCCACATCCAGGGGACTACGAAGGCGTAGTGGGTCCAGGAGTGGCAAAGCTGGTGCCACCAATCTTTGCGTATGATCTTGTCTGGGTCGATTTCATCGATGCTCCACAGATGGCCGTCGCGCTCTTTGTTCAGGTAGATTGTTTGGAAGACGTGCTTATCAAAGGGTACCGAGGGGGGGAATTGAGACTGGTAGTTTGTGCAGTCGAAGCACATTTCTAGCTTTGAACGATCGGATGGGTACATTTTGATGTAGTACATTGGTTTGAAGTTTTTGGCGGCGTATTCGTTGCGCTGGGTTTGGGGGATGTTGCTTAGTTGGGAGACGGAGCGCTGTTCGGTGTAGAAGTTTTCGTAGTGCTTGAGCATGTAGGACGAGTCCCAGTGGGTGATGGTTATGTCGTTTGAGAATTTTGCGGAGCCGAGAACGCGGGATTCGCGAAAGGAGGCGGTGGGTGTTAGGATACGTTTAGCGGTGTCGGCGCTGGATGGGGGTGTTAGTATCGAGGTGAAAGACTGGTGGTAGGAATTGGGGGGGACTTACAGAACGCAAAGAATCAACTCGTCGTAGTGCTCTTCCTTCTCCTGTGCATCGGCGTCATAATTGTGCTCGTCGTCATACGGCACATGCACACTGTTAGGGTTATGCGCATCAGGCATCGGCGAGCGCTTGATCAACCTGACTGTAACACCAGTCTTGTCACGCTTAACAACTTGCGTCACTTCTGTCGAAAGCCGGACATTAACACCCCTCTTGATCAGATCCTGTCTCCAGCGCTCGTAGAATTCGCTGAACTTAGGGAATACCACCATGGGCGGCAGGTTGCTAGCGATACTGTGTTTGTCTGGCGGATACCACATTCCGTAAGTGGGACTCGTGCAGAGCCGCTCGAGAATGATGCTGGGTACGTTGGGGGTTTCGTTGCCGGTACCGAGGAACAGTGCGATCATGGGCATGGCGACGGTGTTTGTGAATTCCTCGGAGAACATGAACATTTTGAAGAGGACCTTGATGGGGATGAGGGCGAAGAAGAGTTCGAACCAGCGAACGATTTTGAGCATCGTGTTGAAGCGTCGAATTTCTTTCTGATGCCGTGCGAGGAGCTCAGTGGGGAAGACATTGGTCCAGAAGATGTCATCTTTGCCAAACGAAACGTGCAGGTTGACGGGGTCGGCATGGTGGCCTTGTCGTGCAAACATGGTCATGGTGTGGTGGAAAATGTAACTTCCACCTTGAACGCCTTGGTTGAGCCATGCAGCGCCATGACGCTCCTTGTCGATGTCAATGGAAAAGGCCTGGCCGCCGCAGTAATCTACTGCATCAATGAGTGTAACGTCGAATTTGTCGGGGTGCTCAGAGAGATGGTGAGCACATGACATTCCTTTTTCATGTTAGTAACAACATCTCCCACATTAATCACATGTCCGTACCAGCAGCTCCCGCTCCCACAACGAGCACTCTCTTCTTCTTCCCATCCTTGTTGTTGCCGCCTGCCATATTCGTCGTAGGCAAAATAGGTTCAGTGTCGCGCGAATATGACATCCGAAAAGAAGAAAGGTATCAGCACTTAGGCTGCCTACTTCAATGTCACGAGCGACCACACGGCTTGTATTTGTTCGTAGTTATCACGACATAAATGTCGAGCAGATGCGTCATGGAGTTCCAAAAGCGGAATAGACAGATCTGATCGATCGTACATGCGGCACGCCGATCGCTCTTGGCGGCTCGCTAATCATCAAACACCATAGTACACAGTAGAATGTGATGTCATTTGTGCTGTACTTCATAACTCATGACGGCAAGATAAATTCGCTAGTATTATGTGCTGCAAAATAGCACAGGATCAACTTTCATCTATATAGTGTGCAATCCTTTTAGCGTCTTGGACGTCCAATCCTCGACATCAGTATTGGCCGACTCTATGGTCTGTTCAGCGCCTGAAGGGGGATCTGGCATGGCAGCAAATGCCACGGGGTTTGTTACATGGCCCAAGTCGAAGAAATCTAATTCAAGGTCCGCGGTCGCGTTTGTGAACCAATCTTCGCCCAGATCTGCGAGCTGCATTACGTGCTCGACACCTGCGTCGCTCGCCGCGGGGGCTACGGGCTCGAGCAATGCATCGTGCGGCGTGTCTGTCGGCGTTGGTGACTTTCTGTCAGCAGCAACCTCTGTTATGTTAGCAAACTGCAGCGCAATCCGGCTGAGCGTCTTGTAGGTAGGCGCAAGAGTTTGCATGTCGCGGATTTGATCTAGCACGGCCCGTACAGTCGTCTTGCGCTCAGTATCCTTGGTTGACTCTACATGTCCCTTTGAGCGGGCGAGAAAGTCTGCGCATACAATCATGATTGAGTGAAAAACATAGTAGAAATCCAGCCACGAGTATCCGATGATTCCAAGCTCGATACCGGCCCTGATGCACTGCAGGCTTTTGTGCACAGACTCGACGCAGTCTTCGGCCAGGGCAAGGGTTGTTCGCCAGTTGTCGGAATCGGTAAACATTTCGTTTTCAAGAAAGGATAGGCTACTCTCAATCTTTTGTACCAGGAAATCCCGGGTAACCATGCAACGCGTATGGTAATAGTAAATATGCAGCAGTAATACCATAGATCTGTGCTCTGACGTCAATGGGTAGCAGTCTAGCGACATGTTTGGCGGAACGGTTGCGATAAAAGCATCAAGTTCTCGCAGTAGAGCTTTTGCAACTGCAGGCGTCGGCGAGCGTTCTTCAGCCGAAGTTTGATCAAAATAAGCGCGTTGCCGGATACTATAAGACAGGCGGACGAGATCGAAGCAAAGGCTGGCAGAGTCTCCAGATATACTAGGTTGCCCGAATGCCTGGAATTCTGGCATGTGGAGTGACATTTCGCGATCGTCAATCGCGGTTGGGCGGCCGAGGACACTGCACAAGGTTTTTTCAAAAATGTAAATGGTCCACCAGACTTGGCGGCGTATATTCCGCTCGACAAACTCGAATTCTTGATTCGAAGCGTCTCGATGCATTCCCATGGTAGTTGCCTGCGACACGTCATTAATCAAGGAATCACTCTACCTAGTAAGTTACTGACCATGCGTGCAGCGAGGCCTATAAGCAGCCACGAACTGCTCTTTTGCCCAACGCTATGATGGTGCATGTTGAGCAGAACAAGTGCCTGGACATTATCCAGGCAGGCTGTTGTCAGGAGCCGCCGAAAGTAGTTTTTGGAAAATTTGAGGTATTTGACTCGTAGCTCACGGGCTTGCTTAGAGTCGAGTCCGTCCAGTTGCTGGCATCCAAAGGAGAAGACGAGGGCCAATGCCACCAGCCAGCCAATGTCCTTGCATTCATCGATCAATTCGGCTTTTCGAGAATATGTTGCCTCCACACGAAGATGGAACACGCTTCGATTGAACAAAGGCATATACATGTGAATCTGGCTAAAGTAGGCAGACACCAGGGCCTCGGCGGTAGCTTTTGGCGGTAAGAGAGTCCCGATGGAGTCTCTGCTCAGACTATGCTCGCGAGACAAAAATTCATCACTGGAATCATCCAGTTCTGACCTGGATCTTTTGCGACTTCTTTTGCCAGACAGGGGAATTTGAATTGTTTCAGGCAAAGTAAGATCTTCGTGAGAGGGGTCAGTGCTGCTGCGTTTCAGAATGGAGCCAGAGTTGCTGGATGGATCTGAGATGAAAGAGTGGGCGCTTGCACCCGTGATTGATATCCATCGAGCAGCAAGAGCGCGTATTGTTGTGGCAAGGCGAAAACTGCTCGAGGGACCAAAGTAGTGGGAGGTGCGTCGATTTGCTCGCAAGAGCTCTTCTGCCCGAGAGGGGGGTCGCTGGGAGTCGGAGAGGGTGCTGGGGCGATCATGTTTGCTTTTGATGGGTGGAAAATCATTGTGAGAAGAATGGGTAGTATCGTGTGTGGTGGCAAATGGGCCAGCGGGTGCCTGCCGGGGAAAGGAGGATGTTTGAAAAGGTTGAAGTGGAAGTTGTGGTTGCGGTTGTGGTAATAGTTGTTGTTGTGGTTGTTGCTGCGACGACGACGACGAGCGCTGGTCGGTGGCAGTGGCGGTGGCGGTGGTGTTGAAGATGTTTGCCGGAGTGAAGTCATCATTGGCAGGCATGGTGATATTCCTCGCGGCCGCGATCCTAAACAGCGTCTCGGTATCCTGAACATTATCGTTGGGGAACAGGCCCTTGACCAGGGCCTCGAGCGCCCTATAGCGTAGACTCAGCGTCTCGACACTGCCGTAGACGCGCTGCTTCCGGGGAAGTTTGGATTCGCAGGCCACACCACTTGCCTTGCAATCGGCGCATGGCATGTCTGCATTGTCGCGAATGCATCGCGCCCGGCGGATCTTGCATCGGTCGCAGCTCACCAGCGCCCGCTTGCGAGACGAGCCAGACTTTACCGGGCGTTCCGTCATGGCCGTATCGCATCCGAGGCTGGGCGCAAGGGGGGTGTGGAGGAGTAGGTTCAGTAAGGGGAGTGAAGGGCTGGCTTCCAGGAGAGGAGAAGCACTACTCTACGGGCGCGACGCCATAGCGGCAGATCAGGGTCTAATCTGGCTTCTGGCTTCTGGCTTGGGGGCAATTGGCAGCAAAGTTTGTCGTCATGTCGCTCTGGGTTGAGCGGAGCGTCTTCCGCGAAAAAGCACACGTACGCACATGCCTGCAGCCGACAGGTCGCCCGGCAGAGCCCATGTCTTTGTATGTAAGTAACCATGTACATATCTATGTACATGTGTAAAGTACATGCATCCATAAGACAGACATGCTCGGTCCCATTACCATCGCCGCTCGGCCTGAAATACTGGCGCGTCTTAGTCTGCTCCATACGAACTTCCCCTTTCGGCCCTTCTCGTATACCCCGACAGTCCGGCAACTCCGGCCATGGCCAGCTTGAGCGCCGGGCAACACGCCCCAACACCCACTAAGCACGCACAAGCCCATCTCAACACGCCCACGTCCTGGTGACAGATCATCTAGGCGAGGCGCTTGCAAAAGATAACCAAGTACAACATTAACCAAGAAGCTTCAAAACGCCTGGCTCGCTGCCCGAGCCACCCTCTCTACTCTACTCTAGATACACAGGGATGCCATACACCACCGCAGCCGCCCCGTTGAGATATCGCAACACGCAGGCCTTGCGTGCTTCGCGGACTGCCTCGTCCAGCCCGACTCCCCTCTGCCTCTCGCTCTCAATCCCACCATCGCCATCTGCTGCCCTGGCAGTCTTCTTTCCTTTCTTTGCGCTTCCCCCACCGCGCACCCCCTCCACCTCGTCCACCAACTGCCCAGCTCTACCTTTGCCTATGGCCTTCTTTGCGGGCGTCTTTCCCACACTCTTTGCAGGACCACCACTGTCGTCTTGTGACTCGGGCCACAGTCCCCATAGCTCGCCAGCCTTGACGGCAAAGCGATCGCAGTCCTTGTCCGTGACATCCCAAAGCATGCCCACAACAGCCGGTGCTCCGGCAGTAAGATAAGAAGCAAGCATACCTGACGGTTCGAAGATGCCGTTTTCACTAAGGTGCACCGAAGAGCAGCCAAATAGTAGCGTCGTCGCACATCCTGCTTTCCTGTCGTCCTCATCTCCTTGGCCTGCATACAGTCGTCGTACTGCCTTGGACTTGACATATTGTGCACCGCTGCCGTGACCAAAGTACAGCACTAGATCCTTTTCTCGCAGACTGCTTTCAAACTCCTTTTCCGATGGCGCTCGATTGCTAATGCGATCCCATGATCCCTGGAGTTGGTCTAGACGTGGCGCGATCGTCTTAGATGTGTGCGCCAGGTCCCCTGATGGGTTGAGCATGCTCGTCCCCCTCATATTGGAGCAAATGTGATGGCCAGCCGGCGCAGTCTCCGCTTTGGATCCGCACGGTCGTGCCGAGAGCAGCCTTTCGCGAAGGGCCGCAAGTGAGGGTAATCTAGAGATTGATAGCTGCTCTAGGCATGGCAGCGACTCCCACGGAAACCCGTGCAAGTCCTTATCCAAAATGAGTATCGTGTGACGACAAGCAGACTCCAGCTTGTGAGATGCACTGTGGTACGCCCGGAGAGCTTCATACGTCTCGACCACCATGGCATCGAAATCGAGTTCGTCATACGCGTTGCGCTCACCGTTGAACTGGAGGATATCGACAACAAAGTAAATCAGATCCATGAGCGCTTCGTCCAAGTCGAGTTCCTCATTGGTAGCGTCCCCAAGACCAATAAACAGCTCCAGAACTCGTGCATCCAGTACCGGTCGCTTTTGTTGGCTCTTCTTTTTTCGAGACGGTAAGTGCTCGTTCAGTATGTTCTCCAATGACTTGCGGAACTCTGCAAGCAGAGCTGGTTGTCTCTCGTGCTGTGAAAAGACACCCTTGAAGCCGCCAAGCCAGATGTTCTCCATGTTAATGAGTAGCTCATGCAGGCGCGTGTCGAGAGCCTCACGTTCAGCCCACCACTGTTGTCTTGCTTCCCTCGAAGTCATATCCTTGGCGCTTCGCGTGCTAAAGTCACTGAGCTCGATAATCTCGTCAAAGTCTCTCTTTCCGTCGTCAAACGAGAACTCGTCCTCGTCCATGTCGCGAGAGGCGTGGCGAGCCAATGGCAGGCGCAACACAAATGGCGACAAGCCCTTTTCGAAACGAGTAATGAACAGCTCGTCACGGGCCTCACTAAGAGCCAACGATACCGCATTCCACGTCTCCGGGATGATGTCAACGTAATCTTTTTGAAACTCCGATACCGACGCAAACGAAAAACTTGATGTATCCGTCACCGGCCATTGCATACACTCGTCGCGGGATAATTGCTCCTTTTCCGCCTCAGTCGACTCCTGTACAAGTCTCAATGCGTTGACCTTGGGCAGTTCGCTCATGTATGCGGCATACATTGGGTGCAGTGAGCCTGGCAGGTCGCTACCCGCTACAGCTGACATGAGCACTGTAACATGACCCAGCGCCATGGAGGTCTGGCGGAGCAAATGGTTCGAGCCATTGGTAGCACACAGAGCATGCGCTTCTACAAGTCTCTCTCGTGCTTCGCGGAGTGTGTCCATAAAGTCCTCTTTTGGTTGCTTCTTTGCTCGGCCAGATTTGGTAGTAGCAGAAGACACAAGAGTCCCTTTCTTGACAGGTTCTACCTCAGAAAGTCTGCGGTCTTTGAGACCAAAGGCAGGGAACGCAATTGTCGACTCTGGAAGTGTGTTTACAGTGAAGTCTTCCGCAATCTGTTTTGCACTCTGTGCGAGTCTCGCTTTGAAGGTTGCCCACATGTGCGATACTTCCTGGCTCAACCCATTCTGTAGGTCTTCGGCTTGACTAAGAAGTTTCAGGGCTTCAGCGAGATCGTCATGTAGGATATTCGCAAGTACAGCTCGATCCCTCATGCTCGCTTGGAAGACACACAATCCGGCACACTGGTCGGTAGTGGTCGGTTCCTCTGACGCTGGCGGAGCACCAGGTTGGCGGGTTGATTTTGGCGCCGTCTTTCCAGCCCGTGTTGTAGCTGCTCTAGGCCGAGTGCCGGTAGCAGACTTTGCAGTTGTCCGTGGTGCGGCTTTGGCCGCGGGCTTACGGCCTCTTGTTGCCGGTTTTGCTTTGGTTACCTTGGTTATATCTACTGTCAAGGATGACAGCTGATCTGTAAGTGCATCAACCGGAGCGGAAAAAGACTCCAGAGTCTTCACGTATGTCGGCGAACTCAAATCTTTCAGAAGCTGCTCCATGAGGTTATACGACGCTATCTCCTGCTCATACTGACCATTCCAGTGATGTGTTCTAGCAACAGCAGAATAGTAGCCAGCGGTCGATAAGCATTTGCGTGAAGTAGGCGCATCCAGCGATTTGAGAATAGCCTCAGCCTTATCGGGTCTATTGCTCTGGGCCCAACAGTCAGCACGCCAGCTGGCATTGTCAGTCATGAGTGTCGCAGATTGTGTTGCAGAAGCAACCTTCTCAGCTTGTTCGGCGACATAAATAGCCTCGTGCAGCAACCCTTGGTGAGCAAAGATTTGAGATTGTTGCATCAAAGCACGGTACATGGATGGGACCAAAGCCCAGAAGTCAGGTCCGCTAAGGGCGCCGTGGGTGACAGACATGACAACAGGCACACCTTTGTCAATACGGAGAGAGCTCAACGGGTCAAACGCTGTTCGGCTCGACCCATCTGCTTCGGATTCAAGTTCGTCTGCAGACGCGGCCTTCTTGGCGTTTGACCGCGATTCGAGGGCAGCCCAAATACGCCGGTTCAACGTGACGCACTGCCTCGCATGTCGAGCCGCTTCTTTGTATGATCCAGCAGCAGTAGCAGACAATGAATGAACATAGGAAGCATCTGCCACGATTCTGTTGAACCGTAGCCGGCCGGAGAGTGTGGTTGTCGGCTTCGCCAAGTCCAAAAACTGAGAGTCTCCAAGCGCAATAGATTGGGCATTTTCCATGATTGTCGAACTGTTGTATATCAGTACATGATAAGTAGAGAATGAAGTTTTGTCCTTACCATTTCGCTGGATTCCCTACACCTAGCAGATATTCTGCATAAGCCATGTGCCACTCCAGTCTAGCATCGACAGAACAGGTTCGGGATCTGATCAGTGCTTCAGCTTTGGCAAGGCAGAGGCCTGCTTTCCCAGTGTAACCAAGACGCAGCAACTGTAGCCCCAAAGCGCACAGCGTGGTGAGGAGCTCAGATCCATCGGCACTTTTTTGAAGCTCAAGAATGTCAACTAAAAGATGAAGAAGCGGCAATGCTAGGTACTCTTCGCCCTTTGCATTGAGATATTCCGCACATGCATGAAGGTCTCTTAGCCAAACATCCATATCGTCAATTCGATCGCTCAGTATATCCCAAGAAGATGCAGAGGTGACGAGAGACTCCCACGTGGCAAAGCATTGCTGAAGAGTTGACGTCGGGGGAGAGGATTGCTGCATCGAGGATTTGAGATCGTAAAGTGCTTTTAGGTGAGCTTGATATCCCTTCAATGCTTGGTCTTGAGACTGCTCTATTTCTGTGCTTTTGTCCCAATCAAAGCCGAAAGTTTGGTTGTCTTGGGACAGGATTTGGGGATCGTTTTGTAAAAGCTGAAGAATAGCGATAGACGACCTTAATCGTCGAACAGGGTATGTTTCCTCCACATACACTATACGGAGTCGCTCGATCAGGCTGCGAATTGATTTGTCTAGGTTCGAGTCCCATTTCCGATTTTTCGACAACGTTCGTAAGTTAAAGTGCAACTGCAACTCCAACATAGCCCCTTCGACGTCTGCATGAATTGTGTCAATGTCAAAATATGCGATTTCATCCGCCTGACGAATTCCAAACTTTACGAACGAATGATGGTAACCTTTCAGGAGCCTGGCAATTACACTAAATGGTCCAGTATCGCTGAATGTTACGGAAAGAGATGACTTTGCTGAAGTTTCGGAAAGCTGTCGCAGAATATCTGTAGTGAGGTGGCTTTGTATGCATTGCCGAAAAGCGTCGCGGGAGTTTTCAATTTGGCCCAGATCTTCCAAGGTCTCGCCTAGTTGCTCGAGCTTCATTGAGAGAAGTCCGCTCTCTTGCTCAGTTGGGTCTCTTGATTGTACAAGGTCGATGGAGCGCCGCATAGGCATGACTAAGGTATCGAGCTTGCAGCGGGTCCTCCGTAGCTGCATATAGAGAGCCCAGTAACCATTGGATAACTTGACAACATATGATCCAATGATAGATTCGGTTTCCTCGCCTGACATAGTTCCCTCTTTAACCTCTTCTTCGAAACGACGAAGTACGTGCGAGCATTCTTGTAACAATATGTCATAGTCTTTCCACTCGTCCTCAGTCTTGATGGTTTGTTTACAACATGCCATGACCGAGTCAATGGTACCCTTCATATATTTCCAGGCCAAAATTACCCGATCGTGGTGCTGACCTTGTGTTTTTGAGTCGGCTTTATGCGGGTATGCAGTACCCAGAAACCTTGCTGAGAAATGTATGCTTGCGGCGACGACAGACACAGTCTGTTGCGCTACAGCCAGCTTTTCGTCATCGTCTGAAGGCTTAGACAGACGTGCGATGAGGATCTTCGTTGCTGCTCGTCTCAGGGCGTTGACTTCTGCAAAGAGCGACTCGAGATCCGCCGCTGACCCACCCAGGCTTCCATTCAAGGCATCGAGGGCATTCGTAATTACGTCATTCAGATCAGTTTTCTTTTCGCCTTTGACGTAAGCCTCTATAGTGATGGTAGCTATTCGTATCGTCCTCGCTGTTTGCTTCACGGCAGGAGTTTTGGAGGTAGTGGAGGAAGTTGAAGAGCCTAACCATCGAAGAGCCTGGTCAGACAATCCCGCAGCCTGGGCAAGTGAGGACAAAGTCTTGCTCGCGGTGGTCGAGGCAGGAGCGCCATTTGGTGAAGTAGTGGAACCATCAGACCATCCTAATAGGTCTGTGTACAAAGTCTCGGCCAGCTTGTACTTTTTAATAGGAATAAGTTGGGATCTCCGGCCAAAGGCAGTCAAACACTTGGCGAAAGGCTCCGACAGCTCTAGTTCCTCATTACTCTGATGTTTGACGAGGCTCCACCACTGCTTCCTCACGCTAAAAGCCAAATGTTGCAGTAGCAAGACTTTCTCTGCAGATGGTTGCAGAGTGTTTGCGTCGTCCACACTCGAAATACTCGGGCATAGTGAGAGAATAGTCTGGGCTAACGACTCAAGCTGCCTAGCTACTTTAGCTTGACTGGCTGGAGACTTTGCAGTACTCAAAAGCAGATTCGCAGGTGAGGATGGGTTCGTGGGTTTCAGAAATTCCCAGGTCGCTTCAATTGTTCGTGGCCGTTTTAGTTTGGCGATGATACGCAATGTGTATGATTGGAAGCTGGCGGCCAGTGGTATAACAGTGCTACTGGGGTCTATGGCTGCAAAGTCCAAAAGTGAAGCCAGGCTTTCCTTGTCGGTAGCGCTAACTTGCTGTGCAGTATCTCGGCCAATGTGCCTATCCAACCTCCTTTTCAGCGTCCTTAACTCTTTGACGGCCATGTTGTCTAGGCCATGTGCAACCAGCTTCCCAATAAGCGCAAGCACACCATTTTCGTACTGCAGCTCCCTAGAATCTTTCCCCAGGACCTTTGCTGCTTCTGGGGTACCAAGGAATGCGAATGCCGTCCTTGCGCACTCGGCCGTAGCGACCAGGCCTGGATCAGGACCTGGGGACAGGAACGACGAGTATGACGACGACCGGCGCGGGGCGCGTTTATGAGGCGAATTGTGTACCTGAGAGGCGGATCGTTCGCGGAGAGGCTGTTGTGAGAGTGGCGGGGTCTTTGTTTGGCCGGGTCGCGCTGGCTTGCGAACATCTTCGGTGGGTGTTGGCTTCGACTTGGAAGGGAGCCGGGCGGCGATGACTGATATCGGATTCTTGAGTGCCTCGGCAAGTGTCTGGAGGGTCTTGTTTGCGACTTCGGTAGCCAGTATGTATTTCTCCCTGGGCGCAATTGTGTATGTCTTTTGTTTCTGACCATCTGCAGCCGCACCCGTCGCTGCTCTCCTCCGCGCAGTCGGTTGAGTCTTGCCCTTTACATTTTCTTTCTGTGGTGACTCGTCTTCCTTTTTCGAGAGAATTTCCTGGAGCGCGCTGACTGTGGCGTTGGAACATGTCGAGATCGATTGGAGGTCGGCTTTGATGCTGTTGATACGCGCGTGCGCTTCGTTCTTCGACGCCATTTTTTCGGGTATGCGTGATTTCTTCGTATGCGCTGCTTCTCATAGAGTGATTTGATTATACATTATTAAGAAGACGGGGTGCGCTGGTGGGTATGTTCTCACACAGTGAAGTCGGGGTTGGGACGCAACACGGCAGCCAAACATCCCAACAACACGCTACCGCATCTAGTTAGCTTGATTCGCCGCCAGTTCCCGTGCCGGAGCCGCGTTGCGGGCTGAACCCGTGACCGTCTTCCTTGTTGCTCCAACGTTTGTCCAACATGTTGTGCTGCACACAGCGTGCCATGTCTCAGTCCATGGTAGTGACTCTGCGATAAGTTACAGATGATTGACGTAATCAGAATGGCAAAATTCAACACCAACGGTCTCGCCTCGCCTCGCTAGCGACATCAAACAAACAGCTAGTGATTTGTAAGTGGGATGGTGCCAAGGATCGCGTCTTGTAGTTCTACTTTAGGTGTTTATCGAGGCTACGTATATTGGTATATCCTTTGCTTAAGATTGTTCACGGCTTGACATTAGCGACGAACAAAGAAGAGCTTTGCAACACCCATCACGGGCAGCTCATGCATTCAGACTAGCCTTCAGCTCCTTGGATCTCACAGATATTAACGAGGCTGTTGAATGGCCCAGAAATAGCTTAGATGTATCCAAGCCTAGACATGGGGAGTTGCATAGCGGCCGTGTGAGCGATTACTGATGTGGAGGATCTCGCTTGGGGTTTTGTGTACACGAATGCTGTGGCCCTCGGTAAACAACTAACATTATGCTGAACATCTAAAGTTCCACCGGCTGATTCATTGCTAGGTATGAAGCATGTGGCGTAAGCCATATTGTGGCAAACATACGAGTAGGATTATCATACATATTCTGACGCCGCGAGTTCTCTTGGCTATCAGGATACGGCATATCTCCGTATCCCAATCGTGAGAACAGAGATTAGGCACAAGACTTGCATCCGTCTCGCATTTACACACTCCTTTCGATGTAGGCCCTCGGTCCTGTTACTGAGAGTAAGCAGGCGGGAAAGACTGACTGACCGGCTAATCATGGGTTGTTTGTCGGTTGTCGCGAGCACCTACAGCCGTCACTAGTTGGTATCAGATCCAGACGAGCCTGTTAAACAGTCATTGGGGTATCCCTTACCTTCACTTGACCTCCTTTTCACGGTTGCCTATCATCGATTGCTTCCATATGTCAAAGAAGCACAGGTTTAGTCCGCCATCGCAGACAAACTGTAAACAGCTGTAGGCAGAGATCTTCAACCGTGACCGCAAGAATGATTCATGGCCACCGAAGGAAGATAGTGTAACAGCTTACATCCCATGTCATATGCTACATGCCCTAATTTCGCATCTTCATAGCGTACTACTTAGTTCCATCAAGGCCCTAAATACTCGTGTGGCGTTTCTTCCACTTTAGCGGGCGAGGTGAAATAGTATGTAAGAGTATTTCTCATAAGAGCTTCCTTTTGAGCGCCGTAGTATCTCGGCCCTTCTTAAATTGAGGATGTTGGTCACTCGGATGGTCCGGCTCCGCCAGCAGGTGCAAGACGGCACAGAGTGTGAGTTGTACGAACTATACTCGTATAGCCCGAGTCAGCATGCTGGTTCTGACAAGCCAAGTCTGGGGTGCAATGCATTGTACTCTATTGCTACAAGGCTGATGCAAATACATCCCGCCTCTTGGCCAACCCTGTGGCCTGGTTGGCTAAGACAACGTGATTGTTAGGCAGGGATGTACTGGTCTCGCATGAATTTGAAGTCCTGCGCCTATTGGTGTGCTGTGTTATGCAGTGCCACACTTTCCGCGGATCGCTTTCTTCCAATACGACAGAACGATGGCACCACAGCTCCCGAGTGTGAGGAACGATGCCAGATGCCGATATATGTATACAGAATCGACAGATCGTCATTTTGAAGAAACTGGCGCCATTGAGACAATTGCAGAAGTCCTTCTGAATGGATCTATTGGTTGGTTTGCTGGCAGGTGCCGATTAGACACAGCCGTAGTTTATGGCTAGATATTGATTGTGGCACTTAAGCACCTGCACGCGAGCTTGTGTCACATGTACCCTGGCTGTGAGTAAGTATGTCGCCCGGTCTTGTGGCCTGGCCTTCGGGATGGCGCGGTCGGCTAAGTGCACCTGCTGTCGTTCATGGAGAGTCACCGCGAGTGTTTCGGTACCTAAGAGACAGCTGTCGAATCCATCCTGGGGCACGTCGACTTGGACGCATGTGCCGGGAAAACGGACCAGGATATCTATGTGTCCGATGCCTTCCCCTGGCAATCAGTGCGTCAACACGCCGATTTGGACCGCGACGATTCGCATTGTGGACAATTGTTTTTCCATAGCCCAACACCAACCCAACCCATTAGTACTTAGTATGTACCTATGCGCACTCTCCTTAGGCCGTCAGTCGCTAGACCACAGTCGGTAAAAGCTCCTCCCCTGGCGGCACATCCTCCACAGTCGGCTGGACCACCACCAACCTGCCGCCCCACAAAGACAGCGCGGCAAAAGGGAGACGCCTCCAGGGCTTGCGGCACCGTTCGCCCAGACGTTGGCTTCAAAGGAAACCGGTCCGTACATGCTGTGGCACAGTCCCAACGCCTCATCAAAGACCAACATGGAGTTTGCAGAACAAACTACGCGCCATGGGCGGGTGCCACATTGATACGACTGTCGTATGGCTCTTGGCCATCTCATTCGCTTCCAGTCTCTGCACAGCACAGACAGGACTAACTGACCTCGAAGAACATGCCGGCTGCCATGTGCAGCCGTGTCAGGGCCGTGCTCCACGTGGTAGCAGACTGCTGTTCATTCCCTATCCCGTGTCGCGTGAAACCCGGTCGCAGCAGGATCAACAACGTCGCGCCACCTGGCTGGCATGCTGCTACTTGCTCATTGCTTCACACCATGTCAACATTGCTTCTACGGCAGCACGGAACCTCTCTCGCTGAGCACGGCCACATGGCGCCTCACTGGAGAATGTAGTTTCCTGTCTGAGGAGAGCATAGTCCTACCCAAAAAGGGACATGCGCTCGATTATCAATGCGAATGCGTGGTGGACAGGGAGCGGCCGCTAACAACTGTGGCCCAGGAACGCGAACTCTGCTCTATTCACCCCTGCACAGGTAGTAGCGTGCTGCGCTGCTTTCGGCGATCATCGAATGCCCGCGGACCCAGTGCTAAATGTCAGGGCTGGCCCACCTGCATGTCCGTTTCGGCAATTCAGCAGTCAATTGGGCGGTCCCCTTGTTCCCGACTATCTATCATTACCATAACAAGGCGCCCGACTCCACCCAACTAGCCTTCGGGCCATATTTGATATTTCCATCCTCCACCTTGACCCATTGTCCGGGGTAATCTGACAGAAGGTTTCTCTAGCGCTAAGAACCGCCTTTGCCCTCGCGGCAACCCATCGTGTCAACTGTCTAACCTCCTCCATCCGTCGCAACCTCCATTAAAGGGACCCTGGCACCTCCTCCGTACTTCTGGAACGACCCGTGGATCGATACGTCTGAAGCTGTTCACTGGATACATCCGAGTCACAAGGTCCCCTTTTTTTGCCAAAGGAATCGGAAATTGTCTACTTACCGACCATGGTGCTTGCATGAACTAAGAAACGCGTACCTATCTGCCTCATTACGAGCCGAATCATTCCTATCAAGAACGCAACATCCGACAACATGGCCGACACACTCTCTAGGCTGGAACTCTTTGCGCCCAGAGGGCAGGACAGCTCAATTCCCAACAACATGGGTACGTAATACACACGCCCATGTCGTTCGAATCACACTGACCCTGCATACCCGCCCCAGACCCACTCACGCCTATCTACAAGGCTGGCCTGATTCCTATAGCCGTATTCGCCATGATGAGCTTGGTATCAGTAACCGCCCTACTTGCATTCATCACCCAGCGAATGGTGTCTTGGCGAAAACACTACAGGCAGTATGTCGGATACAACCAATATGTCATTCTCATTTACAACCTACTTCTTGCGGATCTTCAGCAATCGGCTGCCTTTGCCATATCCTTCCATTGGTTAAGGCTTAACAAGATTGTCGCTCCTACTAGGGCGTGCTTCGTCCAGGCCTGGTTCCTCCACATCGGTGATGTTTCCAGTGGCTTTTTCGTCCTTGCCATCGCTATTCACACCTGGCTAGGTGTGGTCAAAGGATACAAAATGCCATTCAAGTGGTTCGTCATATCGATTTTGTTGATATGGTCCTTTGCTCTGTTTCTCACAATGCTGGGACCAGCAATGCATCAAGATCGATACTTTGCTCGCGCTGCAGGATGGGTAAGTTCTCTTTGGGTCCCAGACTTGGAAATGGTGGAACTGACTGGCAACAGTGTTGGGTGTCACACGAATTTCAGGACGAACGCCTCTGGCTACACTATCTCTGGATCTTCATTGTCGAGTTTGGCACCATCATCATCTATGCGCACCTGTTTTTCCATCTACGTGGCCGCATCCAGAGCATCATGGCAAACGACACCAGCAAGTTGTCACGAGCAACCAAGTTCATGGTCATGTATCCTGCCGTCTACGTCATTCTGACCCTGCCTATTGCTGTAGGGCGTATGGTCGCCATGACGGGTCAGCCTATGCCAGACCTCTTCTTCGTCGTCTCGGGTTGTCTCCTCACATCCTGCGGGTGGATTGATGCACTTTTGTACGCCTTAACAAGACGAGTGTTGGTGTCTGGAGACTTGAGCACCGGCCAATACAACAGGACCGCCACTATAACACTTACCAACAACGTACGTCCAAGCGATACCGAGCGCTACGGTCTCCAATCTATGAATTCTAAGGAAACTCCCGCCACCTCATGCACCATCACAATCACAGGTGGGAACGGCAGGCTGTCTCGTATAGTCGAGCACCACCGTACACGCAGCTACATGACGCGATCACGCCACGATGCCACCGACTACGATGACGAGAATGCCACGCGAACAGGATCGCAAGATTCCATGATGAAGCCATTGCAACAAGCAAATGGAATAAACATCATGACAGAAACCAGTGTGCAAGTGGAGCATGCAATCGACAGAGAATCGGAAATGGGATGCACGCCGCCGAAGGAATGGAACGACGTTCATATTTACCCATAATGATATTGGGATGAATGTCAAATGTTTCAAGGAAGTCATCCGGTGTACCAAAAAGTTTACAGCGGGTGTTTGCTTACGTACAGTGATATACTGGCGTGGATCCTATTTACCTACGTACCTTGTTTATTTCTCTATTTCATTTTCCCTTTCTAAGCAAACACCTGCACCGTATACAATATCTACCAAGAGGTAGGAACTCCCTTGTACCATAGCATCTAAATACCTTTGTTCAAAATACACATGAACACTTCAAACTTGATATATTTGATCCGAGTACTGTACATAAACACCAATACTTCGAAAAACTCAAAATCAACCCATCATCAAAACAAAGGGGCCAACACATCCACTCCCCACACCGCTCACAACCCCCGCAAAGGCAAAAAAACACGCACGTGGAATCGGCATCGTGCATGTCCAGCATCTCACGCACAGTCGATCCTTACAGCCCTACTATTCCCGCCACCTTCCCCACCCCACCCCCGATATTCCACGCCCTACTGCTACCACCACCGATCGCCCAAACCTACACAGGAATATCACCGAACACCCACCGACAAACGCTACCTACTGTCACCGATCGCCCAGCTTACTCAAATCAACCACCGAGTAACACCGACAAACATCACCGACCACCTACGACCACCGATCACCGACCACCGACCAAACACCAACTACTACTTACTACTGATCGTCTAGCTTACACCAAACAACTCCCGACTGGCCATCCCCCCGACCACCAACCGCGCATCACCAACCCTATACGTCCCCCATTACCCCATGCGGCAACTCCCGAGTCCACAACACAGAAAAAAAGAGGGGGGCCTGTACAACCGAACAGAGAAAAACTATCCGCAGAACCACACACGAGGCATCTTCGTACGCCTATTCCGCGTATTTTTGTGGAATCAAGAGAAATGAGGAGGACTAGGAGTAAGGAAACGAGTCAGGTAAGTGGAAATATGCATGTGCGCTTTTAGTTCCGCGGGGAAGGTACCGCGGTGTATGTATGTATGTGTGTGTGTGTTCCGCGGAAGATATCAACAACAGACGAGGAAAGTTACTAAGTTGGGAAATTTGTAAAAAGAAAGAAATACGTACATGAGATTCTTCCTACTTTCCATCGCATGTTGGGTATTTCTCTCATTCTCTGCTTCCCTTTTTCATCTTTCACTCCTACTTCGCCCCCTCCCCCCTTTTTTTTCTTCTCTCTTGTATCTTATCAACCTAGATGCCCTTCCCCCCCTCCTCCTCCTCCCAACCTAGTGCCCATCGACCCATGTCCTCGCAACGTCTTTCCTTACTCTTTTCGAAAAACACACCTATCCGCGTACGTATTTTAAGCATCAGTACAAAGCAACATCGTTATCATCGTAAGCAGCCTAAAGTAAAGTACTGTGAAACACGATGTTATAACCGGTGAAACCATATCCTCTTTTAGAATTTCCTCTTGTGGCTTCTTTTGCGGCGTTTCGTGTGCACCACGTTTCCTCTCTTCTTTTTTCTTTTGGACTTTTTTGCTTTTGGCTTTTTGCTTGTTAGAGGACGGGGGGAAGGGGCGGAAGAGAGGGAAAAGTGGCGTGTGGCTGCGGTCGAGATTGCAATGAGATGGGATGGGGGGGTACGAGTGGGGTATATCGGTGTACGGTGAGGATTAGTCAGATGAGTGTGGAAAGAGGGGCTGGAATTGGGACTGAGAGAGGTTGTTGTTGTTTTTCCTGGTTGGAGGGGATGGATGGCGGTGGTTTTGGTGGGAAAAGAGGGCAAGGAGTGGGGATGACTGGGTTGGAATACAAGTGTGCGATATGTATGTTATACAGTGTGGTCTGGGGTTGAAGAGGAAATGGCAATGGTAGGTGGTGAACTCGTGGATATGAAAAGGAGACGAATCTATCTTGAAGCTGTTACATATTTGTTCACATGGTATCGTTCGTCATGAGAGTTGAGATGTACATAATACAGCTCTATTTACATGAGACCCGTCTGGCTAACTGAGATGCATTTCTTAGCCCTCTTCAACGGTCCTTCACCTATATGTCCGGCGAACGAGCTGCCAAAATGACTTCGTCTGATAGTGGCAAAGCGACGTGATTTTACTTGTCGAAACTTGTCCCCGAGCACACTAAGAACGTGGAAATGATTTGTGACTCCGTGAAATGTATGAATCGACAGAACACATCATCGCCGTCGAGTCTCCCTACCCACCCTCATCATCCTCCTAGTAGGCAACTGGATACCCAATCTCAATCTCTCAAGAGCCTCTGGCGGCGTCGTATCATCAAGACTATAACTTCTAGGGCGACTCCGATTCGTACCGTCAAATCCCGATTCCAAAGTAGTTTCTTGCTCCATCCCAGTGTTAAATGAGACATCTCCATCACGCTCTTGTGTGGACGCCTCTGTTTCACGAAGTCTAGGACGAGGCGGAGAACGAGCGGTGACTTGTGCGAGTTTTTGCTCTAGAAGCCAGGTCTTACGTTTGTAGCGTAGGAGCTCTTCCTTTTGCTCGAGTGCTCGTTCTCTTGCTTCGATGGCTACGAGTTTTGTTTCGGTCTCGGAGTCGGGCGAGTCCTGTGTTTGCTTTCCATGTATTTTCTCTTGGTTTGGTTTGATACTTTGAGCTTGCATGGTCTGAAGCAACTGCTGCTGCAATTGTATGAGTTCCTGCTCTCTCTTTGCTATTTGAGCTTCTCGACGCTCGAGGTCGAGATCTCGGGGACTCTTTCGTAGTGGAGGCGTCGACTTCCCCAGACGCCCAGGTGATGTTCGCTCTCTCAAAGACGGCACGTTCAACTGATGCGGTTGCTTCACGGGCGGTTTCGATGGCCGATGCCCGCTTTCATCAAGTCTCCTGGCTTCCTGATTCCGAGCCCGCCTCTTTGCAGTTATTTGCGGTTTCAATATCTCAGGTTTATTCGATAGCCGCAGACCATTCCCCAGCCGCACGTTAGGTTGTAGAATACCGCCAACCAGTGTGCCTCGAAAGGTCTCCAACGCCTGACTATTCTGTAGTCGGTATTCGTACCTCAACTGCGGAGCATCATTGAAGCGGGCCGAAACTGGGTGGCACCCGGTAGAATCAAGGCTTAATTCGACGTTTTCGAACGGCGGATCAAAGACAGACACTCTCTGTCCATCTTGGGCATTGCGGGCTAGGATACGAAGCGTGTTATTGCGTATTTGGCTGCCGTCCTTGCTGAAGGGCTCCAGTCAGCGCATTCGCCTTGTAAAAAACACAGCCGCGCCCGGCCGACTTACTTGATGACGATGAAGCGCTTCATATGCGGATTCTTGGCCCGTACCTGTTGCATCTTTGGCGTAGGGCTACTGACAAAGTGCGCAGCAATTTTCATGCGCGACTCGAAGACATCGTGGGCGCACCATCCAAAGGGTAGGATGAAGACGGAGCCATCTTCAAAGTACGCCCAGCCCGCAGGACGCTTGGATTGGGCGCGCGAGTACAGATTGCCAAGGTTCACAGAGTTACTTTGTGGCCTGACTAGACCATAGGGTGGTACGATACCCCAAGGCGGAATGCTGTACAGTTTGCCCAGGTTGACATAGTTACCGTGTGCTCGTCGGAAGGCCATCGCTTGCTTGCATGCGCCCCTCCCCACGCCGCACGCTACCTGTTAATCTACGGTATTATCTACAGCAGACGGCACGCGCTTTCCTTGCAGCAAGAAGGGCCCGTATAGCGTGTGTGATTCGTAGGCGGCCGGGCCATTGCAGTCTGCTGATATTGCGTGAGTAGGGCTATGGAACAGCGAAGCAGCACATCCTGGCCGACAGTGCAGCAGACAAATTGTTGCGCACGAGCCCATTTGACGGACGGGAGTACCGACCCGCCACTACCCCTTCGTTGATCGACGTATGTCTTAATTGCACTTCACATCATCTGTCCTCTGGACCAGACGAACCTTGTGCACCTTTCTTCCAAGGTCTGGAATACCTGCACAAATGACAGCTTTCACCCTCACCGGCCTTTTCATCGCCAACTTGAATGATATGGCGCTCTTGTCGCCACTACCACCACATGCATGACGCAAACATACGTAAAGACTAACATTTTCACATTCAGGGCCCTGTCCTAGAACACACAAACTCGCGGCTTCAGGCTACACTCACAAACGCCATTGGATGCCTTGACTGGGAGGCCTGGTCCGTCCCGACATGCTCCCTATACTTAGTCGTCCCTTCCAACACCTCGACGCCTTGAACATCAAAACACTTTTCGCAGAGGAGCGACTTGAACACTGACCCGACAAACGACCCAAAGTCTCTTGGCCTAGTCCAGTGGGTTGCAGAGTGCGACTGAGTAACATGACTTCGCATCCTTGCCTTTCCTCTTCGACCAAGGTAGCCGCTCCGTCTGCCAAGAGACGTCTGGTGAGAAGACGCATTGCAACGAGCGTGCCTGATAGTTATCTTCTCGGCAAGGCCCCCCCGTCGTAGACCTCCGTCTCTGAATGCCATGGTCGGTGCGCCACCTAGTGTGAGCACTTGGTGCTCAGGATGCGTCCACCTTGTCCACGATGCTGTCTATCGCCATTGATCGGGTGGAGGGCGTAGTTGGTGTGGGTGGTGCTTGGCCATCCGACTTGTTGGACGTGGACTGTTGCTGTGACTGCGGCGACACCATCTGGGGCGGCGATAAGGATGCGTTAAGAGCGTCCTCCTCGGTCGGCTCATTTCCATCGTCCAGTACCTCGTCCACCTCTCGTAACCAATTTGCTTTTAGTACGTCCATGGGAGGGTCCAAGTCGCCAGGCTTACCGCCGCGCCGAGCTTCTGCTGCCGTCATTTTTCTCTCGCCGCGTTTATGGGGATGGAAATGCATGCGCCGGAGGTGGCTTGCAGCGTTGTAGCATTCATTATATCGTTTTCCAGTCTGGCACGCTTTGCAGTTTGCGAGGAATGACTTATCCGGCGAAGTGTCAATGGTCACCCAGACCTTGCGCACCTTCTTATGGACGCGGTTGGTATGGCGCCGCAGCTCATGCTCGCTGCGGAAGCCGTCGGGATAGTCTGAGCATACCGGGCACTTGAGTCGCAATACTCTACGAGACGGCGTCTTTGAGCTGGGTCCAAATGCAGGAGAAGTGCTGGGGGTCGTGTCAACAGCAGGAGCTGTCACGACGGTTTCCCTTAAGACTGGAGACGGCTCTACTGCTTCGCTAGCGCTGGTAGTGGTTGTAGTCGTGGGGGTCTTTGGCGGCGCTCCTGCTTTCATTCTTGCCCTGGATCTTGATGGTGGCATATACTTTGTTGTTGATGACGATGTGCTAGGGGATTCAGACGGCTGCGAGACTGCGGAACCGTCTTGTTCCGTCCCAAAAGCGAGCAAGGGAGTCGGAGCTGGGCTGGAATGCTTGGTGGGGCGGGCGCCGTAGGTCTAACGGCAGCTAAATCGGACAGGATTAGGCAGTCTGCAGTGTCGAGTGAACAGCTGGGGTGCTCGCGACGTGCCTCCAAGACAGCCTTGGACAGCGCGGGGGCCAGGCAACAAGATATCCCGATTTTTGCTGGGCCCAGCGGAGTGCGCGCACAAGGCTGGAATGGCGCAGTCAGCCTCGTTTCCCTTCATGAGTGGGTGAACCTTGAGCTGCAAGCCACGCCATAAGCGGCAAGCTGGCGAGCCGGGTGCTTATTGGACATGGCCTTCAGGTTGAACGACATGCCTTGGTAGAGGGCGAATCAACCCGGCCTGCCGCGTACAGCTCGACCGGTTTCCAGGCCAGTCGGTCGAGATAATAAAAAAAGAAATGAGGGAATGCCGTCCAAACCTGGCTCGGATCATGCCGGGTATTGCAGCGAACGGCGAGTCCAAGAGTCGCAAAGGGTTGCGGGCTGGCTTGGTTGCTTGGTTGCTTACCGGGGCAGAAGGCCGGCTGTGGTCGCTAGCTCAGTCATGCTTTTCCTATTTGGATGCGCTCCTGGCTATACGCCGAATTTCACGAGACAAAGCTACAGTGTGTACTCTACATACGTACTACTACAGACAAACACCCTCCTGCTATTGTGTTATGGAATGGTGGCTGTAGCTGCCCAACAGCCCCTCCTGCACCAGGCGCACTGTCACTGTGACGGCACTGCGCCCTTGGAGGGGGTGCTTCTGACATGGCGACCATCAGCACCCGGCCCTGCTTTGACTCGCCCGTTTGCTCTTCAGCCTTGCCGCGTCCGAGTAGTGGAACAGTCCGCCTCTCTGCCAGCCTAAGCGGAGCTGGGGGCGCCGGCGAATCAGCGGCTGGAGGGGTCTGGTTTGTTTTACGCAGATGTGCCGATCCACGATCCAATGCGTCGTCCATCACCAAGCCTCCACTCCAGCTGGGGAAAACACTGGCCTGCACGCCCGCAACGCACCTCGTCCCTGCAACCTCACGCTTGCGTGACCCTCTGAGGCGCCGCCTGTTGTGCTGGCCGTGTGCTGCCCTGGCTTACAGGCATGGTTGATGAGAGAGATAACCGTCTTGGTGGAGCGTAATCTGGGTATACGAAGACAAGGCTGATGGGCTAGCTCGCCCATTGATCTCCCGCCTCGCATGCGCCTGGCTCGTTCGCCGTCATTTTGGACTTGGTGACGGAGAATGGGAAATGGGCGTACAGGTAAGACCGGTTGGCTAGCTGATCCGAGGCTGACGTCCACCTGCCACGAAACCTTATTTCACCGTCTCGACCCAGAGCACACCACACCACCCACCCAACCATGCGGTACCATATTGGCTCCCTACCAGACAACGCCGATCGCGAGGCATCGGTCGTGTCTTTGCAAACGGTTGCTTCCATCGAAACCTTCTTAGCCTCTTGTCCTCCTCGGCGCAATACTACCAGCGACATTCATCCGACAATCCTATGGCGCCTTCGAAGTGCGATCCTGACAGGCTCAGCTCGCGACATGTCAGCCTTTTCCCCGCCCCGTGCTCCACACGCCGTAGCCGGGCCAAAGGTGCGAGAAGACGCTTATCAATTGGTAAGCTCTTCTGTAGCTGGTACACGACCGGACCCGGTGTTTCATGTCTAAGGGATTCTCACTCGACATCGATAAAAGGCCAGTCAACCGTGACCCTCACGAAGGTGTCGAGACCTCGCTACAGACCTGGTGCTGTTGTGTTTGGGTACTCGCCCGTCATGTGAAAGCGGGTGGTTGGGGACAAGGGTCTATTTTTGCGTCCATGTGAAGTTTATCTGCACCAAATTTCCACTCAGTATTATGCCGTGTCAATTGTCGGCTTATCCAAGCAGTCAGTAGATGTACTTTTGCTCAGCCTCAGCCTCAGCCTCCGTCTCACTCTCAGGCTACAAAAGCGAGAGCCAAGCAGCCCTCAACGTGGTGTGAGATGCATCATGGCGATCCACGCCGATACCGGAATGCAGTGTAGCAGCCTCTTTGTCTTGAAAGGCATGAGCTGAGCGTGCGACAAGTGTCCTAGGGCGGGTCTAGCTTGCTGTGGTTGGGAGATTGAAATTGAAACACAAGGGTTCATTGGGGGCCCTGGCTGTCCATCATTAGCACCGGGTATGCCCGTCGAAGCTCGATCAAAGCTCTCGAACGCAAAAGTGTGCTCCTCACACCACCCTCCTGTGCAAGATAGCCGCATGTTTTTTTTCATCAGGTGTACCTGATCTGCACTCTGGTATTTTCAGATTGACCGTGCTTTTGACCGGCCCTATGGCCCTTTCTGTATTTGAAGCTCGGCATGGGACGGAGTGGGTTTGCGCAAGTATTGAGCCATTATGGATGTAACACAACCAATACGCCTTGACGCAGACGGTGATTTTCTGATAACCAAATGTGCCGTCCAATAGCCATGGAGCCGTTGGAACAATGTTGGCTTACAGGCATGGGTACTTTGCCTCTGTTTTTGTTGGAAATGGCCTATGCATGGTTTTACAGTGTGTAGGTGCAGGACTTGGGTATTGGCTGATGGAACATGGCAGCTACGGGACATTTGATATGGACTTGCTGGCGTATCCAGTATTGATGCCATAGCACTGGGTCGCCAGGGCACATGCAATCCAGCATCTTGGTCTCGTTCTACATAGGAGACAGGAAAGTGATGGGGTGTCTGATCTGTTGCTTGGGTTTGGTGGAAGCAATGTGCTAGTTAGTGCTAGGGTCTGTAGTCAGCATCGCAGCGATGATGTGACGTCAATAGTCGTGTGGCGGACGAAAGTGCAAATTGCAGCAAAAGTCTGCGTGATGCCATTCAACAACAGCAGGACTGGACAAGAGAAAGCATAGTGGAATAGGGCTTGAGCAGCCATGGACCCACCTGTGGACGATGGCGTGGACGACAGGGGGCAACAAGCGACGGTACGGGTACTATGGATTCCAGCCTAATTACAGGACAGGACGTTGTCGTCGTCGGCTACGACGATTGCGTCGTTCCAACCCACCCCACGTGTGACATGGTGTGCGCTCCACTTGCTGCGTAGGATTTACAAGTGCATCGCCAGTCGCCCATATCGACTGCCCGCCAAACAAGCACCACACCGGCCGTCTCTGCGCCGCGCAGCCGTCGTCATCGCCATGCACTCGCCCCCTGGCCGCCCCAGGTGACCCAGCCGAAGCCGAAGCCGTAACCCCACGACATGTCGGCGCCGTCTAGCCATGGCCGTCCTTCTGGAGACTCGGACCGCTGGACGGCTTCGTCGAACACTTACATTGCCAGCAACGCGGGCGCGTATACCGACAATGGCGAGGGAAGCTCCTCGCCACGGCGGAGCCAGGATTCACGACCCAGCAACGGTGCCCCCCACGGCCTGGGAATAGCCATGATGAGCAGCGACAACGATGACTCTGCTCAGCGCAAGCAGCGCCCACGACGAAGTGGCGGCTTCCTCCTCGACTCGACCTTTCCTAGCGGCCCTCGACAGCGCCATGGCCATCGCGATGCTCATGGCGGCGACGACTCGAAAGGCAAGCGCAACTCGCGACACCAGGTAACGCACGAGAATAAGCGAAGTTCCGCGCTGGGCGCATCTCGAGAACACCACGGCGACAACATAAACATGGACAGGACTAGGCGGAGCGTACACCAGATGCCGTCTGCAAGCCACGACAGAGACCCTTCGCCCCGGACAGAGCCAGCGCGGCAGGCTATCGACCCCACCCACCTCGTACACATGGCCCTTAACCTCAGCGAGAGCCGGCGCAGAAACATTAGTACCGGCCAGCTTCTCGCATCTCAGCCGCGCGCTGCATCGGGGTCGCAACGTGAAGGTAGCTTTGCCAATTATGCTGCTGGCGGCAGTCTAAGACACTATCTCAACGAGCAACGACGAGTCTCGAGGAACATATCACCAATGGGCGGCAGAGGCTCCCCTTCGCGGCACATGTCTACGTCCATGCAGGGGAGCGGTTCGATGGCGTTTCCAGGCCCACAGTCTATCAATCCATCTGCTTCTACGCTTGCGCGAGTAAACAAGGCCAAGGCATATATCGAGCTTCAAATGGAGTATCTGCGCCTACTGGATTTCCTCCCACCCCTAAAGCCCGACGCCAATGCTCCAGGTAACTTCATCTTCACGTCAAGCAGCTCCCCAGGCAGTCCCCAAGCGCATCTCACCCGTACTCCATCACACGCCGGCAGACAGCACGATCTCGGCCGGGCCTACAACCCCCTACAGTTCATCCGTAATCGCCGTATTAGAGCTCGCGAGCGTGTGGTTCTGGATCACCCCCCAGAAGAGTTCGAGAACATTCAGCAGGTGCGCGATTGGGTTGACCAGGTTGAGCAGCATGCCAAACGTGTTGGGTACCGTCGAAATGATACCGTGCATTTGCCCAAGATTCAAGACCATGAAGTCGCCGCTCCACCCAGTAAGCCCCCAAGGCCGCACAAGGGCTGGTTCTTCACCCCAGAAGAACTGCTTGCGGATGCGCACTGGCTGGAGCAGGGCGATAACAAGACACTTGTGGAAAACCGGCGTGGCCAAAAACTGTTTCCGCCCAAGGAGGCACAGCCTAGAGATTCCTTCCAAGTGCGTACTAGCAAAGAATTCGGTGACAAGCGAGGAAAGAGCTGGGCTGATGCATTGCCTGCCATCGCACTTGATCATACAACGGGTGATGAGAGTGACAAAGCAAGTGAGCGCGGACGCAAGCGAAGGTTGCTTCCAGGGCTTCGCACGGATAGCCCCAGGGGCGGGAAGCACTCCAGAAGAGGTTCAAGGTTACGGAACCATGACGAGCCTGATAGCTCTGGTTCAGAGTCTGATACAAAGAAGCGCAAGATCCGTGTGGCTACAGATCCGGAACACAACACCGGGCCGCTTGCTCTGCTTCTGGAGCAGCAGGCCAAAGAGTTCCAAGCCAAGTCACCATTGGTTATGTCGCCCAACACACCCGACAAGTGGGGCCGTAACGGAGACGTCGCAATGGATGACAGGCCTACTCGGGACTCACTAGATGTCCCGCGGTTTTCAAATGGTTTCTCGTATCTCAAGGACCACGGCAATTTCAAGATTTCGCCTACACCACGCAAACCTTTAAATCTATCCAGCGACGATGCCGAGCCACGGTCTTCACATGAGCAGCAAGACAGTACTGCTCCAAACACACCCCTTACCAAACGGTTCCCATACATTGGCAGCGAAGCCTCGCCACCACAAAGCCGATCCAATTCGCAGACGAGAAAACCTAAGAGACACAAGTTTAACAATATTTTCCACCCGCACGACCACAGTGAGGAAAGCCAGCATGAGGGACGACCAGGCTCCTCTGGCACAGATAGGAAGGGAAAATCTCATCAAAATAATGGGGAGACTGCGGATGACAAACCCATTGGAACAGCGATACTGGCCGCGCCAGGTGCTGTAATGAACCTCCTGGGCCATCGGAAAAACGACAGTGTCAGTAGTTTGCCCAGCCCGGATAAGCTACGTCGCAGAGAGGCCCAGGAGCCACAGTCTGCTGTTACACGATTCTTCAAGGGCGTCAGGCATGAGGGCACAAAAGTTGGGGATATCATCTTCAGACGTGATCGAGCGGACGATTCTGATTCGGAAACCATGTCTGACAACTCGGTAGAGTTTGACGATGACAATGGCTCTACTCGAGCTAAACAGAGCAAACGACCATCGATAGCCCGTACAAATACAGGAGGCACAGAGGGCAGCAGAATTTCTTTCCACAAGGACCGTAGCCGTCTCGACCTCCCATCGTTCCGCCCTATTCACGTCATTGATAATGAAGATTCCGATGAAGAACATCACATTTCGCGTCAGAATCGAGACCTGAAGGGCAGCCGTTCTCCTCGCATTGATCGACTTCTGCCCCCACGTATGGATCTAAGCGCCATATCCGATCGTTCTTCTCAGGGCTCTCTCACTCTCGGCCCAAACAACAGTCAAGAACGACTTGAAGAATCACTTGCCAATCGTAGTGATACAGGCGGTCTCCCTGCTGCTGGCCTGAGGAATTTGCAAGACAGGAAAGCCAGTGGTTCGAGACCAGGAATGAGCGGAAGACATTGGAGCATTGCCGACGGCGATGATCAAACCATTGACCGTAAGACTAATGCAGACATCATCACACAAGCAGACATTGCTCGTGTTCGCGCATTGTTCCTCTGCTCTGGTGTCAAAGCGAACGAAATCGTGCGCCGCGCCCACGCTACACGAAACCCACCTCCTGAATTCCTCGTACGCGCAGCTGCTTTGACAAACATGAAATTGTATCCCGTTCCGCGCACGCAAGAACACGTTTTGGCTGCACGCATATTAGTCAAAGACCTCGAAGCTTCTACTAAAGCTTTGCAATCAACTCTCGAAACCTTCCGTAACAAGGCTATCCAGCAGCTGACGAGGCAAATATCTACCTTGCAATCGACTGTGGATTCAGATCTTATGCCTCGTATCTTGGAAGGCGGCGACAAAGCTGTGCGTGTCACGAGCGAAGTATCCGGCCAGGGATCACTCCAAGTCAAGCAAATCACTGACGAGATTGACCGCATGATCAGAGCACGGAAGCGCCGAATGAGATGGATGCGAGGCTTTGGCTGGATGCTAGTAGAGTGGGCGCTCGTCGGCCTCATGTGGTGCCTGTGGCTTACCGTTGTGCTTGTTGGATCGGTGAAGCGCGTCTTTGGTATCGGCTGGAGTGTTGTCAAATGGCTGTTATGGCTTTGAACATCCCTTATAGTGCATTGCATTTACTAGGCGTTTGAGTTTTTCTTTTGTACTCGTGCATCCGGCGTTTGAATACTAGGTTGCCTTTCATCAGGGTTGGATCACACAGATACCAGACTGTGTATATAATGTTGTATATCTATATACACCAATGATTATTTCTTAGACTTTGATTTCAGCTGCGATATATAGTCTTGTAATGAGCCATCACAATATCTGTATGCTGTAGCACGATTGGTTCACATCGATGTGTTGTATAGGGTTAGTTGACAGGGCAAAATACGACAACACATCCCACGTATAGTAAGTGCAACTACTGCAAGGTTAATGATCCTATACTAGGATGATAACGCCATCGAATGCTGGGAACCCTATCATTACTGTGTCTGGTTGGCGTTTCAGGGGGTCTTGCACGTGCCTTGGTGGCATCGCGCCGCCTACTAGTCGTCGCGTCTACGTCATTGTCCCGCCTTCCCAACAGGCGGCATCCTCTTCACAACACTAACCAACACACTGCAAAAGTTCGAAGCTGCCCAAGCTGCCCCCGCTTCCGCCAATCTCTGTATACGAAAGGTTTCTGCCATGACCTGTTGCTGATCTTAACTTGTATCGACATCAACCTGCCGTGATGGATCTCCAGAAGGTGTTTGTCGCCCAAGGCAGCTCGAGCATTCATGCTCAGTCGGTACGTGTTCACGACGACACCTAGCGTTCTTTGATATGACTCTTACTGACTCGACGTGTTGCTGAAGTCCAAGGGTCCGTCTTCATTTGCGGCACTTGCTGCGGCATTTGTCCCTACAGCCGTGGTTGCCATTCTATACGTAGTCATCTTCATCTTCATCAGGCCGAGCTTCCCCAAGATTTACTCTCCAAGAACGTACATTGGAACCGTTGAAGAAAAGCATCGTACGCCATGTAAAAAATCACCGGGTTACTTTGACTGGGTTCACACTTACCGGACACTCCCCGATAAGTTTGTTCTATATCATCAGTCGCTCGATTCGTACTTATTTCTTCGCTTCCTGCGGACATTGATTTTCATCTGCGTTGTTGGCGCCGCCATTACCTGGCCTATTCTTATGCCGGCGAACTGGACAGGTGGTGGCAGGTCAAAGGAGCTGAATCGCCTTGGTATTGGCAATGTCAAGGACAAGAACCACTTGTACGCTCATGCTGTCGTTGCTTGGGTTTTCTTCAGCCTCGTCATGTTCACGGTTGCGCGCGAAAGACTATGGCTCATAGGGTTGCGACAAGCGTGGAACCTGTCGAAGACCAACGCAAAGAGACTGTCCTCACGTACTGTTCTTTACCTCTCAGCACCTACTGCGGCTCTCGATGAAGCCAACATGCAGCGATTCTTTGGCGAGGATGCAGTCAGAATTTGGCCAGTTACCAAGGGCGATAAGCTTGTATCCCTGGTTTCTGAAAGAGACTCGAAAGTTGAGAAGCTAGAGAGTGCTGAGCTGTCGTTTGTTCTGAACATCAACAAGGAAGTCAACAAAAGTCACAATGGCAACATCAAATACGAGCAGCTGCCGAAGCAGATGACAAAGTCACTAAGGCCAACCCACAAATCAAAGACACCAGTTGTTGGTAAGGAGGTTGACAGCATCAGCTACTATCGAGATCAGATCAAGGAGAAAGAGGATGAAGTACAGAAAGCTCGTGAATCGAACGAGACCGCTGGGAATCTTGGCGGAGCAGCGGCAGTATTCGTCGAGTTCCGCACACAGCCTGCAGCCCAGCGAGCATACCAACAAATTGCATCCGCTGACATTCTTTCTCTTACACCTCGATTTGTAGGGACCGTGCCTAGCGAGATCGTTTGGTCTAATCTGGTGCTGCCACCCGCCCGCCGTATATCACAAAGCGGTATCGCACTATCTCTGGTCATCGCCACCATTGTATTCTGGTCCATTCCTGTGTCTATTGTTGGTGCTATCTCCAATATACAGTATTTGGCAGAAAACTTCAAATGGCTTGCATTCCTCAACAAACTACCGCCTTCCCTCATGAGCCTTCTGAGCGGCCTGATTCCCCCGTTGTTGCTGAGCGCTCTGGCCAGATGGGTGCCAGATATCTTCAGATGTAAGTTCCCTTGTGAAAGGCTATTGGATGATTCTTACGATCTCAGATATTTTCACGACTTTCGGAGACCCTACGAAATCTGTGATTGAACTCAAGGTGCTGAAATGGCACTATGTCTTTCAAGTACTTCAAGTCTTCCTTATCACCACGCTATCGTCTGGAGCTGCTGCGGTAGCATCTCAAATTGCACAAGATCCAAGCTCAGTACCTCAACTTTTGGCAGAGCGTCTTCCTAGGGCATCAAATACCTACCTTACGTATTTTGTCGTGCAGGCATTGACAAATGCCCCCAGCAACGTCTTGAACTACTCTGACGTCCTTTTCTACATCTTCTACGACAATTTCATTGATAAGACACCTCGCCAAAAGTACAAGACTCACACGACATTGAGAGGCATGGCTTGGGGCAAGCTGTTTCCAAAGTATGTCAACTTTGTGATTATTGGTATGTCAACACTGGATCTTTCTGAGATGTAACTCAACTAATTGTGTGTAGCAATTGCATACTCTTGCATCGCTCCTCTTGTGCTTGGCTTTGCTGCCATCGGCCTCACAATTTTCTACTGGAGCTACCGATACCAACTGCTTTACACTGTGCAGCCAAAGATCGATACCAAAGGACATGCCTACACGCTTTCTCTTCAGCACATTCTCACGGGAATCTACATTGCCGAGCTTTGCCTCATTGGCATCTTTAGCTTGCACAATGCCAGGGGTCCTTTGTTCATGCTTGTGCTACTACTTATTGCCACGGCCATATTCAACTACACCACCAATCGCTACTTTGCTCCACTCGAGCAGTACCTTCCCGCAGACCTTGCTCTCGAATCGGAAGACGATGAACAGTCACCCCTACTCTCCTCAGCAGAAGAAGGCGAGTCAGATGCGTTGCAACATGCAGAGTCAAGAGTTGCTCGTTTAAGCGAACGAACGCGTGTGCCATCAAACGTTATCTCGCCCTTTGCACGCTTCTTACAGCCACACGTGTTCGCCAGTCATACCGCGATGAAAAGCTGGGTCCGTGATGGCGATTTTGACGACGAAGAACCAGAGTATAGCGACGATGATGTCAAAAAGGCGTACCTCCATCCAGCTTATTCGAGCAAGCCGCCGGTTGTTTGGCTGGCGAAAGATGCTATTGGCGTGAGTAAGAAGGAGATTAGCGAGAATGAGAATGTGGGATTGAAGGCTAGTGATGAGGGTGCGTGGGTCACAGGGGATGGCAAGGTGAAGTGGGCTGTGGATAACTTTGAGGAGGTGCCTATTTTCAAAAAGGATATCAAATGGTAGGGGGATTTGGGTGTTCTGGAGGAAGAAAACTACATCAGAAGAGAGGGTGCTCTAAATATCAGTATTGTTCATCGCTTTGTTGAGTAAGACATGGCAGTCTTGTATTATATCGAATGAAAAGTTTCATCTACACACATGACCAGACTTTCCTTTGCCAAAGCAAGAATCTTCTAATCTCACGCCCCGTGTACTGAATCAGGGCGTCTAGTCCTCCCCCGAATCATATCCGCCGCCTTCTCCGCAATCGCATACACAAGACTCACAATGTTACCCTGTACATGCAGCGGAAAGATACTAGCATCCACAACGCGCAGTCCTTGCACACCATACACTCTCAACTCCTCATCCACAACCCCACCCTTCTCCCTCGGCAACATAGCACAAGTCCCCACGGGATGATACTCCGTCACGGTATTCTTCTGCACCCACTCCTTGGCCTCGTCGACGTTCCTCGGCAGCGGCCCCGACGCATTCCGCGGCACCACCAACTCACCATTTTCATCGCGACGGAAAATCTGCTTCAAGGGCTCTATGTCCGCAAACGACAGCGCATGCATTGCCGAGCGCGCCATGAGATCGATATCGAGGGGGTGCGCGAAGTACGCTGGATCGATGGCGGGGTATGCTTCGGGGTTCGAAGAGGTGATGTGCGTGCTACCGCGGGAGAAGGAGCGCGTGCTGCAGACGCCGAGGGTGGCCCACATGCCTTCTTCCTCGCAGGGGAGGAGTTGGTTTGCGTTTTCGGGGCGATAGGTATTCACGCCTGTTGGTAAGAGGACTAGTTGACAGACTGCTTCTTTGGGGTCGAGGAGTTGGCGGGCGATGAGGGGGTCGCGGCCTGCGGGGTCGGTGGTGGTGGTGGTGGAGGAGGAGTGGGAGGTGAGGAGGGAGTCGATGTGGGATTGGGGGTTTGGGAGATCGGGGGAGACTTTAGAGAGAGAGGCGAAGCCGGTTGTTGTAGGGCCAGCGGCGAAGGGACCGGATTTGTGGGTTAGGTAGGCTTCGAGGGCTTGTTGGGTGAGGGCTGGATTGCGTAGGAGGGCTTCGGCGGTGGGGTATTCGTCTTTGACACCCTGGAGGAAAGAAACAGGTTAGTTGGGGACTGGAATGTTGGCAATTTTGAGATAGAAGTAGAGATGGGGTTATGCTTACGAGAACGATGGCTGTTGCTGAATGATCGCATAGGTTGTCGCCGACTCCGGGTAGATCTACAGTCACTTCTACACCGGCTTTTTGGAGTACCTCAGGCGATCCGATACCAGAGAGCTCGAGGATTTGTGGCGAGTTGACGACGCCTCCGCAAACAATCACTTCCCTGTTTGCTTTGACTGTGAACGGCGAGCCGTTGAACGTGAATTGGACACCGGTAGCCTTGACAGTGTCGGCATTTTTCTCCAGTTCAATCTTGGATACGAGTGCGTGGGTCAAGAGGAACAAATTGGGTCGATCCTTGGCCGGTTCATAGTAGTCTCGTGCAGAGTAGCTTCGTCTGTTGTGCCTGGGATCAATAGTGCACAACTGATTGAAGCCGCCAATGGCAGAGCCAACGCGAGGATCATTAGCAGGTAGGTATCCTGCGTTGATTATAGTCTTAGGCCACATGTCCTGGCTCCAAGTAACGTCTGTTTCTACAAAGCTTATCTATCATTAGTCAGCCATGGAAGAAGATTAAATAAGGCTTTGTGCAAACGACTAACATGGATAGGACCTGATGTTCCGCGCAGAGACTTGTCAAGATATTTGTTGTCTATTTTTTCGCCATAGGCCTCAGAAGCCGGATGATAGGTTTCGAACTTGCGGTAGTAAGGTTTGAGATCTTCAAAAGACCAACCCTTGTTGCCGAGCTCTTCCCAGTTGTCCAGGTCCTGCTTGGAGGCCATGCTGATAGATAAGTCAGCAAGACTGATGTACAAGTATATCGTTAGCAGGTAGCCGGAAATTACCTGAACATGCCGTAATTGACAGCGCTGCTGCCGCCTAGAACTTTGCCACGGATCCAGCCATGAACTCTACCCGCGGTCCCTTTCTATCATGAAAGTCAGTAAATGGGATTGGTTTCAGAAAAACTTGACATACCTGGGGCACTGTCTTGTAGTCCCAGTCATAATTTGGATTCCCCCAAGTCTGCGTGTACATGCTTGGGGCATCAACAACCAGATCATTTAGCGCATTGCCCCCAGCTTCGAGGACCGCAACAGTGATATTTTCTTCTTCAGTAAGACGAGATGCGACAGCCAAACCTGCTGTTCCGCCACCACAGATGATATAATCTAGCAACAAAGGATAGTTAGCGATGTGTATTCCAAAGTACTTGTCTTGCGCCTTGTCGAATAAAACAGCATACAAAGGACTTGCAAAAGAACACATGCTCAATGCTGTATCTCTCAAAATGATTCAGGAGTTTTCATGTTCTTTTACATACCGTATGATCGGCTTGTGAGATCCTCAGCAGGTGCTGCGCTTGTGACACACTCCTTGGACATGATGGCCAGATCTTAGGGCTTTGGAAGGGGAGACGATGAGAAATGGAGTGTCAAAGTTTCAAATCTGAGAGCTCAATCTGGGCGCCCCTCCATGACTTTATAAGGATTGGTCTGCGAGTTGCCCAGAAATGTATTGTAGGATTCTTAAAGTGGTACTTAGCCCCGCCGGTCCTGGGCCTAGGTTTCTCCTCTTTGGTATCTAAGCTATGAGTACCAATAACCGACTGTTTTCTCATGTGACTACTCCCGATTGGTCCCTAGACTGGTAAATCAACCCCAGCTACTCATTGCACGAAGTGGTGTTCAGGGCAGTAGATAGTTATCGATACAGTCAGCACCAAGAACCTGATTTAGGCCAGTAACGGTGCAGCAGTGGTACACATGCTTTCATCAGCGTAGTGCGGGGTAACTTTCCTAATTGAATTTTCGCATGGGATGAGTTGGTCACCGGGGTAAAGGTATCCTCTGGCATTGTATGATTGTCCTCATCGCTCGTGCCTCGCCGCACAAATGCGAACTCATTTTTTCTTTGTAAACCTCGGTAGATGAGGATTCGAAATGCAATGCAAGATCGCTTACAGATGGAATACTATCATTTGCTCTTTCAGACAGGGGCAGTCGCGCAACCCCACTCAGGCAACCCTCGAAGAGTGGGTACGGTTCGTTGCCAGCAAGCAGAGCAGCTTGGCAAGCGGCTGAGTCTAGCCCGCTGTTTGGTCAGAATTAACTCGCAGAGCGGTTCAGTGAGCAGATAGGCAGAACTGGGCCTGGTGGTGTGTCGCCACAGTTCCTTGGTGGTGTGGTGTAGGAGCACGTGATGAACGGCGTTTAGCGTTTAGAGAGAGGCTATCCCCGGATGTGGGTACTGTGCCTAGTCGCACGGACCCCTGACGATAGAGATGCTCCACCAAAATTTCTAGAGCTCTAACTTTTAAACTTAACCACCATTGTCTGCATTCATTCCCCGCTCCCGGCCATGCTCACCGAACAATTCGTGGCCGCTATATCGGCTTCGACCAAGCCGAATACTGGAATCCTCAAAGATGCGGGTATTTTTGTTCACGAGTTCCAGCCGCTGGCTGCTCAACGACAGGTCTTGAAGAAGAGTGCGACTGCGCCCAATGGCATTGCTGTGAGCGCCACACACGTTTTCGCTGCACAGTCGGAAAAGGCAGTCGTGCATGTGTACAATAGGGAAAAAGGCAACCAGGAAGCCCTTGTGCCCTTTCCAGAGAGAATCCATAGCATTGCGTTGGCAGCACATGATAGCGTGCTGTTGGCTGGGACAGAAAGTGGGCGAGTAATGGCTTGGGAGGTTAGTCGCGATACCGTCACAGATGCTATCGTGATGCATAGCTCTAATATTTTCTCTAGATCAGCTCAGGCCGCCTCGTCTCTACCTCTACTTCGCATCTCCAGCCAGTGACGTGCATTGTCGTTGATCCGTCCTCCAACTTCTTTCTCTCTGGCTCCTCAGATGCTATGATTCACATATGGGCCCTGCCCTCGATACTCTCCTTCTCGCCTGATGCCTCGCGCTTCCCCGTACATACCCTCTCTACCCACCGCGGTCCCATCTCTTCTATTGCCTGCGGGCACAGTTCAAGCAGCGCCAACATTGCCGTATCTATATCGGGTGACAAGTCTGCTATTGTGTGGGACTATCAAAATGGACAGGCGCTGTGCACATACTTGTTACCGGAGATACCCACTGCCGTCACTCTTGATCCTGCCGATCGCGCATTCTTTGTTGCGTACTCCGACGGTAGTTTGCAGACAATCGATTTCTACGACGAGGTGCAAAAGGCTACATCGGTAAATGTCCTCCGTGACAGTGCTTTGTCTCACCGCCCTATCCAGCCCTCGCCCAAGACGCGATTCAGTGCCAATTCGCAGAAGCTCGGTGGAGCCCTCAGCCTGAGTTTGAGTTGGGATAGTACAACGCTCATCTCTGGTCATGCAAGTGGCAAAATTGCTTCTTGGGATGTCGCCAAGTCAAACTATCTTTCAACTCCGGCCAATCTTCCAGGGCCTGTCTCAAATTTACAGTTCCTCGGCCCCACAGGCTTTCCCAACGCACATGAACCAACGTTCACCATCCAGGCCATTGTCAAACCAAAACAAGACGCTGGACTTGCAAGTAGCGTGAATGGCTTAGTGCCACCACATTATACCCTGAGTATGCAGCTGGCGGGTCGGCTACGCAGCTCTCACTTGTCTGCCAGTGAGCAAGGAAGTGCAGGGAAAAGCGAGTTTGAAGAGGCCCTCACCCATCCTAGTTTTCCTACTAGCATGTTTGAGGAGAGTCTAACCGAGCTGAACTCTTGGGGCACTCAGGCCAGGGCCAGTGTCGCTCCGGCAGCCGACTTCATGGCCCTGGACACAGATGATGCAGGTGCCTCCGGAACTACAGGCAATGCCCAGCAAGCTGAAGTCAAAGAGCTCAAGAAACAGCTTGCAAGCCTCCAGCGTATCCAGAAAGTAACCTTTTCGCAGCTTTCGGAGCTGCGTGAGGAAAATGACTACTTCATGGCCCAAGAAAAGAAGCGGGCAGAACGTGCCAAGATACGAGCAAAGAAGAAGACCAATGGCACAAAGCATAGTCTTGATACTGCGGATGTGGAAATGAATGACGGCACCGACGGCACTTCCGAATCAGGGCTAAGTGATGCTCGGGCAGACGAAAAGTCTTGAGCGTTGGCAATGTTCGAGACTCAAGCTTTTTCTCTTGCATTACAGGGGAGAAGAAATGACACATATGCTTGCAGGTGTATCCTTGGCTTCCGAATGCTTGGATTCGAGTGTGAGCTTGTGAGACTTCCACGCCCAGTCCGCATGTCATAGCAGGTTAAGATGATGCGTAATAGACGCTCACTACCAACACCCACGCCTCCTTTTCCAGATTGCACCCATGGACGATAATTGCTGTTGTATTGCGAGAAACCCCAAGAACGCCTCTTCTAGAACGTTAGCCACGGATTGTGAGCCCTCGAAGCCACGACGCCCATAGAGCGGGGCCACCCTGTGCGGTTGAATCTTGTCATTGTGTAACCATTGACGAAATTGGTTACACGACGCAAGCACAGCGCTGTGCCTTGGGTTCTGCGCTCGGATCATAGTCAGGTGTTCTCACGGAAGGCACTGAGGCGGCTCAGTCCAGTTCTGATCGATCACGCATCATATGCTTGACCTCTGTCGCTGTGTTACAGCAGCGACCATGCGCAGTGGGGGCCTACAGGCTTTCATACCGGGGTATCGTTGCTTGTGAGCGGAGTAGATACTGTAAGGGAAGGAAAAGATAGACCTATGTAATCTTTTGTCTCACTGTTGTAAAACACAACCCCATCGTATCCTAAGCAACTACGTAAGGGTACAATGATTAGCAGTTTGCGATCCGAGAAGCCGGTGGAAAACAAGGCGGAAAACTAAGTTCAGTCCCATAGTGGGGGTAGGCGAAGCAAATGGACCTGAATACGGAGCCCTTCCTCTTGTGTCTGATCGGCGTTGCCTTTTCGTATATGCCCGCCCCCTGTCTTTTTACTAAAAAGCCCCGTCAATATGATAGTAATGCCGAAGCTACTACCTTCTTTATAGTATATGGCCTCCGGTTAACTCCGTAAACTTTGTCCTCCCATGACAACACGAACGGACCAAAAAAATAAGTGAAGAAACAGAGCGAAGAGAGCAGCGGAAGAAAGAGAGGGGGGGAAAAGCCAAAAGCAAAAAAAGACAACCCTTGCTTACGGTTGAGGCTACTAACTCTCTCTCTCACTCTTCTTCTTTTACCCGGGCTGTTCCACGTAACAACCCCTAACGTGGTAAAACCTGCGAACAGTCGTTCTAGGTGCAATATGCAAACAGGGTTGCGTCAGCAATCGAAGTCGGCAAGCTGGCCAGCAAAAAAACTTTGGTTTTTGAAGCGTTCGCGTCTGACACACAATATCACACTTTTGCCGTTATATTTTTTATTAGTTTAACTTTGTTCTTTTCTTCTTTTCTTCTTTTTGAACCTGCTTATTCTCCTCCGTGGCGTGGAAAAGAAGAAGAAGAAAGGTTACTAAGGCGGGGAACGGGAGAGGGGGGAAACGGAAGAAGAAAGAAGAAGAAAAAACGGTGAACCAAACAAACGATCCAACCCGTTTTGTTCACATTTTCTCTCTTTCTCTCTATACATATGTGTGTGTGTGTTTGTGTCGATATTAAGCGCAGTAAGCTCATTCTTATATAACCACCGGGACGTAACAACGCCTACCGTTTACAAGTGGCAGCGAACCCCCCCTTAGACTCCACAATTATGTGTTTGAGGAATTCGAATATCACAACGATATATACTAGCATTCCCTAGATTACAACGAACAGCCCCATGTCATTAATACAATTCGATTATTGCTGTTAGTTATTATTGTTTTTTGTTACTATCATATTTCCCTTCAAACTAACTAACTAAAAATTTGACAAATTACAAAAATTCTGCGATTGTTAGATGTTCTCTATCCTTCCCCCCCAACCCACCACCACCACTTATGCGTTGTTGCTAGCTTTGTGCCTGCAGCTTGGCTTCCCGTCTGTCCCCCCTTCCCCTCCTTTCCCCTCGATCTTCGCTCAACATATTCCCCAAAAGAAAATATGAGCTAGCGTGCTGTGCATTATCTACCATTCTGATTATAGTTTGTTAATTACTATCATTCTTTTAGTACCGTCTAATCAAAAGGCCGCGTCATACATGCACACATCACATCATTTGTTGGCACTTAAAGTTAGTAAGTTTTTTTCTGAATATTGTTGATATTTTTTTCTGGCTGTCAATTTTAGTCCTCTGCACCGCCTGTCCACTCAGCTGTCGTTGACGACAAATGAGAGTAAGCCCTCGGTCGTTGATACATGCTGAGCGGAATCTGGAACCTCAATCCTTGTTGTCGATCGCGTCTGTTCTAGGACCCCCCCAGACATTACGCGTACCGTGTGCCCAAAGACTTCATAGTGATGACGAGGCATTTTCCAGTGCAGCGACAGGAAACCCGCCTATACCAGATAGTGTTGTGTTACACTGAAAGAAAGTGTCTGTTTGATTAAAGTATGCCAGAAGTGTTGACAGTTGGCTAATAATACTATGGGGAAGGGAAGAAACAAGGGCCATGATAAAGATGCTCAACTCTAAGGTCGATCACCCTGAGGTAGATAGTCTTTGATGCTCATCACGGTCGTGAATCCTTGCGGGGTTGGTGTGTAGGGAAGAAGTCAAAGTACAGTACTCCGCCCTCGCTGGAAGAACAATGGATAATGGATGGATGCTAGAGTAAAAGCAGACGCATGTCCAAACAAGCCTGAGAATAGGCACTCAAAGTGCCTTCGCTTTTCCATGTGTAGAGATAGCTGGTTGATGCCCCGAAAGGGGGTAAGAAATTTATTGGCCGTTGTTCGTCGTCAATGGTGGAAGGCCGTATAGATGATGATGGTGGTTGTACGGAAGGTATCGCTAAGATGTTGGAGAAAAGCTGTGAAAAGGACCGCAAATGGACCGAAAGCATGTAAAGCAAGGCGCTTACGAAGAATGTGACTTGTATCGGCCTTTGTTACCTGTAGCGTACTCGCCATCGGGACACCATTGTTCCGGTTCAAAGTCTGGATTCATAAAGTGCGCGGTGTTGAAGTGAGAACTTGAGAGGGTAAGTAGGATACTAGCGCATGAACAAGGGATAATGCTTACTTGCGAAAGATGGACGTCTGGAACGGCTGCACCTGCATTGAAGACCCGAACCCAGGCTCCAGTTCGTACATGGATGGCCTGAAAGGGCCACCTCGTTCAACGCCTGTGGGAGCTGCTCTATCGATGCTGACAGGAGGCGGGGGAGGATGTATGGGGAGCGTCACAGGAGGTTGTTCGAGATTGATGTTGTGATGGCTCGCTGGGTTGTACTGACTCGCATTACTGGTGTGAATCGGTGCAACAAAGTCCAAATGTGAGGAGCTGACCGGGGAGATCGGCGCTGTTGTTGGAGCATAGGGTTGCACAGGTGTAACCTGAGAGTGGGAAGCGGGGCTAGGACTGAAGTCGTACGACAATGAAGTCCACCGCTGACCTAGGCCGAGACTGGAGGGGTATATTCCAGGGATCATGTTCATGACGTCGCCAACGTTTGTTGCGGTCGGTATGAATTCGTCAGTGTAGTTGGCCAGGGCAACCTGGAGTGGTTGCTGCTGGGGCACGGGCTGATGCTGGACCTGAGGCACGTCCCCAGCTTTGTACAGGATATCGTAGTGGCCGCTAGTCGAAGTCAGAAAGTGCCATAGGAGAAAAGCCAGCGCTAAGATGGTAGACTCACGGCCTGTAGAGTAGCCTCAACATGGGAGCACCGGAGATTGGACGATGGTGTGCGTCTGTGGGCTCCGAATAGAAGCTGCGGTTGATCTCTTCGCCAGGCGAGCGGTCCAGATACCACACCTCGATGCCGAAACCTGCCGGCTTGACTAGGGCTTCGGCAAGAGCAGCAATGCCGACATTGTCGGCTTCACACTGTGTGGGCTCGATGTTGTTGGCACAGTACCCTCTGACATCTCCGTTGTCAATGAAATGGACAAAATCATCAGCATGCGTCTGCACCCAGGCGCTGGCCAGGAGCTAACGGGCATGGTCAGTAGTGTCAAGCAAAAAAAGGAGATGAACAAAGCCAACCTTGACATAGGTGATGATTGCCATGGACTCGCCCATGTCGTTGAAGGTGTGGAGCAGGATGTCGGCGGCCTGGCCATCCATGTTGCGCAGCGAGTTGGCCAGCTTGTGCAGAAGCTCAAAGGCCTCCTCGGCAAAGTCGATCCAAATGTCACGCGAATAACCAATGTGATCCAGCAGGTTGCCGAGTGAATTCAGACGGGCCTCTTCTTCGGCAAATTTGTTGACATCGCCCACGCTCAACAGAGCCTCAAAGTAGGTGAAGGCGATTGCTGTTTGCGTTAGCACCAGCACCAGCACCAGCAACAAGGAGGGTTGAGCAGGCACAGGCGCCATGCAAACTTACCCCGCCATCCACAATGGCCATCGCCACGACAGGTGCGGAAGTAGGCATATTTGGCGGGCAGGGCAGCCGTTTTGATTTGGTAAACCGGATCTGCGGTGGCATACTGCGTCGTGATAGCAGCGCTGCTTTGGCGCTCGCCCACAAGTGGGCCCTTGGGCGGTCAGCGCGCTTTCCAAAATCACAGGCGCACGCTCACTCACAATAGCCTCGGGCTCGTACTCACTCGACAGCTTCTGCAGCTGGGCATACTCTTCGTCCGAGGGATACACAGCCATGTTGAGGTGGGGGTCGCGGTGTTGATGTTGATGTTGGCGGCCTGGGTGTTGGTGGTGGCCAGTGTGGTAATGATTATAGCTCCCGGAGGGAAGGACCGGGGCGCGGATAGCGAACGCCAATCCGTTTTGGTAGTGGCTCTGTGCCGGCACTTCATAGTGGCCTCGGTGCACATGGGCATGCGGATGATGGTGCCCATGAGGATGAAAGTCCGTCAATACCGGTTGCCTGTTCATGGCGACTATAACTTGGTGGTAAGTCTCTGTGTGTTTGTGTAGGGGAGGGAGTGGGATGGGAGCTGCAATGCTCTCAATCTCCGCCCGCGATTTGTCCTGACCTGCGTTGCTTGGTGGGCGTGACTGGCCTTGATGGCTAGCAATTGGACCAAAGGATTCCACAGCAGCGTCGGTAATGCGCATCGATCTCAGCACCAAATCGCCCGCAAGCTACTGGCGCGAGGGCAGCAGCGCCTTTAGTAGGCGCAGAGGCGCGCGGCGCCGGGCTGGAAGCTGTGTCGTTGCTGTGATACCCACCGACGCCCAGGGGCACAGCGCCAATATATCGGAGAGACAGGACGGATGTTTGCGGCGTGCAAGTGGAATCTGACCTGCCAGATACCAAGACAAGTCTGCAACACTTTGGTCCAGTCGCTCTGCAATGCCCTATTCTTGTTGCACCGGGGGCCTGGGAGGCGAAGTCAGGGTGTGTGTGTGTGCGTGTGTGTACAATGTAAGTATGTAAGTATGTAAGTATGTGTGAGAGAGTGTGTGAGATTGTGCACAAGAGAAAGGAAAAAACGGGCGTGACGGCGTACAAGAGCGAGGCCATGCACACAGACACAGACACACACACACACACACACATACACAATCAGCGCCTAGATACATCAAACAAAAGCAACTGTTAACGAGAGGGGGTGTGTGTGGGCGGGAGGGGGCAAGACCATGACCCATGGCACGTCGGCCAGGGCAAAGCGGCACTGTATGCGCAACAGGACTGGGCGTGTGATATCCCATCACTTTGCCCAACTAGTCCTGATGGAACCGGAGTCTGGAAATTGAAGTGCACTCTGACTCTCTTTCTGGCCTCTTCCACGACTCTGTCAAGGCCATGACCGAGCAAAGAGCCGGGGGGCGGGGCGGCTCAGCCAACGCTCCTACAGCCGCCAACCGGAGCATTTGGAGCCAGTCACTCCCAGTGTGAGGCTGGCCGAGGGAGAGTGCAAACCGATCAGCACCAGCACCAGCACCAGCACTGGCAGCAATGGCAACAGCACAGGCACATGCGGCAGCCGATGCCGTGTGACGGCGGCAAAAATCGTCTCCAAGCACAGCACCACCGCGGCAGCCCATGGCGTCGAGAACAAGGCAAGCCCTCTCACACACGAGGCCGGGGTGGATTCCGTGATTCGCTGTGCACCTCCATGGCGCTGCTGCGACAGGAAAAAATAAAAATAAGAATAAGAGTTCCCGCAAACCCGAAAGATAGCCTAGACAGGTTACCGATCCCACGCCAGGTGCGAGTCAGGAAAGGCGTGGGTTCGCTTGATACCAGCTACCCTCGTCCCGTGCCCGCTTCCCCGGAGCGTAGCGCCGTTGTCGTCGGGAACTCCCTTTGCTCTCATTCGTGCTCGCAATCAATCAAGCTTCAGTGTGCTGCGTCACGCACAACCCACTCTCCACGGCACACCCGTCCCTGGAGGATGCCGCCCACGGCTACGCAACCAGGTCTCTGGAATATTGCATTGACAAAACGAGGTCGTCATGCATCACCCTCACTACGCACAAGTGGACCATCGCTGCTGATCCATGGCTAATTAACTAGTACCCGCTGTAGCAGTTGCGTGACCAAGCCTGACCGACCATCTCCGCCGTCCAACTGACCATGTTGAAACGCCTCCGCTGCTGGTGGACGAACGCTCTAGTCTCGTGCTACCCCGTGGGCCAACCCTCACCCTTCGCTCCGAGCAACCTCATGCCATGTCTCAAGTCTTCTTCAGGTGAGGAGCGCCTCGGTCACGGTAATGTACAACCCTCCCGACGCCCCCGTGTCCCGGAAACCCAGTTGCAGGTCGTCTTGTGAAGCCCACGACAGATGATGCAGGTCATCCTTTGCTCACCATACCCGCCTGGCGTCCTGGGCCCTTGCCCTTTGGTCGCCCTGACTTGGCTCCCATGGAGCTCTGGTTCCACCCCATACCTGAAGCCCCGCCAGGAGTGAACTGAGACCCACTTTCGTCAGACTTGAAGCCCTCGCCCTCGTTTAGCACCGTCTGCCACAGCACTCCGATGGCGTTGCTCCATTCCTTGATCGCCTGCACCCGATCCATGTCTGTGCTACTCTCAATCTCCACGGTTCCGTTCTGCTGGTTGATCTTACCGCGTAATCGCTTGTCAACAATCAGGAACCCTACAATCTCCTGCACTTCAGATAGAGAAATCTTAAGCTGTTTTGAGATAAAAGCTAGGGTAAACCGCGTGTAGGGCGCAACCAGCTTCACAATCGCCTTGGTACGAACATTGCGCGTCACTTCGTCAATGTTCTCGGCAATAAAAGGATCCTGGAGCAAGTCACGGTTGTTTTGCAGAATCTTCTCGTATCCGTGAATATCCTCCAGCTGATAAGCATTGACCAGGTCAGTCATAGTGGAGATGCGTGGATCGTTCTGATACGGCTTGGTCTCCTGCGAGTCAAACGGATTGATATCCGAACCCGAGAGCATGGTGGCAAGAACCAGGTACTTTAGGACCTGGATGCGTTGAAGCGAGCCAGCCTCGTCATAATTCTTGAAACTCTCGAAGAAATCACTCTGTGCCCCCTTCCAGTTCTCTGCTACGAGTTAGCGCTGGCTGCCTGACCTCCTTGACATGGATATGGGTAGTGCTTGCCTTCGCTCATGTGCATCTTGCCACCGCATTCGCGGATGATGCCCATAATCTTGGGATGTGGAACTGCTGACTTGACCTTGAGTGCTCGCTGGTAGAGAGCCTTTCGGAGGGTTAGAGGGCATGCACATGGAATTGCATTGGGACGACTGACCTTTAGTCGCTTGTTGTTCCTAGTCTCAGCATACATAAGAATCTCGAGCGAATAGACCTCCAATGAGTATGTGCCTTTGCTTGGATCGTCTGTGCCGTCTTCCCGCTGGCAGGCCTTGTGTAGCTCGCGGAGCTTCTCGGTAAGCTGACGATAGTCCTTCCTGTCCAACCATAGCCGGGCGAGCTTGATGTTGGTCTTGAGCCACAGCCGCTCATTGTTGGTACTCTGGAAGATGTCTAAGGTCAGGGCGTAGAAGTTCTCCATGCAGCGATACGCATCGGCGTCTTCTGCGGCTTTTTCTATAAAGTCGAGCATGTTGTTTATTGACTTTTCCGAGTAGTTGCGCGTCACGGCAGACTTGACATAGGTTAGAAGCTCCTTGTAGTGCTCGACCGCCTGTCTGTCTGTTAGTTGTAGCGCTCTCGTTGTCGCGGGGGCATGTACGTGCCTTGTCATAGCGCGCCAGCTTGAACTCGAGCTTGATGGCCTGCTTCAGCCCTTTGAAGCCCCTTTGTCCCCGTCAGCTCGTATCCATGACGCCAGATGTGAGTGTCGCGTACCATTCCGACTTTTCCTGCTCCAGTGCAGGCATGCCCAGAAATTCATCTATGGCCGCCTCGGGGTCGTCGGCCTTGAGCTGCTTTGCATTGTAGTACTTGTTCTCGATGTCGACGTCGCCACTCTCGTCGTCGTCGTCATCCTCGTACTCGAAGTCATACCTCAGGGATTGGTTAGACAAGGAGCCAGTGTACAAGGCAGCGCAACTTACTCCTCCTCGCCGGAGTCTTGCATGAAGTCGTCATCGTCCGACATGTTTGCGGGTTAGAGATGTGCAATGTGCAATGCAGTTAGGACTGGAGGTGGGTTCGTGGAGATATAAGATGCTGGACCCGAATTGCTTGGTTGGGATATTTGTTGATATGTGGCTCAGCAGGGCCAACTGCGACTTGTTTGTCTGCGTGAGGCGGTGATGGTGGTAGTGGTGGTGCCTGCGCGTTAGTAGAGCCGCCCCACTTGCGCGGGGCTAATAAGCTGAGCTCCCCAGGCCGCCATCCCACCTGCACTTGGATTGCGAGGCCGGTCACGTGCCATTGCGCATTCGGAGCGAGTTGCTAGTGAAATGTACATATGTACACGTACGTAAGGACACATGTGTACTGCATGGTGCATAGTAGGTAATATACTACACTAGCACTACCACATTGGTGCATGCACAGTCAGCACCGAGTAGCCCAGTGCCTTCCCAAGCCCGCACTCGGGCTTGAGCATGGTGACATGCTTTGGGTGCAGCCCTACTGTTGAGCCCCAACAGTCCTGTGCCCGCACACAGCTTTGGGTGCGTCAGGATGCAGGGACTCGGCGAGCCAAGCCAGAGAGTCAACAAGACGGCTCTTGGTTCATGGCCCAAAGGGCGGTGGATTGGCGTGGGCACTGGATTGGGCCGAGCATCGTGAGTCTGGTACGGCATCTGGTACCTCGACCTTCTTTTTTCGGACCGGCCTCACACGTGGAGTTCCCCGGACATTCGTATCCCAGATGCCCTATCAGCCACTCGCACTCACTCTCTGCATCCATATCGCCCGCCTTGGTTCGCCCTCTGCCCCCCCGGCCATCATCCGAGCGCAATCATTCGACCCCCTCTGCACTCAGAGCCTGCTACCTGCCACTATGCCCGCCCTTCTCCCGCTCTTCTCCCGCCAGGATTGGTGTGCTCACGGCTCTGCTAAGTCCCTCATGGGTCGCCTTGACACCCGAGCGCTTGCTATCGAGGCTGTGAGGTGGTCGCGCGGGTGTGACCAGTGCTAATCACCCTTTTAGGTTTAACCCTTGCTACGAGGGTGCATCTTCAACTCCACTGCTCCATCCGCCCCATCGTTTGCCTCTCCACACACCAGCATCTGGATCCCTCACAACTTGACACAACCATCCCTGCCGCCCGCTGCTAAGAGCCCTGCCTGCCACGCCTAAATACTCTTCTTGCCGCCACCTTCGCCGCCTCAGCTGCCACTCTTGCTCTTCATCCTCCGTCCCGACAACGCGCGCGCGCCGCGCCCTGCTGCTCCCTGAGCCCGCAAAACCAATCCATCGCCGCCTCGTCCCCCCTTCTCGACTACCACCATGCCTTTGTGCGGCGGAACGAAATCGGTGCAGCGCAAGCTGGTACTTTTGTATGTCTGCCTGACCTCGGCACGCCTGCTTGTCTAGGCCCCGGGTCCATGATGCGACGGGACTTGGCTAACACGTTTGACAGAGGTGATGGCGCATGCGGCAAGACCTCATTATTGAACGTTTTTACACGAGGGTGCGTATGCCATTGTGCTCTCGTTGTGTATGCTTTGCTAATTCTTGCGTAGATATTTCCCAACAGTATAGTAAGTACCTTGAGCTTTTGCTGTTGGCGCCCAAGGCTAACCACGCCGCCTCAGCGAGCCCACGGTATTCGGTAAGAGCACTCATCACATCTCCCACGCAACATCTGCTAACCATCATCGTAGAAAACTATGTACACGGTTCGTGCGCCATACTCTCATTTTCTGCCCAACTGAATTGACCCTGCCCTCTAGACATCTACATTGACAACACACACGTCGAGCTCAGCTTGTGGGATACCGCCGGACAAGAAGAATTCGACAGGCTACGATCGCTTAGCTATGACGACACGCATGCAATTATGCTCTGCTTCTCAGTACGGCCATTCAGCCATGTGTTTTCCAGACAGTTGCTTACACGTGCCAGGTCGACTCCCCAGATTCGCTTGAGAACGTAGAGACAAAATGGGTTGGCGAAATAGCAGAGAATTGCCCGGGTGTCAAGCTTGTCCTTGTTGCGCTCAAGTGTGATCTACGCAAAAAAGAGGATGATGATGCCGACGAACAGCAGCCCGAAAAGCCATGCATTGACTACAACGAGGGTCTGCGCGTGGCAGAAAAGATTAAGGCTTTGCGATATCTCGGTACTTCAATGTCGTCCTGTAATTCTCGAAGTAAACTAACATGGATTTAGAATGTTCTGCTATGAAGAACAGGGGTGTTAACGAGGCCTTTACCGAAGCCGCTCGTGTAGCGCTCCAGGTCAAGACCAGCAAAGACAAGAGCGGAGGATGCACCATCCTCTAGTTGATATCCTTTGCTCTATTACCCCGGTTGGACAACTGAACGGATTTCGAACTCCAAACTCTTGGCCTCATCACCCACCCCATCTTCTCGTTCAATCAAGGCGCACATCACCAAACTTTTCCCTTTCGTTATCTGTTGCCATTGCATCGTCCACGTCCTTCACAGCTCCATCTTCATTCCCATACAGTGCCTCTTGGACAGCTAGCACACGGCATGATCTTGGCTCAAGCCCATTTGGATAAGAAAGAAAGATGAGCTTTGCGCGAGCTGGCGGCCGCTTGCTTAGCAATTTTTCCATTTGTCTCTGGAGAGGAAGTCTGCTGGCTTACATTTCTTGCTTTTTTTACCCTGTTTTTCAACACCCTTATTATTTTATTGTACATGTTCGCTACCAGCTTAGCTGCATCAGCGCTGGCCTTCTTTCTTTTTACTTTTTTTTCTTAGTTTAGTCTTGTGTCGTCTGAAGATGGTGTGCGCACGCGCGCTCTTTAACAGTGGTGAAAGCCCTCTATCGCTTCTAGGCTAAAAACATGATTTTTTTTGTATAGAGTGAAGGCATAGTCATGTTAGATGAGATGTATCAAATAGCTTGCACTCTTCACGCTTTCTTTATAGGACTATGGTAGCAGTGGTGCTGCAACCTTGCCAGTCCTCCATTGCTTCCTCCCCTCCCTATCTACTACTAGAAACCTATTACATCCCCCTCCAGCCCCTCCACCTCCTTTACCTTCTTCACCACCTTCGCCGGCTGTCCCATCACCACAGAAAAGTCCGGCACATCTTTCGTCACCACGCTCATCGCCGCCACCGTCACGCCCCTCCCTATCGTCACACCCGGCAAAATCACCACATTGCCCCCAATCCAGCAGTCATCTCCCACCACAACCGGGCGCCCATACTCGATGTTATCGCGCCGACTCTGCACTTCTGTCTCGTGCGTAGCCGCGAAAATAGACACATTGGGACCGAACATGCAGCGCGCACCGATTGTAACAAGCGAGCAGTCAAGAATAGTAAGGTTGAAGTTTGCGTAGAAGCGGGGGCCAATACTGATATTGCATCCGTAATCAATATTGAAAGGTGGTTCAATGACTATTTTTTTTGTCAAAAAAACATTCATAGTGAGAGATGCTATACATCTTTTCTCATTGAATCATTTTATTTTGTGTAAGGGGAAAAGGAGGATAAAACACAGTTTGATAATGAAGGGTTTACATGGGGATGAAGGGAAGGGGCTCCAACTTACAAATTTCATCGTCGCCTACGTGTCCGAGTATTTCTTTGAGCATTTTGACGCGCTCGGCGGCGAGCACGTCGAAGCCAGTTGCGGGGTCGGTGGAGGGCGGGGGGAACCATGTGTTGTATTTGTGTGCAAAGGCGCGGGCTTTGAAGCGGGCGGCGGTTAGATCGCGGGTCCAGGAGCCGTAGCTATTTTGTTGTGTGAGTTGGTTGTTGTTGTTGTTGGTCTGAGGAAAGGAGTAGAATAGTTATTTGTAAACATTTTTTGGTGAGATGCTGGAGATAGGAATCTGGCGCTGAGAAATGTAAAGCATGCGCGGTGTGTGTGTGTTCATGGAATATGAACATTTTGGCTGAGAGAGAGAACGCATAGTACACATACAGCATCCCTGATATCATCTTCTCATACTCTTCACCCCATGGGACATGGTTGAGCTTCTTCGCCTTTTCTATCTCTTGCATGTTCTTTTCTTGTGCCGCCATTTGAGTTTCTAGATAGTATTCTTTAAAATCTAAACTTGGTCGATTGGATTGTGGAATGTCTCTTGAATAGTATATCAAATCTTGAATAGTCGTTATTACTTATCCAAGGTCGTGCTCACAGGTTCCCCGGACTTCTCCCACGACAAGCACTCAAGACACGCTAAGTGGGGTAGAGAACAGGTCAGTCCGGTCAGTTGGGGTAATACCTCGCACTTTAGCGCTCAGCCAGCTGCCTCCGAAGTTTTTCCTGCGGGCATGTGATTTGCTTGGTGCCAAGAGACGGTATGCATCCGTTTGGTGGTTACGTGGTTACTGGTAGTACGTAAGGTGGGAGGCAACCTCACGTGTCACAGCTGCACACGGCACGACTTCTGGCCACTCACGATTGTACATGTACACTGACGTCCAGTAAGGCCTTGTCGGTCCAATGTCACTGAGCCGCCACATGTTTTTCTGCGTAACAAACTGTGGCTTTTGATGCTTGAGAGCACTGGCACGGCTTGCAATGTCAGACTGCGCCAATGCGGGCCCCTTCTCAGTCTTCTGCCACCGCTTTCATTTTATCGCCATAAAAATCCCATTTGCATAGCTTCAGACAGGACCTGCTAAGTAGTCGAGTGTGAATGACGCCTGCATGTTGTTCCCGCAACTATCTGTCACCCTTAGGCGCGGGGAAGCTCCGTCATCAAGGACAAGGAGTACCATACTTGCAATGATACAGCTCGTGAGGGGCTCATAGAGGTAACTCTCCTCGCAAACCATTATATTTCAACATGCGATCATACTTGGGATGTTTAAGAAACCGTTGGGGTGGCTACGCTGCTCTGCTTTGACTCACTCTTCTCACGCCTGATCAAATACAACCCTCTCGCTCATCGCTGAAAGGCAAAACTGTTCAATGTTCAATTCTGCTCATAAGTAGAGTACACACGCTGCCAACTGAAGCTTATGTTACTCGCCGCCGGTGAAAAGTGTTTGGTGCACGGACACCAGTGTTAGCGCGTCGGCTAACCAGGCAAGGCCCGCCCACATTGGTTTTGCACACCCTCTCATCCTCTACAAGCCGTCCGCGTCCTCGACTCTCGCGCCCAATCCATCGACTTCAAGCCACCGGCGATCAACAACCAGCTCAAGACTCTCCATAAACCGTCAATATGGTGAGTTTGACCCTGCGAAAGCACTGCGGAGCGTTTGCGAGGGGCTAGTGGGCAGGCACACGAGACTGCCGGGAGTTTGCCACATGTGTGCAATTCACACCCTCTGGCCTCGCAGCGCTGCGCAGAAACAAAAAAGATGAGGAATTTGGGCTAACAATACGCCAGGTTCTCGCAGTTGACCTTCTCAACCCCACCCCGGCCGCGTACGCATACATCTCCGCCTTGTCGACTTGGTCCAGCGACTAACAGCCGATCTAGTGAGGCCCGCAAGCACAAGCTCAAGACCCTCGTGCCCACCCCCCGCTCCTTCTTCATGGACGTCAAGTGCCCCGGATGCTTCACCATCACCACCGTCTTCTCGCACGCCAACACAGTCGTCGTCTGCCAGGGCTGCTCGCAGGTCCTGTAAGTTTTTGGAAACAAGTCGGTACATTGCAAAGGGCAAAGGCTAATGCATTCACAGGTGCCAGCCCACTGGTGGCAAGGCGCGGTTGACCGAGGGCTGCTCTTTCCGAAGGAAGTAAGCGACTCGTTGTAGTAACAGCGGGGATTGATGGGTTACGATGACGACTATCATGGCATAGGGTGTAGATCTCATTGGCGCCGCTCGGCTCGACCGCAGGATAGAAGAGGGATCTTTCGACTCGAGTCAATACAAAAGTCAACAAAAACGGGAGTTCCGGATATCTCAGCGCTCATGGACCACCCTTTTCCCTCGATTCTATTTCCTTTTTTGTTCGGCATGGTCTTTCAGCTTTCATGTACATGCATGTGGGAGGAGAGATGGCATCTCAGAGCCTTTGGATTAGTCGTCCAGGGTGAGGACCGGTTTGCAATCGAGGATACCTACGCATGCTAGCGGTCCCTTGTAAATCAAAACGTCAAATCCTCACACTCGTTTCGCATCAATTGTAGCAGGTGACTTGTTGTCCGTGAAGGTGATGCTATGCTTATACTGCCTGCATGACATGCCAATGCACCTTGAATGGGGCTGTTTAGCAATGTATGCCCAAGCTACGGACTGCCCGAACCCGACATAACGCCAAGATTGAGCCACGTGACGGTTTCAACTTGAGCAAAAAAAAAAATATTTGGATCTTCACGCAAAAAACATACGACAGCGGGGATTCGCCAGTGGTCACCCACCTGACTACTAATCCGCCGATATACTGCTTGTATAGGGCAGATCGGACGGGATGCCTAAATTTCAGTATTCTGTGGTCGTATGTATCAGAATAACATTTTTAAGTTGAAACTATTGGCGGGTGAAGTTGAGTAAAGTCTTGAACTTGGCCTTGGATTTTGATGTATGCACAGAAGGTTGAAAAAAAGCAAAGACAACTCTGGAAATCAATCTTGGCAAACAAGGTTAAGATGCGCAAGTCTTGTAGCAAACCTCATCTTGTCGATTAATCTCATGGGTATTTTCGTGTTCATGGTGGTGAGCAGTCACCTTATGCCTAGAACAGAAGGACCTCACCCTGGGCCGCACAATTCGACTTTTAAGTGGGGAAACCTAGTCGAGACCCCATTCCAACCCAGACACATGACGGGCAGAACGCCGACCTCCGCTTCCACTGTAAAACACTTATAACAGTCATTGACCTTGCGCCGCCTGCAAACGATTCGCACTCGAGACGTTTTCGCGTGCTTGGATTAGCGTGAACGAACCCCTTGGTCGCATCCACGACTCGCGGACAAAAGCCACCCCACGTCATCGTCACCCAATACGCATCGCCCGCACCGCCGGCTAGCTACTCCGTATCTCGAGCTGGGCTAATAAACTAGAAAATCAAATCATATCAAATCATCATTTGGAGAGTGGAAAAACCAATAAACAGGCCTATCCCTGGATACCAACCATGCCTGCTGCCACACAACCTTCAGACGCAGCGGGAGCCGCAACCGCGACAGTCCCCCACCCGATTCCCCTCACAGAATCCGAGGTGCTGATCCGTGGATTTCTGGCCGCTAACCCGGATCTCGACAACGACAAGCAATCGCCGATTGAGATTATGACGGATCGATATACAAATCCGGAGTGGCAGGCGCAGATTGACGAGACAATCCGGCACGTGCTGAAGGAGGTGGAGAGCGGGGAGCGCGCAAACAAGGTTTACGAAGGACCACGGATGCGGAACGGAGAAGAGGCGTTGAAGCAACTGGCCAAAACAATCGACCACACCGTGTTGAAGCTGGATGCTACGAGTTCGGTTGTAGACGGCTTGTGTAGCGAGGCAAGAACCGAGGGGTTTAAGGTACGTTTGTCCCTTCTATAACATCCGGCGATCACGCTATGCAACAACGTAACTCAAGGCGCTTCAACTAACATGTGATTAACAGTCTGTATGTGTCCGTCTAAACTGGGTGCAGCGCTGTGTAAAGAACCTCAAAGGCACAGACGTCCTCGTCGCATGTGTCGTCGGTTTCCACGAGGGAACCCAAGACACATATTCAAAATGCCGTGAAGCACGTGCTGCCGTTGCAGCCGGCGCAGCAGAGCTCGACGTTGTGCTCAACCACTCGCTGCTCACAAAGCACAACCGCCCAGAGACTTTGACCCGCACCTCCAGAGATTCCGCCATTGACAGCATCACGGCTGCCAACACAGCCAAGAATGCCGGCACCAGCCGCAACAACTCTATTGCTACAGGCCAAGATGAGATTCCAGACTACAGCGCCATATACAGAGAACTAGCTACCATTCGCTCGCTCTGCCCTAAGACAACGCTCAAACTCATCCTCGAAACCTCACAGTTGACAACCACCCAAATCCTCGCTGCCTCGCACCTCGCAGCCGCCGCATCATTTGACTTCATCAAGACTTCAACAGGCTTCAACGGACCGGGCGCCACGTTGCCTCACGTCCAGCTCATGGTAGGAGCTGCAGAGTATCTTGCCGCGAAGGGTGTGAGCAGGCGGAAGATGGAGGTCAAAGCCAGCGGCGGCGTGAGGGAACTCGACACCGCTGTCAAGATGCTCGAGGCTGGCGCTACCAGACTGGGCACTAGCAGTGGGCTCTGGATTATGCAGGAAGCGAGGGCAAAGGTGGGCCAGGAGAAGGTAGCTGCGGGGCTCGCGGCGACCGAGAATAGGAGACCGAGTCCAGTTACGAGGCTGTATACTGATGATTCGTCGTATTAGAGGTAGAGGATTATGGTAGTATATATGTGTACTTAGGATACAATGCAAACGCCTTTGTACCCAAACTCTATTTACCTATTGCGATCTATTACTCGAGACATGAGAATCGTGTACGTCTGCAACCTACAGTATTCAGTTTGGAATTCTTGTATGTGGTCTAATCATTCGCAGAAACACAGAAGTACGGACGTTGTTCATAGAAAAACCTGCTTCAGTATCCAAATACGACATCTCAACCAGACAGCATACACGTCACAATCAACATAATTAAACAGACACAGACAATGGCAATTGAAGATTTTTGGGCAGAGACTACAGAATTTGTATGTAGATCCTCTACCAGCCGTGACCCACAAGGGATATAGTGCATTCCAGGACAGGAAAACCTGTCAGAGAGATTCATCCCGTCATGCCCAACGCCGATCATCCATGAATCATTCTTTTTGGCGTAATGTTTACTCCTCGTCCTCCTCACCGGCATCGTCATCACCACCCTTCTCGGCGGCCTTGGCCTTCTTCCTCCTGACACGGCCGGGGCGGCCGCCGCCGAATGGCGAAGTCAGAGCAAAGTCAATGTGCTTCTGGGAGTCGAGGCGGACCATGAAGGAGGGGACGTTGACGATCTGCTTTCCGACACTATGATTTTGTTAGTCGTGTGCTTTTTTTCAGAGACCGTCCACAAAGACATACCGGATGTGGCGCTGGCGGATGAGAACACGAGCGTGGTGAATAGACTTGGCGAGACCGAGCTTGTAGACGCAGGTCTGGAGACGGCGCTCCAAGAAGTCCTCAATCTTGAGGGCCAAGACGTAATCGAGCTTCATGCGGGACTCGTCGAGGACACCGACACGGACGAGACGGCGAATGAGGGCGTTACCCTCGAAGAGGCGCTTGGGGTCCTTCTCGTCGAGAGTAAGAAGCGAACTGCAAAATGTTAGCGCCTGTCGCTTCTCGAAATTTCGCATTGCGCAGCGAGCGTGCAATTAAAGAGTAACTCACCGAGCGGCACGACGGATCTTGGACAGAGTCAACTGGACTCGCCAGACCTCGCGCTTGTTGCGAAGACCATACTCGCCGACGAGCTTCAGCTCAGTATCCCTAACCAAGAATTAACCAGTGTCCCAGACATAAGCGGAGCACGCTCTCGCTCAGTGGCCATGGGGAATCACATACAGACGAGCGGACTCGAAAGGACGACGGGGGACGCTGTACGTCTTGGAGTAGGAGCGGGGCGCCATTGTGGTTGTCGATGGAGGAGAGAAGTCGTGGGTTGCGTTGCGAGGGAACGTGAATTTCGAAGTACGCCAAGGTGGGCAGTGGGCGCACGGACGTTTCCCTTTCGCTTCGGAGTTAGTACTCAAGGCGCCGCTCTCACCAATGTACGTTTGTATGTATCTATTTTGACATGACTATAATATATTCTGGTTAAAGCTGATAAATTCGATGCATGTTTGTATTAATCAGTTTCTACATGATTTTCCAAAGATGCACAATAGCTAACGAGCCTCACCATGTTGGCCATGGACGATGCCAGTTAGTCAGTCGAAACCAACACAGACTCTGTTAACTATTCAGTCTGAGGTAACTTCATTGTGAACTTTGATTAAGGGAGAGAAAAAAATCTCAATCAATATACATTCCTCATGTCTTCCACATACATGTCCAACATTGGTGTCGATGGTCGGCAGGGAAGGCTAGCGACGCGCACGGACGCTTGGCATTTGCGGCAACCGCTTCCCACACAGGCTTGCAAAAATACAATCGTTGAACTTTCGATCCTCAGCTCGCCGCACACACAACCACCCCCAACACAAACACAATGGGTCACGCAGCCGGTCTTCGCGCGGGTACGCGCTATGCGTACGTTTTACCCCGAAGAAATAACTCGAGTCGCAGTCCGATGGCGACGGCAACAAGGACAACATGGACTGACTCTGGGCTAGATTCTCGAGGGACTTCAAGAAGAAGGGTATGATCCCGCTCTCGACCTACCTCAAGCAGTACAAGGTCGGTGATATCGTCGATGTCGTAGCCAACGGTACGAAGCCCCCCTGAAACCCAGCGAGAGCAATTGGAGGCGGAGGACTTATGAATTTGCGCAGGTGCGGTCCAGAAGGGTATGCCTTACAAGGTCTACCACGGCAAGACTGGTATCGTCTACAACGTCACCAAGTCAGCGGTCGGTGTCATCCTCCAGAAGCAGGTCGGCAACCGATACATGGAGAAGCGCATCAACGTCCGCATCGAGCACGTCCGCCACTCGCGCTCACGAGAGGACTTCCTTAAGCGCGTCAAGCTCAACTTCGCCAAGCAACAAAAGGCCAAGGAGACTGGCGAACCCCAGCAGATGAAGCGCCAGCCCGCCATGCCCCGTGGCGAGCGCGTCGTCAGCCTCAAGGACAACAAGCCAGAGAACATCACACCCGTACCTTACGAGACCTACATCTAAACGTTGCAGAGGTGGTTCGGATTTGTGGGCTGGCAACATGGGACACGGATTGTCAACGGCGTGGTTTCTCGGACTTTTCGATTATTCTCTCTTCTGCACTTTCATACGCATGGAAAGCGACGATATCACGATGCAGATATAGTGGTGTGCCAACATGGCTTTGAGTGACCCCTCACGCCAATAGACATCATCCTCCAATCCCAGTTCCAGTCCTTGTCGTGTGTTGCATTTCTGATGTATTTTGGAGTGCGTTTGTCGTTGTAGAGTTATGAATACCCTCCAGTAACTACTGGCCCTATCCAAATCATCTACGCTTAGGCCGCATCGGCGTCTCTGAATAGCGTCCTACTTTGTATTCCCGAAGATGATGGTCTTGATACTTGAATCGTGCTTGTGATGGATCAAGGAAGATGTGGTCTGCCCTGTTTCTCCTCGACCTTATCCTACGCCTAGCCTAATCTAACTGCGAGAGTAGCAGGAGGCATACGACAACAGTCAACCACCTACGACTAAACAATCAGAGCGAGCTACATATGCGGCGTATCTAGGTCAGAGAATCTCGCAATACTTCTCTTCGTATTCTCTAAACTGTCCCGGTCCCTTGGTGCTGTTTAAACACTTATTCTCTCTAGTGCTTACTTCAACTCACTTCACTCAGGGATATAGTCGTATACAAAAGTTTGTTCATACCGACATTCTGCCAATGTCAAAGTTTTTTCCATATTGGTAGAGTTTGTCAGTTTCAACCTGCATCTGCTCTTTCCCAAGTCATGCTGGTATCTCCACTCGCTCTCACAACGTCACAACCCGAAGATCTTCCAACTAAACGACCCACGTGGTATCAAAAGGTGACAGACGACACTGGGGATGTGCAATGCCCAACTGCTCCGCATCAAACAACGTCTCTTAAACCTCTAATCTAGAACGGCAATCCACACGATGATTGACGCTCTGATAACCCTTTTTCCCCATCAATCTTACTCTGGCATCTGATTGTTCGCACAGACTGCTCATCACAGCCCACTCTGGTTCCACCGCGAGTGTGTGTCCGTGCCTTTACTTCTCAACTCCACGCTCCACACTGTCTGATTATGGGAAAATCTGACAAGCGAGCCTCATTCTGTAAAGGATTTAGAGTTTTCAATAGTGCCAGAGCGGGTGGGCGCATAGATATGTATATTCATGCGTAAGTACTGACACTCACCGTCGCTTTTGCTTGCAAGACGGCTACTTGCTTGCGTTAGCCACCTGCGCATGAGGCGGTCAAAAGAGGAAGAGGATATATGGCTGGCCTGACTGTGACTTTGACAGGAATGTCGTGCTGCAGGTTGCGCACTGTGATACTGCAGGGGTGTTTTACACTTTGACAATCGGCACATGGGTTAGCGGGTGTTTGTCCAGAGATGGTGAGGTTGCTCCGCAATTGAATGATTACTCGGAATTTTGAGCCGGGGTGGCGCATGCGACTTCATGTGGGGTGCGATGCTTCTTGTCGAGCAGGTGTAGATTGACTAGCTTGATATGAGTGCGCTTCGGGAAGCTGGCAGGATTGTGACAAGTATCTTCCTTCCGTGCTCTTGCTCGTTCCGACGGGAGAAACGCGTCTCGGGTGCCGAGAGAAGTCGACATGTATGGCTGCAATGCCAACAGCATCCGTATTGCCATGACTCCGTTTCATATATATGTACGGACATAAAGTAACATTTGTATTCTCTTTCTATTAGGAATTACTCCGGTGGAACTGTCGAATTTCTTCATTTGAAGCGTTATAGCGGATAGGCGTATTTTGGTAACCTCAAGGCCGGTTTCATTTCGGGTCTGTTGGGCAAACCTGAAGATCACTACTTCTTGTGCAGGCATGTCCTCATGACAAGAGAGTGACGACGAAGAGAAAAGTGTTGGCCATCGACTCCACGATCAGGTGGGTCCCTGGTTTGTCGACATGTTCTCTCGCATGTGCCTAAAAGGGGAAGGGTCCAGACACACAGCTAGAACCCCAGTGGCCAAATCCCACTCCACGGCCTGACCTTGGAACTGAACTTTGTCGGTTACGACCGCTATGGGTTCGGGATGGTAGCGTCAATGACGTGAGGTGTTCAGCCGTCGAGCGCATTCGTATGATCATGATGGTCTTCGCAGGCATTTAGGCCCTGTGGTGATCTGATTGGCTGGATCGTGTCCCGAGATTGCCTAGCCATGATTGATATCTTAAGAATAGATGCAAGGTCTGGCCTGACCTTGACTAGCTATACTAAGTACATGGCGGTGGCGGCGGAGGAGGTGGCGAGGGGGTAATCTGTTCCGTCAGCAAAGTTGCTCTTCGTGATTTGACTTTTGCCAACCAGCGGCGTGGTGATGGTTGGTGCTAGGCCGTGGTGGCTGACTGAGTTCGACGCCGGGCGTGCAGTAAGAGGTAACCATCCACGTGCTACCTAAGGCAACCGCAGCTCGCAGACCGCACACTGTGATAGTAGGAAAGCAAACCACTGCCACCTTCCTCGAATCGGGCAGCAACACAGAAAAAAAAAGCATTTCATCAGCATCGGAAAATAGTGCCCTGCATCTCGGCATCGCAAGCCCTTTTCGCAGCTATCCACGCCCCACAGCTCTATCCAGATGTCTCTACGTCATGTATACCAACGGTGGACTCGGCTGCAGTAGTGTAGCTGAACCAAACGTACCAATTTGGCCGCTGCTGCGCTGCGCAACATTAGTGCACGCTGGGTCGTCCGTGCCCCTGGCCCCCCAGATACCAGCCATGCCATTTACTTACTTCTGCAAAGGGGGGATCTTCGAGCCTGTTAGAGTCCCGAGTAATGCACATGCATTCGGGTAGAGTGTTGCCGAGTCAGATAAACCAGTTTGACAGCGTTGCCAATAAACGACAGACTTCAGGATGCGAATGCGACCTCATGAACCATCAACTGCCACGGCGTCAGCGAAGCGCTAAACAGACGGTTTCTCGAAGTGTTTCTTGGAGTGGAGTAAAGGCTTTAGCCAACCTGGAGCCTCTACCTGTTCCCCTAGCGCAGAAGCAGACACCGGCGGCATTGACAGTTGGCACGGAATGGCACTGCAAGAGGTCCACACGCACATCCCCTGGTCGTTGACTTAGAGTAGTAATTCGGCCAGCGCAGTTAATATTTGAACTTGCACATCTCCACCGCTCCCAGCTAGACCGGAATGCCTGCCGTCTTTTACGATGCTCAGAGACGTCTAGGGCTACGACATATGTACACACCGCATCGGGGTCACGCACAATCGCAGGCGCCATCCAGGTCCAAGATGGTCGCGATCAGGACGCGTCTGCCATGTCCTGTTGAGTGCGGCAGCCCACGAGCGGGATTTGCAAGTGATTGACAGGGAAAACGAGGTGTGCTGCTAGCCGCGTGCAACATGCAGTTTGAGTTTGATGTAAAAGTTCACTTCTATTTGACCAGCTGTTCCAACGGTCCGGATCTGCCAACGTGTTTGCAATACAATGAACGGTCTGAAGAACAACTCACCGTCTCGCTAGAAACTTCGGCTCCCCATGCTGCTGATTGGTAGAATGCCTAGCTTCTCGCAACCCCTGCCTTATTGCTCGGCAGTATTTGACCTCCTCGACGACAATGAATTCTTTGACTTTCCCCAGCAAAGAGTCGATTTGCCGGGACTGCACCGCAAGGAGGGTGCCTTGCATTAGCCCACGCTACCTGACCACGCGGCATCCATCACTTCGAACGATAGTCTACCAATCTTGACCAATCTTTGCTGCATTCGAAGGGTACGTCGGCGGGTCCAGTCCCTGCCAGCACGAGACTAGTTGTCCCGTTGTCTCAAGTCCAAGGGCCCACCCGACGTGTCAGTCTACCCGGTATGTTTACATTACATAGACCCTCCTCTCGTCATGGGTGTGCACCTCTTTCTGTACTGCACGCCCAGCTCTCGATCTGCAGGTCTCAAAAGTTGGCACTTTTCCATTTTCAAAGCTACTGGGCCGCTGCAACCCCTTCGCCATCGCGATGCCCATGTTCAAGAACAAAATCCGATCTGCGCACGGAATGTTCTCCCAAAAGAGATCCTCTGACGCTTCCAGGACCTCAGCCTCAACACCCACTTCTGCCCGAAAAGGGAGTCCTAGCGAGCTGGCCCCAGCTTATGTCGATAGCGTCATGGCCCCCGACGCGGACGCGCTGACCAAAGCCGACGGTAGTGGCGGTGCGTTTAATGAACCACTGGTCCTAGACTTTGCAACCATGCAAGATGGCGCTGAGCCTAATAGAACGAGTGCCCCTCTTTCACCCGTTATTAGTTTGGTCGATCACGGGCATCGAGGAAGTTGGCACTCGGAGGATGATGACTTTGCTCCGGCACCACAAGTAGAGTTTGCAAGACGCGAGATTCATATTCCCTTTCGTACCAGGTACGCTCCCTTCTTGTATCCCATATTTCCTTTTCCTTCTTGCTTATGATTGAATAGTTCGAGCACTCCCCAAGCCCAACAACATCGCGTTGAGCTGCAAAGACGATTGAGTCAAGAACCAACTTCACCCATCTGGCCTTCGACTCCAGAAAGGAACCGGTCGCGTGCTCATAGCTATTCACGTACGCCAGCAGCTACTCCAAAGCGTTCACAGACGCCAAAGAACCCTCAAACACCTAGGAATCCCCAAACACCGGGCAATCCTCAAACGCCTGGTACTAATCGATTGTCTGGATACTTTCCAACACCCCGAGCAATGGATTCCGAGCCACCAAAGATGCGAAGTTCAGTCGATTCGGTAATCTCGTATGAGTCTGCAGCACCTTCCTTTACGACGCAGCAGCTTGGGCCGTTGCAGCAAAAGGGTGGGACGCTGGATGAGGGCGACAGACTTTCTCCCTTGATGGAAGATGACCCGCATTCCTTCGATCTGGTTTCCGCACCACTGGGAGGTGGACGCCCCATCTTCTCACTCGAGACCAGATCCGACCAGCTGTTCTCGAAAGAGCATTTGGAGGCCATCTTCGCCGACACTGCATCCTTGCTTCGATTTACGTCATTTCTTAGCGCCTATCGACCCAAATCAGTCCCTACATTGGTGTACTACCTAGATGCACTGAAAGCGCTACGAGCTATCAACTATGCAAATGCTGTCGCTGAAGCACTAGAACCCATCAATGGCTTGGGTTTTACCGAGACTGAGGCGCGAACCACTGTCAACGCAAGTCTCGAGGAGAAGGCCAAGCAGGCCTTTGATATTCTAGTTCGTGACGATTTGCCAGCATTCATCACGCATGTCTTCGCTCAAGTTGCAAGCTCTAGTATCGCGAAGAGAGTTACTGGCAACCTCCCTCCAATGCTGCGTGAAGCTAGTGAAGGATTAGCAGAGGTTTTCTGCCTTACAGACCCTTCGAGGGCTGACAACCCAATCATATTTGCGTCTGAAGGTCCGTGTATCTGGCATGTAACATGGGCGCCACTAACTGGAGATTAGAATTCCATCGCACAACCCAATATGGCGTAAACTACGCTATTGGCCGCAACTGTCGGTTCCTGCAAGGCCCGAAAACTAACCGTAACAGCGTGGCCCGTTTCGGAGCAGCCGCTCGTGAAGGTAAAGATCATAGTGAAGTCTTTCTGAACTAGTAAGTAGCTCTTGTCGTTTGGATCTGACTGGCTTTTGACTAAAAGTAATCAGCCGTCGTGACGGGTCTCCGTTTATGAACCTTTTGATGACAGCACCTTTGTGTGATTCACGCGGGACCGTCCGTTATTTTATCGGCGCGCAAATCGATGTGACTGGTCTTGTGAAAGAAGGCACCGAACTCGATGCATTCCGCCGCATGGTTGACCAGGAAGAAGGCGTCATCGAAAAGGACGAGCCTAAAGACGAGTTCCAGGCGCTGTGTGAGATGTTCAACAACACTGAGTTGGATACGACACGCAGATTTGGCGGCAACATGCACAGGGAGCATTTGGAGGAAAAGGATGACGCCACCATGCAGCACAAGCCTAGAGTGCTCATTCAAGATCGATCGACTTTTGATCTTGATGGGCCAGAGAAGTCAGTCCCTTCACCTGATGGTCGCCTTACTGGCCCGTACAAACATGTAAGTTTAACATGGTTTCTTGCAAGTGATTTTGGAAAGTCTAACAGACGAATCAGTATCTTATCGTTCGTCCTGCACCGTCTCTACGCATTCTCTTTACATCTCCTTCACTTCGCGTCCCTGGAATACTTCAATCTCGTTTCCTTGACCGGATTGGTGGCAGTAAGCGTGTTCGTGCTTCCCTCGGTGGCGCGCTCGCAGATGGCTCGCGCGGCGTCACCGCGAAGATCCGCTGGTTACCACACCCAGTCGAGGATCTGGAAGATGCAACGGATGAGGGTCGGCCTCGCTGGATTCACTGCACTCCTCTCCTCGGCCAGAATGGATCTGTAGGCGTGTGGATGGTAGTGCTTGTCGACGAGAAGGATCAGGCGTATTCAAATCGTCGTTTCCGTCAGGCACCGCCAATTCCCTCGGACATCCGTAGCAATTCTCTTGCTGCCTATATACAACCACGCGCCAATACACGACTCAGCGACTATTCTGAAGAAAACATCTACCCCTCCCGTGTAGGTTCACCTTTCGGAAATGGTCGTGCCAACGGTGTAGCTCGTGTTTCCGCTATGGATAACCTACGTGGACCAACGAGCCCTCACAGAGCGCAAAGCCCACTGAGTTATGAGCAGCGTGCGATGCGCTCAGGAGCATCGTCCGTCAAGGACTACGCCAATGGTGCAGCCAGTGTCGACTCGTTCCGCATTTAATGGGGTTAACTCTATCATTTTTGAGAGGAAAACACAGCAACACAAATCGCACATGCTAGGGCACACTGGAAACAACAGCAGCGCGAGACAGAATTGATGAAATTGAACTTGGAATACGCATAGAGAACGGGGGGGATACTTGAATTTGCATTGAGCGCGCATGGAGGTATTGAATGTTTTGGAAGCCATTTACGAGAGTGTTGTTGTTGTTGTTGTTGTTGTTGTTGTTAATCTGCCGGATACCCTTTTTTCCTTTGTAGAATAATTTGAGCGTTCAGTTGACGAATTGTCTCTTTGCATGTCTACGCTCAACAGTGTTCTGTTTGATGTGCTTCGAGGTGCTCCTGCGCGAAGCATGCAAGGGAGGGATGCGTGCATGCATGAAGTCTAAGCGAGGCTTCCCCGCGGGAGTGCCGTTTGTCCCTCCAAACAATCCGTCCTATCTCTCACTTCCCCACCTACTCACCACATTCATCTAGTACAGCACAATGTCGACCATACGGCCAATGCGGCCAGACGACTTGCTGCGCATATCCTCAACGAATCTTGATCATCTGACAGAAACATATAATATTGGGTTTTACCTCGAGTACCTGACCAGATGGCCCGAGTTGTGTCAGATTATCGAAGGCATGGATGGTCAGATTGAGGGATATAGTACGTTTTACGAATTACAACATGTGTACGAATATGAATTGACCAAGAAATCAAACAGTCCTAGGCAAACTCGAATCGTCACCTTTCGCACCCCCAATAAGCCCCTACAAGCCCTCAACCACGGGTGTCGAATACCCCAACTACCTTCCATGGCACGGCCACATCACCGCCCTGACTGTCGCCCCCAGTGCCCGACGCCTTGGCCACGCAACTGCCCTCTCGTCTGCGCTCGAGCGCTCCTCTGACGCTGCTGACGCATGGTTTGTCGATTTGTTCGTGCGCGCGTCGAATGAAATTGCAAAAGAACTGTATCGCAAGATGGGCTATAGTGTTTATCGTGTGGTCAAGGCGTACTACAATGATGGCGAGGATGCACTGGATATGCGCAAGAGTTGTAGTCGGGATAAGAATCGGGAGTGTGTGAGGGCTGATGGTGAAAAGTGGGAGGTTGAGGCTGATGATGTGTGGTGAGGTGATGCATGGCTTTCGTTACGAAAATCCAAGGACAAAGGACGGACACGAGGAAGGCGGGGATGTGGGCTTGGAAAAGATGAGACATTGATACCCGGATTGGATGAGGGACTTGAATATATCCGTGGACGAGTAATCGTCTTGACTTGGGAGATCCATGGCGAATATTGCTATTAACGATGCCTTGCAATTACTGATAGAAGACAAGATGATGAAATGAAAATGATTGATGAGCTTACAATCTATGCGCAGACTTTGGCTGTATGTGCAACGACGATATTAATTGGGCCTCAGTCAGAGTTATGCATTTTGTACAGTGGAGTACTAAGTGAGACAAGAGTGGTGAGAGCATAAGGCAGAAATGTTTTAGGCAGGTTTGTGAGTAGGCAAGAGGCTTGCTGCATAGTTCTCGCTCTGTTCGTTGCTTCACATGTGTCAGTTCATTCATATTCACCGCTCGGAGATTCCTGTGACACTAAACTTGTTTAGGACTCATAGTTCTTGCTTCACGCTCATTCCCGAGACCACTGTTGTCAAGGGCTATTCTCTTACTTTGAGCTTGCCTCTGCAATGCTAGTTATAGTCGCAGGCCTCAACCAGAGTTCAAGCAACACCCAAGAGATCCGAGGTCACCGGGATCTCATTATGAACAGATCAAACTATCCCCGACGACCAAGACCGCTTGCACACCACACCGATATGAGATTCAACATCAACGTCAACTTCATGTCCAACGACTGGCAAGTTAGCCCAAGCGAAAGCCACTCATTCCTTCAGGATGTTCGTACAGCCGTACTCAAGTACAGAACAACGTCAGCTACCCGCTTCAGCGTCCCAATTGAAGTTGCCCAATCTCAATCACAGCAACTTGAACGATTAGAGAAGCTTCACTGCAACTTTGCTTTATGGGTCGGCTTCTACAACTTCAGTAACAGACCCATATTCGCTGCCTGTCGTTTTCAGAGCAGGAAACGGAAAGGTGGCCGTCGTTTTACCGACGAAATTGAGGTATATACGAAGAAGATAGGCAGACACATACCTTTAGAAAGATTCTTGGAGAAGATGTTTCCTACCTTCAGCGACATACCAGTCGGCGATGAAGTCATGTTCCAGTGGTGGAAGATGAATGGCAAAACCTTTAATTGGTCTGGTCTACCTACCGAGCTCCACGAGCGCATCATATACTTCTGCATGCACCAATCGCAGCCTCGTGCTCTGTACAGAAGAGCCATCAAAGGTGCACCGGAAGTCACGAGCCAGTTTGGAGAATGGTCAGCCATGCTCGGCGTGTCCCACCAAGTCCGCGCGATATGCCTGCGCATGTGTTTCGTCGGCAGCAGTGACCTGCAGTATGGGAAAGGACTGTGCATAGACGTCAAAGGCCACCGCGCCTTCAAAGACTGCATGCGGCGCTTAGGAAAATGCTTCCAGATGCTGGAGCCGGGGCATCTCGCGTCGACCGACGAAACCTGGCTACTTGCAGAGATGTACAACCACTATCCTCGCATCTACCCACACTTATCCCGATACGCCACACTGCGCCACGCGATCCGTAAGATCAACCTGCAGCTGTCTTTCCTCGACTCGATGCACTTCTTCAAGGTCACGACTGGTTCGTTTGCACAGTATTTCCAGCGGTTTCGGCTTGATTACAACATCTTTGGCCAGCTGCCCTGTTTGAATGAGATTCTCATCCAGTTGCCTGATGCGAGGGGGTATCTAGCTGATGGACCGCGCCAGCAGGGTCCTCAAATGTTTTATGGGGAGCCGTTCAGTTGCCCGAGGATACTGCATCGGCTTATATACGAAAGAGCTGCAGAGGTGTTGGCTACGTACGAGAATGTCAACATGTTTGGATTTATGGATGAGGCGGAGAAGAAGAGCTTTCATAAGTTGAGGAGTGAGGCGAGGGAGAAGATGAAATTCACTGCGGAAGAACTTGAGGAGTTGTACAAAGAGGACGGGGGCGGTGTTGAGCTTGAGAAAAGACTCATTCCTGGTGTACAAGAGGAGGTGGTAGAAGAGCCTGAGTGGCCCATGATACAAGATGCCTTTTGGCCACCAAAGTGTCGGTGCGAGGTCAGGTGCAGAAAGGTCTTGTACCCAGACACGATCTGAGGTTTTGAGTATTGAGCACTAGGATATCTCCATTTCCCGTCTCCTGCGTGAGTCCTTGCCGTGCAGCGTGCGGCTGCCGAGCATAAATATGGATCCGACAATGAGTGCAGTTCCCTATTGTATATTAGCTACTGCATCACTACTGTGTCTCATTCAGATTAGGAATATATCTACCGAAAACAGTATCAACCACCGATACCCCTCCCTAACATGCTCGTCTACGATAAGTGCTCCGCCGATCGGTGTCCCGATCAGACTTGAGATGGTGATGACGCTGTAGAAAGCCCCGGTCCTCGCGCCGAACTTGTCGTCTGGAGTAATCTGTCCGATGATCGATGTTGGGAGTGTATTTACATTGCTGGAAAAGAAGGCGTATGCGCAGACGAAGAAGATTAGCGTGGTGAGGTTGGTGCTTAGGAGCCAGAGGAAGAGACAGAGGCAGCCTGAAAGGAATGTGACGGGCCAGAGGAGATTGAATCGGCCTATGCGATCGCCTAGGAGACCTCCTCTGTACAGAGTTTAGAAAGGATGTCTGGTACGGGGTAGTACGTTGGACTTACAATGTTGCACCGAGCATGCTGGAGCCGTTCATCATACAAAGGAAGTATTTGCTGACGTTGTTCCCGGGGTGTATGTTATCAGCGTACGTTTCTGAGATACATATTTAGCAGCATGAAGGCATGTATTTTAGGGCAGAACTACTCACTGACATAATAGGCCGGAAGCCAGAGACCCAGGATAGCAAACCACGTCCCCACGCAAAGAACTGCATATTGAGGATCCATGAATCCACCAAAGTCTACACGAAAAGTGTGGTCCTTGCAGGTGGAGCTTCGAATAGGCTTGCTCGTGCATATGCATAGTGCAATCGAGTAGCAAACACTACTCCACGTCAGTCTTCTTTCTCTTAAGTAGCAGACCAGTCTTGCCACCTACACAACCTTCACAGCCGCCAAACGCAGCGCACCGCCAAACCCCCATCTCGGTATCACCTGCCCCAGCATAACAGGGAACCCGATCCCCCCCATCGCCGACCCCATCGACACAACCCCCAACGCTAGCCCCCTCCTCTCCTTAAAATGCTGGCCTACAACTGTAAGTGCGGGCTGCACCCCAAACGAAATCGACACACCCATTAGGAAACCTTGCGTCAGAAATACGAGCCAGAACTGTCCCGGTTCAACAAACGATAGCATAAGTAACGATACTGTAGTGCCGAATCCCGAGCTTAGAAGTAAATACTGTATTCTTCTCACTTAGCCTCTTCCCTCCTTATCAAAGGAAAAAGAGGCGAGGAGGGATATGGATGGACGTACCTTGATACCAAACCGATCACACAGCGCCCCCGACAGCGCCCCCATCGCGTTCGTCAGTCCCATCTGCAGAGTCCCTACAAACGCAATGCTCGAACTCGCACTTGAAGGCAGGAATTCGCGCGAGTAGTAGTCTTGGAAGAAGCCGAAGCTGCTCATAAGGCCAAAAGAGGCGTAGAAGATGAGGGTGGAGCCAAAGACTGTAAGGTAGCTTTTGAGAGGTGCTGGTTCTGCAGGTTTTTCTGATGGGGAGATGGAGGTCGAGGTTGGGCTGCTGGGAGGGTGGTTGAGGGTGGGGTTTGAGGACATGGTGGTGGAAAGAGGGAGTTGGGTATGGGGGATTGTGATGTGCATAGGGAGAGAGTCAGACACGTGTAGATATACTGCGCATGTTTGTATTGTCCATGTCGTCAGTGTGTTGCGGTATGCCCCGGTGGTGACATGGCGGTACAACGATCTCTTTCTTACAATTTCTCGCTATTGGCAGGCTGATCAGAAGGGAAAGTCGGGAGGGAAGGGGAGGTCGGGCTGATGCTTTTCCTATTCCCTGCTCCGTTGATTGTGTCACGCATATGGAGACCTTGAGCGCGGATGATGGGTAAGTTGGAAGCGGAGCGTATGTGGGCTAGGAGGAAGTTGGAAATATTAGACGAAGAGATGAAGGGCATGATGCTGTATGATGTGTTGCGATTGGCATGCTAAACGGACATCCATCCTGTTTCGAACCTCTGGTTCTCGAAGTGTACTTTCCGCCGATGAAGCCGCGCGGGGGAAGCTGGATACGTGCAGCGCGGATGTATGCGGGGACTCTTTGTATTGAAGCTGTCATTTCTTTTTTGACGGCTCGTTAGATTTGACAGTTGTCGTGATACCGGGCGATGTTACGTGTGACGCGAGCAGATGGTCGGTGCGGGATTGGCTGGGGACGGGTTGGAGTGATTGGGTGGTGGATTGTGACACGTTGGTTGGATTGCTGGTATGTTACTCATGAGACGGGATTAGTCAATGTGCGGTTTTGTAGATGGGGTTCTAGACGTATTGGATTGTTGAAAGGAAAGGGTCTTCTCGTATGCGAGATTGTACACGATATTTGGAATTGTCAAGCGGTCGATATCTGTTGTCATTTGGACGTTGGCATGAATCCGAATCGGCATCAGTAAGACCCCAATGCCCAATTCCAAAGTCTCTTTTGTCAGCATTGACTTCTCTAATATCATGATGATTTGATCGAGAGCCTCCTATGCATCTCATCACGCTAGCATATCATTGTCCGCAAACATTGTAGTCCCATTTTTGTTATGAAGTTGGAATTATTGCCGCTCGAGATGCACACCTAATCAGAGCTAAAACAATTAGCTGTCGTAGCAAGGGGTAACCAGAGAACCAAGTACTCAAAGCAACATGCCACTCTTTTCGGCACTGTTCGCGGTATATCCGTATGATATTTGGGTCTGGTTAGCCCACGACGTACAGCTAATATATTGAGAGTATCGAGCTGCACCCGCCAATATAAGCGCATTAATGCAATTACCTAAGAGATACACCCCAGGCTCCTGGTGTTAGAGTAAGATCAGAAGACCGAAATGTAAATGAGACATTGTAATAAGGGCGACATAGAAAACAAGATTCTAGAAACGATAAACAGAGAACAAGAGCAAAGATTATACACGAGAACCTAAGGAATGAAAATTGTGGTATCAGGATAGACAGACTCGCGCAACTCGGAAAGGAAATAACATGCGATGTGTAAAATTACATGATAAATAGTGAAGGCATAACGTCGCATACAGTCACGTAGTTGTCAGACATAAAAGGAAAACGGAAAGCGTACAATGTGGCGTATATAAAACCGAGAAGATGGCAAGAAAGAGACAAGAAGTGAATAGACTTCTCAATCTCCCTCCCACATCGGCGGCGTCCATTCCTGGCCAGGATAACTAGTAGCCTTCATAACGGGCTCGTCGTCAAGAGCAGGTAATTCGAATACCTGTCTATGCTGGCTGCTGGTTCGCCCCCAATTGCTGCCTCCACTATTAAAGCTATCGCCGATACTGCGTAAGCTACCAACTTGACCGCCGCTAGAGACGCTGCGTTCGAGCTCTCTGGCTCGTGCCCTTGCTGCTTCGCGCTGCTGCCTTTCGCGCGCAATGGCCTCGCGGCGCTCTCGTTCGCGCTGCACACGCTCCATGTGCTGGATGTTTTCTTGTTGGAGGAGCTGCCGACGCAACGATTCGGCGCCCATGTCTGATAATGTGCGTTGGGGAGATGCAGCCATTGAAGCTGGCTGGGGATGTTGCAGCATTCCGATGGATGGCTGTCGTGGTCGGGACTCTGGTCTTTGGCTGCGGTGTTCTCCGTCTACGTTTGTATTGATGTTGGGTGGTCGAACCGCATCGGGGCGACTCTTATCCATGCCTTCGTTGGGGACACCAATTCCATCGTATGATGGTGGTGCCTCGTCGGGTATTTGCGCGTCGTATTCTGATGATCTGTTCACTGGCGCCTGATACACGTCTTCTTTTGGAGAGGGGTTTTGATGATATTGCTGTTCATCATTCTGATACATCTGCCCATCAGGGAAAGCAGGTCTTGTTGGTGAGTAAGGTAAGTTGGGAGGTGGATTCACTGTGCCAGTGGGTCTTGTCGAATTGCGTGACTCAGGTAGGGGGTATGCTGCGGGTTGTGGAGACGGCTCAGAACGTGCCGGGACTTGCTGCTCGTAGGCTGGATGGCGACGAGTTGGCAAAGGCTGTTCGTAATGAGGCGACTCAGAATGCGGAGCTCCATAGGGCTGTGGAGAGCCTGAAGGTAAAAGCTCACGAAATCCGCCTCCTTGCGCATGTTCATGTGGAATTGTGTTTGTAGGCGTTGTGTGCTGGGGAGTATGTGGCGAAGGTGTTCCGGCAGCTCGTTCAGCTTGTTGCTGCTGCTGAGCGTTGAAAAGAGCCTGCATGTACTGTCCCTGACGTGCTCGGACAATCTCTTGTTCAGTAGCTCCGGCCGGAAAATTGAGATGCCAGGGACGGTCTTGCTGAGACACCTCTGAGATACTGCCCATCCTTGGCTTGTGGGTTCGCTGAGCGCCATGGTGAGGTGGATAGCTGTACAAGGAAGCTGAGCGCGATATCGGTGATACCACATGCATGTTGCTGTCATCTGAGTGTGACCGGCTACTCGGATACATTTGGGATTGCGCGGATATTTGTGGAGAAATGGGTAGCATCCATGAATCTGCAAACTGCGTCTCTGGATGATTTGCATGCACTGCCTGAACATGTTGAGGTGGATACATAGGTTGATCCTGTCGGTCTGAGTGAGCTATGTAAGCTCCAGATACATGACCGTACGCAGCAGGTATCGGAGTTGCTTCGTAGCTGGGTTCTGTTGAGGCAGCATTCTGTGGAATGTAGCTCTGGACCGATCTTGGCGCGCTGTTTTGCCCCGGCCAGGGGAAATGTACTTCTTGGCCTGGTAATGGACGGGATAATTGTAGTTGCTGTTGCTGCTGCTCATGGTAAGGATCTCTATAATCGCCTTGCCTATACGCAGCCTGCTCCCTCTGACGCTGTATTTGCAGTTGCTCGTACTGTTGTCGTGCAGCCACAGTTGCGACATAGGCCCCTCGATTGTCCTCGGTTTGCTCACCATTAGGCCAGTAGTATTCTCCGTGCGGAGGATTAGGAAGTTCTTGACGCAAGCGGTCGAACAACGGGCCGTGATTGTGCATTAGGGAACTGTTGCGTACTGGACGTATGTTAGCCTGTGGTGAGTGCTGACCGATTTGCTGAGCCTGATGCTCTTCTGCCAATTGCTTCGTTCGGAGAAACGCAGAGGGCTCTTCTGGACGGGTATCGGATATCGACGGTCTGGGGGACTCCGTCTGTTGGGAGGGTTTAACCTGAATTGGTTTGTAAACTTCCTTTACAGGATCCCATTCACGACGGACCTGAGTTTTTGCAGAGTCTCCTTTGGCCTTTTGCGCTTTCTTGTCCTCTTTCGACGACGAAAGTTTGAACTTTGTGACCATGCCATCAACGCTTGGGCCATCCTTACCAAAAATCGCACCTAGCCCCGAATTGCGCTTCGGCTTGGCGCCACTTGCAACGTCTGGTTGATTCGACTGGCTAGAGTGGTTAGGTACATTGGCTGTCGATTGCTGATAAGGGATGCTATAGAAGGCTGCGGGATTCTTCTGTTTCTTTAGGTCAAAGAGTGATGATTTCTGGCTGGCCTGTAACTGCTGATGCACGCTTGGACGCTTGACTGACGAAGCCGGTTTTAGGCGCCCTGACCCTTCTGAGTTCAAGTTTGAATCAACCGAAATGTTTTCCATATTTTGCCGTTGCTGTGAAGAAGCCTGGCCATTTCCGCCAAATTTCCTGAACATTGACGAAATTTTGGCTTTGGAAGAAAGCTTCTCATGTGGTTTCGATGTTTCGTAGACAGACGACTGCGCTGAGTTGGTGGATTTTCGCTTTTCCATATCCTGACGAGACGTGCGATCTGTTTGCTGTTGCTCTTGCCCCAGGTCTTGGGATTGGGAACTAGGGGCTTCACTTTGTTGTGGTGGAAAATCTGGTACGATCTGAGTAATTGGCGAAACTCTTTTGGCCCGGGGTTGATGCAAAGCGAGGTTCGCGATGTGAGTAGTCTGAGGTTGTTGGTCATGTGCACCTGGTGTTTCTGGTAGTCTTTCTTGAGAATTTACCTCGCCAGAGACATGAGTCGGGTCAATATATGCGTGCTTCGCTGGTCGTGTAGGATCCAGTGGTTGGGCAGTCCGCAAGACATTTTTTGGTGGAGGTGCGTCAGGAGTAGGGGGTGATTGGACAGAATTCCACGATGTGTCCAAAGGTTCTGCTGGAAGTTCAGAGTACGCCGCACCTCCTTGCGATAAGTGATGCTGCTCAGCATGGTTTCTACGTTGCCTGAATGCCCGACGTACTCTTATATCGTCTGGAGACGCAGACTGATTGATTTGATCTTGGGGCTTTCCATCTTGGTCCGCAGGTCCAGCAATGAAGCTCATTGGTCGATCTGTGCTGTATCTTTGCTGCCCACCATCTTGGGATTCACGTGTTGCCTGAACATTGGCAGTCGCAGGCTTGGTTGGCGAGTGTTGTGGTTCTGGACTGGGTACCCTTGCCTCTGAAACTCGCAACGGCTGGCCCATTTCGTCGCGCAAGTCTTTTACAATCCCATTATAATCCGCGTAAAGATCCAAATCATTGCCTTGGCCATCCGGGGTGCGGATGTCATGTGATGGGGGACTCTGCCTTGGAACCTGGGCCGGGGCTCTTGACTGCTTG